CATAGGTTAATAAGACTAATCTATTACCTAATTTATATAGGTATTTTTATTTATTAGCTAATACTTATTATTACATTATTTAGGAGTTAGATAGCTAAAGATATCTCTCTCTTATAGTAAGGGAACTCTATAATAACTAGATAATTAATTATTACTTATAGGAGAAAGAAGTAACTAGCTTTATAGTTAATAAGAATTTCTAATTTAATTAATTACTCTTTCTCTTAGACTTTTGTTAAGTAATATATAAAGTTAATATCTATAATATTTAGATAAGCCTTACTAATTTTAATCTCTTATAGACTAGATATTTTTTCTTATAATTATATATCTTTATAGAATCCTTTTTCTTTATCTATAAATAAGTTCTACTAGATATCCTAATATTCTAAAGCTTTTTTTATTTAGTTAATAAATACTTCGAAATCTATTAATCTTATCAACTTTTTATATTCTTTGAAAAGTATAGATAAAGATCTTATCCTACTTTACTATAGTTAAAATATACTTTATTTTAATGATATTATATCATTTATTAAGATAAGCCCTTCCTTAGCTAATAAGAGCTAGTAATTATACATAAGTCTATTAAATTACTTTTATAATTATTAGGTTATAATCTTAATTATAGATTATTACTAAGTTATTAAATAATAATTAAATTATTCTTATAAAGAGTAAAGTATTTAACTACTTTATTATATAATTAAATTTATATTTATTCTTTTATTTATCCTTTTCTCAGCTTAGGGTAACTCTTAATACTAAATTTCTAGATAAAAGAAGCTTTATTTATTGATATAGAGATCTATATAGCTATTTTATTTAGGATTCTTATATATAGCTAAACTAGATATAATCCTTAAGTAAGCTATTTATATTTCTCTTATTTTTTATTATTAGTATTATACTTCTTAGAGTTTTTTAGAAGCTATATATAAAAAACTCTTATATTAGTAATTATTAGTATAGGATTAATCTATATTTAGGTTTTATTAGCTTCCACTACTTATAAATATATCTTATAAGTTTTTACTTAACAATAGTAAGATATTCTTAGTTACAGAGAATTCTTCTTATTGATAATAAAATATTCTTAAAGTACTTCTTAATCTTTTTTTATTATTTTTAGATAGTATCCTTCATATATATATCTTAGTATTCTAGAATAAGGATAAAATTTAAAATCTTAAAGATAGATTATACTTAGTAATAGTAATTTATCTATAATAGTCCTAAAGATACTATCTATTTACTATATTATTCATAATAAAGACTTTAGAATAGGCTATTAATATTAGTAAGAGGGGCTCCTTAAGCTATTATATTAAATAGTTTATTAAAGGCTTATCTTATATCTTCTAGCTAATCTCTTACTAGATTATTTATCTTAGACAGATTATTATAGCTAATTATTCTAGTAGAAGGATTAGAGGATATTATCTTATAGTAATTAATATTTCTAGTAGTTAAGTTTAGTTAAGGCTTATTAGATAACTAAGTAGTATATTCTAGCCTAGAGTTATTATATTTTTTATTTTTTTATCTCTCTTAGAATATACCTAATACAGGATTTATCTATAATAAAAACTCCTTATTAAATTTACTGGATTATTATCTTAATTATAATTTAGTAGTTACTATTTAGGGAAGAGTAGTGTATATTTATTAAAGATAAACTTTAGGTCCTATAGAGTTTTTATAAGTAATCTATAATTTTATAAATTTAGATATATTATTAGATAGAATTACTATAGTTATATAAGTTTACTAAGGATAAAAGAGAGAGATAGACTAGGCCTTACCCTCCTTATTCTTAGAGAGGATACTCTTATTTATATCTATATAATCTAGCTATTCTATATAATAGATGGTTATAATAGATTTCACTATCAACCTTAGGTCACTAAGGTCAACCCAGATACCTGCCACCTATCACTACTGATATGTGTTTACTAATATCATAATATAATTCCAATTCTTAAGTTATATCGGAATTCTAATCTATTATTAAGTAATTATTATAGTATTATTTAATAATTAGACTTGAAAAGCCTTACTTATTTTTCTTTAATAAGTCCAGTCTAGAGATAATAGTTTAATAAATAAGGTTAATATAAATATATAACTTATATTATAATTAATTAATATTTAGATTAATATAAGTATTTCTAATTCTTTAATACTTACTATATAATATGTAATATTTATATTTATAGTATTTAGATATCTTTACTTAATATATTCTTATTCTAACTCTATCTTATAAAATACTAAGATATTTATTATTTATAAATTATTATTATTAGTTCTAAATAGATCCTTTAGTTCTTATTTATTTTCTTTAGAAGCTTTTATTATTTAGTTAACAAGAGTCTTCTTCTTTATTAACTTCTCTCTTTTCCTAAATTTAGTTTATTTTTTGAATATAATTATTAATATATAGTATCTCTATATTAAAAATATATACTATTCTTTTAATACTAAGATTTCTATCTAAAAGTCTTCTTTTAAGATTAGTTTAAGAAGATAATTATTATACTAAGTTTATAATATTCTTATTGTATATTAGTATAAGTAATTATAAATTATCTCTAGGTTTCTAAGCTAAAAAGAAACTATTTTTATATTAGATATATTATTTTATTACCTTCTTAAAATATAATTAATTAGTCATAATTATTACTTTATTATTTCTATAATTTAGGATAACTTTTTATAATAAATGTATAAATTAATAAGGCCTTTTTTATTAGTAGAATAATTTAGATAGCTACTTCTCTAAGTATAGATATATAAGTTTATATTATATATATACTTTATAAGATCTTTTTATATTCTTCAAAATATAAAAATATCTACTCCTAAAATTCTGTTATTATATAAATATTTATTATTAAATTATAAGATATCTTTATCTTATTTATTTTTTAGTATTTTTAAGCTTATTCTACTAGTTTTTATTAAATAATTATTAGTTTTTTCAGTATTAAATAGATCATATTTTATAATTAAGGCTGTATCTTAGAAATATTCTTTAATCCTCTTTATCTAGTCTTAGATTATATTCCTAATATATTTTTTTTATATTTTAGTAATAAGGCTAGATTAGAGACTTTAAATATTAATTAATAATTAACTGGGGCTTAACATTATTTACTCTTTAGAATTAATTAATTTGTTTAAATTTATTAAAAGTTTTAATTATTTTTTACTTAGTAAGATCTATATATCTTAGAGATTTAAGTTAATAACTTATTAAATAATTAATTAAAGATTTATTTAAAAGTCCTTAAATTAATAATTGTTACTTTAATTCTTCTGTATTTTTAATAAATATTATATATAGATTATTAAGGCTATTTATTTTTATTTAATATCTTCTGAATTTTAGCTTACTAACTTCAGATAAAAATTTCTAAATCTAATTTATTTTAGTTGGATTTTTTAGAATAAGATAATAAAAGCTAATACTTATATCTATTCTTTTTTAATATTCTTTAAAACAAAAGCCTCCTCTTTTTCTTAACTAATAATCAAGTAATTAAGATACTATAATAATTATAACTTAATATTTAAAAAAATATAAATGGTTTTATTCTTATATATAGGATTTAATCTTTTTAAGTAATTATAAATAATATGCCCTTCTTTAAATATATTATTAAATATAGTATATTATAATAGAGTAGTAATTAACATTAGGGGAGTTATCTATCTATCTTCTTCCTCTTTAATCTCTTATTATTATTTATTATATTTAGTACTATTCATCTATTTAATTAAGAAATTAAAAAAAGAAATTATAATATATTAATATAAGAATATAAAATATTCTATATATAGATATAGATATATAAATAATATTTAGATAGGTTAAATACTATTTATCCTTATCTTAAGAATCTTTTAGTCTTAGTTTAGCAGTTATTTAGATTCAAACTACCATCAGGATCATAATATATATAATGCTTTTTATCTCTAGATTAATATATTATATTTCCTCTTTCTATCTCTTAACTATATAGATAGATAGTGCTAAATATTATAAGTAGTAATAAAAGACTAAAGGGGAAGAAGATAGGTAGGTAACTCCCCTAATATTAATCACTTACTTTGACTACTACTCTAGTATGGTGTATTATAATATAGTAAGATATCTCTGATATAGAGATACCCTCTAATGAATCATCTTTCTATCCATGAGCATATCAACCCCTACACTTTAGGTAGAATGTAGGTGTGTCTATAACACCTGGCTTAGAGATATATTAGAACATGACTATAATAATTATACTAATTTAATCTATAAGGATAGTACTAGTATATATATTCTCTACTAATTAAGAATTTAGTATATATAGTAGTAGCTAGCATGGCTATCCTTAGGGACCTGCCACTACTCAGCCATTAGGCCGACATGTAAGAATGAATAATTGAATTGCATCGAATTGAATTCATTGATTATCATGATATAAGTAGGTAGCTACCTAGTGGGTATGTATGTGTATTTACAAGGAAGTATACACAGTGTAACATATACTATCCTGTCAACTACTACGTTTCAACCGTAACACCCCTGCCTGGCCTACTCCTAAAAACACACTACTACATCACTGATAATCAACAACACAAGTTTAATATATTCATACTTAAATAATTTCATTCAAGCTGCCTATTGCTCATACACTGAATCACTTGAGCAGAATTCAACACAGCCCCAAGACTAGAATTTCATTCTGACAACCCACACCAAGCCTGAGCTCTCGACATCTACTACTTTAACCCAGAACACGCCACCCTTCGGTTGCTGCCGTTTCTCTAAGACGATCGGCCTGGAAAACAAGGAAGGGTGGAGGAGATAGAATCAATTATCCGAAAGACGTGTCCTGCCAGTATATTTGACAAGATCCGGAGGTCAATACCTGCAACATCATTTGAAAGTTGTGCCTAACTGTTGGCTCTCTGAGGCCAAATCCACAAGCAGTCTATCTATCACGATGGCTGGTACGAGAAACTATGACTTTTTGGTAAGAACAATCCTCCTCAAAAGTCAACAGGCCGAACGACTGATTCTAGCTCCGAGCGACATAGATCAAGCTGTTGTTAATTGGAGATTCGGGCGTGGGGAAATCATGCTGCCTCCTGCGTTTCAGCGAGGACTCCTTCACACCATCCTTTATCACCACGATTGGTATTGATTTCAAGATTCGAACTATCGAGCTTGACGGCAAACGCGTAAAGCTGCAGATATGGGATACTGCCGGCCAGGAGAGGTTTCGAACCATTACAACGGCATACTATCGGGGTGCAATGGGGATACTTCTGGTTTATGATGTCACAGATGAAAGATCGTTCCAGAGTAAGGACATTCATCCCTGGAACGCAAGATTGATTCTGACTACTGGCTGCAAAACGGGCTAGACATTCGTACATGGTTCTCAAATGTTGAACAACACGCAAGTGAGGGCGTGCATAAAATACTTATCGGAAATAAATGCGACTGGGAGGAAAAGCGAGCCGTCTCGACTGAACAAGGACAACAACTTGCTGATGAGCTGGGCATTCCATTCTTAGAGGTATCCGCTAAGAACAATATCAACATCGAGAAAGCCTTCTACAACCTGGCATCGGCCATCAAGAAGGGTATGGATACATCGAAATCAGAACAAGCGGGACCACAGGGTGTCAATATAGACCCCCAGGGATCGGGAACTGCTGCAGGCTCTGGCGGAAAGTGTTGCTAGATATACCTTTGATGCCCACCGATTCGAAATTCGCCCTCTTTCTTATTTGCGCGTGCCTTGACTTTGACCTGCATTTACCCAGCTGCTTCGGCATAGACTGACTTACGGATCTGCCGAGCTCACCTTCTGGCAAGGAGTGAGAACATCGGGGGATCATATGCATGGGTGTCCATTGTCGCGAACCGCGAACCGCTAGATCGTTCATGATCATCGTCTGAGGTCTACTCAGCGGCGTTGCTGCTGCTTTGGTTTTTTTCGTTACTTGCCATTCAATTATCTCGGAATATCCAACGATGCATATGGTCCTAGGGAGGTTATGGATTTCAGACGCAATATGACTGAGGGCTACGAGATCACCCGAGCCCAAGAGTTGATGATTATTGACAGGGAAGCTCCCCTCAATCAACCGTTCTTTTGAGCAGGTAGACTCTTTCACCATCATGTGCAGCTGGATCCTTGATCCGCGAAGCAGAGTCTACATATCATCGTTCAAGGGATTTCCATCTTATTAGTTATCCTACTCGGACTGTGGAATTGGCTTAGACTCAAGTTATAGCCTTAGTCAAATTGTCACACTGGTTATTGTCTGAACGAATGAGTATCTTGTCAGTCTTGGCCTTACAGAAAGTCGCAATTCTAGAGCTATGGTCATTGATCATATCAATTTTTCTGCACCGACTCCTACCAGGACGAATTAAAACCGCTTTGGTCTATCTTCCATACGAGATCTACTATTAAGAGCGATATCATAAAAAAAATGAGCCGCGTGTGCTGTGAGCACATGGATAATGGACTGCAGGTAGTAAAGGCAGGCTATACCTGGTATTTCAGGTAGCTAGCTGCCCTTGGAATTGTCCGCGCATCTCAGTATCCTGCATATAATTAGATGCATTCAACTAATCAGCACTGAAACCCGGTCACTACTTACAGCACCTCATTACATCTAGGCCTTCTCTTAGACTATCATGGGGTAGTCTCAGGCGTTGGGTACTGCAGGTGGAAGGCATCTTTATCATTTACCACTTATCTATTAGTACTGGTTACAGAAGTGCGTAGGAATGACTGTAGGTAAAGCATTATTAGTGAAGCAGCATGATTTGCAAGTGGGACCCCACAATAATTGAATTATTGCTCAATCATCTTGAAATATGGTACAACAGCGCACAGTTAGGAGAAAAACTTTTTGTGGACTTGAACCTAAACAGAAATAAAAAACATACAAATGATCAGGGCAGGGAGATAGCTATCTGCCACACATACTACCTGGTCTTTTTTTTTTTTACACCAGTCCTGAAACAACAAAACATATGTATTATGACCTTCGAGGTGCAGGATATGTCTTTTCAGCCACTGCGAAAGACTTAAATTCGCGTGTCTACGTGTGTACCATGTGTATGTCTGCTGATATCTGAACGTCAAGGTTAAAGAGAAAAATTTCCCCAGCACACCCAAGTCTTCTCATCATTGTACCAGATCAGATCGTGACCTGGTTTTGAGACAGATCTGCTCTACCCGTCATATTCTATTAGCTCTTTGAGATGTCAGAGACTCGCCTCTTTACCATTCGACCGCTCTCCAAGCAAGGGAGGAGTGATTACAAGGATGCGTTTCGTATTCATCTCTCGTCATCCTCCTTAGCGACTCTCAAACTCCGAGCCGGCGACATCTGCAACGTCTGCATTCCTGGCGGGGTTCCGGCAACAGCGATAGCCTGGACCGCGACCGAGAATATACAGAGTACCGTCGTACAGACTTCAAGAGTTTTTCAAGATTGCTACGGGATCAAAGTAGGGGAGAAAGCCTCCATCACTAGGGCCGAAGGCCCATTGGAGGACATCATTTCGATACAACTCTCGGAATGTTCCGAGGCCGAGAGGCTTAACAGATATGGACTCCTTCCATCTTCGGACGCGTGCCACTGGACCTGGGCTCTAGAGCTACCTCTTTCACGGTGCGAAGTTGTTGCTGTTGGTCTGGTTTTTGATCTAGAGCTCAAAGGCCAGCGAAGGAGTTTTAGAGTCGGGAATATAAAGACATCTAGCAGAGGCTTACTCCAGACTCTCTTTCGGTTTACTGAAAACACCAAAATAGTGATCGGCGACGACCTCGAAGACGTGCCGGAGGGAAAGTCATCGGGGATAAAGGTGCATTCCAATGGTCTGGGTGGCTTAACTCGTCAGATTGATAGCATCAACGAAAGCCTCACCGACTTCAACCTCGGCTCACAGAAGTTCGAGATGCCACCCTTCTATGAACACAGCCGAGGTATCCTACTCTACGGACCCAAGGGGACAGGTAAAACTGCGCTCTTGGGCCAGATAGAAACGGCGGGCTGGAGAAGGACTTTCGGTCTTGGGTCGTCCATGCTCAGCCGAAATTTTGGCGATGGTGAGACCAAGATTCGTAAAGTCTTCCAGGAGGCGGTCCTTTGCCAACCAAGTGCCGTCATAATCGATCAACTTGACTTCATTGCCCCTAAACGAGCCTCATTAGACTCCCAATCGTTGTCATCGGTGTTATGCGAATGCTTAGATCTTGCAAAGAATGCCCTTGTTTTAGTCGTGGCAGCAACTCGCCATCCCAATGATGTTGATGACGCGCTGAGAACTCCTCATCGACTAGGAATAGAGATCGAATTACAGATTCCTACAGCTCATGACCGGGCTGAAATTCTACGTGCTATATGTGGAAGTCCTCCTCTTCACCTCAACGAGGCTCTCATAGACCTGATTGCCGAGAAGACCCATGGTTATGTTGGGGCAGATCTATTTGCTTTACTTCAGCTTGTATGTCGCAAAGCCCGGCAGAGACAGTTGGTCAAATCCAGTCCACTGAAAGATTTACTGCCACGCATGAACGATGTCAAGCATGAGGGACATGGTGATCAAGAGGTTGTTATACACTTGAATATTGAGGAGCGCGACGTTGTATCTGCGTTGCAGGAGACGCGCCCTACCGCCATGCGGGAGGTCTTTTTAGAAACGCCGAAAGTGAGATGGACAGATATAGGTGGACAACATGACATAAAAAGGCGCCTTCAAAAAGCCGTTCAAAGACCTCTCAAGGTAAGACTCTGTCCGCTGACGTGGGTAATTACAATACTAAAACTATCATTCAGTTTCCGGAGAGAATGAAGAGACTCAATGTGAACAGTAAGAAAGGAATACTCCTCTATGGCCCTCCAGGTTGCTCCAAAACACTCACTGTAAAGGCACTTGCTACTGAGGCTGGTTTGAACTTTTTGGCTGTTAAAGGTGCTGAGATCCTGAGCATGTATGTTGGCGAGTCAGAGCGGGCTGTGCGGGAAATCTTCCGAAAGGCACGATCTGCAAGGCCCAGTATCATATTCTTTGATGAAATTGATGCAATTGCTTCGCGGCGCAGTGCTTCTTCGGGAGGCGTCAATGTGCTCACTACTCTATTGAATGAAATGGATGGTATTGAAGAACTAAAGAATGTGTTGGTCATTGCTGCCACGAATAAGCCGGACGTCATTGATCCTGCCTTGATGCGACCCGGTCGACTGGACAACATTCTATATATCGGCCCGCCTGATCGCGACGCACGGAAGGAGATTTTGGGTATCTGGTTTCGCAAGTCTGTGGTCCATCCCGAAGTGGAGTTAGAGGAGCTGGCTATCAGAACTGAAGGATACTCAGGAGCTGAGATTGTGAGCATTTGTGAAACGGCTGGAGATGCAGCTTTAGATGAAGAAGAAGAGACTGGTCAAGACCAGGAGGTCAAATGGAGGCACTTTGAGTATGCACTTGGCCAGGTTAAGAGGCAGATTACGCATGCTGTGATTCAGGAATATGAGCAATGGGGCCAGTCTGTGGAGGTTTGAAATGCATTGATGCTATTTGAACTGGACGTCTGGTAGTCATTAGGAATCTGCCATGAATTTGATCTCTTTTTTATAGAGTCATAAGCAACCTGTGTTGGTTTGAGAACTGTCTTTGTGAATTTTGTCTATGTAAGAGACATTTTGCCAGGGTATATAGTATAATTACACCTGAAACCTTATTTTTAACTGTTATTGGTACTCTCTTGCCTGTGAGAGATACATCTCAACTGTTGATGATATGTTCATATATGTCCTGACTCCTGGGTGAGGTTCTTTGATATTAGTGGTTATTTAATTCAACTCAATACTGTATTTATGCATCTGTCAACCTAACAGCTAAGTGGCAGCATATTATAATACATAGAGTGGCACAGTGGGAGGGTAGGTTATGTTATAGAAGATATTTTAACCTAGCCAGTAGTTATTGGGTATGTTAAAATATCTATTATACCCTAACTAAGATATAGAAAAATTAGTTTAATAATAATAATAAGGTATTAAAGTCTTAGTTACTATATCTACCTTAAAAATCAGGCTATATTTACTTAAGTAATGGGCTCTACGGAGTAGTAAGGGCTGAGGCCGCATAGAATGTGCGGCCAAAAGTCCTTGTATATATACTTGCCTGCTTCAATGTTGTTCACACTTTTAAGGTCTGTTCTGCTGCTGGGTTCTTCCTCACCGCCTTCTATGTTGGGTGCTGCGCACAGGCTCCCACACCTCATCAAATCTGCCTTTGGGCTCTGCCAAGGGCTGAGGCCACACATGCTGTAAGGCGAAAAGCCCTTGTAAGATAATATATATACTAAGATAGCATATCAAATTATCAACTAGCAAAGATTAGATAGATAGTTTTCATTAGTTTAACAGAGATGGACAATACAACCTTAAAACCCCCCAAAACCACCTCATTAGCCCTACCATATTACACTGTGGCTGGTATAGAGTATCTACTTATAGGAGTTTATCTACTCCCTAGCATCCTCATGGCCCTCCACACCTAGCACAGACAAACACATTGGTAGACTGCCTAGGCATGTCCTACCCCACAGATATCTCAAGCTAATTATTTTCATATCCATCCTCTTCCCGCAATATTATAGATTCTACAGAGTACCACTCGCCGCATATTTGATATCATTTGCTTGCCCTTCCCCTTATACCCCTTCCAGTTTTGCCTACTTCGCTGAGACCATAACGAGGACAATCACCAACCCCCCACAAGGAACGAGGCCATTATGGAGGGAATAAGGTCGTCACGACGCTCAATATCCCCGCGAGGAAGTACAACGCGCCGGACTCGAAGTCCATCTGTCGAATGTGATCATAGTCGTTGCAACGGCCGCTGTTCCAGGACCCGGACACCATCGCAACCTCGGACATCGTCTCTAAGTCGCAGTCGAAGTCCCAGTCGGGATTCTCGACGCTATAGAGAAAGGAGCTTCCGTCGAACACCAAGTCCAGCTAGCAATCTGCCGCGAAGTTCAAAGGTACGTTTCATGGAGTACAGAGGTTGAGTCCATGTCTCATCATCCATCCATTGGGCGAACTCCGCTCATCAGATGAAACACAGATTATCGTCGAGAAACTGACCAAAAATGTGACTGAATCTCACCTAAAAGAGATTTTTGGAACTTTTGGTGACATCCAAAGTCTCGATCTTCCCATGAACAACGCTTGTAAGCACCTGGCCCTCTCATTTATTGGAATAATAGCTCATAGAGTCCCATTTTAGTCATGACAAACAGGGGTACGGCGTATATCCTCTATCGCGACCCTGCGGATGCTGAAGCTGCGATATCGCACATGCACGAAGCTCAATTGGATGGTGCCGTTCTAAATGTTTCCATTGTACTTCCCAGGAGAGCCTTCTCACGCTCGCCACCCCCAGCACAGGATAGGAGAGGTGGCCCAGGCCGTCGCAGATTGGAACACGGACAGTTTCTAAATAATCGATCTTCCCGCACATTCAGATCTCCGCCTTCGAGACGATATGGTGATTCAAGGCCCATGGAAAGACATGATTTATATCGTCCGCGCTCTCTATCGCGGTCTAGATCACGCAGGCGCTCCATGTCCACAGATTCGGAATCGTCATCTCCTTCTTCATCAAGACGACAAACTCACGCCCGCGGAAGAAGCCCCAGGCATCGTAAACGTCGCAGCCCTAGTTACAGCAGCTATGGGTACAGCAGTCAGAGCGACCGAAGTCGAAGCGCCAGCAGAAACCGGGTTTGAGACTGGATGGGCGACCTGAAAGCACTTTCTCGCTAAGGGCCAACGAAAAAAGAAAACCTCGTCGTGTTTGTGTGTAGAAGTTGGAATTTCTATGCATCGTCTCCAACAGCAACACGGACAGAACTGCCTAGAGATCTCGTTAGATGTTTTATTTTTGTCGTAATACGCCCTGAAAGCAATATATAAATAGAACATCCTACGCTGATATCTGAGGAGGAAGCGTCTGTCACGTTGTGATTAATATTATCCTCAATAGATTTCTGCTTTGTGAAATCGCTGTGTCCTATTTAAAAGAATGCACACCAACCGATATACATTGCAGCCAGATTTCTCTTGTCACTAGCTTGTGTGATAAGCTCATCAACATGGCCATCCACCGAAAGGGGGACCGATTCTCCAGGCAATAGACCCCGAAGCTTATTCCGAATATTATCCAGTACACCAGCGGGAGTTTCTGGAACATTAGCATGGGCGCGCCGCTTCCATCGCATATCAGCATTGGGAAATTCTTGCCAGGAGGTTAGGCTGCCTACCTTCCTTCCTATAAAATCGGTTGTAGGATCATGTAAGAAAGTCTCGAGCACGGTCATGAGAGCATCCTCGTTTTGACGCAAAAGGCAAAGGCTGATTTCAGATGTTCTTCTATATGGACCTAGTGTTCAAAGTCTAGATGAGTAAACTGTGCGCTTGCACTTATACGCCATAGACTGACCATTGTATCCATACGCCCCGAAAGCATCAATCATGTTGTGGGTGAGACGGAATGGAACCAGTTCGGGTTTGTCGAAGGTCAGTCCCTTTCCAGAGTCAGATTCAGCATTTTAGTTCCCATGTTAATGCGTCTTACTTTGTCGAACAAGCAATTGAAATCGACATGTATAATGCCACCTGTACCCTCTTCGAACAAAATATTTTCGCCGTGCCGGTCACCCAAACTGAACCAGTTTGCCATTAATTAGGGTCTGAGTGCGAATGCAAGAAAAAAAAGGGGAATTGGCATACCCTAGAACGTATCCAACCATCGACATCACTGCACACGACCTGGTGTAACGAAGTCGTGCCGTGAACCATGTCCCAGTTTCTGGAAACATTTCCACAAACCACTCATGCAAAACTGGAGGAAACCTATAGGACATTAGCTGGATCACGGTCATGCGAACATTTGACTTTCGTACTTCAACAGCACTTTCGTCGTGAATAAGGACAACTTGGAAATGTCTGAGCAGGCTTCATTGAGGTAGTGTCTGATCTCATTATACTGTTCCAAGTCAGTTCTCAAGGGTGGACAATATTTTATGAAGTTAGTACATTTCTAGCATACATTTGGCATGATACCTCTTTCCTTGAGTAGTTTGATAACAATTTCTCGCAATGTTCTTAGATTATCGACCCATTCAATAAGGCCACATTCTTCGTTCAAAGGAGTAACGGCATATGTTTTGATATCTTCATCACATCAGCCTTGAATCGGCGTCCATATATGAGATGAGCACTTACACATTCGTCTCTTGCTTGCTTCCACATCCCTCTTGAAGAATCGGTTTATCAGGTTATTGAACTCCATCAGACGCTGATCCTTGCGCAAATCATCCTTCGGTTTACAGAGGAGGTTGTAAGCTTTTCCGTCCGAGCCTCTGATGCCCACTTTTCGGGGTTTCTGGAGGGAGTTCAAGACATGTGCATTATCGAGCACAGCTGTAAAGGGCCGGTTAGCCAAAGCCAGTACAGTTCCTGGATAAAGATTTGGGCCTACCGTCTATGCTAGTTGGATCTCTGGGAAACGCTCTAAATCCCTTGAGGTATTCGCTTTCATGACTTGCTGGTAAGCTTGGTGTTAGCATTGCCTGGAACGGCACGACAAGTCGACATGGTGCAACTTTGTGGTTGAACCCAAGATTGCGAGCTAGATTGATCTTCGCTGCCTTCTCTTCAACCCGAGCTGTACATAGTTTGAGCATCTCCTCCGAGAACTTCTGCCCTTGGTTAATCATCCCCCGTATATCTGAGGGCGATTCGGCCTTTGACTTTTTATTTGCCTCCTTTACGATGACTTAGTCATGAACAACCACTTGCCAGGTACCTAGACTCACAGTTATTTTATGAAGGCAGTTAATGCCGCGAGAAGCTCGATCTTTCGAAGACGACTTGACAACTGCAAGGACTGTCCATAGTCCTTGCTGTGGAAATGCATTGACAGCTTTCGCCACAATTCTCGTCAAGAGCTCATAAACTGTGGCATGAGGATGACATATCCGTGCAACAACCTGAGAAAGGATGGTGAATAGCTAGCATTGTCAACAATTCCGATTTATACAAGATAATGAACTTGAAACTAACCAGTGCCGCTGGCATCCGATTCAGATACTTCTTGAGCTGAGAATGCATATCATCTAGGGTCTTACGCCGTTGATTCAGTGTATGTGCCTGAAAGTCCCTATCTCGTTGGTGAGCAATACTGGTAGACATATACGAGTTGGAAGGGTAGCATACTCGTTATCCCCTCTCTTTGGATCGAAGGGTTGATCGACGGTAGCAGCATGTTCTAACCAAAGGGTGAGAATCCTCGGGAGTGATTGGAAGACGTATTTGTTCCCGTGTGCTAATGAGCGAAGGTAATTATCGATGACCAGCTTAGATGCCTCGCCACTCAGGCTGAAACAATGTCATTAGCCATAGATATGTCGAGGATTTAGATGTACTCACTAAATCTGCGCCTCCTTCCCTAGAGGTCTCGCCTTTTCTGATTCCAAGATCTTGTTGTAATGCTTGCCCAGGTAATAGTGCGCCTTTTCCCACCTGTGACCTTTTAGTATGTGTGACTGTTCAGTACCTTTGAACCGTACCGTGTGTGAAGTTTAATGGCCTCGCGGTATCTCTGTACTATAACATCTGATTGAGTCTGCCCCGCTCGGTCTGTCCATTTCGCCAATAGTAGATGGGCCTGAGCATGATTAGCTAAATGGACTTTGTAGAAATCGTTTTAGAGGAACAGAAAGACTTTTCGAAGCCGTTCAGATGGTGCTATATGGAAATACTTACCCTAGCAGCGAGTAGATTTTGTTGCTTTTCGCTTTTCGGACCGTCTGATGAGGAGCTCTCTGAGGAGAACTCGTTCGCAGCTATCGCACCCTCGAGCGTTTGTATGGCTTTTCGATGATGGCCATCTTTCCAAAGAAGTCGGGCATGTTCGATTGTGGCTGATCTGTCCTTTAAGCGGGCAGCATGTAGCATTGAATGATATGCTTGATTGATGAAGTTTCCTTTGCGCGAGAGACGTGCACTTGTGAGCCATGAAGCAGCTATGTCGGCATCCTTAAAACCGTGACTTCATGCGTAATGTCAGCGTATCTTCGACGATCACCTTGCAGGAAAGATAACTTACCTCAATTCCATCGTAGCCCTTCTCAAGCCAAGAAGATATTGTTTGTCGGCTATATAGCCGCCAAGAATATCGAGCCGCCGATGGAGTAAACTGTGGATACTTGGTTTTGGACTATTTTCGACGCCCCCGGCGTTGGAAATGATTTCAATTTCGGTCAAGGCATGCAGTTTGAGAATGCTGTCATGGCATGATTGTAATGAAGTTACCGAGTTCAGGGTCAACGATTGTGCGACACCAAGTCGCAGTTCACTGATGATGTTTTGAAATTTAGCACGATCACCAAGCCTCAGAGCATAGAGAGCCGACCCAATTCCGATATTGAAGTCTCCAGTGATCTGTTGTGAGCAAGATTGCAGATACCGGTGCAACTTCTCCCACTTTCCCGTGATCCAGGAGGCCTCCACAGCGAAGGGGAGAAACCTCGATACTGAGCTGCCTGCCTGAAATGAATCGTACCTAGCAAGTATAGCGTCTGATCCTCATGAGCCACCTGTTACAATTACGCAATTCATATATTGTAAACTCACCTTGTTGACCCGATTCTCGGAGACATGTGAGGAGATTCCACTGCGCGTCGATATTGTCAGGTTCTTGTTCAACCTGAAGTTCATACCAACTTTGTGCGGTAGCCCATCTACCTGCTTTACGGTGTTCAAGTATTTGTTGATCGATATTTAGCATGTGCAGGCCTGTTGAGATGCCCTCGATGCCATCTGGTTCGTCAATTTGACTGTAAATATCCTGAAGGTGCTGGTACAAGGGCTCGGTGCTTTTGTGTTCGCGCTTCTCTGATTGATTGTGGCACCGCCGAATATATTGTTCCCAATGGAAAAGTGCTCGTGAGAATGACTTGCACTCAACAGCTCTTTTGGAAATTATTTCTGGTGGTATTGAATTCAGGAAAGATTCAACCGCCTTAACTTGAGAAGAATATGTGCCAGGCATTGAATCTTGAGGAACGTCCTTGTGAGAACGACTCGTGTGAGAGGCATGGCCTTTTGTATTGTTGAGTAGCTTCTTTTTCCCTTGCAGCCACCGTGAGAGATAATCCAAAACCTCAAAGACGCTCTATTTCTATGGGTTAGCATGGAACACTTCATTGTCAGAAAGCTTCTAGCTACACGGGTAAACTCACTTGACTGCATAGTATGATAGCTTCATGGATTCGGTTGCTTGCCTCAGGAAGAGGATGTGACAGTACAGCCTTCAACTCACAATGCATATTCGTCGTTTCTGCCTCATTACCACCGACTATACGGTTTAGGACGGCGAAAGGTAGAAGAAATCTCGCAATTGAGATATCTTGGCCTTTCACGACACGACTACAGACGCTGAAGATCAACTGTGTATTGTCGCCACTACCCTTCTGCAGCAGATGCTGTACCAAAGTACGTAACCAGTCGCCATGTGTTATATTAGTGCGGAATATTGGAAAGTCGCAGTTCGAGTTAAGAGCACCAACGGTGAGCGTGTATTTAGATGTGAGGAACGGGGTCAGAGTGTTGCGAACAGTCTCGGGCAATTCTAGCCATCGACGGTATTTTTCATCCGCATGAACGTCTCGAGAACGGTGAGTGATGGCGGAATCTAGGTTGCATATGCGAAGAAGATTTTGCATAGCGTATGCTAGGAAGCCTTGAGCTCTGGTATTAGAGGCTGATAGGAATGCCTCAACCAGAACGTTCTGAAGAAAGAAAAGCACGAAGTCAAAAGTCTCTTCCATCCTGTCGAAATTCGATAACACGAGGATGTCCTTCTTATCTTTGACTGTGTCAACTCGATTGGGATCCAAACAACCAACTAGGCCCAAACACTGAGCAGATAGAAGCGTTATGGTATCACAACCTGCGTTGAATTTCACACAACAGTCGAGCAACGATCTCGTTAATTGTGGCACAACTGGGTCTGGCTGTTCGCTCAAGACGGACTCATGCAAAAATTCGTCATGCTTTGACAGATAAGGCAACAGCTCTGTCAACGATTGCTCGACAACAGCAGGATTTTCACTCTGGCAGCGACGCGCAAAAGCAGAGAGCTGGCTTCGGACGTCCATCTTCCTTTTCAGCTTGCTAATCTCAGCCTCGATATTGGACAGTTCTCGGATTGAAGACAATGAAGGTATAGTACTGAAATTATCGTGCATCAACTCGCTGTAGGATTTGAGAATATAAGCAATCAGCTCATGGGCCTTTCGCTTGCTCTGTGCATTGAAGGTATTCCAATATTTGATAACAGTTGAAAATGATTGAACTATAAGGGGTTCAACTTCGTCTTCATGTAAAGAGCTGACTAGGACACACCATGCTGAAAAGGCATGATCACAAAGCTCATGAATCCCAAGTGCTGCGCGCAGACATGCACATATCTGTAACCCCCCCCGTTAACTCACCGACTTAGATTTGTATAGGCAGTTAGATACTGACCTGTGGTAATGCGCTGCTAATATGACCTCGAGCAGCTCCAATCATCTCAGCGATAGCAAGAATGTTCCGTTTTTTCTCTACCAGGGACTGTCTGATTTGGAAGTCATTGATCGCATGTGCAAATTGAGTGATAATACCAAGAACATGTTCCTCGATAAAATGACACAATAGATTGGCTTTCTTGGACGTATTCGCAGATTTGCGAGGGACCAGAGCTGCTAACAAGTGAAGGGCCCGATGAAACTATGTTTATTGAGTTAGCAACAACCTGAATGCCACGCTCGGTGTGTACTACCTACTCTTGCGCCCTTTTCATCTCCTAAATCACCAAGGTTCTTCAAAAGCTCACAGGCAATTAGAATTGGCTCTATTCTGACCAAATCCGCCAGAGTACGGCCTTCGAAGGCAGGATCTACCTCAGACAAGACCGACATTATCATTCCTTCTGGGTTTGACCAAGGCTGGCTCATTAGAAAGGAAAGGATTGCTGCGAGATTATTCTTCTCAGAGCAAACGTCGAAAGGCGTCTTGACATCATTGTAAGCTGCACCGACTCTATTGATGATATCTCGTTTTCGAGTAAGAACAAGATAGGGTAAAATGTGAATCTCGGTCAATCGGAGGAAATCGTCTACTTTCATCCCTAGCAAATCACAAAGCTGCTCGGCCATGTACGGGCGAGACTGGAAATTCTTCATGACTGTTATTGAAAGAGTTCTCCAGAAAGGTCGGAATAAACCAGCAGGGGTCATGGAAAGGCACTGGGCGAGCTTGGAAATCTAGGAAAGGATTCTAGTAAGTAAAACGGCCGTGCGTATCTCCCAGACTTTATATTGGGAGTGGAATAGCGAATCACTCAAAATGCATTTTCACCTACCTCAGTATAAGCTATAGCGCAAACAAATGGATTAGGGTGACCCAGGTATTCCAATAGACGAAGCAGAATGATGTTCATCTCTTCGTCACCAGAAGCCCTGCGTGAAAGGATGAGCATGAAGAGAATATGGAAGTTTGTGTTTAAACGTACTTCGCGATATGACACAAGCTCAGAATACAAGTCTCATGCAATGGTGGCTCTTGCTTTTCGGAGATGTTTCTTAACCACTCTAATAGAATGACAAAATTGCTTCGACGTACTTCTGGCTCGATGCTTTTGCGAACAAAGCATACCAGTAAACGCCTGGAACATGTGAGCCTCTGCCCTGTTGGGAGCAGTAGGACGTAGATCTTACCCTGTGATTACTCGCAGCTCTCTGACGGAACTTCGGATGGAATGAAGACAGAACTCCCTGAAAACAGACGTCTTCAAGTGTAGATAAGATGAATTTTGAGGAGCATGAATTAGCAGTCTTCGCAGTGCAATCATTGCTGTCATTCGGAGACTAGGAGTGCGTGTCAATCTGGGTAAAATATAGGTAAAAACCTTGCACAAGTCGTCGAAATTGGAGTGTTCCCAGCCAGACGGGGACTCTTGCGTTTTTGTCTCATCCTCGCACACCGAACAGAAAAATAAATCTTCTGATGCAAATTCATTAGACCTCGACAAGTACCCCGCCATAGCACATGAGATCCTGCCAAGGATATCGAGAATTTCTGATTTAAGCTGGTCGGGAAGCGTTGAGAAATTTTCCCTATGTCGTCGTTAGCATCGGAAGCATGTCCTGCGAGAAAGTGTAACCCACGAGATACCACGACGCAAGAGATCCATGCTCTGAGAGTTTTCGCAGCTCAGCAACTCAAGTGACTTACTGATGAGTTCACCGGCAATATGATGACCTCTGGACCTTTCTTCAGATTGGGAGATTCGAATTTTCCCAGGGGATAGCACGGGTTCAAGTTGCTGAGTCAATCCATCGGGAGGATGGACTCTATCTAAGATAGCAGGAGCTGCTACGCCCTCGAAATCCAAAGTAACCAAAGCTGTGCCCCGCTGTCCATGTGAGGCTTGTAGCTGTGTTGCCAGCTTCTGAAGGGTACACTAGTAGCGTGTTCGGTTAAACCTGAGGAGCATCTGCTGTGGAAGAGTTTCAAGCATGCCTACCTGGAGACCTGAATCAAGCGACTGAAACCCTTCGCTCTTCGTGATTCCAATTACACTGGCAGATGTGGTATTTCTCATGTGACTCAGGAGCATAGACATGTGACGGGAAGCGTGTGATAAATCATCCAGAAGTTGCTTTAATTCTTCTTGAACACCCGGCATTCGATCCAGCTGATCTAAGGTGACCAGATCGCCGCAAATCTGAACCAAGATACGCGTCACCTCAGGATGCGACAACTGAAGACCGGATAAATAGAAATTGGATCTGCGAAGAATTCGTAAACTGGCCGTAAAGTGCTCAAAAACCCGCGATTTCGCTTCGACATCATCTAACGCCGGAATCTGCGCCCATTGGACTACAATCTTCCATAAGCGCTGATATATGTTCACGATCCAAGTCAAGTCCTGTTGAAACAAAATATCCTTAGCGGTTATTTGATCAGATATTGACTTGCTAGGGACAAATGCATCCACTAAGCGAAGGACCACGACAAATGTTTGAGGTAGTGATCTGAATACGATTTTCTTGTTGAGAATCATTGGAGAAAGGCCGAGTCCACCAAGGCCAGCGAGCATTGCATCCTTGGTAACCGATATTGGCAAACTGCTCCCGGGTGTGAGCAGCTCTAAGATATCATGACTTTCGAGGTGAACAAGGATCTCTACTATATGATCAGCACGATGTTCAACTGATTTCGAGAATTTGACAAACCATTCACGCAACGCCGAGAAAAAGCAAGAGCAGAATAACAAGAGGGTGATAGCCTTATATGCTTATATTGCGAACATGCAACAGTGGAAAAAATGGAAGTTACTCTGTTTCCTATGTCATCCAGTCCCCAGCCACTGAGCAACTGAAGTAATTGCAAAGACATCCACGCATACAATGGAGTGGACGCAGCCCCCCCCAGGACACTCGGATCGCAATTTGCGCCGAGGACTTGAGGTGATCTGGCAATAACTGTTTGGATGATGTCTAAACAGTCCACAATCTGCCCTTCAGCATCTGCTGCCTTGCAAAGCCAATCATTTTTGACACAAGGTTCGAGTCCTGCTTTCAGAACAATGCAAATTAACTTGCTAGCATCTGCAACACTGTCATCCAGACGTAGTTGACTACATTTCCCCTCAACAAGCTCCTGGCGAAGCTGTGAGAAGGTCTCTCTTGTCAAGTGGCCATTCGAATCGTTTCCTTGAGTTACAAGGCGCGGCCCCAGTCTTGCTGCCAACAAGGATGAAGTCGGCTCTGCAGACTTTGAATGGCCATTTCTCGAAGCAAAGTCATTAGATTCTAACCACTCATTGGTTGCCATATGTGTGACACGATCAAGTGTGGCATTAGGCGTTCTCTGGCATCAACTGGAAACTGTTGAAGTGGAAGATGAGTTTGAATGCTTTGATTGTTAGATATTGCCAACAGGAACGTGAGAACTTGGCACAGAACTGTTATTATACTCCCTAGTAATGATTGTTGCATTACTCGTATAATATCAGTGGATTACATTATTCTGCAGGCGATTATCTGTGTATTAACCATGTCACTGAAATACCAACATTACAATACTTCTGTATGGTGAAAATATGAGAAATAGTACGTAACTTGGCATTTGAGAAGCTCTTCTTGCTACCCCAGAAGATGTCAATCTAGGTACCTATTTCTCTCGGGAACGTTTGACTGGGCCTTTTGAGCTAGCCTATTACCCGTGTAGATATGTGTACGTACCTTCCATTATTATAGATGGACGTGCCCAAGACCTTGGTCTGTTTTGTTGGTTCTAATTTGTCAAGACTGATCTTTCAAACCTGGTTGAAACATGCTGATATCAAACCTCAAGGCAAAGTGACAAACGAATTCGAAAAATGACCATCTAGTGATTAGCGTTATCACGAGTTTGATCTTACGACCTCTGAAACACGGCGGCATGATGGAATTTCTGGGTAGGTAGGCATGGAACAAGCAAAACATCTACCATGACAAGGTCTGAATACCCCTCAGACACCCAGCAGGAAGTAGATCCGACACATGCCTACTTCATGAAGCAAGCTTTATTAATGGTGCGCACCCCATCCATCACTGTGTTGGAATCAAAAGCCTTACAGAGGATCAGGGCGAGAAAGCACTTGAAATTGGTGAAACACCCGTGGGATGTGTGCTGGTGCGTGATGGTCAACTCATAGGGTCTGGGATGAATGACACCAACAAGTCAATGAATGTAGGTATTTCTGCTCAAACCCTGTTGTTAAAGCTTGTATATGTAGGGCTCAATATATCATGTTTGAACCCTGGCTGCATTCTGTGTTGTTTACTGTGTTATCACATGCTTTTCATCTAGCATTGGCCCTTAAGCTCACATCCAGTAGGGAACAAGGCATGCCGAATTCATTGCCATTGAAGAAATGCTCCGAAGCCACCCCAGGTCGCTGCTTCGCTCAACAGATCTATATGTTACAGTTGAGCCGTGTGTCATGTGCGCTTCTGCCTTGAGGCAGTATCAGATACGATCGGTCTATTTTGGCTGCGCAAATGAGAGATTCGGTGGCACGGGAAGCATTCTTTCACTACACTCCGAGTGTGTTTCTCTTTTGAGATATGCGACAATCCTAAAATTGCTGACCGAGTGATCAGCCCCACATTAGATCCCCCGTATCCTGTGCACGGGGGCCTGTTTCGGGAGGAAGCGATTATGCTACTGAGACGCTTCTATATACAGGAGAACGACAAAGGTAAGTAGCAAATTTCGTATAGGAGGGGTATGAATGATTCGCTAAGTCCATTCAGCGCCTAAACCTCGACCAAAAAAGAACCGGGAGCTCAAGACGATGCCTGAAAGTGATGGAGAGTTGCGCGATATTACCTAGAGAGGGATAGCGGATTTTTCGGAGCGCTGAAGTTATGGTATATCTCATTTGAAGTACTGGACTCACACCACCTCTGTAGAAATGCAATTTCAAGTATACCGCGCGAGGAGGTTTAATCTTACAAAAGTCCACGAATCAGCTGTGATTCCAGCAATTGGTAACTTCTATGGACCCTTCCCAGATATCCAGGAATTCAGGCAGACCCGGCATTCGCCAGCCGCTCAGTCTCAAGCTCTTGCTCAGCTTGCTGATAGTACTTAGCTGTGTCAATACCGTGCTGTAATTTTCAGCATGTTAGTGCCAGTGTAGAAGATAACTGTAATTAAGGAAAAACTCACCTGACTGTGATTGACAAGGTTGAACCAGGGGAGGACATGGATAAAAAGCTGAGAGTAGCGCGAGTTTCTAGCCGCAACGCCTTGTAGGTAAGAGGATACTTGTGATGTGCCATATAAGGGCTCGCCCTTCTTAACCTTGTCAACCATTTCCTTCATGTCCATCTCGACCTCTCGGGAGTTTTCTGTGAACCCATAGAAACGATCTATGACCGAGTTAGTGAAATGCCACAACCGATTCGGATACAGAGCCGACGTACTGCAAGATCTCTGGTAAAGTACGTGTAAACCACCAATCAAGCCAATTGCTGTAGCTAATCGCATTACGGGGGCAAAGCCTCCTCGGCCAACATGGGAAGGGCTAACTCTTTCCATAGCCCAGAAAGCAAGTGGAGAGGCAGCGGCCATACCACCGGCAATTGCGTAGTCGGAAGATCTGGCATATCCAAAGACTCGTCTCAGATGCCTAATAAATTATAAGTATTGGAGTTCGAAGATCAAGAGCATTATTTAGGACGATGAGCAGCAACATACGGATCAGAGTCGATTAACTACATAAGAGTCAGCAATAACGCGGATTAATTCTCGTCATAAGACAGCACATACTGGATAATCGGTATTGGCCCGTTTGGGCGGAACAAGCATTGCCTTCTGATCGGTTGCCATTGTGACGTTGTTGAGGCTGAATATCGGCTTGGAGTGTCAAATGCCTGACTGGATTATTAGCACCCCGTTGGAACGAAGATGAACTCAAGAGGTGAGTAGCGCCAAGATGCCTCTTCCGCCTTCTCGGCATGAGTCGAGTCCTGTGATGCTGACTAATATCGAGAGCACCTCTTCGAAAAATACATTCTATGCACAGACTGTTCAGAAACGAATGAGCAAAATATGGGCTTTATCTGAATGATCATTTCTAGATACATTTTCTCCACTGGATCTTGGTTTTGAATCTTTATTAAAAACCATGTAACACTGTATTTAGTAGTACTCTCCTACAGGAAGTAAACAGGTCTGGTACATGACTTGGCAAGTCAAAGTATTGTATAGATACAAACTCTACCTTACCTACCTGGTATCCAGTACCATCAGTATTGTATTGTAAATGCACAATCTTTCGCACTTGCCCCAATTCTGCTAAATTGATCTGATAACAACGCGTCACAGCCCACGACAATCAGACGCGAACTATGAAGTATTCTACGGTGGACCAACATAGCACTTGAAAGAATAGGCCTTCTCTCAACTCGACCTCCTAACATTTCTCTTGAAACTCTTGTCTATCATTTTGTATCCATGCTACCTCGTTCATTGATATAATCATCGGGGACTATAACGACAAATTTGGGGAATCAAACAATGGAGGATGACTCTGCACCCATTAGTGGTCGATCTGGCTCGCCTGACCATGTAGACGATCTATTCAACTACGACTTTGGCTTGGACGAATTGCTAGGGCAAGCCCCAAGTAGGACAGATAGCACGGAGCCTAAGCAGACTGCGACTCATGCTATGTCGGGGCTTGGATTAGGGCTCGATGAAGAGGTTAAGGTGACTAAAAAGCGTCAACCTATTGCGAAACTGGATGAGCGCCGGTATGTTGGTAGAATTGCTCTTACTCTTCGAACACATGTTGAATCACTTTGTTGCAAGCTTATTATCGCAGCCCGGCATTCCTAAGCTACGCCGTACCGCGAAGGCGAAATTGAAGTTTCGGGGCAGAGGCCACGAGGTAGGCGCGATTCATATGGCATTCTCTAGCGGCTGTAGAAATTCTAACCTGCGATCATATAGTTCTCCGATGCTGCTCGGTTACTGAACTTCTACCAACTATGGCTTGACAATTTGTTTCCCCGTGCGAAGTTTGCGGATGGCTTAGCCATGATTGAACGACTTGGTCACTCCAAACGCCTCCAAACGATACGGAGAGAATGGATAGAAGAGGAGAAGCCTCAGATTTCAACAGACATTCAAGCCGGTTCACCACAGATCAATCTACCAGCCGATACTCAGACTGATCACACCGCGCTTGCCTCCGAGAATCGCAACACGACAAGCGCGAAACTTCAAGAAAACCTCTCTAACTACGTTATTCCGGATGGGGTTCAAAATTCAGTTGACGATACGAATTTGCCAGCGCTAGCTGAAGCAGACGAACGGCTATTCATGTCAGATGATGACTTCGCAAGGTTGCCTGACGACCAGGGAGCTCCAGATGATGATGAGTGGGATGCGTTATTGAGAGAACAGGAGGATCTAGTATTTATTAATACCTCTACTTGAAGCCAAAGGAGCCATGCCCGACTGATACCCGAATCGATTACAAGCCATTGCAAAGGAGGTCACTCCTGATCAGAGCCACCTCAGCCCTCTTACATTGATCATGAATGTTTGCCAGGAAAGAGGACCTTTGGGTCCAAGGAAATTAATGAAAGCGAAGATTGAGGGGAGTGGTTGGATCGCAGAACCAGGACTTGAGAATTTCTTTGTACATAACATGAGTATTCCCTGAGAATAACGCTGCCACTGGGCATGCCTTCCTTAAACTTAAATCAGGCCAGAGTTCTGTTTAGAATCGAGCCAGCGGCAGAAATACACTGTCTTCAAATTAAGTGCAAGATATCTGTCCGAGAAGAGGTCAGGTTTCAGGTTCAGGCATCACTCAAAAAGACAGCAATATTGTGCCCACTAAGACCAACATCCTGGCTCAATGCTGGAAATTTGCAATATTTCAAATGTAACGGCAAACAAAGTCGAGAACAGGAGTGCGGCCCAAGTTCACATCGAGACTGGTTCTGCAAAGACGGAGAATTGACCACCAGCACCGGTCCAGATTAACTTCTTGCCACGCACAGCAGTATTTTCAACGACTGTCGCAACCTCAATATCATCCTGAGTACCCTGGCCTGTTTGATATGTGGCCGAAAAGCCCCATGACCAGGCGCGACCATCAGTGTCAATGGCGATAGAATGGTCCGACCCGGCTGCGACAAGAGAGGCTTTGATGCCTGGAACAGGTGTGGGATCAATTAAAATTCGCGGGCGTCCGCGTTCATCCTTCACAACCGCATCAGCAGGAAGAGTATCAATCTTAAGACCCGTCTGATAGCCATCCAATCGACCCCACGCAAGGCATTCGCCATCATCGGAGACAGCCAGCGAATGGTGAGCACCACCGCACAACTGGGTAATCTTCTTTCCGGAAAGTGAATCCACAACGGTAGGATGGACAATGGCGGCCTCATCATCGCCAGCGCCTTCGCGAATACCTGTTTCACCAAAACTATTTAAACCCCAGGCGTAGACCTTCCCAGATTTATCCACGGCGAAGGAGTGAAAGGCACCACAGCCGATGTGGACGATACTCTTAGGTAGGCCAAATTCACGAGGCTGAAGACCGTTCAGTCTATTGCGCTCAATGATACGGCGACCTAATTGGTTCTGCTGGCCTGATCCCCAAGAAAAAACAGCACCCCTCTCGTCCAGAGCAAGGACATGATTGTCACCACAGGCAAGGTGTCTGATCTTTTTAAGAGACGGAATCAAAGTAGGGGACACTTGAACCTTGTGTTGGGCATCGAACCCCAGAATGCCATCATTGCTCTTGTGGACTCCCAATTAGTTTGACGATCAAATGCCCCCAAGAGGGATGAAAAGAAAAAGAAAATAGAGAAAAGTATAATAGGGAAAGAGGAACTTATGAGATTGACACGCAAGCACTCAAGCTCGGGATGGAATAATCACAAGTCAACAAGAAAAACGGTGAAGAAAATGACACTTACTCGGAACGTTCCCCAGCCATAAACCTGACCGTCATCAGTAAGGGCGAAACTAGAGCTATCGCCAGCAGCGACTTCGACAAAGACGGTATCAGAAGGAAAAGCTTCAGATGGGATGGCAGTTGGTGTCGATTCATAGGGATTGAGACCACTGTCATCATCCGAGTCCGAGTCCGAGTCCGCATCGTCTTTGTTGTCATCTATGTCCTTGTAGCCCCCCTCCCACGTAGTGTCTCGCCCAAGAGCACCTTGGTCATTGACGCCCCAAGTAAGGATTTTGTTGTCATGCGTAAGGGCAACGCAATGCATGCCGCCGACAGCGACCTGCACAACACCGATCCGATCTGCTGGCAGGTGGGGATTGAGCCGCGGTCTCTTCACATCTACTGCATTTTTCTCTGCGCCAAGCCCAAGTTCGCCAGAGCTTCCCTCACCACAGACATAAATATTCAATCTTGTGGTCGGCGCATGGTTGATGACTACCTTTGGTTTCGTTTTTACGGGGCGAGGCTTAGTGACACGTGCCTTTTTAGTTTCAAGAGCAGGTCCCTCGTCATCTTCTTGAGCCTTGCGCTTCTTGGTCGCAGTTGATGCGCTCGCGGTCTTCGCCTTGCGCGACTTTGCAGGGGAATCGGCAGCTTGAGATTGCTTCTTCGAAGTGACTTTGCTCTTCGAAGAGCTGGTGGATCTCGAAGCACGACCTTTGCTTTCAGTCTTGACCACGGTTGTTTCCTTTGCCGCAGTAACCTTGGTTGTGGTTGTCGAGGGCTTCGAGGCGGCCCTAGGCGCGCTTTTCTTTGGAGGCATTTTCAGGAAGGTAGCTCGGTTTTCAACGAGGGATTGCGAGGAGGAATAACAGTTCCGGGGAGCAAAGTGTAGGAAGTAAGAAAAGGTTTCAAGAGAGGAATAAAATTCAGGACTGGGAACAGGAAGATATGGAGTAGAGAAAAGTAGAAAGGAGAACAAAGAGAGAAGATGGAGGAAAATGACGCGACAACAGACGAAGGGTAGGTACTAAAGAGTTCCCGGGCCGAATGTTGTTGTTGTGGTAGTGGTGTGTTTTTGTTTTTTTCTTTCTATTTTTTGGGGGGGGGGATGGACATGTCGGTGGTACTCCAAAAACCTACCAAAAGATATTTAGTTACTGCCAACAACAATTAGAAATCAAGATAGACTATCAATAACTTCAGGGGACTAAGAATGATCATCATATGCATGATTCATCTTCTTGTTTCTCATTCTTATTTCTTCTCTTCCCAACCTTTTGTAGACCATGGTCTTGGGTAGTGTTCTAATATTTCTAGGTAGTAAGGTAATAGACTCGATCGAGATACTTGATACATTCACTACTCACTACTATGGACATGGTTCCTTTGTATCATGTCCCTAGTGATATCTATCAACGAAACAGGAGGAATAATACCCAGGGAGCTATGGAACATTCCATTCTCATCATGCCATATAAGTCAAGATAATCTATCTTGGTCATATACGATGACTAAGATATTCATACAATGTGGTCATTATCATTATTCCTATCATCAATTAGTCTAAACCAATGGACTTTTCACAGCATCCAGATGTACAAGGGCGATGTCCACAAGAATACCGACAATTCTTAGCTCGAGCTACTTCGAACTATCTCTCCTAGGCAGCACCTTCCAAGCTTGCCCGTTGTCAGGCATGTGCCTGTGTTCTACCCACCAGGGGGAACCGAAGTAGATGCTCGAATTTTCCCACACATTATAACATTCTGGCCTAAAGGCATCCACTTCACGTCTCGAGGATTGAGAGCGGCATTCGGTTTGCCTTCCTCATCCCGCTTCGAGTCGGGACTCACACCCACTCCACCCCGCCCAAGATAAGTAGGAGCAACAGTAACAATCATGGAGTCGATGAATTCAGCGTATTCCGGGTTCAAAAGTTCGCTCAAGACCGTGCCACCACCCTCGATCATGACACTTTTGATTCCTTCAGATGCCAACGCACGTAGAATAGCCTCCCAACGCAGACGCCAGTTCTGGTTGTACTCAACAATGCGCAGAAAGTCACCCCCGTAGCCCTTCAACATCATCAACTTTTGAGGGTGGATTTGGGCCCCTGGAGATACGATGACCCACGGCGCTTTTCCTTTGCCTTCAACTGCAGTTCGGAGCATCCGACACTCGGGATGCACTGGCCATCGTCCTGTCGGATCAATTACCACAGGTCGTGGTTGCCACATTCTCCCAAGACCTCCAAAACCACCTGCGCCTTCGAGCCTACAGTTTAAGCCTGGATTATCAGCTAGGGCTGTTCCAACCCCAATAAGAATCGCATCATGTCGTGATCTGAGATAATGTGTCATCAATTTAGCCTCCGGACCCGACAAGACTGTCTGCATTCCTGGGAGAAGTGATATCTTTGAGTCCATTGACGACGCATAGGACAGTGTGACATGCGGTAAATGGCGTTTCTCATCGTGCCTTGGAAGATAAGAGTCGAGGAACTCCAACGAGAATTGGGGGAATGACAACGTATCCGACGGTAAAGGGGAGGCGGCAGTAAAATTGGGCTGCTTCGAGGCAGGTGCCAGGTTGCTGCTGTCGCTAGTATCCTGCGTTCTCACGATCCCATGACCCTTTTGATAGGTGTAGCCATCGTGCGGTACAAGTTTCACCTCTGGGTTCTGTATGCGCCATTTCGCGGAAACATTGCGGACGTCCGTGACTGTACAGAATTTACCTCCTGCCTCGGCCAATTTCTCAGGCTCCTCCTGGAATTTCGTGTAAATAGACGAGGGCAAATAACCCTTAACTGCCTCTTTTCGCGCAAACTCCATGAGCCCCGAGTTGCGCTTGACTTTATCAATATAATCCAAGTTATGAGAGTGTATGTGACTGCTCCCCGGGGTTCGGGCAATCGTGACAGTGGAGTATGCGCCTTCAAAACGAACAACCTTGATTTGGAAATTGCACATGCCGCCTTCGCGGACTCTTTTTTTTCGAGGGCGTTTACCTTCCGGTAATGGGCGCGTCTCTGAGGTTCGATGGGTTGGACGTCGTAAACGACACATGTAATAGTCCGTGGTGCAATGCCCCTCTTTGCTGGAGTTTGACCTTTGCTTGACCCAAACATTGTCAATGAAAGGCCAATAGGTCTCAAACTCGTCCAAGCTAATTTCAATCGGTTCTTTGCATTCAAACATGACTTGTCGAATTCGTGCAAGGTTCGGGGGGTTGTCGATGAGACTGTGGCTTTTCGTCGTCCCTTGATCAGGACCGGAGACACTGGTCCCGTTCTGGTCCTTCGTCGGCCCAGCGATGACAGTCTGTGAAGTTACACCGTTGGCTGCGCCGGTAAGGGTTGTGAGGCTCGTAAATTCTTCCATAGGATCCCTTGTATCGTGCAGATGCAGTCGACTGCTGGATACCAAGTTGAATTGTGTTGTCCTGGCATTTCCCCCGCTCACAAACTCTTTATTTGAGTCATGCCCCAGTCCATCAGCCGGGTGCGCCGAAGCTTCATCGTGCAAGGTCCCAGATTCCCGATCAGACTGAGCTAGCTTCGAGCTTGAGTCAGAAGTCTCGGTGCCATCTTGATCCATGTCGAGTGAGCCGCGTAGGAGCTTGGAACCTAAGCCGCCGGAAGATGCATGTACATTGGTCCGAGGTTGCCCCACATACAAAGCCGCAACCCAAACTGTTGATAACTTGATGATAGTTGGTTGAGTTGATAAGCAACTTTGAATCTTCCCGCCAGGAAGCTTCATGATACAGGATTCACAGTCATTGACGATTTTTACGCTGATCGCTGGTTTGAGAATTGTACACTAAATCTTTGATATTGGGAAAATAAACCAACTGCTAAGATAATGTGACGACCGCTTTTAATATGCCCCAATATCCGCCCCAGCACGAGCAAGCGTCTCATACACTCTTGGTGGTAGCTTGTATTTGACCATACCGGAGAAGACCATGAGATCTTTGGCCATCACTAGTAATTCATCGGCCAGGCCTTGCCTAGTTTCATTCTCGTATGCTCCGGAGCTCAACCGTTCTCTTTCATAGCCAATACTGGTGATGCTCCACATGATCACATGCCCAACATTACGCGATATGATGGGAGGAAAAGATGAGAATGCTTGAGCAGCACTCCGGATGAAAGAGACAGAGCCTCTTGCACGCAGGGGTAAGATGTTCAACTCGTTAATGGCCTGAGATGGGACTTTTCAGTAACAAGCACGGGATCAAAGATAAGGAATGAGAACACTTACGTCTAGAGCTGGAGTCCATTTTCCGGCTTCAACTTCGCCTTTGGCCTCCATCATTCTAAGTAACAAACCACAGGCATCACGATTGACTTGACGAATGCGCTGATAGTAGAGAGCATTCGTGTTGTAAAGACCTATCATGTTCTTCGCCAGAACCACTGGATCATCTACTGCCGTGAGGCTAAGGCTACTGCCAGGTTCTGCATGTACTTCAATCTCCGATCCATTAGGATGCTGGAGCGAATTGGTTCGTGGTCGTAGAGGCTGCAACTTGAGACCAGGGCTACCCAATTCAACTCCCACAGCATCCGAGAGTGCTCTGTTGATTATATCGATGACGCGGTCGTAATCCTCGGCGAGGTGATACAGAAGAACTGCGTCTGTGATCAACCCCTTGTCATCAGCAATTGCGGCAGCCTGTATGGTTATGGTTTTCAAGAATTCTTCTTGATCGACCAGTTTGATCAAACTCATGCGCTGTTCAATCAACCCTTGAATTCTGGTCCCATCAGAGCGTATGTCGCCCAGTAATTTGGCGAAATCCCTGGTTTCTAGAACAAATTCCCTGAGTGCCTCGTGGCACACGGAGGCTTGGGATTTACCCAGCGAGCCAGGGAGGTCGGCATTGAGACAAAGTAAGCAAAAGTAATCCACTGCTGCCTCAACATACCCAGTGCGGAACTCCCTTGTGTACTGGGTAATGAGACGTCCGAAGCTGATCTGCGGATATTGCTTCACAGTGAAAGACACTGGCATTGTCAGCGAACCTGAAAGAAACGACATGGATATTGGTCAGGTGGTGAAACTTACAGATATCTTCCCCAGAAGTATAGAAGTCCGATACACGCAAAAGGCCATAGTAGGCCAAGGCAATCGCAAAATGCACCGCACTAACTGGGGCATAAGAGCCAAGATATGAGACCGCCTGCTCAAACATCCCCCCCAAAATCTGTAGGAGGAAGAAAGTGCCGTAGCCCCCAGACACCTCCTGGCCCTTCCCGAAGACTCTCTGGCCAATTTCTGTGATATCAATTTGAATGTCCTCGAGACCAAATACATCACCAGCAACCTCTTCGGCCCTATCATCTTCCCTAGCCAGGCTGAATTGCAGCCACATCCAATCTTCAACGCTCTGGTTCACGCCTTCCAAGCGCCTACGGGTCAGATCACATCGGCCAATGATCTTGTAACAGGCCATGCGATAAGGATCGACTGTATTTTCGGGGGCATTGCGCGAGCGCTGCTGATATTCACCGTTAATCTTCTGTTGCAGATCCCGTGGTAGTCGTCTGTTCTGTGCAAAAGTCGTCATGTACGTCACAAATTTGTGGTCGAGGGACCGGAAACCAGGATCCTGGCTAACATACTCGGCTGCTTCGGTGACGAATCCACACCGAAGAAGGTAGAATATTAGAATCCAGCAATAATCGTTCCCAACCATCTGTAGCTCCGTCCCGTCTGGTGCAAGATCTTTCCTTGCTGCTCTCAGGCGGATATAGGCTCGAATTTTGTTGACAACAGTAGGTATGCCTCCGAGCTGCGCCTCCCGGGGATTCTTAGCAATCACGTTCTCGACCTCGGCGTAGAACTGCTTTTCAAGGAAATATCGGGAGCCCTCAACAATGCGTTTTCTTAGATTCGTGGCCTTGCGTGAATTTGGCGTCTCATCTAAATAGTCCTCAGAGAACTGCCGCTCTCTTACTGTCTCGGAATTTGATACAGTGTTGAGGCTTGCAGATTCCTTAACAATGCTAATCAAAGCTTGGTAAGCGTCAAATAGTTGTGAGGGTACCTGACGGTGTTAGTACATCCTTCCCCGAAAGAAAACATTGAGTATGATTTGCAACTCACATCACCCCCAGCATGCCGCTCAACTTCGGAAAACTCGTGGAGTATAGGGAATGGGCGGCCTTGGATTCTAGCAGAGTTCAGAAGTTGAACCTTACTCGCATAAAAACCCATTTTCTCGCGCAAAAACCGAAGATCTGAAGATTGGCTACCAGATCCCTCATTTCGATCCACGGGTTCTTCGAAGAGTGGGCGATTCGCTTTCCCGGTTCCCGGGGCCCCAATGACTGATTTTTCAAGGCCAGAGCGTCCAAAGACACTCCTACGAGAAGCTCCGGCGGCTCCAAAGGAAGACGTAGGGCCAGCTTGTTTGGACTGTCTCATTGAGCGGCCGAATGAACCTCTCGTTTCTCCAAAAGAGTCATCTTTGTGTGTCAGACCGAAGTGTTGAAAAATTCGTTGGCGCTGATCCTCCCAGTCTAAATCCACCTTTTGCTCCAAGAATGTGTCGAAGTCACGCTGAGCTCGAGCAAGGCTTTCGTCTATCATCACTTTACGGCCACGTTGTTGAATATTTCTTAAGAATTTCTGATTGTCGGGATCGAATACCTCCTGTTCTCTTGAGGGCAGGCTTATTGAAGCGTGAGGATCCAGTGCTTTAAGGTCTCGCAAGGCATGCCCAGGCGAGATGCCCGAAGCGGCTAGGAGATAATGGCTGTAATAGATATTGATCAGTGTAACTGTTCAGTAGAACGAATCAAGAAAAGTGAATGTCTCACTTACGCTTTGGAACTTGAAACCTGCTGAACCGATTCACCGGGGCCTTTTGTACCGAGCTCTCTGGCTTTTCTCCGGATGTCATCGAGGCCTAATTGAAGACTGGGCAACTCTTCGAAATTGCTATTCTGACCAATGGAAGCAATTGGTCTTTTTTTTCCACGCTCCAAAAGGCTGTTGAAAAAGGCGGGTTGAGTCGCCTGGCCCGAAGATTGTACTGACTGTGTCGTACTCATCTGCGCCTGACCTCCTTGCCCGAAGATGGAAGGCTGACTGGGTTGCTGTTGTGCTTGGGCCTGGCCGCCAAAGAGAGAAGAGTTTGGCGCTGTCTGACTCGCGGGAGTCGTTCCAAATAGACTGGAGGGGTGGTTACCAGAGGATATCCCCGCGGGCTGAGCTGTGGCTCCGAGGCCGCCAGCTCCAAACAAGGAGCCAGAGCCCATGGAAGCCATCGAAGAAAAGTCGAATTCAGGAAGGCAGAAGGGAAAGATATGTTCAGCGTTTGAAGTCACAAGAAGTGAGTGTTCAAGCTATGTGGATCTATGGTAAGGCAGGACAGTCAGCACTGAAGATGGAAATTTGAATATAGCTCCGGATTTGCTTGCTCAAGGTCATGCCTGTAGGTTGGTGAAAATATGACGAAAAAAAAGAAAGACAATAGAAAAGGAATAGCAGATCGGCTGCATCAATATATATATATAATCAAGGACTCACCGCGACCCTTCACACTCTTTGACTGCTCAAAAAAATGCTTGTTTACAAATTATTTTGGAGGGTAGACTCTTTGGCTGTGCAATATCTAGGATAGAGCACATGTCAAGGACAAGTTAGTCGGAATTAATATTTCCCCGGGCTGTTTTGTTTCCAAACTCCGCCAGCAGATACTCTGCACATTGTGATAATAAGAAAATCCTTTCCCAATCATAAGTTTCTTACGAGGGATTACGCATTTCTAAAGGAGTTCTCTGCGTGGGAAATAATCTATTGTCATACCAAATAGGTCAAATCAGGGACAGATTTCAAAGATGCCCGTCTTTCAAGCAAAAACCTTCCGTCGCGCAACAACAGCATCATCTTCCCTGGGAGAACGGATTGGCGCGGCATATAGGGGAGGCTTGCCTAAACATCCATTCCTGCTCTTTGGACTTCCCTTTATTATGGTTATAGTCGCAGGGTCGTTTGTTCTAACCCCCGCGGCGGCTCTCCGATATGAAAGATACGACCGCAAGGTCAAACAATTAAGCCAGGAAGAGGCGATGGAATTGGGTCTGAAAGGGCCGGATGGGGAAGAAGGAATTAGAAGGAACCCGCGCAGAAGGATTTTAGGAGATGAAAGGGAAGAATATTACGTGAGTGTTATCTCAAACACATTTTCGAATCCGAACATCATGGTTGACATTCACTTAAGCGGCTCATGGCCAAAGACTTAGATAATTGGGAGCAGAAACGAGTCCAGAGGTTTAAGGGGGAGCCCGATGGGAAGCTCTAAGTCCTATCTGTCTTTTGGAAATATGCAGCATTTGGCAATGTGGAAATGCTCCTTTCATACAATGTTCAGCAGTATATTTGCATCATATGCTTCTACTTTGCATTCACGTTGGGACACCATCGATGACAACGCTGACCGGCTCATTTTTCATGAGTGAGAAATTCTTCGGTCAATTCTCATATAAGATGATATCTGACAGTCTTTGTAGGAGGCGACTCGCCTGATCGAGGACCTATACCGTATTATTATTCTTGTATATCCTTTTGCTCTGGTTGTCCTGCTGAGATTGGCAAGCTAAATTAGGTATGATCTTCCACTTTCGGCTACCTAATCTTCAACATAGAATGGGTAGCTTATATGAAGGTTAACATCATGCTAGGCGCTCATCCAGAACCGCATGATAGATGGATGCACTTCTGTGGGGTATCACTGATTCGACAAAACTAGTAGTTTAGAACGCGTACTCCAGCAGAGCGGTTTTCAAGTCTGGGCGACAATTCCTTCCTTCCTACACAGCGAATTCAGGTATAAAGAATAGTTCTGAGACTAACTCTATGCTAACTGGTACATATCTATCTAGATATCAAATATGTTTCTCGTGTAGGCTGTTGCATATTATTCAAGCAAGTGGCTGAAGAAAATGCGCCGCCTGTGTCATACTCTGATGGCATGATTTTCCTGCCTGTCTGTAAATGACTGTAATGCGTATCCATAATTCATCGAAAGAATACCTACTCCGTAGTAGTACTATCTGGATACTATCTAGTGTATGGATCACTATTTCCATTGTACTCCTACCTTAGTCAATCTCTATGAGAATGGATTCGCCAGAGTTGCCACTTGCATTTCTTTGCAGGTTCCTGGGTTCAGGGTTGGCTTTCATCCGGGGATCCAGAACGGTCGCCTGGGCCTGCAATCTGCATGGTCATGGATTTTGGTTCTGCATACTTTTGCCGCTCAAGTCTTACTCTGTTGTTAACTTGTAACAGTGTGCCCGGACTTATCAAGTGAAACTAACTACTAACACCACAATCCCCACCTCATAACGTCATATCCAGAGAAACGATCTTCTCTCTCTCTCTTTCTCCCTCAAGTCTCAAACTTTCAAGAGGCCTTCCGAGTCCAGTTCTTCGCGGTCCGTTGCTCTAATTCGTCATTTCCATGTCGACGTCGGGCTAGCCTAGTACCTAGTAGTTGACCTTATTAGTAGTACGGTAGGACCTAGGTATCTATCCATGCTGTACTGACTAATTACGGCACCTACCTAGGTAGTGTTGCCAGTTACCTTACCTACAGTAGGTAGGCCCCGGTGCTTCTAACGTCGGTATGGTGGTATGGTGTGGACGGTATGGACGGTGTCCCCTCCTGTGCTTGAAACTTTTGAGAAGTCTTGCTTTGCTTGAATGAGAATTCTCCATGTCATTGGGAGTATCTATCGATAGAGGACAAGATATCACAAAGCCCTTTTCAATATATTGAATTTGCTATCATCAGTATTCTGATAATCATTAATACTCCGTATTGTTATTTACAATCGATCTTGAGTGTTACTTTACTCCGTAATAATATGATCTTTATTCATATCATTCAAGCCCACCCATCTCTCAAGCCCCAAGTCCCCGAGTCCCAAGTTCCCAACCACCGTCCCTCCTCCCCACGTCCCCATCCTTTTAGCCTTGATTGTCATAGAATCTTTTTTTTTGTGACGGAGTCTGGCGTTCGACTGCCTTTCGACCCCTTCCTTAATAATTAATGTGAGTCTTGACAGCCAACCCAACCAACCTACTTGTTCGTATGGCTAGACCCTTATGCCTTTTTGATAACTACCTCTTGCTTTTTCATCCACCAACCCCCATCGAGCTTTTCGTTGTTTCTTTAATTCTTCCGTATTTCTCAAATCACTCGGACATACTGCCTGTTTCCTGGTTCGTAGTCTGATTGATCTCTCATCGTTATTGGGCAGAACGCTTCAACTCCATTGACCCCTCCGTGAGGCGAATATTAGTGAGCATGTTCCTGACCGCGAAATTCCTCATCTCTCTAGCAGAATCCAAACTGATACGGTTGGCAATATAGCCTTTAAGCATATATTATACCTCGACGTCGAACTCGTTTCCGCAAGTCTCTTGAAACGGCTGTGAGCAGATTTGCCCATGCGAACACCCAGGCTTTGAGACTTTTAAGTCAGTCGAGAGATGGCAAATTGGCCTCGCACCTGATTGTGACATATCCGGTTTTCTCAGGTATATATTGTCGGAAATTCTCCCTCTGGAGGAGCATCATGTCTGCTATGACCGGCCAACGGCGCTCACCTCCATCTCCGTGGCCTCAGGAGTCCCAAGGCCCCCTCCAAGTCCCCGGGCCTTCGGACGCGGCGCCTCTCTTTTCACTGTGTGATCACAACCCGTCTCCCCTCAAATCCAGCAGTGGCTCGTATCCTGCCAGTCAGGATCATTCGAGCCCCAGTTATTTTACCATCAAGATTGAAGGCTCTCATGACAGGCCGGACCTGCAACACGGATTCGGTTCTAAGAGCCATAGGGCCTCTATACACCCCAATCAATCATCGCTTCCCAATAAGAAAATTATGTCGCCTGATCGAGCAGTCCCTGAAGGGTTTATGACGATGCCTAGCATTCGTCCTGGCAACGACCACCGACCCCATATGTCTTCCCTCAAATTACATCCCGAGTCGAAGCGGAAAGATCCCTTAGCTGCTCATGCCAATATGTCTTCGAACAATCTGACACCGGGTTCGATGATGGCCATTTCAGTCGACCATTGCGCAGAATTACTGCAAACTTGTGAGCACGAAGTGCTACTGCTGGATGTGCGGCCGTATGCACATTATGCTAGGGCGAACATCAAAGGATCGCTGAACCTCTGTATCCCCACGACCCTCCTAAAGCGACCGTCATTTGGCATACAGAAGCTGGCCAACACTTTCACAAGTGATGTTGACAAGAAATCATTTTCGCGATGGAGGCAATGCCGCTATATTATCATTTACGATGCTGCTACATACGATATGAAAGACGCCGGACCAATAACCAATGTGCTTAAGAAGTTCGCAACTGAGGGATGGACTGGTGAAGGCTTTGTTCTTCGGGGTGGTTTCATGGCCTTCAATGATCGGTTTCCGGCTCTCGTCCAACAGCATCAGTCGCCAACGTCGGGATCACCTTCAAAGCAGCTCAATTCCATGCAAACCAGTCTGCCCTCCGCCGCCCCCATAGCTGGTGGCTGTGCTATGCCAGAGTCTTCTTCGGCTGCGATTCCATTCTTTGGAAACATTCGTCAGAATATGGATCTTGTGGGTGGTGTTGGGCAAATTCCTCTACAGATCCCATCCGGGCTCACGGAATCTAAAAGGCAATTGCTTCCTCGCTGGTTACGGGATGCCTCCGAAAACGATGACAGGGGTCAAAGAGTGTCTGAAAAATTCCTTGAACTCGAAAAGAACGAACTCGAGAGAATGAAACAAGCCTTGTCATATGAAATGGCTGGAAATCCCACCTCGGCAGAGACACCTACAAAAAAATACCGAGTTGCAGGGATTGAGAAAGGTACCAAGAACAGATATAATGATATCTATCCCTTCGACCATTCCAGGGTTCGGCTGCAAAATGTGCCAGCCGGCGATTGCGACTATGTGAATGCAAATTTCATGAAGGCTGAGTATAGCAACAAATGTTATATCGCAACACAAGCACCTGTGCCTGACACTTTTGATGTAAGTTTTTTTTTTTTTTCTTGTTGTTTGTCCCCCACCCCCCTCCCCCCCCCAACACTTCCCGCACCTCAAATCTGCCTCTACTGTCTTTTTTCTTCTCCTTTTTTTTTTCCCCCCCTCCATCGATCAACTCCCTACAAAAAGATGGATTGGCGGTAAATTGTGGTGAGGGAGGAGCTGATCGAGATCTAGGACTTCTGGCGTGTCATCTGGGAGCAAGATGTCAGGCTTGTCGTATCTCTGACTGCGGAAATCGAAAGAGGTCAAGTCAAGTGCCATCGGTATTGGGAGTCTGGGCAATATGGCCCCCTTCGCGTCAACAACTTTTCGGAGAAAACCATAAATATGAAATCTTCAGAATCGCGCCAGATCAAACCTCAGTCAAACAAGCCATCGTCAGACGTCAGCGAAGATGCAGGCGATCCATGCATTATTGTAAGACATTTTGGCTTATCACATTCATCTTTCCCTTTCCAACCGCTGCGAGAAGTCACGCAGCTGCAATATCCATATTGGCCGGATTTTGGCACCACCTCGCAACCATCTCATCTTCTTCAATTGATTGACGAGTGTAACGCCGTGACAAGAGCGACGAGCAGTACGGGGTTTGACAGTCGCGAGGCAGAACCAGAAGGACAACGACCTGTATTAGTACACTGCAGTGCCGGATGTGGCCGTACTGGTACCTTCTGCACTGTGGATAGTGTCTTGGATATGCTCAAGCGACAGCGCACTGAGCGAACAATACAATCACGAGGTGACAAGGAGGGGTTCAATAGTGATAACCTTGACCTCATTGCCAAAACTGTGGCGGATTTTCGAACCCAGCGGCCCAGTATGATTCAGAACTTGAGCCAGTTTGTTCTGTGTTATGAAAGCGTGTTGGAATGGATTGTCGGCCACATGGATGAAGGAAGTAAAGAATCCCACTAGTCCTCTTCACATTGCTATGGCAGGTACCAAGGCTTTCTCCTCTCATGAAATCTAAACCTCTGTTGCATGTTGCATGGTTTGTGGCGACATACAACTTCTTCAGTTCTAGAAGGTTGAACGTAATGCGATGCGCTTATGATGTCTTGACACGACCTCCTTTCCCTTACCTTTTTATTTTCCCATTTGCCTTATTCAAGGGCGGCTTGAGGACGAGCACGAGTTTCATTTGCATGATATTTTTGTTGGATACCAGCAAGACTTTGGCATTTTGTTGTACTTACATATTCAGGATCGGATTAGAAGACCAGCTAAATAGCAGCTGATACTTATAGACTGGGCCTTCCGTTCCTCAGTTGAAGCCTGATGGATCGGAGTAAATTCATTCACTGTAAATCAACGTAATAGATCGCAGTAGACATTCCGCTTGGATGAGACGCAGAAGACTTGCATGTTCTAGGCGATATGTTGTTAACACACCTAAGATGGAACGCTAAATAGCATTCAGAAAATATGTATACATGGTAGGATCAAATGCATGGTTTCTTATATGCTTTTTCAACTTCCTGCTCTCGTAGTATCCAGGTATGAGCATTGTACATTCTGGTATTAACCAGATTCGCTAAACTCGGTATCCGAACTCTGGTTTTGAATTGCTGCCTGAGAAGCTGAGTGATGTGTTTGAGATGCAGTGTTCATTGACTGGTGGAGATGAGGGACTACAACACAACGCCCCAGGCAACAATGGCGGTCGGTGTGGTATAGGGGCCCTACAGTGTTATGATGCCTCTGCTCACGCAAAAGCCTTCTTGATATTTCGAAAACATATAAACAAACTAATTTTCAATGTATCCTGACGAATATTTACCAAATCTCTCCAACTCTCTTTCCCTCTAACCTTAAGTCCGCTTTGCGCCATGTTGCTCACTCTTCCTCCAGAGCTGATTCAGCTTGTGCTTCAACATTCAAGTACACCTTCCTTTTTACAGGCAGCATTGTCTTGTCGCATTATATATGAGATTGCGTCTAATTGCCGGGAGGTGATTCTGCACCAGTTGCGTCAAACTCCTGGATTGCATCCAGATGCAGCAAATGCCGAGACGAAGGAGCTGTTTCGGCTTCTCATGAAGTGCTCCTTTCAACAGCTCTATGGTGCGCAGTACTTCGCCAAGTGTACGACATTCAGATTTGGAGAGTATATACTAGATGCGCGAGCATCTCATTTGGCTTCATCTGGTGACAGAAATCTTGCACTTGTCATGAAGAATCAACAGGATGTCTGTCTTTTTCAATTTCAGAGTGGACAGCTACACTTGAAGGCCCAGATAAAGCCACATCAAGAGCAACCTGGAAGGGTAGAGGTGCTCAGAACGACAATTGATGAAGGAGGAGGTGGTCTCAGTATTCTCTATCGCCTGACCCCAGCAATAAACGAAACCGGGTCGGACGTAGCTCATCCTTTCGTCAAGCATGCTTTACAGTCTAGCCCTGCTTCCAGTGTCTATTTGGCCCGTTACTCTCTCGAGTCTCCCGACGCACCTGTCCACATCTGTGCGTTCCCAGATCATGGGAATTATGAACCGCTAGCCTTTGCTGCTGCTGGAGACCAGGCAATTGCAATTTCCTGGCAGCATGCGCAAAGAGCTGGTGAGCACGAGGTTGTTCTCTACAATTCTCCAAACCAGTCGAGCAGCTCAAACACCCCTGACATAATTGGTACGTCACCCAGAACATCGATCACCGAACCATTTCTAATGTGTGCTCAGAATACACATATAATTCAATTGTACTCCTGGACGGGGACGGACAACATCAGAACGGCAATACATATAGTCAAGCGGGCCTACCAGGTGGTCGTACTGTATATGACAAGGGGCCGGTCATAGATATCTCATTCAACGACAGATCAAGCCAGTTACTCTATCATTACAGAGCTCAAACCTTATACGGAGCGTTTCAAAGAATTCAAGGACTTAACCCACTGTCTTCTCCTGTCCTGCCAACGCTTTATGAAAATTCATGCATGGTGAAATTTTCGGACAGGCTAAGCCTCCTCTTCTCGATTGGAATACCCTTTTTCGGTACCCACAACAGGCGAATTGTGAACAATGTTGACATGTGCCACTGGCAGTACCTTTCCCTTGGGATTGCTACGCACCGAGAGGAGAACTGGACCGTCGCGTGCCTATTGAAATCCGAGGCTTTGTGTCGGACCCAGAGTTGTGGACATACCCTGAATCTCGACCGCGGACGACGGTTCACGGATTGGACAGTAGTTGCACGGCTTTGGGGGTTTCAGGATTCCTCAAACTCGCTTGGTTGCAAGGTGGCTGCGTCGGATCGCGGCACGCGCCTTGCAGTCGCGAATTGGAACGTCATTTATGTTTGGGCTCTTGAGCCGGGAGCACTCATTGAGGAAAACAGCAGTGGATTTTATCCGGTGTGCTTCCGATCGAAAGGGTCAGGGCTGATCGAATTACGGCCTATTGTCCTTCCGCTAGATGGAGTCTGTTTCAAACTGGGCTTCACCCAGCGAGAGGACGAACTGCTGGCAATTACCGATCGAGGTGTGATGTATTGGGATCTTGGCCCACTGGGAAGAGGCTCAAGAGACATTCAGCAGCTGGTTCTCTAGATAGAATTGAAAAGAGGTCCAGAGAATTGGTCTGGATGCTCGCTGCAAAGAGGCAGAGAGCTTGGCCTTGATATCTTTGATAAACCTACAAAGATCTACATTCTAGTATCACGGCCACTCTGTTTCGCCGACGCCATTACCCACGCCGTTTTTTAGATCACCAGACTTTCATCTGCTGTTGATCGTTTGGCTGGTAACGTACCGTATAGGACCTGCCTACTTCGAGTTGCACCGGACAGCTACCAATGAGAATATTGATCGGCATTGTTTAGACAGAGAGGATGCTACCAACCTGGCGTCAGTTTTGGCAATTGATGAGTTAGGGCGCAAAAAGGGGGCCAGGGTTTAGATCTTGGACCCCGGAAGGGATATCTGGAGATTGAAGTCTAGCCAAGGGCCTTCGGTAGATGCGGTGGGGCCGCCTGGAAAATTGATGCTGATTTAGGCACTCTCTTGGCCACACGGTGGTCTAATCGCATGATTGGCGCGAAAGATCTAGAGATTGACTGTACAAAACATGCTCAAGACAACAATCACTGCCCTTCCCCGCTACCTGACATAGCCAAGAATGTGATGACGAGGAAGACCCACCAGTATCTAGATGAAATCGAGGTCACGTTAGCAAAGGTGACTTTCCGAAGGAGGTGACGGTCCGCCTAGGGCACTTACTTTTGGAAGAAGGTCTTTTCGACAACCTCCTCGAGATTCTTCCCGTCTGGGCCAACCACAACAGGCCGATTGAGATGCGGGCGCGGACCAGCCTCAGTAGAGACAACTTCGACGTTCAGACCCGCTGCGCTCGAGGAGGTGGCTCCCGACGAGGAAGACACCTCCCACGAAACATGGTAAATCTCGTTCGAGGGCCCGATATGAATTCGTAGCGTGGGCTTATGATGTTGGCTGGCGGCGAGCGATGAAACTGACGTAAGAGATCCTACCCACTGTTTGGGATTTGTGGGCGTCGAGGTGAAGAGACCTACACGAGCAAGGTCGCGAGGATCTGCTTCTGAAGCATGACGAGCCTCCGTATCAACCGCGGTAGGAGGAGAGTAGGATACAACGTCCGACTTCAGGGAGGCCGGATCGTACGAAATGCGAGCGAGGATCTCGGGTTGAGATGAGGTCACTGGCCAGTATAGGATGTCGGCCGCTCCCGGGTGAGCAGAGGATGAAGAGGTGGCACAAGAGAGAGGTGCGAAGACAGAAAGCAACGGGATGATCAGCCGTGAGATAACGTGCATGTTGAAACGTATTGTGGTAAGGACAAGGGATATGAGTTGGTGGTCTGAATTGCAGGAGTGAGGAACACGGGTGACGGGTCAGGTACTCCGTGAGTTTTCAGTGCATTGTTGGAGGCGAGGGAGGCTTTTGCTTTCCTGTATCAGTAATGGCGTTCGGATCGTGTACAACTGAAAGATGAAGGGTAAGTGAAGGTCAAACCTACTTTTTGCTTGTGAAGTTAGCAAGTATAGTAGTTGACTATCTAGTGAATGGGATGATGTTGCTTGCAGATGATGGGGGGGGATTGATGATCTTTCGAGTATCTACACAGTACTAACAGTAACTAGTCCATATGGAGTGCAATAATAGTCTTAGCTCCCTTAGCTATCTATGAGACTCTATTGGTATGTGAATGTCACAGACTCACAGCTTGCCCATTTTCTTCTCACAATCCAATTGACTGTCTGACTCTGGAGATCTAAATGAGTTGTTGTATGAGCTGGATGTATTTCAACTAAGAGCTTCATGTGCCTTTGTTGTTGTACGTACTCTCCCCCAAGGGAACTTGTCCGGGTCTTTTTTTTTTTTCTGGTTCTCTCTCCTTTGATCCCCACAGATCCGTCTTGAGGCGGTAAAACTCCTGAGGAGTCGAGACTCGGGCTGTCGGATTTGATCCAGAAGCTCGAAAAGAACGAAGGAGTAGTAACTAGTCAAGAATAGCTGGTTCTGTGTTCCAAAATTGCCCCACGGGATTCGCAGGTAGCCAATGTTGCTGTTGGCCTGTTGGCCTGTTGCTGTTGCTGTTGCTGTTGCTGTTGCTGTTGCTGTTGCTGTTGCTGTTGCTGTTGCTGTTGCTGTTGCTGTTGCTGTTGCTGTTGCTGTTGCTGTTGCTGTTGCTGTTGCTGTTGCTGTGCTGTGCTCCATCCACCCATCCATGTGTCCCATCCATCATCCATCAATTCACCCAACCATATCGTAGCTAGATCGCTTTGCTTTGCTTTGCTTTTTCTCTCTTCTCCAGTCATTGATCAAATAATAATATAAACCTGACTTCTCCCCATGTCCTCTCTTTGCCACTTTGCAGCTTTTTTGATCACTCTTCCCGATTGATTATTGAGTGGAGGTCAACGCGCCGGTGTGTCGAAACAGCTTCTTTCTAGTCAATCAACGCATTCGAAATAGTTCAGGGCTCGGCCAGACAGCAACACAAGCAACTTGTTAAGTGAGTACGATTGCTCTCTGACTCGCGTAGCTTGTTGCTCCATCGTCGTGGTCCACCTTGGAGCTCAATCTTCCGCCAGAGAGGTATAGGCGAGTATGCTCCGTACCCATCTGACTGTTGTATAGGGCTGGCTCACTTTACGGTGACGCCACAGTCATTATCATCCGACTCCATTCATCATGACTTCCCCATCCTTTCAAGCTGCTTCTCCGATTAGCTCAAGACAAGCTTCAATGGACACCCGAGAGGAGCTGCAGGTCCACCAGGACCATTACATTGGGATCGATGTTGGCACTGGAAGTGCTCGTGCTTGTATCATCGATGCAAAAGGCGATATTGTCGGATTAGCTTCCGAAAATATTGGCCTCTGGCAACCTCAACAGGGATACTATGTACGCCGAGCATTCTCTTTTACTAACGAGATTGTCATGAGCTAACCGTATTGAAGGAGCAATCCACCAGCGATATCTGGCGCTGCATTTGTGTCTCTGTCCGCCGCGCCATTAGCCAGCATAATGTTGATCCGAATACTGTCCGGGGCATTGGGTTTGATGCAACATGCTCACTGGCCGTATTCTCCAATGCCACTGATAAGCCCGTTTCCGTCACGGGCCCAGACTTTGACTCGGATCGCAATGTGATTCTCTGGCTGGATCATCGTCCCGTGGAAGAGACCGAAAAGATCAACGCGACCAAGCACAACTTGCTACGGTATGTCGGAGGAAAGATGTCCATCGAGATGGAGATTCCCAAGGTCTTGTGGTTGAAGAACAACATGCCCAAGAACCTTTTTGATCAGTGCAAGTTCTATGACCTAGCCGATGCCTTGACGCACATTGCCACCGGCAATGAGAAGCGAAGCTTTTGCAGCGTGGTCTGCAAGCAGGGTTACGTGCCCGTCGGCGTTGACGGCAGTGTCAAGGGTTGGCAAGAGGATTTCCTGACCAAGATCGGCCTGGAAGATCTAATGGAGGATGACTTCAAGCGCATGGGAGGTGTCGACCGGGTGGTGAGCCTTTTTCATTTTCACTCCACTCATCTTGGTTCAAATGTTGGCCATTAGAAGACTGACTCTCATTCAGAATGGTGATTACCTCAGCGCCGGCGAATTTGTCGGAACCCTGTGCGAGAAAGCAGCCTCCGAACTGGGGTTGCCAGCTGGTATCGCCATCGGCAGCGGTGTGATCGATGCCTATGCTGGTTGGATAGGAACCGTTGGCGCCAAAGTCGAACTTGAGTCTGAACAGCTGAGCGCTGAAGTCGCCAAAAATGACAAATCACAGGCGTTCTCCCGCCTGGCTGCCGTTGCTGGTACTTCCACTTGCCATATCGCCATGTCTCCAGATCCTGTTTTCGTCCCCGGGGTCTGGGGACCGTATCGTGATACCATTCAACCCGGGTACTGGATGGCAGAAGGTGGCCAGTCCGCCACCGGGGAGCTCCTAAAACATGTGATTGAGACTCATCCGGCCTTCAACCAGGCGACCTCAATCGCCGAATCATACAACGCCAATATCTATGAATACCTGAACGAACGTCTGAAAGAAATGGCCCTCGAGCAGAAGGCCCCCAGTGTCTCCTATCTGGGGCGCCATATGTTCTTCTATGGTGACCTGTGGGGCAATCGATCACCTATCGCAGACCCTAACATGAAAGGGTCCATTGTTGGCCTTGATAGTGACAAGTCCGTTGATGGACTTGCGATCTATTACTATGCCACACTCGAGTTCATTGCTTTGCAGACGAAGCAAATCGTGGAAACAATGAACAAGGCTGGTCACAGCATCACATCCATCTTCATGTCTGGATCCCAGTGCCAGAATGACATCTTGGTACGACTGATCGCATCTGCATGCGATATGCCTGTCCTTATCCCTCGATATATCCATGCCGCGGTCTGCCATGGCGCAGCGATGCTGGGAGCGAAGGCCGCCAGTGCCGACTCTGAGGGCAAAACAGAGGACTTGTGGGACATCATGGATCGTATGAGCAAGCCAGGCAAGAAGATTGTGCCAACCGACAACGAGAAGGAGAAGGCCCTGCTCAGCGTCAAGTATAAGGTGTTCTTGGATCAGTGCTACAAGCAAATGGAGTACCGCAAGTTGGTTGATGATTCCGTGAGTGGGTGGAAGGTTGACGGCAAATGAACGTATTAGAATAATTCTCTTTCCTTTCCTTCCTTTATCCCTTTATCCCTTTTTCAGATTCCTTATACTCCTGGTGGTGTTATTAGAGATGCAGTGGTTACTTGCTTGGATGTTTCTGAACGATAAGTCACCCAGGTGAGTGACTGTCGCCATTCTTTTGATAATATCACACTACCACTTTCGGGTTTTCCAGCTCAATGGAAATTTTCGCTCTTAATCTTAATTATAACAGAGTAGTCTATCATAGGTCTGATCATTTGAATCCTGGAATCGGACTTCGAATCATCGCCGCCTCCACCACATTGTAGATGCTCAGCCGAGAGGAGGCAGGATAAAGTGGCGGGAGTATTTGCACCCTATGTTCGCTTTTACCGGAGCCTGTTCTATATCACTTTGCCCCCCACCTATGTCGGATTGATTCAATTGTGCCCTCATGACGGGTGACGTTGATACGCATACGCATGCAAAAAGGATGCAGGTCATATACATATTCCATTAATACATAGCTAAACCTCCAGGTGACTAGATGATCATGGGTATTTGACTCAATGACCATGTCCAAAATTGTCCCATCCTTTATAAAATGCACATACCAAGACCATAATACAAATATCCTGCCTAAAGAATAGCTGGCCTGATCAAACTGTACTATCCTGTGATTCATCTTCTTCCCCCCCCGCGTTGTGAAAAAGAAACTCGACCAAGGACCAGAAGGATTATCACATCGATTAAAAAGCCCTGCCATTTGTCGAATGACCGATTGTGCGAAAGCTCTCAGATTTCATAGGACCAAGAGCAAGTGTATCAAAGCGATCAATACCCATGGTGTCGACATTGCTGTAGCCAGATAGGTAGAAACCAATCACGACCACCAGATATGTGAGGACCAGAATACAGCCCTTGAAATAGTTGCTCTTCCCTTCTCCATGCACGTAAGATAGAAGGAAAACGCAGAGGATGACCGTGATCATATCCCATTGCGGGAAGATGAGACTGGAACCAAAGGGTCAGCAACATTTCCTCAGATGGGGTATTTTGGGGGTACGCGTGCTTACTTGAATGAATGGCTCAATAGCTCCGAGGGCTCGAGCATGCGACTGTAGAAGGCACTGAACAAGACAACAGCTGGAATCTGTAGCAGACAAACCTGCAACGCGTAGGCCGAACCGATCTCCATGGACAGCGCGATATTACCGTTCATCGCAAAGGAAATGGCGTTCTGCCAGTGTCGTGACTTAGTATACTTCAACAGAAATCCGGAGATGCTGGGCTTACCAGGAATTCGGTAGTGTTGGGGACCAATGCAAATAGAGTGATTCCCAAAAATTTCTCGTCAATGTCAACGCTCTCAAGAACGACATCCACCGTATTCACCAGAATCTCGGCTATAATTGCGTAAAATATTGTAGCTCCCAGGAGAATGATGGAACTCTTGCCCTTGCTCCAATTGGGCGCATCGTGACCACCGCCAGTCTGTGTATGCTCAAGCCCAACATCGTCTTCTACCATAGATCTAGAGAGATCTACCGGAGTCTTATTGCCTTGGCGTGCACTACCATGCTGAACTGATGGTTTCCGGGCGCGCGCGGCGTCACGAGCAGCAACAGCTGCTGCCGTTGCTGCCACTTCAGTTACCTGGCGCACTAGATATTCACTATCTTCCCCAGAATATCCTCGAAGTCCTTTGAAGCTCGAGTAGCCGTCACCAGCCTCCGCTCTTGGAGGGACGAGATGGGGCGTCGTCCCTTTGTTGCTGGCTGAGCTTGATTCTGGCTGGTCTGGAGCGTGCTCGTGGGCATTCTCTGACAAACCGACGTGCTTTAGAGACTGTCCCAGGATCCGTTTATATAGCTGTGAGTCTCGAATGGAGCCTTTATAACCGTTGCAATCTCGAGGGGCGCCTGACGGCCCATGAGGGAATAACAGGTGTCTTGGTTCGTAGGCCAAATGCTCCGGGGTGACGGTCGCTGTCTTCTTTTCCTCAGCTTCGGTGGCCCAGATTAGAGCGGCATGGGTTCTGAGCGTAAACCACAACCCGATTACATATGACAGAAACAGAAACAATGCCGCGAACCACGAGTACGGTAGGACGACTTTCCGAAAGAAGTGGTCGTTTACGGCGGGAGCTTGTGCAAAATAACAACGACGACAGTCTTTGATGCCCGAGTCCGTTTGCTCGGCGCATGAGTAGCAGTTCAACTCGTGCTAAATGAAGTGGTGGTTAGCAGGGCCTAAGAGAGCAGAGTCCAGAATCCATACACTGCCATAGATCTGGTAGAACAACGTGGGACCAAATGCAGCGATAACAGCGAACATTAACATAGTCGAAGTAACCCCCGCAGATTTGACGTTGAAGCGCTGCGTCTTACGCTTGATGGCACCGAAACACATAGATAAGCCGGGGAGAAAAAGGATACCGGCGAAAATACTGCCAATAATACTGCCTTCAACGAGCTGCGCTTTTCCTTCCGTCAAGGCGACACAGTATAAATACACCTCGACCACGGTTGAGAAGAAAGCATTGACAGCGGCGCCCATACCCATCGATGATTGTGCAGAGATCGATGCGACTGCCTGTCCAATGAAATAAGCAAGAGGGATAATGGAGACGAGGGCGAGAGTGAAGATGAACCCCGGGTGAGTTAGCCAAGTATGAATCTTCAACGTTTCGGCCAAAAGGAAATAGTCAAAGATGACGAAGAGAACAACTCCGAGAAGGTTAATTAGAAAGATATTGGTCCCATCAACTGTGTACTTCCAGTATCTGGTTCCAGCCGCACGGTATGTGCATAAGAGGATCGACGACGAGGATCCAGGACTGAGTCGAGTATATGCTGTGTCAGAATGGAAGGACAAGGCCAGTGGGTGACGACGAAGATGGTCGAAGAGGATGAGAGTCACACGTCCCATTGGAATCCAGAAAACAAGCAACCAGCAGATGATGGATACAAAGAGCATCAGAGGCCCAACAAAAAGATACAGAAACAAGAAAAAGACGACGCGGCCTAGTGTCCATTCTCCACGGCCGAACAAGCGGCGTTTTGAATGCAATTGGTTTTCGCCCGTGTGAGCTCTCTGTGTTCTGCCCAGCAGGCTATCTTGCTCACTCACAGAGTCGATGCTATTCCGGCGCCTTCCAACAAGGGATCGGCTGCTCCGAGGACCAAAGAACAGCCGACCATGTTCAAGATCGCCGTTCTGCCATTGTTCGTATTCGCTAATGCTGCGTCCTTCGCCCTCGTCTTCTTCTGCGTAGTGTTCGTCGGTCTCCAATCGAACAAAAGACCCGAACGGATAGAGGAGATACCACGAAAGACCTAGAAAGACCTTCCCGTACTCGACTGCGCTAGTCGAATAGGCGAATGCAAAACAGGCTACAGCACCAACAAGCGCAGCAAGAGCGAGCCACCAGCCGAAGAATACCGTCCATAACAGATTAGCTAAGAACAGCATGTTTCCAACTCGTCCGCCAGGCGACGAGTGAATGTCTCCTTCGGCGGTCTTTTCCACAGAGCGGCTTTTCTTGTAGAGAGCAGGCTTCCACAGCCTGATACCGAAGGGATGCGTTTCATTGATAGCCTGTTGGCGATCTTTCAACGTGAAACTTTCCGCATCGCTGGTCTCACCATCATTCTCATCGCCATCGCCGTGATCAAGATTACCATCATGATTATCACTGTCATCATTATTGCCATCATTACTGTCATTCTGGCTGCCAGCTTCTGACTGTCGTGACGGCGGTCTGGCTCCGGAAGCTTCCAGGCTAGACTCAGGTAAGAACGATTCCTCACCACTCTCATCGTCAGAATCCGCTCGTGCCAAAGGACTGGGTCGAACGTTTAATCTCCGCCGCAGCGTTGAGCTCTGGGTTCTCAAGGGACGGAGTCTCGGAGAAGGTTGAGGGTTTGTCGCCTGTTGCTTGGCTTTGTCCTCTTCGACTTCTAGGACATCGTCGTCCGTAGAAAATTCTTGACCCTTATGCGGGACCTGCCGTCTCGACGAGATCCGACGCGTAACGGATGGCTTTTTTGGTTTATCGGGCGGCAAAGACTGGGATGAGTGTATGCGACTCGAGCCCTCAACTTGGCCTTCATCCGGTATTGGTTCGTGGCCCATGGGTTCAGTAGTTCCAACCGTACCTGGAAGCAGAATCGACAAATACAAATAAGCAGGCGTATCTCCCAAAAAAAAAAAAGATCGAGAGAATTCTAGGACACACCGTAATTTCTCCTACTGTGCGCTATAGGTCTCGTCGAACCGACTGTTTCGGACGATGCAACTCCACTGCTTACGGTCGAAGCAAGGCGCGGTAGAGCTTCATTTTGCAAACGAGGTGCACTCGGAGGCTTCTGAGTGCTAGACATGGCTCTTCTTCAGGCTTCTCTATTCTCATTTATTACTTTTAGCCCAGGAATATCGGGAGGTTGGGAATGGAGTAGGGATTAATAGAGACAATTAGGAAAACAAAAGCAACGTTGAGAAAAACAAAGAAGAAGGGACCTCAGAAAGTGGCCTGCATTGGAAAACAAAAGCGAATTAGAGGCTTTGAAAATTCAGCATGGTGCGATGGCAGTAGTCGACATCCGAGAAATGCCTGACGAGCGCGATGGATGAAAGGTCGCAAGACCGAAGAATAAATAACAATCCGACTCACTCATGGATGGATGGAGTGGAAGATCTACTACGCAAAGTAACTACTCGACTAGACGGGATCATGGGATAACACTAAGGCCCCGCAGTCAGCTGGAAGCCTCGAACCATACTAATGAAGAACCCAGTAATAATGATACCATGGTAGAATGGGCGAATCTGGAGAGAGGAAAGCATGCCATATTATTATGGGGACTAATTGATGACTGGAACTGCAAAATCGAGTCTTCCCACGTTGTTATAGAAAATCATAGCTGTCTGCAGGGCTGGTGTACAACTATAAAAGCCCGTCAGTTGAGTTCGAGCATCATTTGTATCACCTCGATCAGCTAACTACTACAGAGTAGTCTAACTAACTATTATGAGTTAGCCTCCCCTAAGGTAGTTAGATATGTTACCCAGATGCTATCCGTACTCCGTAGTAGATAGCCTTGCTACCTGAGGTATCCACTTCTGTCCTCAGGCATCGCACTTTTCTGCCATTCGCTGTCTGCTCATTGGCCAGCCATCCCACTTCTACTTCTGCTTATGTAAGGCAAGCTACTACTCCGTACAAGCTCCGATGATCATGCAATCTGATTCGTCTTTGGTCGGAACTGGGAGTTCTTTTCTCCAGAAAGCACGGCCACTAAGGTAGTTGGTCAGTAGCTCTGGTAAAGGATGTGGCTGATTGAAGGTGGCTGATGCTCGGGTTGCTGATATCAGTCAGCTACTGGATACATCTTGACCAGCTCACATCGACCTACTAGCTGCTTCCATCCCGGTCTATCCTCCCCATCCAACCCATAATTCTCTTTGCCTGTCATCCTCCTATTTTCCTCTACGATTTGAGCAAATATTCCTTCGAAGAACGTCACTATCTCCGATTCCTTGATCGAACCACTACTCAAAACAACAAGTGTTTGTGTTCGGTAACTCGTGGGTCAAGAGGAGCGTCATCGTCTGTTATTCATCATGGCGCTCGACAACTACTACCGCAATAAGATAGAGAGCATGAAGCTCGAAATCATTCAAGGCCAGGCTGTCCTACGCAGACTCGAAGCACAGCGCAACGACTACAACTCGCGGGTCCGTCTACTGCGAGAGGAGCTGGGGTTGCTCCAACAGCCCGGTTCGTACGTTGGTGAAGTTGTCAAGGTGATGAGTACCAAGAAGGTTCTTGTCAAGGTACACCCGGAAGGAAAATATGGTATGCCGTGGGCTTCCTCCACTCCCTGATTCTGCTGCTTGAGGCGATAAGTATCAAAATGAACATCGTACTGATTTGTGATGCGTTATCACAGTCGTGGATATTGCAGAAGGAGTCGATATCACAAAGCTCACTGTTGGCAAACGCGTCGCCCTGCTTTCTGATTCTTATAAACTGGAGAAGATGTTGCCATCGTCTGTTGACCCGCTTGTTTCGCTCATGATGGTGGAGAAGGTACCCGACAGCACATACGACATGATCGGTGGTCTGGACCAGCAAATCAAGGAAATCAAGGAAGTTATCGAGCTTGGCCTCAAACATCCCGAACTATTCGAATCCTTGGGTATTGCGCAGCCAAAGGGTGTCCTCCTCTACGGGCCTCCTGGTACCGGAAAGACACTGCTTGCCCGAGCGGTCGCTCATCATACAGATTGTCGGTTCATCAGGGTCAGTGGTTCGGAGCTTGTACAAAAGTACATTGGAGAAGGTAGTCGCATGGTGCGTGAGCTGTTCGTCATGGCTCGTGAACACGCCCCTAGCATTATCTTCATGGACGAGATTGACAGCATTGGGTCTAGCCGTATCGACTCGGCTGGTTCTGGTGATTCAGAGGTGCAGCGGACGATGCTGGAGCTGCTGAATCAGCTGGATGGTTTCGAGCCGACGAAGAACATCAAAATTATTATGGCTACGAATCGACTGGATATCTTGGATCCCGCCTTGCTGCGGCCGGGAAGAATTGACCGAAAGATCGAGTTCCCTCCACCATCGTAAGGCCCACCTCTTGCTCTCCTACCGTTTGCAGTGATTGAGTTGTGATTTTGCTAACCTATTTTTTTTTTCTTGGGAAACAGGGTGGAAGCTCGTGCGGATATTCTACGGATTCACTCACGATCAATGAATCTGACGCGAGGCATCAACTTGACCAAGATCGCAGAGAAGATGAATGGATGCTCGGGGGCGGAGCTGAAGGGTGTGTGCACGGAGGCGGGCATGTACGCTCTCCGAGAACGCAGAGTTCATGTTACCCAAGAGGACTTCGATTTGGCCACCGCCAAGATCCTCAACAAGCATGATGATAAGGAGGTTGCCGTCTCGAAACTCTTCAAGTAGAGTGGAGATGAGTTCCAACATGGAAGCGGATTTCTTTGGGGTGATGAACGACATGTAATAATAGTTCTTACTTCTTTACCATGATTCATATCAAGACGACCCGTGTCCCACCACGACGAACTCCAACCTCTTTTTTTTTTTTTTTTTTTGGGCAACATGTGATGTTTTCCCCTGACATCCTCAGGTGGCCATCTATCTATGCCCCAGCAATCGCCTGTTATCAAGTATCATTGTGTAGGATGGAAGCATGCATGCCTCGGATGTCGATGTCGACCGAAGTCAAGCAAGGGAATTGGATCAAACCAGCAAGTGTAGCGATTAGATCCATGTTTCAGTCTGCCGGAATTGCTGCGAGCCATCTGTATGACTATGATTCTGGGTCCCCGGACGTGACGTTGGTAACACAGTCCCGCAATAGAGTTGGGTATCTATGCTCCAATGTTGTAAGCACGGAAGATCTTGGCAGATGACCAATCCGTAGACAATTCCACCCCTAAATTAATGGTCGTCGTAGCCATATCTACATACTGCCTTGCTCTCAGTCCTTTTGTTCGAGATTAGGCGAATGTGGAATCCCTCCCAATTCCTCGATTTATCTCGATGGGTATATCAATCTCCTTTTTACATTTCTGCACGTCTAACAGTACTCCAATCCTCGTGGACCACGAAATAGGCCCTCAACTCCCTCATACCTGGATCGGCGCATTATTGATGGTCGCCCAGATCCGTCCCCTTACACAGCAGACTTGGCAAGAATATGAAGCGAACAACTGGTGTCTAGATAGATAGATAGATAGATAGGCCTATTGACTCTGAGACCCCAGTTAAACAGCCAAGACAGGCAGTCAAGAACGGGTCAAAGGTCAAAGGAGAGCCAGTCCTCAGGGGGAGATAGGAGTCCACGAGAGAAACAAAATAGAGAGAGTGATGGAACTTGTGGTATGTCGTCCAAGTAAGGTAGGAAAAGTGCTTGCTCCGCCAAGCCATTCCTCTGGCCACTAGTCCCTCTCTTTACAAAGTACAGACTATGGAGTCGTTACTCCACGATGGTACAATTACAAAGCAGTGCTCATCATGATCCCTGTGTTTGGAATAATAGAAGACACCTAAGACCTCAATATTGTCCCCTTTGGACATACGAGTCATGAAGGGCGTACGGGAGCGGAAGCTTTCTCTGAGTATCCATGAAGTTGGAGCAGTATATATTTGAGGATTTGAGCAGATCTCCCAATGTGTTCGTAACTACTCCGTACTCCGTACGTACTTACATGTGCTGTAGATCATCGACACGTCGTCATCGTCTGCATCAAGGAGTGCTTACTCTGTAAGTCCATGGTATTTTTTTTTTTTTTTTTTTTTTTGTTGACATGAGATTCGCGTGACCAGGTTGCGTGGATCCATGGCGGAGAAACTGCGATTGGAGAGATGGACTATTCCACCTATCTATCTAGGAGTAGGACTCTCGGTATCAGTTCTCTCTACACGTTACTCACTTACAGGGTCTCGGCTTGGGTGGGGCGCATCCAGATCTGATGAGTGATGACCTTTTTTGGTTCTCTTAGTCTATACTCCGTAGAAGCCCCGGCACTCCGTCGTCCGTCCAGTGTTTAACCCCTGTTGACTACTACTACTACTACTACTACTACGTACTACTGCTATCCTTGCAGTGTCAATGTGTTTGTTTTTGAGAGGCCATATAGAAGTCCCAGTGAGTTATACACAGGCTAGATACAGATTACAGATAGAATGCATCAAAAGAGACCAGAGAAATCGGATGAGGGGTAAGACCGACCACGTCGAGCATATCGAATCAGAATGGCATGGTGTCAAGCCCTCTCCTGAGACTGGTTCTCTCTTCGCCTTCGGGCAATTCGGTGCAATTTCCGTTCTTCCACCCTTGCTAGTAGTAGTAGTATATACTTCTAGTGAATAATGTTGTACCTCTCTCCTTGCGCTTCTCCCCGTTCCGCCAAGTCAGAAGGATCCTGAATGGAGTGGAGTGACGCATCACGCCTCCCAACTCTTCCCAACCAATGACGAAACGGAGGATTGTTTGATTGATTGCCAGATCATCACTATTCACTACTAAGTACGGAGTAGATATACTCCATACTATGTAGACTGAAATCTATCCTGCTGTCAGATTGCAAGGGATGAATGACGAACACTGATTGATAGAACCACGGCGGAATCTGTTCTCTCTGGTTCATTTGATGGATGGATTTCTCCGCGAGGTGGATGAGAGTCCTAAGTACATAGATATACTACGTACATAGCCTAGATACATAGTACAGGGTAGTAATTAATGTAGGTGCTCTGTACTCCGTGTATCTCCCGTCTCCGAGTGGGCTCACTTTTTCTTTTTCTTTTTTCCTTTTCTTATGACCACTGATCACTGATCGCTTACAGTATAAACAACAGGAAAAAAGGAAAGAAAATAGGTTATCTCTGATCTTCATACAACATCAAATTGAATAATAGATTCTCGATAATATATATATATATATATATTTTTTAATAAAAAAACAAAACAGTATAAGTTAGGAGAGTCAAGTCATCCTAGCCATATTGTAGTCGACCTGGAAGTATGTATGGATAGATACCCCCATATAAGATCGATCCCTTTTCTCTTCTTTGATATCCATCCCAGTACATCCAATACATACACTACTCCATCCAGGGTTCTACTGTCCTTCTAGATTCCCCGGACTTGCTCTTTTGGTTCTCCCGCAATTTACCCCGTTCCCCAATAATAATTGATGTGTACATTGCTTGGACTGCGAAGTACAGCAGTTCGTTCTATGACAATTCTGCTCACCGGCATTTCTTTTTGACTTTCATACATACTATTGACATTTTCTTTTTTTTCTCTTTTCTACCTGTGCCTATCTGTCTATTATTTATTTATGAACCAGGTATGTATCTTTCATTTATGGACTCTTTCTCGACATATCCTCCCACTAGTTACTGCTACTACTATCACTGTCTCCTCTGTCGATCTATCCCCCCATCATTGTGTTACCATTTTATCCTCTGATAATTCAACTCTGTACTTCATATCACTACCACTGTGGTGGCCAATTTACCCGGCGACCTGACTATCATCCACCCATCCCCATAGAAGCAATACACTTAAAACCGCTTCCATTCATTCCAGATCGCCACTCCCCACATTTCATCTCATCTGTTTTTCCCCCCCTACTAATCCAATTAATTCTGTATAACAGCCATTCCCACACTGTCTGCTTTGATCATTGTCCATCCAACCTCCACCCGGCTGTTGTATGATGCCTGAAGGCGATTTGTGGTCTTCACTGGTCACTGCCATCGATCCTGCCAATATCAAAGCCATGCCGGCGGTCCTCCAATCAACCATCAACCTTTTGGAAACAGAGCTGGCCAAAGCGAGGGCCGCTCTCAAGGAAATCCAGCCAAATGTGGCTCCCATTTTCATGGTCAGGGATGACCTGGCCGTCGGTGCTGTCGCCGCATACCGTCAGAATCTCATCGGTCGTGCTCCCGACTTCTATTACGGCACTCGACGACTGACCCACAAGGAGCTGGGCCTCGTTCCCGTCGTCCATGAGGTGCAGGTAGATTCTGAGGAAGACGCGCTTACTGAGGATGAGTCCCCATGCATCGTGACTGTCATCCCACCAAAGCGAGCATCTCTCGCCGATGTCCTGTCGAACAGCCTGATTCTGGATCATATGGCCCCTCACCTGTCCATCTCCGGGCTATTAGCCCTGGCGTCCACCTGCCGCCTCCTCCGCTCGGTGGTCATGGAGACCCCTTACGTCTTTCGGCATCTCGATCTAAGTCAATGCCGCGGCGCACAGCTGCAAGACACCGCAGCTGTCAATTCTGGAGACTCCATCACAGAGGACGAGTACTACTCAGCTCCTCTCCGGAGTATCTTCGCAAATCTGCAACACAGATCCCTCCTGAAGGACGTGCGCACACTGATCTTGGACGGCCTGTCCGTGCCAGCGGATCTCATTGCAGACATTGTGTTAGCAGATCGGTTCAATGTGAACATTCTGTCCATCCGAGGGTGTCGTCATTTGAATGAACGCAAACTCATGCAGGTCCTCCAATATGCAGTGCGTCCCACGCGCCCTCAAGGAACCCCACGAGTGAAAGGCATCTACTTCTTTACACCCCCGAGCCAGCCCCAAGCTGCAGTACGAAGCAGATACCGCGACTGGTGGAGTTCAAGCTGTGTTGGCCAAGAATCAGTGCCAGCAAAGGCCTCAGCTAGCCACCACGACCAACCAATCGAGCCCCACCAACAGAATGCTTGGTACACGCCATCCGGCAAGTTGCTCAAGAGGAGTATCGAGGAAGGCTGGGCGCAGACAATCCAAAAATGCCGGGGGATCATCGCTTTTGATGCGATGCTGTGTCGTGGACCAAGGCACAACTCCAGCTCAATGTCCATGAACCAGGATGAATCTCAAGAGAGTGATCGCTTGCTTGGCCCAGCGATTGCCACTGTTGCGCTGGGGCCCAAGGGCTGCGAGGGCTGCCATAGCTCGCCTGAAGGCCCAGCAGTTTGGGGCCAATCTCCCGAGGAGGACTTTCCTCTGCTGGCTCCCGTTCCATTCCATTCATCGTCCATCGCGGTGGCCAGGCGACCCGCCCTTTTCCCGGGCGAACATCGTACTTTGAATGCCCGTTGTACAGACTGTCTCACCGACCGCTGGTGTCATCGCTGCAACAAATGGTTTTGCGCCAGTTGCTTGCCGAACCCGCAGCATGTGAATCTCAATCTCACGCCACATCAGACTGCAATGAGAGGCCCGCTCGGGAACAATGATTCCCAGGTAAGGATGATGTGAAGAACGGAGATATGAGATGTCACTGACAAAGACTCTCCAGGAGGTCGAGCACGGAGTGAGCAAAGATTGCTGGGAATGTGGCCCAACCGTAAGTTTCTATCAAAACTCTCAAAGGAATTGGAGAAAATGAGAAAGATAAAATGACAAATTGACTGACGCTATTCACAGTGCGGTACATGCAAGCGAGCCTGTCAGCGGACATGTCAACACTGTCAAGGACTTTATTGCGTCGAGCACAACGAGGGCTGCTCTTCGACGATGGTAAGCATCCAAAGACGTGTAGTTCGCAAGAATATCTGATCTAGACGCTGACTGAGGGTCAAGTGTGACTGGTGCAATACCAGCGCGCGCCATCGGATAAGGCAGGTCTATTAGAGATATGCACTCGGCAATGGCGACTTCTACATACGCGCCCAGTGCGTGAGTTTCGTTGACTTGGTTTCCCTTGCACCATTTGAACACAGTAATGACCCTTAAACGACCCCAAACGAAGATACCGAGCGATTCCTTTCCAATATTGAGAGACTTTCAGCGCACTGACAAATGCCCGGTTGTTGCTTCATCTCCGAGACTGGATTGTCGGCGCGTAAATGTCAGTTTCGAAGTATCCTGCCTCTCATACGGTTCACCTTTGACTGTCCTGATAATTTGTGCTTTCCTGGCCTTTAGTCTTCGTTTATAAGCCTTTTGACCCCCCCCACTCTTGTTGATTAGCAAAGCTTGATAGTCAGTTTCATTTTTTGTGTCTGGGATTTTGATGAAACACCTCCAGCGCCTGGGAGAACGCTCGTCTTGCGCATGACTGAAAGGTGTAGCGCTTTAATTGCTCTGCGTTTTCCTGTAGGCAACCAAGCAGATGTCGTAATTGATGCGGAGGGGCAAAATTTCCCCGCGACTACTTGCTGATAAATAAGCGGAGTATCTTCCAGAACACGCGCAGCTGTTCGACGTGGACCATGGGTTTCGTTCTCATCAATGCTCTAGATAACGGGACAGAAGATGTCTCGTAGCACTTTTCGTCACCTTTCACAATACCCCCAACACTTACCCCTTGCCTGAAGAATGATGGCACGGGAGCAAGATTCCCTCCGCTGGTCGTCACAATTCAGCGTCGCTCCGCCACAGCGAACGCCCAAGCTATCTGGCGATAAGATCATTCTGCCCCATTCAGCTCTTGAACAGCTCCTAGCCGCTGCACCGCTCAGCGAGGCGCCTTCTCAGGGCCCATCACGTCTATATACAAACACTTTTGATCCGTTCAATCCGCACACCTTCGCGGCCGAATCCCAGGCGCGGGCGCGGAACGTCGACCACCAGAAACAGTTACCCCATCCATTGACTTTCCGCCTTGTGAACCCTCAGAATGGTCGCGCCATATACGCTGGCATTCGGGAATTCTCGGCCGAAGAGCAGCAGATCGGTCTCAGCGCATTCCTGCGACGTGCATTGGGTATCGACGATGATCAACCTTCATCACAGACTAATGGGCAGGTGACGGAATCGGGGCAGTCGATGGAGGTGGAGGATGCGGAGAAAGCAGATACCACCGTCACGATCACAGTTCATGCCAAACAGCTGCCGAAAGGCACATACGTTCGGCTTCGCCCTCTCGAAGCTGGCTACGACCCAGAGGATTGGAAGGCCTTGCTTGAACGACATCTTCGTGATAATTTTACCACACTGACCACGGGTGAGCTTCTCACAGTGGCTGGAGGACGGGATGAAATATTCAGATTTCTGGTCGACAGGGTGGAACCCGAGGGCGACGGCATTTGCGTCGTGGACACTGATCTGGAAGTTGACATTGTGGCTTTGACTGAAGATCAAGCGAGAGAAACGTTACAGAAGCGACTAGAGAAAGCCTCTCGCGCTCCTGGCACACAGGGGGGCAGCTCGATCGGCGGGGCTCTCAGGCTAGGAGAAACAGCCACGGGCCAGGTGATACCAGAGGACTATGTCGACTACGAGCTCAAGGACTGGGATCGAGCGGAGCCCATTGAGGTCGAGCTTGAAGGTGCAGATGACGCGGATGTATACTTATTTGCCAGTCCATTTTCTGCGCGCCAGCGAAACCGACCTAGGGCGGATGAGCACGTCTTCGCCGATTTCTCGGCTCGGCCATCGAAGAGGCTTCGGATTCAGCCAAGCAACATCGAGCTGGACGGAGCAGAAAGCCTGTACCTGTCGGTGCATGCATTCGCTCAGACACGGTCTGATGAAGAACAACGGCCGGGTGCGCATCAGTCCTTACCACTACAATACAATTTGCGAGTGGTCCAGGGTCCCTCTACCAGCGAAGGCGATATAAATACCGAGGAGAAACCAGAGGCTCATGATGCTGGCGATGTGCAGTGTAAGAACTGTCATCAATGGATTCCTCAGAGAACACTTGTCCTACATGAGAACTTTTGTCTCCGCAACAACGTGCTCTGCCCCCAGTGCCGGAATGTTTTCCAAAAGCGATCGCCTGAATGGCATGACCACTGGCACTGCCCTCATGACTCGTCCTACGGCAACGATGCATCAAGCAAGAACAGACACGACACTATATTCCATACCCAATGCTCATGTCCTGCTTGTGAACTTGAGGTCGACGGACTCCCGCGCCTCGCCCAGCACCGCACGACTGACTGTCCGGCGAAACCAATTCTATGCCAATTTTGCCATTTAGTGGTGCCGCAGAAGGGGGATCTGGATCCGGATATCCACGACCCCGAAGTCTTGCTGTCCGGTCTTACGCCACATGAACTGGTTGACGGAGGTCGGACAACAGAATGCCATCTCTGTAACAAGATCATCCGACTCCGCGACATGAAGACGCATCTTCGCCACCATGACCTTGAGCGTCTATCCCGGCCAGCGCCACGTATCTGTCTGAATCAAAATTGTGGCAGAACCTTGGATGCGCGCGGAGTACAAAGCGCAATTACTCCTGGCACAGACACATTAGGCCTGTGCAGTATCTGCTTTGGCCCTCTCTACGTTGACACGTACGATCCGGAAGGAAAGACACTCCGACGTCGTATCGAGCGCCGATACCTCTCCCAGCTGATGACGGGCTGCGGGAAGTCTTGGTGCCAGAACGAGTACTGCAAGACAGGGAAGCAGCAGCGGGAACCCCCTGGCACCAGTAATGACGGGCCCGCGTCAATGAGTGCAGCAGCTATCTTGACCTTGGTGCGTCCCTTGATAGATGCGCTCAATCTTCGGCGAGATACCCCGAACACGGCGCCCTTGTACCTCTGCACGGATCAAGTCGGCCAGCAGCGGCGAATTCTCGCGGAGATGATCGCCGCAGAAGGAACCGCGACGGGAGGCAAGGCATATGATTTCCCGTGGTGTGTGGCCGCCGTGGAAGCCACAGCCGGTAGTGTTGACAACGCGCGCGAGTGGTTGGCGAACTGGGCGCCTGCTAGAGGCGAAGATAAACGCAGAGTCCACTGAGTTGGATTAACAATTCTCGGGCCTGCTGCGTCAGAGTTGAAACCTACGTAGATATCTGCTTTACCTCTCCCACTTAGAGAAACGATGAATACTATAGACGATATGAATACGCGCCAGGAGTCCTTGAACTACAACAGTTTCCAATACTTCTAGAAGCGAGAATTCATCATAGAAAAGCGATAAGCCTAGTCTAACACATCACCCCGAAGGGCATATACCATGCATATGAATTTTGTTCATCAAAGTGAAGAGAGAGTAAAAAATGAAAAGGACGTAACAGTACAAGGATACAGAAGGCTAAGAACCATATCATGCATACATGAGGCTAATGTCGCTGGCTATGAAGTACGGCCCGCTTGCAGTCAGCACAACGGTGGTAGGAAAGGTGGAATGGCGCCCTCCCCCCATTAGGCGGCGCCCGTCTTCACAGCGAGAGTCCCACTACCACGAGATGAGAAGATCCCCATGATACCGAAGACAACGTAGAACAGAGCAAGCGGATACGCCACCAGGCCTCTCATGCCGCGCATTCGCGCCACGGCGCAGAACATCCCCGAGGAGCTGTACGTGCACCACCCGACCGCGGCCGTCGTCAACAGGTATCCGAACAGCGTATCCATGGGGATCATGATGCCGACCAGACTGGTCAGGACCAGGGGCAGGAAGCAGTATCCAAGGACGCTGGCAGACCGGGGGAAGGTCAGAGTCGCGGAGAAGTGGCCGACAGACGAGGCATCAGACATGGTGGGCTTGTGGTGAGGGTCGTAGTTGCTTGGGTCCGCGGTGTTGGGTCCGGAGCCGGTGTCGAGGGCGGGCGACATGAGACTCAAGATCAGATGCAAAGCGACGGTGCCGAAGACGGCGACGCCGTAGATATAGCCGTAGAAAACCTTGCCCGAGAGGAGGAGGAATGTCCCGTACAGGACTATGTAGAGGAGGGCGCCGTACAGATCGCTATCGTCCATCAGGTGCTGGTCGATCCGCGCAAAGGGATTGAGCACAGTCAATGTCTACACGCTCACCATAATTAGTCTCGCTGTCACTAAAAGCTGCCGCGAATTCTCGATCCTCTATTTGCTCGAGGAGAACAAACCAGGACCGTGGGGGCCTCCTCACCTTGGTTCGAATGTGCTCGAAATTCACGCCCAGCTCCTCCAGAAGCGGCGGCTCCCCGTCGTAACCCTCCGTGCCAAACGCAGCAAGCCATCCTGTCCTCAACCCACCCTGTTCACCCATCCTGCCACTAACTCCAGCGGCAGGGGACCCGAAACCCCCATATCCACCGCCAACCCCTCCAACGGGATATGTCTGGGCGGCCGAGCCAGCAGCCCCCCCAAAACCGCCATAAGAGGCCTGTGAGGGCGTCGTATGGCCGGATACCGAGGAGTATGATGAAGGGTAGAACTGAAGATTCTGTGGCGAGGCCTGCGACCCGTAGGGCTGTTGCTGCGGATAGTACTGGGCCATTGCGGCCAATATGTCTGGGGTTGTTTTGTGAAGAAAGAAAAGGCCTGATCGGCGCGGGTTGACGGAATGAATTGAAATTTCTACCAGGCGCAAGAAAGCAAGAGAGATGTGGTGTAATATGCCCGGGCTTTTGTATGAATTGATCGAATCTAAGTAGTGATGATGCAGTCGGTCAGTTTGTACTGTACAGCTGTCGGCTGGGTGCCTTGATAGCTACACCGCGCTTAGTAAGAGAGCTCGAGCGTCCGACGAATTTCCGAGAGTATATCAACGCATAGGAAGCATGTCTTTGCATATTTACTTTTAATTCACCTGAATGGATTATTCAAACGCTGTAAAGATTTCTATTTCAAGATGATCGCATAATACAAGTTTTCTACAGGAAACTAATGCCAATTCCGAGCTGCAGCCCCTTTCTACCTTCCTCGCCCTTCCGCAACACTAGGGGGAGTGAACAGTTCAGCTCAAATCTGGCGACAGGGTGGGCATATACAAGTCCAACGCCTGCTGCAACGCTAGGTAGACCATTACTCAGCTCCGAAATAGTAGAGGTCATCGCGTCTTTGACTTCAGCGCTGTTAGTGGGCACCTCCTTCTGCGAGGTTCGCAAAGGTAGCAGGCGGCCACCGTTCACGAACGCCTGCAACCGTAGGGGCTTTTCAGCACCCAATCGAGGAAGGGGGAAGAGGAGATTAGCGCTTCCGGCAGCGTACACATCACCTCCTACAGCATCTGCCCCATCATGAGGTCCAAGCCCGCATAGACGGAATCCCCGAACGTCTGTGGGGCCTCCAAGGAGGAAGCGGTCGTTGACGCGAGAGAGCTGGGGCCGCGAATTGGAATCCAGCCCCAGAGGATACAGGAGGCCGGCGCGGAAACCAGTAGTAAGGCTGATACCGCTGTCGCCCTTGATTCCCGGAATTGGAACGGGTACCGCTCCTTGTGCCTCAAACTCAGATTTCCAGAAAGAAACATCTCCCTTCAGGGGTCCCCAGCCAGCCAACTCGTTGAGAGCCTTAGCGTAGTAGCCACGGGAGGGGAGGAAGGGGTTGTCTCTTCTATCGGTGACCCAGCTATGGAACACACTGCTCTTCACACTGTCACCTGCATCGGCGCGAACTGTAGGTGAGGCGTTCTCGGCCAATCCAGTAATCTGTCTCCAGTAACCATTGTAGCCAAATTCGTGGCGATGACCGGATTGGCTCAGCCATCGAAGCTTACTCCAGCCGCCCTTCAGGACCTCTTCATGGCTTGCCCAGGACTTTTGTGTGGAACTTGCGATGCCGCCAATCTCCAGGCGGAAATCAGGGTCGCTAAGGATGGGGGTCTCGAAGGCTGCCTGATAAGCAGACCTCGTCCTCGTACCCATGGAAGCGTTCAAGTTGAGCGTCTCAGCACCCCCGAAGACATTGCGCCATAACAGATTTCCATAGGCTGAGCCTTCGGTGTTACCGAGATCGGTTCCTGTTTTCAAGAGTACGCGGGACTTTTCCTTGACGGAGAAAAAGACGTCGATGTTGTTCAACCCGGTTTGCGGATCCACACCCGGCGATTGATCAAGATAGACTGAGATAGGCTGTTGAAAAATATCTATGCTTGTGTTAGAATTTCTCTAGGGCAAACATCGTTAAGTGGTCACTTACCAAACCGACCGAGCTTGTCCGCACGAGCCGAGATTTCCCGCAATGCCTCAGACAGAGTATAGGGTCGTGCTTGATTGGCGCTTAACAGCGGGCTGAAGATCGATTCCAAGAAGCCTCTGCGTGTATGAGACGCGTTGAGGACCTGGACTGAAGAAATTGCGCATGGGAGCGTCGAGTTTTGATCGATCTGATATCATGGATATGTTGGTCAGTGGACAGGGTTTCTGATAATAGTCCTTGACAAAACGCCATTCGTTTGTCATTTTCAAAGCATACCAATTCTCCAAGTCGCATCTGAGCTTTCTGATAAATTGCATGGACTCGTTCATTGATCGCATGCTGTTGCTCCTCCAGCACTTTCGGGTCGGATCGCTGTTGAAGACGCTCGAAGATCTACCGAGATAATCGATGTGGGTTAGCTCAGATCTGTATAAATATACGCAACGAGGATAAGATTGCTCCGCATACATCTTCATCTTCGGCAGAAAGTGGAGAGGACATTGCTGCGACTGCAATGGCCAAACAGACCTCGTACAGTCTTTCTCGGGTATCTTGGAGCTGCCCGGAGCGGCGAAGATGAAGCCATAGGTTATCACGTGATGCGACGCCCCCCTCTGGACCCCAAGCGCATACATCAGCGCTGCCCGCTCCGCCATGTTCATAACTCCTGGGTCCGTTTTGACTGTATCTTCCGGGTCTTCTTTGATTGCGTTGTTTCGATTTTAATTGAAATCCTGCGTCTTATTTTTGTTCCTACTTCCACAGGTGTCGCCGGATTTAAAGGTCAACCCCAACAAATTCTCTTATCGAGCCCCGGAAACTCGCAGAGGTTACCACTTGCTTATTGAAAGATGGCGACAAAAGCAGCGTACAAGCGAGTAAGTATAGCCACAACCCAGTGCGAAAAGCTTGGACTAGTCTTAACACCCTCTTAGCTCACTCGGGAGTACCAAAACATTCAAAAGAATCCTCCCCCTTATATTGTGGCGCACCCTTCAGAATCTAATATACTTGAGTGAGTTTTTTTTTTTTCTATCTCTGGCTGCTTTGCTGTTTCGTCTGCTTAGTATTAGGAATTCAGGGAGCTGACACAATCATTAGATGGCATTACATTCTCACAGGCCCTCCAGGGACTCCGTACGAAAATGGTCAATACTGGGGCACTCTGATGTTCCCCCCTGAGTATCCGTTTGCGCCCCCGGCTATTCGTATGCATACTCCAAGTGGTCGATTCCAACCCTCGTCACGACTTTGCCTTAGCATCAGCGACTTTCATCCCAAATCATTCAACCCCGCTTGGGAGGTCTCTACAATCCTCATTGGACTGCTTTCTTTCATGACTAGCGAAGAGATGACAACGGGTAGCGTCAGTGCTTCGGAAGCTGAGCGGAGAGTGTTGGCTGCACGGTCGAGATGGTGGAACTCCACAGGTGGGGGATCTCATGTCAGCGCAACCCCCGGAGTCACCCTCACGGCCAGGGGTATCAACAATGTGAAGGCTGGAGATGGCGGCTTGAAGTTCCGCACCGAGTGGCCAGAGCTTGACCAAGAAAACTGGAAATGGATGAGAGACAACCGCATTGACACGACCACTGGACAGCTCATTCCCGACCCCAACTCTTCGGTCACCAAGTGCTCTCCGGAGACAAGCGCACTCCGCAGGCGTCCGAACGCCAGCGCACCTGGACTCGGGGCGGTAATGGAAGGTGGCCAGGTCGCACGAGAAGCAGGTCAAAGCTGGGCCCGTCGGAACAAGGTTTGGATCGGTCTCGCCCTCATATTCGGCTACGCCCTTCTTACCCGGTTGGTGAACGATGTGCAAGGTTAAGATGTCCTTGGAAGTTGCCCCCCTTCCATCCAGAATCTGTTCGGTTCTTGGCCAAATGATGACGAGGGCGCATCATACAGGAGTGACAATTGGCCTTCTTCCTTTTTTTTTTTTTTTTTTTTTTTTCTTGTATTTTCATATTCTGGCTTATATTCCCCCACCTGTAGCTTTCTGAAAGAAATGGCCTTTTACTTTCCCCTCTCTCGTCATGGTTCAGCTGCATTGTTTAGGTGCATTCGGCAGGGTTGCAGGGCATGGCGTTTGGGATATTGACGATGATTGGACTGGGTTAACCGGAATGTATACTTTAAGTTGAACAGAAGAGAAGAAGGATATGATCTATTTGCTTATCCGGAGTACCGAGACCAGAGTCTATATGTATTGTCTTTCTTGAGTCAATCCATACGAAGAGCAGTCGTTGCGCAGTAAGCTCATCAGAAAAAATGAGGAGGATCAATCGAGCCATCCATCCCATGTTACACGTGGAAGTCTGTCAGGGAAGAGGATGATGGATGTCATAACAGCTCTTCTAAGATGATCAATCAACCTGTGCCCAAAATCGAAGGCTACATAGACTGATTAAACCAGACTTGCCACTATTGGCACATACACACACACAGACACAAATCATCAACCAGAATTCCAACACTCTCTCTACCAAGTAGTCTACATACAAGAGATTTCTGTTGAGTGTCGATAGACTTTGTCGTGCTATGAAAAAACGACACGAGCAGAGCAAAGTTACACGAGAGTCAATAGTGCTGAGATTAGACTGGGGGGGGCGTCTATCTTACTCGATCGGGCTGCTTCTGCTCGTTTCCTTTGCCTTGTCTCTCTCTCTCTCTCTCTCTCTCTCCCTCTCTCTCTGGCACTCTGCATCTTCTCTGCTTTCACTTCCCTCATCATCTTCATTTGTTACTTTTTCATCCCGTTGTATTATTATTATGTACCCTTTTACTGTATATTTGATTTGCTCCATGTCTCATACTGACTACTACTGATCAACGACCGCACCCATTGTGCTCCAATATAATCCCTGAGCATACATACAAGGATCTAATCTACTTACTCTTAGCTCATAAATCGCCGAAACAGCACAATCTGCATGGCCACTGCTCGTCCACATGCGCTGGGGTTGTCATTGTGGGCTCCTTTGCTGAATTAAGAATACCTTTGTCTTTCGCTCTTCTAGAGTCCCTTCTCGAAGCTCCCCTGCAGCCTCACAATGGAAAGCCATCAGGACGTGACGGACAGTCCTGCTCATGCATCTCCAGGTATGTTTGCACCCACTTCATCCCCCTAGCGTCGATCAAAATTACATCCCAACGTCATGCATTCTAGCATATTATTATTGTCCCTTTTCGCACCTGGAATTTCTTTCCTTCGCTCGGCTTTGGACCGGCCAGCCTTCTTGAACCTCTCTCCAGATACCATCTTTGCTTGAAGGACCACTTACTTTCTCCATCAATTTTATCCAATTATGTTGCACTACTTCCACATCCTCCCCAAGTTTCTCATTCCAAATGATCTTGTGTGACGAGTTGATCGCTACATCACTAGCCTTACTGTCATGCATGTTCCTATCAGTCGGGTGTCACATTATACATGGTCGTGTCTTTGTGATAGTCTGGGCTGATTCAAAGTGTCCGTTGCTCTTTGCGAATCTCTAGAACCAGAACGAGTACATACAGCGGTCATTGATCGCCCTATGTTTACGTTCATCGACCACGATGATGACCTGAGCTCCAAAAGAATTAGAGACGCCAATGCCCGTAAAGCCATCCGTTCTCATGTCATGCGAGATGTGCGCAGACGCGAGCGACTTGCTGGACTGAAGAGAACCTCGAAGCGCGAGACTCGTCCAAAGCAAACGGAATCATCATCAGCAATCATCCCGATGCATTCTGAAAGCGCAGCGTCAGCATATCTGCTGGGCGCAGAATCTGCCTCTCCGTCTTCCGCGGCGTCTTCACTACCAGATACTGAAGTTGCTTTCGGTCGTCTTAACTCTCAACAGGGAAGATGGCGGCCAACGGTATGGAGAGCTGGTCATTTGGTACCACCGACCCCTGCCCCCAGTCCCTTAGCTTTCCCGCCGTCGTGGCTCCTTGATCCATTTGATACATTGCCGGGTGCTGGTGAGACCCCATCAATGGTTGCCCGTCTCGTATTCTATTGTGAGTTGTCTCTAGCGTTCTCGCGGCGTGAAGTAAATCATTACCCCCCGTGGGAATATCTCTTTCCTCGAGACGGAGAGATTCATACCATAGCTAAGAAGGAAATGAAGCTATTTGATACTCCTCCCGGGCATCGGCTAACGTATAGCGTCGACAAGGGAAGTCCGTCTTTGTCCCGATGACATTCCCCGAGGAGTACAAGGTTGCCGAACAGGCAGAGACCGAATTGATGGTCAAGTCATCGTTCTCCGACCCGGGAAGTTTCTATGGCCTAATGACAATGTGCGCCGCTCACCGAGCTGTTTTGTCTGGCCGCCACATCGACTTTCATGCATTGGATAATCCTCGCCCAAGTGGGTTTGATGCGGATTACTATACCATGAAAGGAAGATGTATTCGTGAAATGAACACCAAAATGCGTGACTCCACTCGCACCCTGAGCGATGCTGCGTTCGACACAATCGTCAATTTGATTACAAGCGCCGTAAGACCTCATTGTTTGAATCTATCCTCCGCTTCAAACTCTACATCCCACGGCGGAACACGGAGGTTAAGTTTCTTACTGACATCTTATAGTTGATCATAGGATTGTTTGATGAGGCCCGAATACATCTGGCAGGATTGAAACGTATGGTTGAATTGCGTGGGGGCCTTATGGCTGAGAGTATCCACAGATCCACGATGCTGGTAGCAATCATCACGTACGTCCTGGTTTCCCGGTACTCGTGACTACAGTCGCATTAAGTAGACAATAGAGCCGATGTCAAGTCAGCCGCTGGGCTCATGGTCAAGCCAATATTTCCCTTGCCTTGGGATTCTCGGCCGGTGTCGTCCAGTATACAAGAACGAATCAGGCCACCAGCCTCATCTGTGCTAACAAGGCTGGGGAGCGCCCTCCTTGCCAATCCTCTGCTCAGCCTGCCTCTACTGAGAGTTCTGCATGTGATGCGTGACATAGTACTTTACAGCCAGACGTACAGAGAAAGTCCTGCTTCGTTTCATCCTGGGGACCATGATTTCTTTCGTGTCCTCAATTGCGAAATCGAACACCGACTCCTTAGTTATATATATACCGATTTCCGCAGTGGCGGCGTGCCATCGGCAACAGAGCTAGACGTTCATCCTGTCGAGGCCGTCACCAGAGTCGCTTCTATCTGCTTTCTCAATCAATTTCTTATAGTATCACCGCCCTCGAGTGGAATGGCTCGTGCGCTTACAAAGCACTTGAAGGTGGCTGTGAGCAGCTGCTTCTTATCCCTCCAGTCAAATACGCCTAAAGATGTATATGGACTCCTCGCCTGGGCGTTGTGCATTGGGGCGCAAGCCTCCATGGGACAGGCCGAACGTCCATGGTTCGTTGCTCGACTTGCTCAACTGGCAGTAACCTGTGACTGGCAGACCTGGGACCAGTTCGCGAACGTGTTGGTTGATTACTTCTATCTTCCTGGTGTCCATGAGATCAGTTGGCAATCCGCTTGGGGAGAGACTGCAATTGGGCGGCCAGGTCGATCAGGACGTGGACGTTGATGATTCTATCGATATCTGGATCTCACTGCAGCTTGAACTTGGATATGCCCCAGATAAACCGACATGGTTTGGTATCGCGACTAACGATCTCCGTGACGATGCTTGGCTGGAAAATCGAACGAACTGTTTTGTATAGTACCACAAAAATCTTTGTTGAAGCATCTATACAAATGTAACATCCGTGATCCAATCACATTGTATCAACTGAGCGTTCTTAACAAGGCTGCTGTTGATCACTTCACGTACCTTTCTAGGCTGAGCCTGGGATCGATATAGATATGTATACTATAATGCCAGTGAGCAGATTGGCTGGATGTGAGAACATCACGTGGCTGCCAGAGATTAAGGTTGTGCCGAATCTATCCGACTGTCCGACTGCATATCAGGTTTATTATGTCATCTGCCCGAAAGTTTTTGGATAATAATACAGGAACTTGGGAAGAAAGTAGTCAACACATCTGCGCATAGTCCTTCACCCCATTTACATATTTTCCTTGCTCTATTCTCTCTATCTATCATTGTTACTGCATTTTCATCTGCATAATGGGTTGGTTCTGGGCAGATTCACAGCAAAAGCCGACGCCTGCGGCTCCAAATCCTCTGGCTTCCTCTGATGCCTCTCCTCCGGTTCGTAAAAATGGAACCTTGCTTAGAATATTTTTTGGTGTTCGCATTTTACTAACATTTATATAACAGCCGGGATGCCCGATGCATGCATCTAATGCGCCTCCAGCCTTAGCGACGCCTCCGGCCTCTGATGCTCCCAGCTCTTCCTGCCCTGTTAGACCTACAGACTCTCCGTTCTTTGTGCCTAAGACGACCCCGACAGCATCTCCTCAGCCCTCCGCTGCTTCGGAAGCGCGGTCGACTCTGTCCAAACTGAATCCTCTCAACTACATGTTCTCCTCTATCTCTCAAGAACGGGCACCCAACCAGACTATGGACCTGCCAGTGGAGCGAGAGCCCTCTTCCATTCCCAGGGGCGATGCAGAGGGCAACTGGGAGTATCCTTCTCCTCAGCAGATGTACAACGCCATGCTACGGAAAGGCTACACCGATACGCCGCAGGATGCAGTTGAATCCATGGTTGCGGTGCACAATTTCCTGAACGAGGGCGCTTGGGCTGAGATTGTTGGATGGGAGCGCATATTTGCCAAGGGTCTGGGATCAGCTTGGGACATGTGCCGACGCGGTGAAGAAGGCATTGCTTTTGAGGCAATGAAACAGGAGATGATGGGGACGACCGACCAGAGCACCGAACCTCGACTCCTTAGATTCCAGGGTCGGCCCCACGAGCTGACCCCCAAGGCAAAGATTCTTCAGGCTTTGGGTTGGGTGTATCCTGCAAAGTTTGAGTAAGTTTTGCTTTATTTTCCAAACTCGCTTGGGGCGCTTAATGTGACCTCTTTCGACCATCCTGTTGGCCTCAGAACCGTGCTAACAACAATGTCTTCGCAGAACGAGCCCGCCTTTTGATCGCCACGATTGGTTTGTGCTGCGACAAACGCCGTCAGGCCCGAAAGAAGTCCGTTACGTGATTGATTACTATTCCGGCCCTCCTGAGCCCACTGGCGAGCCAGTGTTCTACCTTGATATCAGACCAGCTTTGGACTCGCCTACAGCAGCTGTGGAGCGACTAATGAGATGGGGTGGTGATGTCTGGTGGAGAGCCAGCGGTGGTGCAGTGCGCGAGAATAGTAATAAGTGAGATTGACTGGGGTATAACACCATTCAGAAGGTGTATGATTGAACGGTCCGACGTCTCGTCCTGGCGGGTACATGCATTGAGAGTGCAGGCGACTCTGGCGGTTGGACCCAGTTGTTCGATCTCCGGATATGACTCGCACCTTTTTTATTCTAGCAACCGTGCTTTGGTTGTGTCTGTCTTATGTATTTGCATGTGATTGGTAATGGAGTATAGTGGTGTCCTTGGTTGTTTGAGTATGGGTTGCCTTTATGTACTGTTTCTCATCGTCTCCTCTCATCCTCTTTGGGAAATTGTATATTACATGTTTAACAGACTCTATTCAGAGAGACTCTATACACATATTATATCAGACTACGGCGCATATCAATCCATTGTTCAACCACGTTATATATGGTCATGTTATGGAAAGACTATATAAGACAAGTATGTACATATGCACTGGATATTGCTTCGTCACATCATGCAAAAGAGAGGAGTGGACGGGGGCTAATTGAAAACTATTGATCAGAGATGAATCCAGAAGTTTCCTGTGTTCAGGAAGGTACTTCAATGGCCTCCAACATGGAGGATGGCAAGTAAATCGAGTCCCATATGCCTCGGGGAAATTCCTGAAGCATAGACATCAGCAGGATATAATAGCCATATAAGCTATATATACTGCAAGACCCAAATAACGCCTAGGATCAAACCAAGTCTATATTTCCAATCCCAAAGGTAACGTCAACATCGAAATCCAAGGGAGACCAAGGGCCCTTGCTGGTTATATATTGGGTGACAGCATGTCATATTTTACACATTGCTCGACACTTTCGATGCTGGCCTGGAGCAGACCACGCGCTTCAAGGCCAACCCAGACACGAAGCATGGAAGTATCGCCGGAGCGAACGGAGCTGAGAAGAGTGGCACTGGATCCTAGCTGTCTCAGAATCGGAAGAGCACTGAGAAGAAATCCACGCATTAGTTATTGATCCGCGCCAGCTAGGATTGAGAACATCCCCGAAAACAGCAAAGAGATGAAGGTGTCCACCGACCTCTTGAAGAGATCCAGATCAGGATCCAAACTTCGACCGATGCCCTCGAGAAGGAGAATGGAAATAACCACGTTGACAAAGTCGCCTTCCAACCGAACATGGTGACTCCGGATCATAGAAAGAACTTCACTCAGCACGTCTCCGATTTTGATGTTGCCCAAGGCAAAAGTTCGCGATTTGATGCCAAGGACTAGATGTTGCATTCTCAACGCGAAAACCTCGGGATCGATAACTTGGTCCGGCTGACGGCAGCGTTCAACCATGAGCTGCCCTGCCTTATACCCGTCGAACTCGGCAACAGCTCGGAAGAGGTCCAGAAAGTTTTTCCGATTAACCTCGTTAAGCTGAGTGACCAGACCGGTGTCAATGAAGATGAGCTGGGGGCAATAACCCTCGGCATTGAGCTGCGCGAGAGCTGCGTTCCACGTTGTTGGGTTATGGGCGTGCGGCCGCAGTCGGGCCAGTACCGTCTCAGTCACGTCAGCTTCTGCGGCGGTTGGCGCATCCAAGGCGCGAGTCTTTTTGCGAAGTGACAAGTCCAGTTCACTCGGCTGGTAGAATCGGACCATAATGTTTCCTGGGTGCAGGTCCGCATGGACAAAGTTGTCGATCAGAAGCATATGAAGAAATGCGTCCAACCCTTCATTGGCGATTTCCTCCTGATAGACCCCTCCACCTGCTTCTAGGAAAGTTGACAGGGGGATGCCCTGGGCGAATTCCTCAACGAGCACTTCGCGTGTGGTGTAATCCAAGTACGGGTAAGGAAACCACGCCGTGCTACGTGATTTGAAGTTCTCGCGGAATATCACGAGGTTCGAAGCCTCTATTCTGAGATCCAATTGGAGTTTCATCATCTCTCCAAACTGATGGACTTCATCCGGCAGGGACAGCCAGTGCATGGTGGGAATAGCATTGATCAGAGAAGCGAAGAAGGACATAATCCTCAAATCCCGTCGAATTGTCCGCTCAACTCTCGGATGCAGTACTTTGACAGCCACATAGGATGATGGAACCCGGCGCGGCGAGCTCTTCACCAAGACATCGACATTCTTTCTGACCTTGCCTCGAAAGCTTTTATCCTCAAGTGTCAGCACTTCATCGTCGGTCACAGCCAAACTTGGCTTCAGCTTCGCCTTGTATACTTGGGCGATCGCTCCAACACCCAAGGGTTCCTCGTAGAATTCCTCAAAGATATCTTCGAACGGCAGGCCATTAAAGGCATTTCTTATTGTCCGTTTTGTATCTCGTAATGAATGCGCCGGAGCATTGGAGTGCAGTGAAGACATTATGGCGCACATTTCAGGGGGGAAAATATCAGTGCGTGAGGCGGCCCATTGTCCGAGCTATGAGGTATAGCCGTAATCAGTGCTGAGAACGAAAGCAGCTCTTTGATTATGGGAGACTCACCTTGATGAAGGCTGGTCCCGCTCGCTCCATGGACCTGACTAAAAATCCATACCACCATATCGCCCCTGTGCGTTCACCCTTGCCGTTGTGAGCCCGCCTCCCGAGCCATAGAGTGGGTGCTGTGAGGATCACAGGGACGAAAACGATGGCAAGATGGACAAACCGGATACCAGTAGCAATTGGATCGTAGACGTAGTAGTACCAGAAAACAAAGAGGCTTTGAGCGAGTCTATTCAAGCCCCGCGCATCTTTTGAGACATTTTTCCGGACTTCCTCGCGTGAGACTTCCAACATCTGCATCTCACCCGTCTTCTCCTGTCCATCTCCATTCTCTGCCAACTCTAAGAAGGCCGCGGGGGTCAGAGACGCGATAAGAACGGTTCTTCCAACAGGTAACCTCTTCTGGGATCTTCTCCATTGCCCTGGAGGCCATGATGGTATCCGGTTGATGCGACTTCGAAAGGGCGTAGCAAAGCGGGCCAACAGTTGCGGACTTCCACCTACTCGACTCCCACAGAAGCGGCCAAAGAGGAAGGCCGCACTCATATTCTCATGCAGGAGGAGGCCCTCTCAGGCCGGATAGAACATGGAGAAGTAAATCAGGGCTTCTAGAACGATGTAGGATTGCTGCCCGGGGAGGTCTGGAGGCTCAACGGAATTGAAGAGATGAGTTGAGTCGGGAGTGTTTTTGCACGTGTCACCGACGTCATCAGCGGCACCGGGTCAGGAACAGAGAGTCTTCTACGCTCATTCTTTATCGTCATTATTGTTATGATTGTCGCTGTCAGCTCTGATCTCTAATATGTACGAGTGAGTATGTATCTACTGCAGAACTTCCTCTGTGATGTATCCCAATGCTCATCAGATGCACATCTTTAGCCCTCCCATCGTGGTCGTCGCATGTGGTCGCATTCCAGGTTCTTCCCGCCACCAAGACTCGATATTTACCCACTCAGACAGTTGATGATTGCCTGTTCCGGTCGAGCCCTATGGATCATGGGAACGTCCTGCGAGTTTCCCTGCTGTTAGCCTAGCATCCGAAAGCAGCGACAACATCGCGCTCCACTATGGCTCTAGCAGTTGTAGCTCTAGTGTTTTGTCAGTCTTCATGCCTTAAATAGGCAGAGACCTCGATGATTCCTCAATCCCCCACAATGCAAAGGCCTGGTTATGTCAACCCATAATGGGTCGACCTGACAATCTCCGCGATGTAGAATCGCATATAGACGAGGATAGCTCGGACGATCTTACATGGGTCGCGGTGTTAAAATGGTTTGCCATCACTTACGCATGCATCCTGGTAGTGCTTATCGGTCTATGCCTTCGCTGTCCATCGCTATTCGAGACAGGATTGCTTTCCTTCCTGTCTCTACGAGGATTGAAAGCTCCTTTCTATGCATATTCCCCTGGGACCGGATACTTTGACAAACCAGCGGGAATTGAGATCGTCGCCCTCGTGCCATTTAAGCATCACGAGCAAACATCGATCCTGGACTGTTATCTGCAGGTACGGTCTGTTCTCATTCCTGCGTCAATGGCGCGGTAGAATTGACCGGTTTTAGAGAAACCTAGTCTTCAATCATGGATTTCTCGACAGAGTGACCTTCGTTTCGCAGACTAACGACACACGAAGCCTGGAATGGCTGACCTCGACAGTCGAAGATACAGCTGCTTATCGCATCAGCACAACACAAGACGCACTGGACCAGACGCATTTAAATAAGGAAACACTCTTTATATGGCTCGATGGTGACACCGTCTTCCTCGAAGACCAGACTATCCCAACAATTGTGAAAACAAAGCTTGATCATCCAAATTCATTGGCTGTCGCAGCAAATGTCGTCAACCAAGCAGCTCTCGCCGCACTTCATAGTCATTCTGGAATTACCTTACCCTACCTTCCAGAGATCGATGCCACTTCAGCGATTGCTCAGCTTTCTCCTGAGGAAACCCAGGATTGGCATGCATCCAAACTTCCTCGGTGGAGCGGTCCAAATGACTTCAATATTCGGGAGGGATTCCCTACGCCTGCCCACAAACATCGCTGGCTTCTCTCGGATGAAAACCAGGTTGAGCGGACTCCCATAAGTGCATCCATGTATACGACCGAGGGGCCAAGCTTCGGTCATTGGACGGTGAAAGCTCAGCAGCATTACTCTTTTCTGCACCACCTTGAACTAGATGATATCTACCACTACAAATTTCCCAGCTGGAGTAACCCAGCCGAGTCTGTTAGTCGGAATCTTTTGTGCTTCTGGGAAGCCGATGCAAGTGCTGTGCAATTCCACATTTTGGAAAATGATTCTCAGATCCCATTCCGGTCGAAGGAAAGTACTGGAGGTCACGCCAGAGATATTATCATCGATGGCAAGGGTCTGGCGGCACATTATTCATCAGATGGGGAAGCAGAGGGATTGGAGTCCACCGATATCCTCCAGCGGTATGGGGCATATGCTAGAGAAATGGCCTGTCTTGACACCTTTTGATCCTCTACGGTCAGAGATTGCAGATCCTTTGTCATGAGTAGTTTCGTGTCATGGCTTTGTTCATAATATTTTCCAAACTCGATGCAAAGTGGAATAAATTGCCTTGAATTCGACTTTTTGTATTCATATCCAACGAAGTTGTAGGGCAACCGTATCAATGAGAAGTGATTTATCATGCTGATCCCCGAATTATTGAGTCTTGATATGCAATACTGGTACTGGTGAACAAAAGGGCAGGACATGCTCGATCAAACCAGTCTCGTATCCTTCAACTGCTGCGAGACATGGCTACTTACGAGCCCTTCTAAGGTGGCCTTCTGGGGAACAGGGAGAGCATCAGGCTAAGAAGGAGAAATCGTTAGCAAGCACAAACATCAAACGATACGACAAACAGCAATCAGCTTACATCATGTTTCAGGATCTCTTGGACAAGAACCACAATATTATCACAGTCCTTTTTAAGCCTCACCCTGTCGGCCTCGTCCGTAGAATCCGAAGTCGACGCCCGCATGGTCTCCTCAAGTAATGGATACAGGTCTAACTCGCGCAGGCACTCGATGGCGGCTACAGTGCCATGTTTGCTGGAGGCCATCAGAGCCAAAGCAAACCAGCCCTCGCTTCGGACCACTGGCCATTGAGATTGGGTGATCATAGCACCGACTGGCAGCGCCACACCCTCGTTGAGGGTGAAGAGACGCCCAAGTAATGCGTTGGCCTCGCTGTCCTGTTCGCGGGATTTGGGGACGAGGGTGCGACAGATAGAAGCGACAGTGCGTCCGATCTCAGTCTTGATCGGTGTCGAATCCGATTTCTGCGAGAGTGACAGTAATAGCGAGAGACAAGTCTGCGGGGGGGTAGTGGAGTCCGCATCAGCGGGACGATAGTCGAGCAACCGAGAGATATTTTCAATCGAAGAGACGATCACTTGTCGCGCCATGCTCGTTGCCGCGAATTGGACTTGGGGAACGGACTCATATCCCCATAAGCGCGAGATGGCAGGGATGATTCCAGCTTCGCCCAGGTACTTTCTGTTCTCGCCGGCTATAGCCAGATTCTTTAGGAATCCTAGGGCGGAATGGAGGACCGCGCCTCTAGCATCAGAGGCGAGTATCGAAATCAACTCGGCATGTATGTTTATCTCGCGCACCAGTACTTCGCACACGGCATCGGAGCGTGCAATGTTGCCTAGCATCACACACGCGCATATTTGAAGTTGATCCTCCGTTGAGGCCAGCCAGGCTTTCAAGTTCTGGGTCAGGGAAGAGTCAAGAGGATAGGCCTCCGGAAACATAGGCGAGGCAGAGATTTCGGAAAGCGTCTGGTTAATCTTCAACTGGAGCTGAGCCAGTGCCTGAGTATCGCCTGCTGACGAGGGATCCGTTTCAATGGATAATGACCGCTCTAGCACCGCCAGCACGCGGTCGACCATATGCTTTTGAACGCAGATATCCTGAAACCGTTTCTGATTCAAATATGTCACGAGACAGTTGGCGAGGGGTACAAACCGAGAGAACGAGATTCCCGGATCAGTCAAAAGCTCCATGAGAATTAAAATTGTACCATCAGGTGATGATTGGATTCCTTCTTCTGATCATTTGTCTTGTTAGCAGGAGATGGGATATTGAAAAGTGGGCCTTACCTCGTTCTGAAAGCAACTCTATGAGCTCGTAGGAAAAGTCAAGAAGGGTTTCTCTATCTTCAAGTAGGTCATCCTTGATTATTCTAAGGAGTATATATACTAGTTTGCTCGCAGCCAGCTGGGTCTGAGCAGGTTCTGCCAGTTGTTAGGCTACTGTCCCCACCAATGATTTGGGCATACTGACCATAGTCGATACATATGTTGTATATAACAGGGATCACAACATGTACCAGCTCGGGGCCCAAGCGGGTAAGGATAGCAGCTGTATAATTACCCTTGACGACAATGGCTCGATTCTCATCTAGATGGTGTCAATACTCAATCAGGCCCTAACAACACTTGCCAGGTACGACTCACCAGTATCGGCACAGGAATTTCCGACCAGCCGCAGAGAATGAAGGAGCACATCATTGTCATCATAGTCTTTGGAAGCAATGATCTGAAGGAAGAAGTCCAAGATACCAGCTTGCCCATATGGGATTCTCCACGATGCTGGATTCGATCAGCCATGAAGTCAAAGTCTGAATACAATCATCCATGACTCACTAATTCTGCTTCCATCAGCCAGGGCCTCTGCAGCCTGACTCAGATAACGCGATCTGAATTTCCACAGATCGCATAATATAGTCTGTGCATCATCGAAACCCTCATCCCCGCCTTCAGCCTTTGCGAGTATGTCTTGCAAGCGCCGGAAGAGAGCCACCTCCTGCTCAGCGGGACATGGTAGAGTGTTTTCGGCTGGTAGGAAAGACTGCCCCGGCTCTAGCTCTGGGAGAACCTGACCCAATGAAGGGCATATCAAGCCACTTTCCTGCTGGCTCGACATGTCTGGGGTACCTTAATGGCAATTCTTGAGGTAGCGTACTTAGCCTCTTTTTTTTCAGCTTCGCGGGATGGTCGCTCCCTTCTTCCCTTCACGATAAGGATAAATTTGTAGCTTTCCTCAAAGGTTTGTTGTACTACAAGATGAAAGGGACCATCAGGTTGTCGACCCTCTCTCTCCCTTCAGCCCAAGTAGAGCTACAACAACTCTCCGATATCCATGGTAGCCTCAGGCGGGTCAGGCACACTAGAGTGAGTTGCATAACGTGTAATCCAATTACCATACACCATCAACAATGAAGTAGAGAGCTATGAACCCCCCGGTTTGATTGTAAAAAGTGGTTGTGAGATGCCGTGAGCAATTTATATACATCATAAGACGTTTTCCAAAGTGATGAAGATAATTTACATATCTCCAAGGGGAGTATAGTCATTATCTCTTCCTAACTTTGTCACTTATACTTGTTGCTTCCACATCTACGATTGGCCTCGGAACACCCACTCTGGAGGAACATGCTCGGTATTATTACAAGTGGCCACAGCCCGCAAAAAGAGGACAAGACGCAACAAGCTTAGGAGGCAGTTCAAACCCAAGTCCTTCGTTATTGTCACTGTTGCTGTAACCAAGCTACTTACCTACATGCAATTGCCCTTGACCTAAGAGGCATCCTTCCTCCGGAATTCTTTTTCTCTCTTTTGTTTTTTCCTCTTTCTCAACTCACTCTCTCCCAATTCCTCCTTTGCTCATCTTCAGATTCGTTACTATACTCTACATTCCTTCATCATCATGACACGCGCTCAACAAACGATCTCTGTCCTCCTCCTGGTCTCCTCTGTAAGCGCCACATATACGCTCAAATTCCAGACGATCGCTAATACTCTGCCTCAATCTAGCTCTACCTCGTCTTGTACCTGGGACTTGTACCCCTGAACGAGACCGTCCAGCGCGAAATCATCCCAGTCGTACGTCCCTATTCCGCGAATCCCCCTCAACCCTTCAACTACCCCCCACAGAGATTCTTCCACTAAACCCTGCCCAATCGCAACAGCTCCCCTTCTACACCTTAATATGTTTCGCGTGCTACCTGGGCGGCCGGTTAGGTCTGGCGATCCTGACATTCAACGACGTGCCTGAGGCGCATGCGGAGTTGCAGAAGGAGATTGCGCAAGCGAGAGCCGAGCTGCGCAGCAAGAACATTGATGTCGATTGAGCGGGTTGAACTTCTTGTTGTGTTGCTTTGGGTTCTGGTGTGTCTGTCTGGTTGCCTGGGTTCTCGAGTGTTCGTTTTCCCGTCCCAGGCTGCGTCCTTCATTCGCATCTGTACGAATAATTGTTGTGGAAGCGGTCAGGAAATGCGAGTTTGCGCGGGAATTGCTCGTATTGCTCTCCATCCAATAGTTCTGGACAAGCGTGGAGTTGCCGAAGATGAAATTCTGGTCTACTGGGGGAATCGTACCCGAGACATACATACGAGGATCGATCTGTCTGATGGAAGGCAGATTTTCGGACATTCAACACTAGCAAAAAAGCGATCAATCTATCATGAATATTGAAAATGGCATTGCTTTTTCTATCAGGAATCCTCTCAAAACACCATTTGCAATCGTGACATGTCCAATATGAACTTCTTCGACTTCGTGAAAACATCTTTATATGTGCAAGCAAATGGAAGGTAATATGCATAGGTGCTAAAAAAAACAGGCAACTTATATGAAGCAAACGGTATGAGCAATTTGACGTAGCGAATCAAGCTTGAGAACCTAAACGAGAGGGTTCTCCTTGGCCAGTCGGTCGTGCTCCTCAATGTCCCTGTTGCGTCGTCGTTAGTGATTGAGATCAGCGATGGAAGAATTCCATTTCAAAACATACTTGGCTTCCCAAGGATAGCAAATCCACACATCGTCGGTGGTGACGGAGGCGTGATAGCGGCCCGATTCCATCATGTCCTTGGGCAACTCTCCCTTCTTCGACTTATCCTTGTTCTATTGACATGTCAGCCAATAATTTCTTTTACAGCACGGCCTCCCAAACGCGGGATTGCATCAACATACGTGAAGAACGAAAACGAAGAAGTTGGTCTGCTCGCCCTCGCGGCCGAGCTGCTTCTGAGCAAGCTCGACATCCTTCTGCAGCTCACGGACGGCATATTCCAGGGTTGTCCGGGTATCATCAACCTCGTCCACGATCAGGATGTTCTTGCCAATCAGATTGGCCATCTCCAGGGAGCTGAGATCAAGCCATTGTGTCCGGGTCACCTTGGTTCCGGGAACCTCCTCAGGGTCGCCGCGGCCAAGGTCCTCGTAGAGAGACAGGCCGATGGCCTGAATGGGGATGTTGGGCTCGCCGGCACGCTTAAGGAACGAACTATGCGCAGAGTTTCAATGAGTTTGAGCGTCAACTTAGGACTGTGAGAAGTATTCGCCGTACCGGAGGATACGGGCAGGAACATAACCACCACCACCAATAGCGATCATAAGATTGGGCCGGAAGGTGTCCAGGATCTTCTCAGCAGAGGTCTGACACAGCTGGTGGACCTATTCAATTGAGATCTGTTAGTTCATTTCTCGCTAGCTGACCAAGCCGTGTAGAACAAGAGCTATGTCGCCCAGATTGCAATTTCGAATGCAAACTATACACATCTGGAAAGCGCGGGCAACATGCATGCATGGACACCCTACATTGCATCCTCAGTGCAATAGACGCAACATGAAGGCAGCCACCAGATCGATAAGCATCAATGACAATAATCATACCTGGTTGTAGGTGACATAGACTTTCTGCGGCATTTTGGCGACGAGAAATACTTTGCGTGTGAAGGAGGGGTACTAGGTCTTCAAGATACCGAGATAATGGACAACGGCAGCAAGGATTTTGCAGCAAATATATCTCTTTCGTCAACGAATACGTGCGGTAGGAAAAGATGCAGATATCTAAATAGAAATAGCAGCCAAGATACCACCAAAAAAAAAAGGGAACAGTGAGTGGAAGGGGGAAAAAAAAATTGTACTGTGAAAAAACCCTTCGTCACTTGGGGTGGTATTGCCCGCACTTTCGACGATAACATCAACCAGTAAATGCATGCCAATAGATGGATGAGAGCCAAATTTGGTGTCCTGCCACATGGGGGGTATGATCGGTTTGCCTTATCAAGCAAGTGGAAAAGTACTAAAGCCAATCAAACTTGCATATTTTGCGGCAACATGCGCAATAGCTGCCTATCTAGGAATAGTCCAATTCAAGATGACCCACAGCGGATTGGTATTTTACCTTATGGAACCCTGTTAGTCTAGTGGTAGCAGCACAGATCTAGGCTGAGGCTTAAATTTTGTTGACTCGCAAGTGTAGTGAGGGAGGTATGCAGTCGATGAGAGCATGGCATGAGCGCTGAATGGATGTGGTTGATTCACAAAACAAATAAGTATCTTAATCAATCATGGGACATCATGCTAGCTCATCTACATAGCTTTGTTCTCAAATAACAGGTTATCAAGCATACACAGCGCTGAATCATTATGCAGGGTATAATCGTTGCCTTGTGGAGTTGTATCAAAATTGAAACAGATGTTGAAGCTGGACTTGTGACGGCATTTTCATCAACCAGCAATCATGCTTGAACCGGAGGCGACACCTATCCCTTTAGGTCAGACAGGTGTCTGCTCACCAGGCGACTCGGGCTTAATTTGGTTGATCTGGAAGCCTCCTTCGTCCTTATCTTCGCCCTTCTGTGGCCACATGATTTGACGGATCACGATAGCACGGATCATCATAATGAAGACAAAGATATACATCAGAATGAGAGCAACAGTCATGACACATCCGATAACCAGAATGGGCTTGCAGGAAAATGCTTTGCCGATGGCAAACGTGGCGGTTATCAGTGCAGTGTTGGGAAAGACGAATGAGAACCATGCCATTGAGAACTCCATCCGACGAGGACCAATGGTCGACCAGTGAGCGGAAGTTGCTATCAGGAAGAAGAAGATTGCCAAACTGGAGTCGAGTCAGTTCTCTTGACTCCGTGCTCAGAAAAGCTCATTGATACTCACCCCCATAGCCATAAACAGACAAAATTGGTGACAACTTTGAGAATGCTGGCAGCTAACGGCCCATTACCCATAAAATGATCAGGGAAACAACGCTCCGCATTGGCAGCCATGGTCACCAATCCTGACACAGTGAACGCGCTGGGACCAACTGAGACAAACATCCCAGGTCGGACATTCTCCTTCGGTAGCTTTTGCGACATCAGTCGATATATATAGGCTGAGTATACTGTCAATGAAACCAGAAAGCCAACTCCTTGGACTGTAGTTCCGCCTATTATGATAGGCAACGCCTGAGAGGGATCGAGTTTAGAGCTCAATATCCCGGCATGGGGGCCAATGATCAACATTGGATATGCAGGAAATATCCATATTGGTGTCATTTGGGCTATTGTGAACGTCTGGGTTGACCATCTAAGCCACAGTCAGCACACCATTCTCATTGCATCCTCGAAGCGAAATGAATGATACACACAGGAGCAGGTAGATACCAGCGGAGAAAACCACCGCGAGAACAACATCGATCCAAAATAAAACGCCCACTGTATATGTGAGCCAAGGCCCTGTAGCGCTCGGTCCATATTGGGAAATGTTGATCAAAATTGTTCCAAATGAGACAATAGACGCAGGCACAAATAAAGATTCCGTCGGATGCGTAAGTGACAGCTTGAATGTATAAGGATATAGATAGAATCGTAGAAGTAAAAGTGCCCATGTTATGATGTACAACGCGATGTTGAAAAGAAATACTATAATGCCTATTGTCTCCAGGCCACGAAACTTATAAGGGACTATGTTGGAGGTTAGCAGACCACCGGCTCACCAGTCCAAGACAGATCATGCTCACCATTATAGAGAGCATTTGCGATACCACCCGTACTCATCGAGAGCGTAAAGAATGCCCAAGTAAAATGCCTGACACGTTTCTTCCAGCTCAAGAATGCAGCCGACGCCTCGGTCTCCATGCGAGAAAGCGGCACACTTTCATCTTTGTATCTGCAGAACGAAGGGTTGTGCAGGGCTTCCAACGCCGAAGATCGAGCCTGCTGGACCTCTCTACCTCTTATGGGGGGGAGTAATGATACCTCATTGTTTCGCACCACGCGATCCTCGTCGGTCATTGTTGCTCGAATTCTAAAACCAATGTCATGATACCCGGTTTGGGTGATTGCGTTGACTCTCTAGATGAAGTGCCACTTCTCTTGCGTCTAATCTCTGAACTCGACGCCTAGTCTTGGCGCAAACACCAGCTTGTATTATCAGACCGAGTTTTGAAGGATACGCTTCAAGGGGAAAAAATTAAACAGTGGGAGCGTTCAGGTGATGATAGCCTAGCCCACATTTAGAAAGTTGCCTAGCACCCGTCAACAACTCCAGCTGGAAGCCATGACGACCGAAAGAGAATGGAGAATCTATTTATACCAAATGAGCCACATGGAGTTGAAAATATTAGGTTTGGGAAGATGGACTCGTTGGTCGTGCCGGGTATCGGCACAGGAACACTGGAATAGTGTGGGGAAGAGACCGATCAAATACTATCCGGTTACATGTCGCTGTCCAGCAATTACAATAATCAGATCAGGTTGGCTCATGGGATGAAATCATGAAGCCCAGAACAGCATGGCATTTATGATTCAACGCCATGGATGATTGAGTGGTAGTGTGGCACACAGTAGACCAGGGAAGTATGGGTGGATGCTTTGGGGATGATAGTAATTTGAAGCGTGGATCCGATATGTCATATGGAGAAGGCCGAAACAGCCTTGCTGCAGGTTAGTACGTCATTCTTCCTGACTCAAAAGTACTTCAACTGGACGATGGGAAATGAATCAAGACTGCGCGTTCTACCACTAGGCAGCACAAACAGCGAGCGGCATCCTTGTTCGCTTGTTGGTGTCCAGAAAAGTCAGGTGACGGAAATTGTATCGATACCGAGCTGCCGGTTCAACAACATGCTCAATAATCTGTTACTCATTGCTTGGAACCCGAATATTGGGGATGGCTTTACATTATGGAATATGATAGCAAGCTCCCTAATCAAATTTCATTTCCTAGACTCAAGCGAACGCCAGCTGCGCCGATTGTCCCTTTACTGATAAATCTGGATGGGCATGACGTGTCTTGCATCCAGGGACTTTTCTTGCATATAAAATGAAGGCACCCGCGCAACATACTGTGTAGAATGCTAGGGTGATATGCACAAAACAAGATAAGGTCTGGCCCTTAAATAGGCATGCTGGATGTCAGAGCTTTAAAATAGCATTTACCGAGTAATTGACGCCACAACCGAGTGTCTTACTGCCATACAATTTATGATGGGCTAGCTATTGGCTGAGCGAGAGATAAAAGCCTGTTATCTAGGTAATTTAGATCCTACCATGATCAATGTGAGACACTGAGAGTGAGAACAACTTCCTCTGCTCTTCTAACTAGTTCAAGGCAGGCGTTGAAGCTCGGGAGAGATGCTCACCAGTTGGCCAGAGACATGCGTATTTGAGCATTCCCCAAATCCCTACATCTTGCCAATATTATGAGTGGTAGAAAAGAACTTTCTGTCTAGTATTCAATCGCATGAGGTTGCTTGCACTGTTTCTCTGGGTTATTCTGTCTTCTTACACAATAATACGGTAATGATAAAGAGTAAGGTATAGCTCGACAAGATTAGCGAGATCACGGGCGAGGACTTTCGACTTCGTGCCGAGGCTTCATTTGACAGCTAGTGAAGAACTTCATATATGCAAAGAAAAATCTGTCTACCAAATTTGACTATATCGATTCAGTGCAGGCCTCTATCTCTGGTTTAAATATGGCAGCCGCACAGGATAACCGCAAGTCCGTGCTTATCACTGGGTGAGTGGGTGTAAGGACACATGAGCATAGCTACAACATGGATCACTAATCTCCTCGCTTAATCACAATGTACTCGGCTAATTACTTGCAACGATATACTTCAGATGCTCTCCCGGCGGTATAGGCAATTCACTTGCCCGAGAGTTTCATCGAAATGGTTTACGTGTATTTGCGACAGCACGAGACGCAAAGACTATCGATGACCTTGCCGCTCTGGGGATCGAGACGGTAGATCTCGTCGTTGACGATGAAGAAAGTGTCAAGTCCTGCTATGCCGAAGTCGACAAGAGACTTGGAGGCAAGGGTCTCGATTACCTTGTGAACAATGCGTACACCACCTTCTTCTTGCTAAGGCTGTAGTAGTTCAGTCACTGATTTTGTGTGAATAGGGGCCGCAGTACGTCTCTTGTTCGATGCAGATTCCTCGAATCAAACCAGTTGTAGAAGGGCGCTGACGTATACGCTATAGACTATACTGTGCCAGCCATGGAGGTCGAGCTCACGGAAGCCCGAAAGACCTTCGAGACCAACTTCTTTGCGGTCATCTCCATGTGCAAGACCTTTCTGCCGTTATTAATGAAGGCAAAGGGCACTATTGTGATGATTGGTAGTGTGGCTGGGGTGAGTCTATCATGCTCCCACTGGATTACCGTCGCGCAGATACTAACTATTTCATATTCAAGGTCATACCTTATGTTTTCGGGTCTGTATACAATGCCTCAAAGGCTGCATTACACTCTTTCAGCGACACGCTACGAGTAGAGCTCGCTCCCTTTGGGTATGCCATTTCCACTATTTTCCCGGATTACTTTGACTTCCTCACTCATACACTGGACTCTTACAGTGTCAACGTCACAACGGTCATCACTGGCGGCGTGCAATCTCGCATTGCGCGTATCCAACGGACTCTTCAACCCGGTTCTATCTACGCCCCTATTGAGGATGAGTACACTCGCCGTGTGACACACAGTCAAGCCGGCGCGATGCCGCATACCGCATATGCACGCAGCGTCGTCACACAAGTCCTGTATGGATCAGCGCCGTGGCGGTGGATATGGCCCTGGGCACAAGGCCGAAAGAGTTGGATCTGGGAGGGTAATAAGAGCTGGCTGATTTGGCTCGTATGCGGTGGTTGGGCTTGGACTGGCCTGTTCCAAGGGATCATGACGAGGATGTTCAAGCTCCACAAATTGAGGAAAGTTGTTGGAAAGTAGACTGGAGAGAAATGAGAAGCAAAAGGCTACTCTGGACACTCTCTTGAGATTCGAATTTTTCATCTTATGTTCTGAACATTCTTCGGGTGTTTTTGCTATGATATGAGGCGGTCTGCTGGGGCTTTTTTTCAAATCAAGATTTAAACTGCCACTGAGTCCATCCATATACACTCCAGTGATCTGTATAAGTATATCTCTCGAAGAATGTTTGAAAAATACTCAGAATGAGCACCGTGTAAATCATTTCCCGTCAGGAACCCATAGCCTCAAGGCCGCATAGCAGGGGCTGACGATATGAACTGAGAAACACCTGCGGAACAATTGCCATAGCTGCACTCCACAATCCTTGAACTTCTCTGTCGATAAAATACAAAGAACGGGCTCACAGCAGATACCAGACAGCAGATAGAGAGTCCTACCTTAAGGTTATACTCCGTACTGCTGGAAGAAATTATAACAGCGTTCCGTGATATTCGCGTCGGGTCCTGATTAGTCATGCCGAGACACACGCTGGTTGGCTTATCAGGTGACCCGCGCAGGCCCAGGCAGAAGAACCGTAACAGTCGTCCCGAGAAGCGCAGCCGTGAAAAAGCAGTCAGTACCAAGTGAAAGCTGTTCCCTTTTCCGAGTCAACACCAGGCCTTCTTACCCGCTACACCACCCCCCCCTTTTTATCAACTTTCACGTTGGAGGATCATCTCTCCTCTTGCTTTGTTATTTGCCGTTTCTGAAATTCTCCCCTCCTTACATATTCTCTCCTCGTCATGTTCAAGCTCGCTCGCAGCAGCCGTCCTGTCGCGGCAGCTTTCAAGGCTGCGACGGTGAGTTATTTTTTTTCCCCCAAGGCGATGTTTTGATATCGCTGCCTAGTATATCTATTTTTACTATATTGGAGCTTTTGCTGACTTCTCAATGCCATCAGGAATCCTCCGTTCAGTCCAGATTCGCTCAGCAACAGAGAAACCTGTCGATCCATGAATACTTGTCTGCGAGACTCCTGAAGTCTGTATGTGATCGGATATTACTTTCGACTCTACGCCCTTCTGGCAGCGACTGACGGATACCAGTATGGCGTGGGTGTGCCCAAGGGAGAGGTTGCTCGCTCGGCTGAGGAAGCTGAGGCTGTTGCCAAGTCGCTCGGTATACATTAACCCGCCCAGCTCAAAATGGATCGCCGTGCGCTAAGATACGATATGTTAGGAAACGACGACATGGTTATCAAGGCTCAGGTCCTTGCAGGTGGTCGTGGTAAGGGATCTTTCGATAACGGCCTCAAGGGAGGTGTGCGGGTCATCTACTCGTGAGTTTTTCACCTTTTGCTTTTCATGTTGTCCTTTCGCCATGTTGACCGAGGTTCCCTGTCCAGGCCTACCGAGGCCAAGATGTTCGCCGGCCAAATGATCGGACACAAGCTCATCACCAAGCAAACCGGTGCTGCTGGCCGTCTTTGCAACGCGGTGTATATTTGCGAGCGCAAGTTTGCCCGTCGTGAATTTTACCTTGCCATCCTCATGGACCGCGCGACCCAGAGCCCCGTCATTGTCTCCTCGTCCCAAGGTGGGATGGATATCGAGGCTGTCGCTAAGGAGAACCCTGAGGCGATCATCACCACTCCTATCAACATCAACGTTGGCGTCACTGATGACATTGCCCGCAAGATCGCAACCGATCTTGGCTTCTCGGAGCAGTGCATTGAGGATGCCAAGACTACCATCCAGAACCTCTACAGGGTCTTCATGGAGAAGGATGCTACCCAGATCGAGATCAACCCTCTGTCCGAGACCTCTGACCACCAGGTTCTCGCTATGGATGCCAAGCTGGGCTTCGATGACAACGCTGAGTTCAGACAGAAGGATGTCTTCTCGTGGAGAGATACCACTCAGGAAGATGCCGATGAAGTGAAGGCTGCTGAGTAAGTCTCCACATACGCTGTCGCTGTACGGAGAATTTGTTCTGACGCCAGGCAACAGGTACGGCTTGAACTTCATCAAGCTTGATGGTGATATTGGATGCCTGGGTATGTGAATCGGCAATATTTGCCTCGCTTTGCGCTTATGCTGACCCTTTCCTTTAGTCAACGGTGCTGGTCTCGCCATGGCCACTATGGATATCATCAAGCTCAACGGTGGAAACCCTGCCAACTTCCTTGATGTTGGTGGTGGTGCTACCCCCGCTGCTATCAAGTCCGCTTTCGAGCTCATCACCAGTGACCCCAAGGTCACCGCCGTCTTCGTCAACATCTTCGGCGGTATTGTCCGTTGTGACGCCATCGCCCAGGGTCTGATCAACGTTGTGCATGAGATGGATCTGCGCATTCCTATCGTTGCTCGTTTGCAGGGTACCAACATGGAGCAAGCCCAGAAGCTGGTATGTGCCTGTTCAGCTTCTTGGACCTTTGACAGTAGATCTGTCCTCAGAATGCTGACATATAATTCCGCAGATCAACGAATCCGGCCTCAAGATCTTCTCTATTGAGGACCTCCAGAGCGCTGCCGAGAAGTCGGTTCAGTTCTCCAAGGTCGTCAAGATGGCCCGTGACATTGACGTCGGTGTTGAGTTCACTCTTGGCATCTAAACTCATAATCGGTTTAGAAATTTGCCGTGTCAACCACTATAACGAAAATGATTTTCTTGGTTTTCTCCCGAATCTCCTTCTCCCCCTCTCTTTCTCCTTGACTCGAAAATCATGAAGATCAGTTGTGGGTGGTGACGGTGAAGAACAAGATAGAAGACTGAGTTGTTTGACCAAGATCGCCCGCCATGAAACACGGTATTGATGTGATTCTGCTGTGCAGGGAATGATCAATAATAAGGATGCGCGAGCTGCGAGATGAATGAGGCGGCAGGAATGCTATTCCCGAATTGGGCTAGTATAAGTGATATCCGGAGATGGCAGCGGTGGCATTATCATAGAGAGCATTGATGAATTTGTATATCGTCCATGTCTAGGTTCTTTTCCTTTTGTCAATGTATTTTCCCCTTTTTTGATTATTTTTGTTGCCTGTCAAGAACGACTTCTGTCTCATGTAGGATAAAGGATGCTCTGGTATTAGATGGAACTCTAACCGGTAAGAAGATGTGTCTGGCTCTTTAAGAATAGATCGAAGACTCGGGGTTTGAGGGCTAATTTGACACGACTTTAGCCAAGTTGAATTCCGCCGGTGATTGCACAAGATGGTTGGGCAGCTTCATCGAAACACCACGCGCTCATCCCCTCATCGTCAACCAATAGAACACAATCATTGTCTCCTTTGAGTACAAACTCCTGACTGTCACGCTGATGCGCATGCATGCTGTCTCTCATGAAATGGGTATCCATCGACTTTGCCGGGTGATAGGGAATTTGGGCGTTCGGGTGGGAAATCCAGATCGTCGGTTTTCCTTGCTCAACTCTGATGTAATACAAGAGGTTGCGATCAATTGGTGCGAGGCATAACCGGGGCGATGTGTGTTCTGGCGGCAGCACATGCAAGAAAATCTCATCACTATCGAGATCATGGGCAATGGCAATGATAGAACCCAAATCGGAGGGTTGACGTGTTCGGGTTTGGGCTATGAGAATCCCTACTCTATCATTGAAAGCTTCTGATATCTCGGTCTTGGATTGAATGAGCAAGTCAATATCCTGCACTTCGGGCAGAGCCACAACCTTAGAGACAGCTTGAGTAACGTTTGATGTGTCTGTCAGCCAATGCTTCATGATACGCAGTTGTGCCAAGTTGTATGGGATGCCAGTAGGATCCGGGGGGCCGCCGTTGCTATCATTTTGTTCGAGGTGAACGGTAGTCAGGCTGTCGAGCGTTGGATGTACATTCATGAATACCAGGTTAGCTGCCACATCGATCATGCGGGAAACACGTAAGCTGAAGTCCCATTGCATAATTGTAGTGTCTCCAGCTGCAAGGCCTTTGTAAGCAAAAGCCACCTTGACACCACGAACGATGAAGAGGTGGAATTGTCGAGATGGCAGTCGAAAGCATGCTGTCTCTTCAGTTTGGAAATTCCAAACATGGCAGTACCTGTGGAGTAATTAATTAATTGATCGATTCCAACTAGTCCGTGAGAAGCTTATTGCCTACCCTCGTGGAGTGATAGCTGCAACAATTGAGTCTGAAAGACGGATATTGGTGATCAGATCTCTGTTGTCCGTGCAATATATCTGCATTGAGTTCGAACGCAGGCCCTGAACGACGACCGTAGACCCTTCGGCGATCCATGCATAGCGTCCATGCGAATAGTCTAGACTTGCGGCACTGATGCGGTTTGGTTCACGTCGATGAAGTCTGGAGGATGGCTCTCCTCGCTCCAATCTGATTCTTTGTCTGGCATACTGCTCGAATTCAAGATAGGGGCCTCTGTGGGCAAAATTGAAAATACGACCTGTGTATCGATGATATACTGCACTTCGAACCAGGTGCGAAGACAATAGTTTGCGCCAGGTTCTGGAGACCTTTTGAAGAAGAAAAAAAATATCAGCCTTCTTATCCGAGGAACCACCGGATCAACGGAGGAAGGCTTGCAAACTCTCTGTAGGACATGAATGTCTGCTAAATCTAGGTACTGAGCGACCTCCACGGCAATTTCGGGAGGCAGCGACCCCAGAATATCACACTGAAATGTTCGTGCATTCAAACAGTCTCTCAAGTCTCGCCATTCGTCAGAAGCTAGCTGATCAACGAGTTGATGGAATCTGCAGTGAAGAAGTCATGTCAGTGGACGTCTTCTCATAAGAAGAAAAATATTCCTAGTAGGTAAATAAATAATCGAAGATCTAATATGTATGGTAAAGGGACTCATACACAGTGCGTCGTGCCAATTTTGTGCTGAGCTTCTGGACTCGAGTGATGATCTCGTGCTCGATCGATTCGTGATCTACAACGTTGTGATCCATGGTGATTGGCAGAGCATAGTCCTGTGTTGAGATGGCATGTCTCTTTTCTTCTTTGGACGAAAGGAGGGAAACAGACTATGTTTATTAGATATCAGAGGGGGTTTCCGATATTCCGTAAGGTAGAGAAGGAGTGAGGCTATTTTATGGTAGTTAGTATGAGGAAGGAGTTATCAGCTAAGCCGATCAACAAACACATGTGTGTGCTTCTCTCACTCTCACTGTACAGTTCTCCTCACAGCATATGAAGGTAGTACGGATTAGTCTACGAAGTGATCAATCATAAAATAGCATAGTGGTTTATTTCTGAAATTGGTTAAATATGTAAGTAGATAGCTGTTTTTGCCTATGCTATATCCAATCAATCCATCTGGTGGTATTATTAAGGTGCAGTATAGGAATAGGTAGATACCGCCATGTACATACATGTATGTGCACACTACTTAAGTTCAACCACAGACGATCCAAGAATACCGTTAGAAACAATTTCTCGAGTGTAGATAGATCTAGAGTAAAAATGATACTACTAATGGGTTGATAGCTACCAGAAGTAGTCTAGTGGTAGTGATTTGAATGAATCCACCACCAACGATGTAGGTACCTCCTATCTACATGGAGTGTCTTCCCTGGATATGCACCCCTGATATCTTTAGGTAGGAAAGGTACTTATGCCCTGCCAGGATATGTATACATGGAGGTCATAGCTCTACGATGATAGTTCTATCAGTTTCTTGTAAGTCCAGACTATTGAATCTAGTGTGATCGATCTATAAGCAGGATCAAAAGTACAATGGCTTTCTTGAATAATCATAATCAATCTTGGGTACCAGAGTAATAAGAAGTCTACTTCAAGAGCGTGTGCTGACTGCTGGGTAGTTAGATACATAGGAGTAAAAATAATAATGATACTCATCTTCATCTGAATCTCGCTCTCTCTTCCTCTTCCTCTTTCTCTCTCCACTTATTATTATTTCCTCCTTTTTTCTTATCTTCCATTCCCCCCCCCCCTATATCACTCTTATTATCATTATTATTATTAGACTAACTACCACTATCTTAAGGCTGTCAGGATTATTCGCCTCCCCCTCATCCATTGATCCATTCGTCTTCATCCTTCGACTTCTTTCCTTCATCCAACCAATTGCTGACCCATATCCGCGATTCCGTGCAGGTTCCAGAGCTTCCCTCTACCTTCCCGAAGACTGGCAAGGTTGATTTGTTCAGTCCCAGGCATCCCTCTGCACAGCTAATTTGGTTGCGATCATCCTTATATTTGTCGCGATTCTGGAAGTTGGAGATCCTTAACAGCTCGGTTTCCCCAATCATCATCGCCATCTCTTTCCTTCTCTCCCATCTTTCTCTCTCTTCGCTCCCTTACTACCCTCAGAAGGATTCCTTCCCACACCATATATACGGCTCATTTCTTGGACTGATCTTCCCCTCTACGCGACATATAAAGGGGAGAGTCCGAAAGTTCAGAAGAAACATGAAAAAGGGGGGCACATTTGCATGACAATCTGAACAGTCTAGGACGACGTATATCGGCTGTTCCCGTTCTTCGTTGGATTGTTTTCCGAGCCCCTACACCCGGTATCAAAAGAGACTGGGCCCCTTGATAAAAGATAACTAGTCACAATCAACAAATCTAGCACTTATCTATCTAGCATCTGCAGATCTGATCTTTTTTGTTTTCCGCGCCTCGTCCGCGACACCTCTGCATCGTCACGGCTCGTCCCTCTCTTCCTTCCCGTCGATTTGATGCCGGTTACCCCCCGTCCGAGACTAGGTTGGAACGAGTGGAGAACAAAGGGGCAAAGAGGAGCTTTGGTTCAGTAGTCTCCTCTCCTGCGAATCGGCTGAGTGAGAAAAATTCTCGGACAGTCACAGGCTCACCATTCGGCAATCAATCCCTGAGGAAGAAAAAAAAAAGACAGAGGAAAGACAAGGCAAAGAAAAAGACAAGAAGGAGAAAAAGCTCCAAATATCCGAAGGTCTTTCGCTTCGCAATGACTCTAGAAGCGGAAACTCTACGCTATTGATCAGCGCCTCTTTGGCCCAGGCTCCGTGATATCCACTTGCCCACGTTCTCCAGCCCTCAACGAGCGGGCGTCAGCCAAAAGAAAGCCTTTCAAGCTATCACCGACTGATTTCTTTCCCGTGCACCGTCTGTGCCCCGATCTTTCTCAACTATATTCCTCGTCAACTCCTCTTTGCGCGGTCTTTTCTTCCTTCTGCGGGTTGGCCGTTGCCTCTTCTCTTGCGCGAGATGAGTGGTCTCGCCGATCCTCCACCTCGAAACACCTTTACTGCCGTTGCTCTAGATGCGCCAGGCAAGGCACGAAAGCTTCCCGTCCTCTCATCCTCAACTTCACCACCCACTCAATTGACGGGTGATTCTATGGAGGTCACTCCATCAGCCTCGGCGACAACAGGTCTTGCGCCGCCCGCCCATAGCAGCCCTGACAGCGATCGGGCGGGCGCAAACACCAGCACCGCTTCCAATGGATCAATGGAAACTGGAAACATGAACAATACATTAGCGCCTAATCACGCTATTGGCGCTGCAGCTGCAGCGCAGCAACCAAAAGTCGTGCAGACTGCCTTCATCCATAAGTTGTACAAGTATGTTTGTTTGTACCCGTTCCTTGAGAACTGCTCGTCCCTTTTACTAGGAAGTCCTTGTCTTTAGCTTATTGATATGGATACAATGGGCCCTTGCTAATTATATTCGACAGTATGCTAGAAGATCCTAGTATTCAACACCTGATATCATGGTCCAGCTCCAACGATAGCTTTGTCATGTCACCCACATCTGAATTCTCTAAAGTTCTCGCGTTCGTGTCCCGCCTCATACCTTAAGACATAACTGGTCGCTGATCTTTTGTCTGATTTAGTCAATATTTTAAACACACAAACATTTCATCCTTCGTTCGGCAGCTCAATATGTACGGATTCCACAAGGGTAGGCAACCCCGAATACTGAATAGATAGCTAGCCTTGTCGCTAATGTTGAGGTTATTCTCACAGTGAGCGATGTCTTCCATACCGGATCTCCAGACTCGGCACTATGGGAGTTCAAACACGGCAATGGGAACTTCAAACGCGGCGACTTAGTTGGCCTACGGGAAATCAAACGCCGCGCGTCGCGACATGCTCTAATTCATCGCGACTCATTCCCTGGTCATAAAACCGCAGTCTCTCAACCTGGCACACCGGCCGAGTCTGTTCCTGACGCGACTGAAGCGCGGTTGCTCAACCTAGAGCATTCGCTATACGATATGCATGCCCGTCTGAATCGTGCTGAAGAGGGGCATTCAGCTCTCAACTCAAGATGTCAAGCTATGGTAGAAAGTTTGGCGAAGTGTTATCATGTTTGTTACCTCCTCTCGTCATTGTCAAATTACTGTTCAGGACTAATTGGAATCTCCGTAGTGGACTCACTCAATTTCGCACTTTTTGCAAGGAATGATTCCTGATCGGGATAGTCCCCTGTATCGAGATGGTGAGCATCATATTAAAAAAAGCAATTTTCCCCATCATCATGCATTCTGACTGTGTAAAATTACAGTTTCCAGTATGCAAAAGGAGATAGAGAAACATCTTGAGGGTGTGAGAGCTCTCGAAAACCCCCCGGACACATATTTGTCTGTCAGACCACCCTTTTTCGCCAGTGTGTCTGCTGATCCTGGACTGCCTCTTTCCCCTCGTCAAATACCCCAAGACGAGAGTCGCCGGCCATCGATGATGGAACCGTCCAGGTCTGGAATGATACGTCCTCCCGTTCCCCCGCATCTCGCTGTTTCTCCTCGCCGATATGGCTCCATCGGAGGTGGGAACCCGTCGCCCAATTATAGCCGGCCGCAAGTTCCCTCTGTCGTTCAACCCCAGCAGCCGATGCCTCACCCTCTCTCTTCGGTGTCCTCTCCACCAGGACCCAGTCTTGCGCGTCGTCACACTTCGGCAGACATCCGTCAGCACGGCTGGCCACCACCAAACGACTCCCAATATCCCCCCGCCAATGCGCACGGGGCATCAGCGGTACCATGGCCATCGTCGCCTCACCGGACCCCGACTTCCAGTGAGCAACAAGTTCGAGAGGTGCTGGCACAGTATGAGATGGGAGTCCCACGACGATTTCAGAGCAACTCACGCCATGCCACGCCACCATCGAACCCAGATCAGTCATCATCAACCCTCAGCGTCGACAACGGCTGGACGTACGGAAGCTCGAGATTTTCTCGACATGAGTCTTCACTTCCTGCCACTCGAAGATCAAGCATGGCCAGCAACGTACACTCGCTCTTGAACCCCGCTGACACCGCAGAACGTCCGGATGAGGATCACCATATCACTCTCGAGGATCGAAAACGAAAGCGATTAGAATAAGACATTCATATGGCACACTATAACACGCTCTGAACAGTATTCTGTTGTGCTTGTCATTTCTATCAATTTTCACACACAATGTTCGAGAAAATACGTGTCTTCTGTGGTGAGGAATTTGATGGTTGTCTTCCATATTCTGCCTCTTGAGACAGATTGCATATGCCCATCAGAGCTATTTATCTGTGCTACATGCCTTCTTCCTGGGGACTTCGCCCCTCTATCTTTCATCATTTATTTACATTTCACATATTTGTACAATTCATTCAGAAAAGCGAGGCTTCCTCGGACAGTTGGAAGCACACTGTTTTTGGTGCATTCTCTGGGAGGTGGAAATTCTTTTTTGGCAGCGTACCTGTTGAAAATACCTTGCATGTCTTTTTGGTATCATATATCACCTTGCAGGTTGATAAAGGCGACATCTGCTTTTTGGTGTCATGCCGTTGGTGTTTGTGGTTGTTGGAGACTTGGGACAAATGGTTTTGGTTCCAAACATATCATATTTATCTTATTTATTATACCCTTGGGTTGGGTGGAGCAGACTATGTTTCTTTTCTCTATGGTATACAACTTACAATTAACAAAAGGAGTCTACGGTCCAGTCAATGATATATGTGTCCAGCAGAAGGAGGGTAAAACCGGGTATCTTGGTCTAAAAATGAAAAAGTGGAAATCTTCCCAACAGTCAACATCATCGCTTCTTTCTCTTCTTTGACCTTTCGCCGAGGATCTCATCCAAGAAGCTGGTGCCTTTCTTCCGGCCTCTCGACCTTGGTGCGGTGATTGGAGCCTCTTCCAGCTTATCCGCAGTGTCATCGCCGTCGCCATCGCCATCTTTGACAACGTCGCCTGCATTTTTACCATCATCCTCTTCCAAGACATCGGAAGCAGGCTTTCTCTTCCTCGCAAGGTTCGAGTCTTTCTTCGACGACCCGTGTTTCTTCCCCACCAGTGCTGTTCGTCCCTCATCATCGTCATCATCATCATCATCATTATGAGCCGCCGAGGGAGTCAGCGCGTTTCCATTCGAGGCGCCGGGCTGACCCGGCATCTTCCCTGGGGCCTTAGCATTGTCCGCCGTCACTTTCTTGTAATTCTTGCCGAGGAGCTGTTTCCGCAGCTTGTCATTCGAATCTAGCTCCATTCGGTTCCAGCTTCCGTCCGCAGCTTTTTGAGGCAGAGGAGCGCCAACTCCGAGCCTGTATTTTGCGTGTTAGCCATGGAATGATGGACAGTCTTCGGGGACTTCAAGGGTGTAAGCCTACGTTTCAGGAACTGCAGTGAAGATCTCATCCTCTTCCTTTTGCAATTCCTCTTCGGATTTGACATTCGCCTGTTCCGCGTCCGTGGGTGGGGGCAGCCAGGAGGCTACCAAGCGCTGGCTGCGCGCTAGAGCAACATTTGCTTTGTTGAGGATAATGTCCGTCTCAATTTTTGAGACTGACATGACGGATTATGGTTGCTGTGATAGTCCGAGTATTTTTACTCAGGGTAAGGCGAAAATGGAACATTTGCGATAGCAAGGCGGGATCTGCTGGCAGAACAGTTCACCGCCTGCGGTCTCAATTGTGATGTCCAACGATACATGGTACAATGCCAGTAGTCAATCAGTTCTGATCTTAATGTCCTGGTGATGTTATATTGATCGGAAATAGTGCTTCGGAAGTTTCTGGTTCGGCTGGCTGTGATTAAACCAGAATTAGGAAGTGGGTGCATTCGCAATTCGTCGAAGTCATGAGTCCATTGCATGGATATATATATGTACACCTGGGATAAATATCTAACCTCGTCTATACCAAAACCAAAACAGTATGTACAACATGAATGTCACAAACCATATATGCATCGTCACCAAAGTCATAGCCCACGTCGCCATGTCAGATTGTAGTCCGAGAAAATCATGTGGCTTGCTCTTGTTGATGCCTCTGCTTGAGCTTCTTCTCGGTCTTCATGAACTCACGAATTCCCACCGGTATGTCGGCAAAGAGATCATCTGCCTTATCAGATAACGGCCAGTTGGTCTCACTACCGCCCCCATCATCATCCATACTGTGACTGGCATTGTCCACCTCTGCTCTAGGTGTCTGTCGCATATCCGCCGTCTTGTTCCTGGCGAAGCCCTTTGCCTTGGCACTTGCTACACGACCGGCCCATTCCTCCATCTCATCACGGTAGTCATCCCATACGCAGTGCACACAGCCACTCATGCAGCAATTGTCAGGCTCTTCGGGTCGTGGAGGAATGGCTACTCCGTTGATGGTCTTCCACTGAGACTCAGGCGGCATTGTCCCGGCATTATATCGCGATTGACGGCCTGGCCCGGCTAATCGCGATCCAAAAACGATAGCCATCTTTTCCTCGGGCGTTTGTAGCTTGACGGTCGTGGCCGGTGTCGGCTTCTCGGCTGCTTGAGGGGTTGAACGCGATGAGCTCGTTATCGATCCATAGGGAGAAGTGGTTGAGAGGATTTCGTAGTAATAGCCTGAAAGTGGATATGCCTGGGAGCACGTTGAGCCTTCTGAACCTGCCACAGTGTTCGGGAGGCTGGCATCCTCGTGAGCAGCTCGGCGTCCGGAAGACGGAGTGAAGGCATATCGTCTGGTAATGGATACTGTTGGTGATGGAGGTGAACGGCTCCTGCTAGTGACCTGTGAAGACCTAAAAAACGACGCGCAGACACCGTCCCAGAGAGCCAATTGTCTGATCCGCATGGACAGGCCCTCCATTCTTCCGTTTGCAAGTTGGAACTGTATCGAAGATGAGAAGAAAGTTGTAATTCCGAGGCCCTAAGGAAGAAGCTATGTCATTAGGCAAACAGTGCAAACATCCCTGTATGGGGCTTTTCATCTCCCGCTGCGGAATGTTTCAACAGTGCTTATCATGCGAGACACATGCCGCAATGAGGGTGGGAACAAATTCTGCCATTGAAGCCACAGACGACTGAGGTGGCAGTGACTGATGGCTATCAATTGATCTTACGAAGTCCGCCAGCTGCGAAGCTCGCATTCACAACCTCACCATCACCCAGCCAGTCGCGCCGGTCTTTCTAAACAACCAAGGGCACCAGGATCGACGCGTCACAAATGAGCTCACAACCACTTGCCGGCGACGCTAGAGCGCGCCCTTCGAGGATACCGACATTTCGAGCGCCAACTAAAGCAAGTCTGGCAAGATCGAACCCTGAAATCCTAGATCACTCCCAGAACAAATCACCCGCAAGAGACGAAAATCGAAGCGACCCACAGAAACAAGCGGACACAAGAGTGTTCGGATTGCGGGATAGGAAAGCTTTCAAGCCATCACTTAACTCCACTGCGAGCCCAGTAAGCTCCCTGCGACAAAGCGGAGATGCGCGCTCGCCGTTCTCGAACCGAAGAACAAGTGGGTTACAGGCATTCGCTGCCCCTCCGAGGCGAGTGTCTAGGAAGATCACTCCCGCCGACTTTACCTTCGGGTCACCCATCACTACACAGAAGGATGCGGCGGATGCGGCGCACATCAACACACCCGAGGATCAATTAGCGTCAGAACTCGGCAGTGCGACAGGCGAATTCAATGTGGATATCCAACTAGATCAGCCTTCCCTTCAAGAAGATCTCGATGAGCCGGATCTGCCCCCGACACCGACGCAATTGGGTTTGGAAAAGCCCCCGGAGCGACCAAGAGGATTGCTGAGCAGCAGTCCTAGCACGCAGCATGGGAGATATGGGAAGCGGCGAACAGGCGACTTATTCGAACAAAGCCCTTCGAAGCTTAGAAGAGTTGAATACGGGTCGCAAGAAGACGACCAAGTAGAATGGAGTGTCGTGGTGTCCAAGCCACAACTTTCCGAGCCAGTTTTGAAAAAACATAAGCTCAAGCAAGACCTCTCTACAGATCTAGAAAAGCTTAGGGAGGATATCGTGGAGTTGGAGAGCTGGTCAGTGAACTTAGAGCAGGAGCTCGAGGGTACACAGCCTGCGGATGCGGGATTGGATAAACTGCTGTAAGTTTTTGATACACAACCCATATCTGACGCCAACTAACATGAAGGAAAAACAAAGATCGTTACTAGTCACCGAAGATGCATCTCAGAAGAATTCCACCAAGCGATCTGCGGCAGATCCTTCATTATCATCTTTGATATCTACCCTATTACCGTTTTCTACCAGAGCCATACCGTCGAAAACGGAATCACCCATGCCTACAAATCCTTTTGCTCTTGGGGAATCAGCTCGGTTGAAACCGTATCTCTCGGTCTTCGCATCATTGAGCATGATCGCGCATTCGCATACCATCTCTGATCCAAAGAGTGACATCATCTTAGAGAGGCATCATTTAACATTCTCTGCCCCTTCTCCCTTTCCATCGACCAACTACAATGTGCCTGTCATCTACGAAACGAACGCGGAATCACAGGCAGTGACCTCAATTTCAGTTCCAGTAGTCTTTGGAGGTTTATCAGCGAAAATACCGATACCGCTGAGGCGGTGGATCGATTCGAGACTATCTAATCCGCTTCTCATGTTAGACGTATCAGGCTTGTGCCAGGGGATCAATCAATATTGGGAAGCTATGGTGTCACGTGCCTTCATATGGTCTTGTATTGAAGAATGTCACGCCGACCTTATAACTGGACATGGGTCAGTCATCAATATATCCGTGCATGAAGGGAATTTTCGGACGCGAAATGACAATCTGGGCCTCGGCGCAACTACTGTTAATGCGTCAAACCTGCCTCGAGTACTACCACACCTCAAGCGCAATGTGATGCTCTTCGAGAACACAGAGAAACAAGTCCACTTGCTCCTATCTTGCAATCTGGATCTCGACGAGTGGACAAGCGAACCACGGCTATTGCCCGATGTCAGTATCTCGGCAATCTCAAAGGGCCATAATGCATCGAGCAAGAAACTGGAACAGGAAGTCAAAAAGCTATTCCATGGGATACTGAAAGATTTCAAACGTCATCAAGGCGAAGGGGAAGGCGATGCTGAGGTGATCATTCGCGCTGCCGAATGTGTTTTAGGTGCTTTGTTTGGCGGCGAAGCCAAGGGGAAAGCACTCAAGACGGTTCAATGACGAAAAAAAAAGACAGTGAAGCTCGATTCTCGGGCATGAATGCACGATGTCACTGGGATAGGTTGATGTAAGTTTGGCTTGGAGCATCATTCATCAGGTTGGAGTATTTAATTCCTGGGCAATTCTTCATAAGTGTATATAGTTTAGTTTTTATACCCATTCATGTATTACTTTCAGATTACAGTAAGCTATTTGCTTCATTACCCGACGGGTTCATCCTACTATAGGCACTGGATCAAAGATAAGGCCGAAGGATAGATAGACTACAACAGGGAGTGACAATTGTACTATGCACTATGCATTGGAGGACCCTTTTCAGTCCATGGGACTACGCGCAGGGCAAGAACCTGCCCTCGCGCCTGGTTTGATCGCTCGGCCTACTCGACAGCTCAACAGATCCGGACAAAATGCAGAACCAGCAGACAAATCCTCAGAAAAAGGTATTCATTAAAATGATCGATAGCTTCGCGGGAGGATTGGCCTGTGAACATAAAAAGTGGGACATTTGCATTTCGAGAGGTTCGGAGCTTTTTTAAGGACAAAGGTGAAAAGAGAAAAGGGAAGCCCCGCCACGCCACAGTAAACGAATCCCCGACTTGAAAATCGACCCGATCATCATTAGCTGAGAATCACATTTATTTCTTAGCAGCAGCCTCCTCATCAGCCTTGGCCTTGGCACGCTTCTCCCGGATACCCTTGTGGCGGGCCTCGCTGCGGGCATCCCGCAGCCGGCGGTAGGCAGCCTCCTCGCCCTTGGGGAGCTCGTCCCGCTTGACCTCGGTGACGGCCTCGGCGGCGGAAATGTTCTTGATGGGGAAGGTAGCGCCGACCTTGGTGATGTAACCCTCGGTCTTGCCCTCGGCGGCGAAAGCAGCCTTGGCGGCGTTGACCTCGTCGGCGGACGAGTCAAGCTTCTTGAACTGACCGCTCTTGCGGGGGAAGAGGATCAGACGAGCCTTGTAGTCCTTGAGACGGGCGACATTGGCGACGAGCGACTCCTTGGAGTAGTTGATACGGCGGTGGTCAACGGCGATACCAACGGTGGGAGCGAGCTTCTTGGGGATACCAGCTTCCTAGATAGTTGCAAAAAAGTCTCTTGTAAGCCTTCATCCAGATTCCTTTCACACGGACCCAGTGGGTGGATTGAACGATGGTAAGCACCGACAATCCGTCCGCTGTCCTCGCGTGCTCGGGAAGAACGAATTTACCTTCAGCTCAGCAAGGGTGAAACCACGGCCAGCACGGACACGACGGTTGTACTTGACGGTAGGGCAGCGAACAACGGGACGCAGCTTGTCAACCGGACGAGGAGCAACAGCGGCGGCCTTGGCGAGACGGGCCTCACGACGGCGGTGCTTGCGGCCAGGCTATAATTTCCCAAAAGTCAGTCCATCACGCTTAAGAATCCGGGTTTCCTTCTTTCGAAATCGGCTTTGGAAAAGACTGATGGTCTCTCCAAGAGGGCGATTCGCTAGGGTATGAGAGGATCGAGGTCGGATTCGTACCTGGTCGAAGTGCACGCGCACACGAGTCTGCCAGTCCTTGTGGAAGTCTATAATTCAAAAAAAAATTCCCATCAGTCCATCAATCCCCAATTATAATATGAACGCCATGCATTCCACGATGTCCAAATCATCTCATTCATCCGAGTTGACTCACGGTGCTTCTGGATTTGGTTGTTGTGCTTGATCGCCTATATCACCAAGAAAAATTCGAATCAGCATGCCAGTCCTTCCCCATCGTGCCGACAGCATAGATCTCTGAGAGGTCTATCTGCAAATTCGAAGCAGCGAGAATTCCATATAACGCACCATTGTGACGGATGGAGATCAGAGCCGGGAGATTGTCGTCGTCGTCGTGGGTTGTTGCTGGTCGTGTCTCAAGACTCCAAAGAGTCGGTTCAATATTGGGTGGAACTTTTTTGGTGTGGCCATCCGCGCAGAGCCGCACCGCCTCGCTTAGCGAGCCCTACCCTGCCTACCTAATCCGGTAAGGCTCCGTGATCTGTAAACTTCCTTACCATCCATGCAGTGTATCCCCAGGGTATTTTCGAGGGATAAGATGTCTCCTGAGACAGATTTGAGCAGATCCCTAATTAATTATAGGCTCAATGATCATGTCTTCGAGTCGATAAGTCTATGTGGCCGGTGTTGTCGAACGATGTGTGCTTGCGAGATGACCTGTGTATTGAAAGTAATACAATACACTATTGTTACAGACTCACTAGCCAGACTTGATACAAGGTCAGAACTTATTATTGCCATCTCAATATCCAACTACTCAAGCCAGATTAAGCCAAAGTCTATCGAACAGTAACACTACGGACATTATCAACGGCGATCATGACAAGGATTCTTGGCAATGGTTGGAGATCCAGTGACGATTAAGACACAACTGTCACCAGTTCGAAAACAGATATCATTGGGAATCACATACCCGCAGAACCAACTAAACCTAAGGATAAAATGAAGAAACAACACCCTAGAAAACACCAATTCCACATGTCGGTCTTGTAGGTTCATCAGTCGTGACGGTCCCCTCAATAAGGGGACTATGCATAAAGCAGAAAACAAAAGAAAGAAACAAGCTTGCATAAACATCCGTCAAGTAAAAGCAAAACCAGCATAGACTTCCCACTCGTCGAATCATCCGTCGACACAAGCAGTATAGAGATTATGCACGTGTATACACAACCACTAAATACTCCATAAGAAGTCTATGCTTCGATACCCAGACCCACACCCCCTCCTTCTGCCGGTTTTGATTTCTTCGAGGTCGCACTCTCCTCGATATTTGCTTTGCGTTTCAGTCCATTTGGGGGGCGCTCAACGCTGGCCTTCCTCACCTGGCCGAACAACTTGGTCTGCAACAAAGTGCTCGTCTTTGGAGCACTTGCCACATGCCGAATTTGCTGCTGACTGACGACAGGATTGTGACGGAGCATAGAACCAGCTTGAGAGGCTGGGATATCCTCTTCAGTCTCCGCTTCTTCAATATCGGAGGCGGAGATAGTGCTATCTCTGTCACGATGCTCATCATTTGAATTCCTTGCTGGGGTAAATAATTGAGATTCTTCGTGGACAGTCCGGGAATGCGACGGCGTCAAAGGAAGCGAGGACAAAGAATGCGTCCCACGCACGTGGCCGTTTGGATGCTGCCTTTGACGCGACCTTTGCGGAGAGGAATGAAATTCCGAAGATTCCCTGTTTAGAACTCTGTCTGCAGCCAGAAGAGCAGCAAACGGATGGTTTTCCCCACGGCTCACATGTGGACTAGTACTCTCGGGAAAGTGAGGTACCGATCTCCTATGAAGGGCGTGGGATTGTGTCTGGGAGCTCGGTGACATCGAGCCCCGTTCCATCATTCGCGAGAAATGCTCGCGGTTTTCCCTGATGCGCTTCTTCAGCAGATTGTTCTCCTCCCGAAGCAGATCTGACTTTTCTTTTTCTTGTTCAATGAGCTTTTTGGCCCGGCGCAGCCTGCGGTCAAAAGTAGCATTAACTCTCTCCAGCTCTTGGTTTCGTTTAAGAGCGACCTCCAGTTCCACATTCGAGATTGGCAGCAGGGGTTTAACCTCAGAAGAGCATTGTCGATTTCGGTATTCAGAACTCTGCAAAATTTCCACCTCCCTTCTGGCTAATTGATGCTCGACCTCAGCGCGCTTGATAGCTTCGTTACTCGTGAAAGATAGCAAACTATTTTGCAGTTTGAAATGCAGTGCCGACATACGCGCTTCTTGTGCCACACCAAGGAGCTCTTTGGCGATGGTTCGGAGGTCTGTTTCGCTAGCATTGTCTATGTCATTGACAGTGGGGAGGTTTTCAGAAGCACCATACGCAGCGCATAGAGTCTTTGAAAGATCTGGAGGGGATGCTAGATACGAGGCCGACCGAGACCTTGATGTTCGCAAGGGAGCACCAGGCACTTGAGACGAGGGAGGGGGAGTCATTTCGGAAGAAGCCAATGATGGAGGTGAATCGAGCTTGCGTTTCTCAGTCTGGCAGACTTGGCTTTCCTGCTTCATATCCAGCTCAGGCGATGCAGAAAGACTTGGCCGTTGAATTGGGATAGTAGGCTCTCGAAGCTCCACGGGAGGAGCTAGTGAACTCTGCGAGAGCGGAGTCTCCTGCGACATGGTACAATCGCGGTATTGTGAATGCGAGATGTAGTTTACCGTGGAAGAAATTCCTCGCACTAGACGTGTATAAGCATCTGGACCGCATGAATGGATTGAGGCGGATTGCTGTCTAGCAATCTATCACATACCGGAGTATGAGATTGAGTACGACAGTATACCCAACTAGTTTGTCACAGTAGACGAGGTTATGCGGGATCCCCGAAGTACAGGTGACAGCTTCTTGCAACTGTTTCCACCAAGACGCTATGGTACGTCACTAGTGTTTCTTTGCGACGGGCAGTTGATCCGATCCGCTTATCACTGATAGGGAAGGGGCTAGAAGCACGTTCAGGTCAATGGAATAATGTCAACAACCAAGATAAACGCTCCGAGATGTTAAGTATTGAGTGAAAGGTAGAAAATGATACAGACAAGAGCAAGGGGAACAACGGGGCGAAAATGAGGTCAATCGAAGGTCTGTGAGATGTTGGATGCAAGGATCTCGGCGGGCGGGTGGGCGGTTTGATGCCTTAAAGGACGGCATGTCGCAAGCGGGAGGTTTGCAACATCGGGAGGCTGGGAATGTCGCTTGTGACGCTTCCGGTATCAACCAACCACAGCCGACTATCTCGACCCACGTGAGGCCAACCGCGCGCCAAAGTCACTCCCATCCGAATGCGGCTAGTGTTGAGATAAACAAGAGCTGAACCCCCATGGGTCAGGGCTCGTCTCTCAGGCAACGCTGTGGAAGTCCTCCAAATAGGTTCTGATGGTTTGCCTAGATGGTCACCATTAGTATCAGAAAATGATAGCAGCTTGTTCTCTAAAGGGTAGGGACCTTCGTCTGTCTCATGGAGTCAAGTTCATTGCTCAATGGTCATTCTAGCTTCCGTATCATTGACATTTACACCATATACAAACCTAGTCCGGGCTATAGATACTCTACTTTAATAGGCGCCAAATACATGGGAATGAGTCCAACCTCTGCGCGTTTGTTATGATTTAACATATGGAGTACTACTTTCGGTTCTGCAAAGGACTGCTGAGGAGTTCTCCACACGGTCTATCTTGTATACATAACCATGAATGGAAAGGGAGATATATATATACCCATGAATAATTCAGCCATGAAGTTGAAGGTACTTTGACAATAATTCATAAAGCCAATGCATATGACCTGGTATCTGTCTATCCTTGTGTGCCAATCCCTCTAGCCTACTAGAGTCATAGTTGCATAGACTCATATTATTTACTACCTGGTAGAAAACTCCCTAGCTGTGCCTGGAATCCGAATTCTGGTTCCTGAATTCTGAGGCCAGAATTCCCTGGCCTGACCTGATTTGCTTACGGGATGCCGAAGTGGAGCTTAGCTAATCATGGCTGGGTCTATTGGCCTGAGGCACAACAATAGCGCTTGTGGTTTCTCGGAATAAACAAAGAGACCACAGGAATAAGAACATTTGGTACCTCATGATGATGATGATGATGATGCTGAAGAGAAACAATCAACTTCTTGTTCTTTGTTGTACAAATCTTGCATTTCCGTCTGGAGCGGCTGTTTTTTAAATTCGGTTCAATTAATATGCTCTAATCACTTGTCCTTTGTCCCCAATTTTTTGATCGCGAAATCTCCCACCTTCAGCATGAGGCCTCCTTACTGACATTAGTAACACTAAAGCACATCAAAAGTCGCATGTCCTCCAGTCTTGTCTGCATTGACCTCACCTTCAACCCGACTGGCCGAAAAAATGGATCAACGTCAGAAAACCCCAAGTAGACCAAGCGGCATCCCTCGGTTAGCTGTCTCTAGACTGCCGCTGCCCACTTCCAGCACTTCCAAGTCGATCAAACCGTCCCCCTCTCGTGAAAAGCTGCGCGCAGATTCTGGTCTGGATGTCGCTAGACTGCGGAGACCCTCCGAACAACCTGTTTTCAAGAAGCCTCTTCCAAGATACTCAACACCAGTCAAGACACCCGAGCGATCACAAGCGAGAAGAGACATATCCCAGAGCAGGTTCAGTGATGATGGACAATCGGAAGATGCTGGGGCTGCTTCGAACGAGAGCTCAACACTGGGGTTAGAAGCTACTGGACAGGAGACAGAGATTCGTGGTCGCATGAGGCCTTCACTATCCGAACGAACAATTGAGACCTTAGCTCAGATTCCTCCATCGCCTGCGACTCTGAGGAGACAATCTAGCTTTTTCAATGGCGCCAGCCCGGTCCGATCACCGTCGCGACCGCCATCTTCTATGGCTTCAAGGTCGCCTTCGCGAGCATCCTCCACTCGTCAGCCTAGCGGCAACGATTTCTTGTCGCAACCATTGCCGAGTGCACGACTTCCTTCGAGATCGCGGATCTCTCCTGTTCCAAGTTTGTCCTCAAGTGATGTACCTACTAGCCAAAAGGTGGCATTGGTTCGCGTCGACAGCCCGTCGAAACTGAAGAAACCTTCTTCAAGAACAAGTCTCTACGGAGGAAGTAAGATCACGACAGTCACCTCCCCGAGCATTCGTCCGGCTTTAGGCAAAGTATCTGCAAATTCTAAGTTCTCGGACATGGGTCCACCACCTCCCCCTCTTCAGGTGAAGAAAACAAGGAAGTCAATAGCAGCCAATCCCAACCCTACAGTCAACCCGAGAAGGCCATCATCTCAACTAAATGCGCCTGATGATACAGCAGAGCAACAGTTGGAGCTAGAAATGAGAAAGGTCTCCCGCTCTTCCAACGCGCTGAGAGAAAGTATCGCCAAAGCCAAAGCCGCACGGAAAGCCGCAGTAAGACAGAGCAGCGCCCAAATCTCACCTGCTGATGACTGGGATAGTGTGGAGGATCCTTTCAACCAAGTTCCCAAAGATTCAAACAGTGGGCTGCTTCGAAAACGTGTAGAAGCAGGTCGCACCTCAGGTCATCTAAATATTGCGGCGATGTCTTTGCGAGAGATACCGAATGAAATCATGACCATGTATGATTTCGATCCTACCTCAACTACCGAGTGGTATGAAAGTGTCGATCTTGTGAAGTTTATCGCAGCAGACAATGAATTTGTTGAGCTACCTGATTCTGCCTTCCCTGACATTGATCCTCTGGACTTCGATCCCGATACTGATGAAAAGGGCAACCAGTTCGGCGGACTCGAGATTCTGGACCTCCATGGCAATCTGCTTCGTACCCTACCTATGGGTCTCAGGAGATTGCAGAGACTTCAGACCCTGAATCTCTCCAACAACAAACTGAACATGGAGCAGTTGCAGATCGTGATGCAGTTAGAGTCTCTCAGAGAGCTAAGGCTAGCGAACAATCTCCTACAAGGTTCCTTCTCCTCAGACGTGGGCAGTCTCGCTCAATTAGAACTCTTGGATATGCACGACAATTCGCTTACCAGTCTCCCCGAAAGCCTTGGACAGTTGGCCTCTCTCAGGGTCTTGGACGTCGGTGGCAATCAACTCACCTCTCTGCCTCTGGAATCCCTCAGCAAGCTTTCCTTGAAAGTTCTTAGAGCGCCCAGGAACAAATTATCGGGGACACTCATGCCGATCTCAGTAAACAGACTTGACTCATTGCAGGAACTGGATGTCACTTGCAATGCATTGACGGCGATATCAGACCACGATGATTTGGATTTACCGAGCTTGCAGACCTTGTCAATCAGCGTGAATCGCATCCAGCGGTTGCCAAACGTCTCTTCATGGCAAGAACTTTTGATTTTGTCAGCTGAGGATAATAGTCTGTCGACAATTCCCCAGGGATTTGTCGATCTGAAGAATCTCAAAAATGTGGACTTCACAGGAAACGATATCTCTAGGTTGGATGAAAAAATTGGTCTGATGCAGGGCCTTTCCACCCTCCGATTAGCAAACAATCCACTGCGAGAGCGAAGATTCTTGAATATGAATACAGAAGACATCAAGCGCGACCTGCGAAACCGGTGTGAACCCGAACCGCAAGACACAGATGACGACGAAGGCTCTGTTGCGACACAGTTCACCCTTGCACCAGAGACGCCTGCCCAGTTGGCCTCGTGGCAGGTAAAACCAGGCGGAGTTCTTGATAGATCGTATACAGAGCTGTCGGAAGTGGATGTGAAGCACTTAGAGCGAACCAATTTCGATGATATACGGTGTCTCTACCTGCAACATAACTCACTATCTTGCATCCCTGTCGCAGCACTCAGTATGCTTGCACATAATTTGACCGACCTTGACCTCTCGAACAACCCGCTTGATAGCCCGTTGCTTCTCTCATCGTCCCTGGCGTTGCCGAATCTCCAAATCCTCAACCTCAGTGGAACAAAATTGACAACCCTGGAGCCCATAATGGTTCATTTATCGGCGCCGTCTCTGACCATTCTTGATGTCTCGTACAACCGCCTTTCCGGACCCGTTCCAGCTGTGCGCCAAAAATATCCGAACCTGATGACTTTCCTCGCAGCAGACAATCGATTTGAGTCCCTAGAATTTGAGGCTGTGCAGGGGCTTCAGGTCCTGGACGTCGGCAACAATAATATCAGTTCGCTTCCACCAAAGCTTGGCTTACTCCGAGCTGAGGGATGCAGAGAAAATTGGGGTACTGGATCTCCGCTGAGAAGATTTGAGGTGGCAGGCAACAGCTTTCGAGTTCCTCGGTGGCAGGTTGTGGCGAAAGGGACTGATACCATCCTTGAATGGTTGAAGGACCGTATTCGAAGCGAAGACCTTGCTGAATGGGAGCCTGAGATCATAGAAGATTAAGTAAAGCCAATGTATACATTTCAAAGTTCGGACAATTTTGAGCTGGATTTGGTGCTGAAGCTTCTTCCAACCCCCTGGTTCACTGGGTATTCTGCTGTACAATATTTGCACTGTTCTTGTGATTCACTCTACTACAATTCTATGTATATATAGGACTTTATATTCCGGCTGCTGCATTGCAGCCAGCGTTGAAGAGAGTTTTAATATGATTGTTTAGACTGCCGAAGCCCTGTTGACTCTTTGGGCTTCATATGGTAGTGTGAAAGATGCATGTCGTCCGCACTTGCCCTGGATGGACCAATCTATTTCGAGGTCTCCGTTTCCGCAGACTTGCTAACTTCATCCAGAACGTTTCTCCATGTTTTCGACCATATTGTGAACTTATCCTCCGTAGTTTGTTGACCATCGGTGGTGCTTTTCGCATTCCAGAGTGGCCCAACTGAGTCAACGGCCTTGATGGCGTAGTTTTTGACCATGCCAAGGTACTTCGTACATTTGTCCATATCCTCTTCGTAAAGCGCTCCTGCGATCTCATCAACATGCTCTGGTATGCGCTGCAAATTCGCCATCAGATTTTCCAGCTTGCTGATGCCGGATGTGGATGACGATGGCGTGTCCCCAGCATTCTTCAGCCGGTTCGTAATAATAGCAGGATAAATCTGAGCGATAGGCTTCAGGATTCGAAGGGTGGACTTCTTCTGTGCGTGAATTGCAGCGTTGTCCTCTTTATCCCCCTCGCCATCTTCGTCGTCCGCCTCCTTGTCACTGTCGTCGCTCAGGAGTTCGTCGAAGAACTCGTCTCCATCCTCATCCGGATCCCATTCTTCGATCTCCTCCACCGCGTCGCGCACCAAATCCCTCCACTCCTCAACGCGCCGAATCACAAACCCAACAACCCCTTTGGCTGCAACATCAATCAGAGCATCGCAGACATCCCAGACGCGTCCAGTTGTGAGTGTGACGCCATCCTTCTCCGCCTGCGAAAGTTCACCGCCTTTCTTCGCGTCTCCCTTTGCCTTGTTTGCCTTTTCCGAGACAGCCTGGACCTCCCTTACTAGCGAATCCAGTTCCTTCAATGCCGTCTTCGTTAAAGCGTGCACCTCTGTATGGAAAGCTTTCGTGTACTCAGTCGGAGTAACTAACAGGGCGGCTGTGACGAGAGACGGGAGTACGGATCCATTTAATGCCGAGATAACGGTTCCAACCGCGGAATGAGTAAAAGGAGCAGTAATTGTCAAGAGAGACAGTTTCGTAACCTGAGACTTCAAAGCAGTTGCTGACGCTGAGAGAAGAGGAAGCGCATCTTTCACCGAAAGATCAGGGGGTGAGGTAGCGTTCGCAGGAGTCGAAAGGGCGGCCTGTAGTTGTTCTGATAGCGTCAGAGTCGTGTTAAGACTCATCCGAAGCTGGTCTGCCATTGCGACAATATGATCTAGCCCGATTATTGAGGCTAGCGTCGTGTTTGCGAACTTGATGGTGTTGCTGATGCGGGAGAAATTTCGTATACTGCGGGGCAGCAAGATTAGGGTTCTGCGGGGTCACCTGTGACCGATGACTGCCAATCCCAGTACCCTAATCTCAAGCCCTACTTCCCTGTTTGGGATGTTTGCTTCATTGGACAAACTCCTTGGAAGCTTCAGCTCCAACCTGTGTCGTCAACAACCATCTTCACAAGGCCACCCTGCTTTGTCGAGACTGTCATCCTGCCATATATTTGTGGCTGTACGAGTTTTACTGAGGTACATAGGCTATAATTGACTCAGAGCCGCGATTCTTCCATGCAAATATGGGTACAACTAAACCTCGCCCTTCCGCGCGAGAATCTGCCCCAAAAGTCCAATCGTTACCAGAGAAGACCTTCATCATCGACAATGGTGCATATACCCTGAAAGCTGGCTACGCATCTGAATCCCCTCCTACGAACGATATAGACCAAGCTCTTTCTGCCTGTAGCATCATTCCGAACGCGATCGCCAAAACCCGTGGAAACCGCATCTATATTGGTGCACAGCTGAGCACTCAAGTTACAGATTGGAACGAGATGGCCTTTCGACGTCCAGTGGAGAAAGGGTACATTGTGAACTGGGAAGCGCAGAAGGAGATTTGGGAAACTTCGTTCTTTGATGAGAAAACCGTACGCTCAAAAGATCTTCGAATCGAGAACCCAGAAGATACGACCCTTGTGCTCACCGAGGCGCCGAACGCTCTACCAACGCTTCAAAGAAATGCTGATGAGATTGTCATGGAAGAGTGGGGATTCGGGGGATATCTGAGATGTGTAGGTGAGGGAACCGGAATATCCTGCTGTCATCAATTGTTGATTGCCTCGCTCTCTGCGCCGAAGCTGATCTCAGGAATACTAGGGTCATCATTGAATGCTTGGAATGATCTACAATCTCTGTTCGGCGATCCTGTTGGGCAAGAGCCTGGCCCTCTGGTTTCGCCAAAAGAATGCTTACTTGTTGTCGATTCTGGCTACTCTCATACCACAGTGACCCCTCTATACAGAGGCCAACCTCTTCAGCGCGCCATCCGCAGACTCGACATCGGTGGGAAGCATCTGACGAACTATTTGAAAGAAATGGTATCGATGAGGCAATATAACATGGTCGACGAAACCTATATCATGAACGAGGTCAAGGAGGCTGTCTGTTTCGTTAGCAACAATTTCGCAAATGACCTGGAGCAGACATGGCAGGGCAATAGAAGACGCGGCCAGCCGGATTCAAATGAAGCGATTACTGTGGACTATGTGCTCCCCAATCCAAATGCAGGCAAGAAGGGCTTTATGCGACCACATGAGCCTCTTTCGGATGCTAAGAAGCGGAAGAGTATTCTGTCTGGTGCCGGTGCCGAGGCTCTCTCTGAAGATGTCCTATTACTGGGTAACGAACGCTTTACTGTGCCAGAAATACTATTTACCCCAGGAGATATTGGAATGAAGCAGGCGGGTATCCCGGATATTATTCTCCAGAGTCTCTCTGTTCTACCCACGGGATTGCACCCATCGTTCCTCGCAAATGTTCTGGTCGTTGGCGGGAATTCCCTGATCCCGGGCTTCCTGGAAAGACTGTAAGGCTCCCACTCCACACGCATCATCATTTTCTAACATCACCATCAGAGAAAGCGAGCTGCGGCAGATAGCGTCTGTAGAATGCCCCGTAAGGGTTCGGCGCCCTCAAGAGTAGGTTTCTTCTCACCAATCTTTCTGCAGAAGGGCTCTAATCCGCTTCTCTTAGCCCCATACGTTCCACGTGGCTTGGGGCGTCCCGAATGGCAACTAATCGAGAGGAGTTGAAGAAGCTGGCGATTACTCGCCAGGAATACCAGGAGTATGGCTCTTCATGGTCTGCGCGAAAATTCTCCGGCACTCTTTGAGCTCAATGGTGCTGCTTGTGGTCATCTTCTCGGGTTACATACAGGAGTATTGGGTGTTTCTGTTGTGTGGTAGCGTGATGGTGATTGGGCTGTTCTTCAAATCCTGCATTTTCAATGATACCCTTGATATTAGACATGACAGTGAATAATGCTAAGTTTTCATCATCAGGCTTTGATGACACTTCATGTTGGACCAGAGAGTGGTGTTCGCTCGTAGATCCAAGGGATCTGCTCGTCTTGGCTTTGAGTGCTTGCTGATTATCTATAGGATTTACTCAAGTCACCATCTATCTTGCGGTGAGAAGAGTCCATACTAATCAATGATGATGATTGACAACAAGGCACTCTTCCACTGATGCTAATGAGTTTGTTGTTCGAATGATGGTGACTGATTGTTGTCATGCCCCGCACCCTTTCCCTTTAGGCTTTCTTTACACGTCCCATTACCTTTCCCTCATCATGCCATTGATCTGGCGGTCCGGCCATGTGTCCTGCACAATGTGTGCCGTTCTTTCAATCCGTGCAATAAGAACTATCTATTGGACCCAAGGATTTCGGGAAAGTGTGCTGATCACTTTAAACTCACGGACGATGGACATGTGGCATTACAAGAAGTGTTTAACTATAGCGCCGTCGCTTAACTGTATTCAATATTGGGATCCCATGGGATAAGGACTCGACTGTACCTTAACGATATTTGGTTCGGCCCAACATTGACGACATGATGAAGAGTATATATCCGTCGGCCCTGCGAGCGGTCGCCCTGGACCGCGAATTTCGACCTGAATCTACAGCGTCATACAGACCGATTATACCAAACTGACTCATTGCGCCGATCGATGACCATGGATCCAGCCTACAAAGTGTTACCTGAATCGACGGAAAAGGTCCAAGGACCTATTTGGGAGCTGGCAACCTTGACAACGACAGATGATCTCCACAATCTTTGGGCGGAAGACTTCCAGCTACTCGAACTGGATATGCTCTCGATGAGTCTAACGTCCACCATGGCGGGTCATGATCGAACTTCGTCTCAGGAGGAGTGTTTGCTTGCGGATGAAGATCAGAGCCTCGCATCATCAGAAGAGGTCTTCCACAGAGCATCGTCGTCTGCAGATAGCTATGTTACGACGGCGGAGCGCAACGTGGATCTTGACCCTGTACCCGTAAATACTCCGCAGCCGAGCGCGACAGCCCCCGAGTCCAAAAAAAGTTGTCCTCTAATCAGATCTGATTTCGTTGGTCTGGTAAAGCGTCTTTGCAAAGGATTCTTACCGAGAAAGGAGTAAGGCCCCCTCATCCTTCTTGCAGCAGCCACGGCGACTAACCATCAGAAGACGGTGTGTGATCTGCTTGAGTAGCAAGTTTGCGGATGGCCTAGAAACTCTCCCTTGCCAGCACAAGTGCTGTGATTCGTGTCTCAGCCGAATGGCTCTCGTAGCCGTGACAGATGAGCAACTATTCCCGCCAAAGTGCTGCGCGAAAGAGATACCACAGGAGACCGTCGTCTCTAAACTGAGGAGAAAGGAGAAAGCCTTGTATGCTTACAAGCTACAAGAGTATGCGACACCCAAGGCAGAACGCCGGTATTGCCCAGCGCTCGGTTGCGGTAGATGGATCCCGCTCGACAAATTGAATAGCTCTTCCCCAACGCAGAATTGCCCGTACTGCAACACTGCCATTTGCTCATGCTGTCACAATGCTGCCCATGGCTCTCAGGAATGTCCGTTTGACCATGGGCTGACGGCATTCATCGAACTTGCTCAGATGGAAGGCTGGCAGAGATGCTATAACTGTGGGGAAGTAGTCGAGCGGGAATCTGGCTGCGACCATATAGTCTGTCGATGCGGCGCGCAATTCTGGTCAGTTTGGCTTCTCCATCATTTGCCGTTCCTTGAAACAGAATGTACTGACGCGGACCAGCTATAACTGTGGAAAACCATGGATTACGTGCTGTTGTAGCGGCTCAGGAAAAGGACGGACTAGACCTTTCCAGGCTGATGGCAACGGTTTGACAGTAGAGGAAATCGCTGAACTTTCGGTGATGGTAACTGCTGTAGTCCATGCCGAACGGGAGCTGGAGATAGAGAGGCTCGCGAACGAGAGACAGAAACATCAAACAGGCTGGTTGAACGGTCGATTCTGACCCAATGGAATGTGAAGGATATCAAACCGCTATATCGACAAATCTTATTTGCTAAGCTGTGGCGGCCATGACGCTTGAGCTGAGAACGGACAATTGCTCCTTCTTCTGGTCTTATGGCCTTAGAAAGTCAATGCAGGTGATGTCATTTTATGAGTGGTATATGCTCAAAAAATCTCGAAACAAAGATAGCATACAGCAGGGATATCTCGGTATATATGTAGCAGCAAAAGTCAACAGGCTAGTAGTCGTAGAAGCCCTTACCGCTTTTCTTACCCATCCAACCAGCGTCGACCATCCTCTTCAGCAGCCCAGAGGGTCTGTACTTGCTGTCTCCGGTTTCCTGGTGCAAGACGTTCATGATGGCCAGGCAGGTATCCAGGCCGACGAAGTCAGCCAGAGTCAAAGGTCCCATGGGGACATTAGTACCATTCTTCATGATGCTGTCGATATCCTCACGGCCACCGACACCAGTTTCCAGGCAGATGATAGCCTCGTTGATGTAAGGCATGAGGATGCGGTTAGCGAGAAAACCAGGAGAATCAGCAGAGACGGCAGCGACCTTTCCCATGCGCTGCACGAAAGCAATAGCAGTGTCCAGAGTCTCCTTCGAGGTCTGGAGACCAGCAATAATCTCAACACCCTTCTGAACGGGGACGGGGTTCATAAAATGTGTAGAGACGACACGTGACGCAGCCTGTAGATCTTTGGGATCCGTCGTAGTCGCAGCAGCGATCTTGGTGATGGGGATGGAGGAGGTGTTGGTGGCGAGAATCGCATGCTTAGGCGCGATCTGAGCCAGCTTGGAGAATATGGACGTCTTGAGATCGGGAATCTCGGGAACCGCCTCAATCACAAAGTCCACGGACGAAAGGTCGTCCATCTTCAAGCTGGGGGTGATACGCGCACGAACGGCATCGGCAGCATCCCGAGTGAGACGTTCCTTAGAAACATCCTTCTCGAGGAGTTTGTCTGTCGCGCGGCAAATTTATGGTTAACTTGGCCATTACCGAGGATGGTGGAAGACCATAGTGGACATTTTGGCCAGCATACCAGCAAACTTGAGACCCTTGTCCAAGGACGCTTGGGAAGTATCAATCAAAGTAACAGGGACTTGAGCTTTTGAAGCAGCAACAAGAGCAATTCCTAAGCCCTACACACTGTCAGAATGCCAAATCTACCAAAAAAGTGCAATTTTTATGAGCATACTGACCATCTGACCAGCTCCAATCACACCCAACGACTTAACCTCGGCAACATAGCTGGCGGAAGAAGTGCTGAAAGCACGAGGGGCAATTGACGAGCCAACACGGGCTACGCTGCGAAGTGAAGGCGACAACATAGTTCAAAAAGGAGGAAGAATTCTCTCAAGATACTGCAACAAAATATAGACAAAGGAGAAAAGAGAAGAACGAAATAAGCTGGAGATCTATAGGGAAGATTGGCATGTCTGTCCCTATACAGCCGAATCATGTGATTAGACGTCATCGGCTATCTTCGGACTTCGGTTTAATACCTTCTCCGGTATACCGAGACTATCCCACTTTAGGCTCAAACTAATAAACGCGGCGACGCGTGCAAGGACGCGTTGCCATTGGTTGCCGGTGCGGGCATGATTTGGAGGAGGTGCAGCGATATCAGTGTCTGCGCCGATACTGTGAGCTTGCTAGACAATTAGAGCGGGCGGACAGCTGAGGTCAAATCAGTTATCATGGATGACGAAGGTGCACCGCTAAGTGAGAGTGCTCAGGTCGTTGATCCTGATGTCCGCGCTCATGTTTACAGCCTTGTTACTGCTGTGAGTTTTCACCGTGGCCATACTTCAATTCAAACATTTGAGGTAATTCTGACCGAACATCTAGCTTGGAGGCTTCAATGGCGAGAACGCGGACCGTTACGTGCTGGGAGATGATGCCTTGGCTTGTCTACGAGACATCAAGCGGTGGCTAAAATTACACGATGAGAAGAATAATCGCATGGATGTTGCGCGATGCCTGGGAGAAGCGAACCTGGTCAATGGGGACCTTTTGCCGATTCTGACGCTCTGGTCAACCAGCGGCCAGAATAGTAAATTCATGTCGAGAATCGCACTGGCTTGCCGTAAGTGACAGCGGGATGGGTCTCTACAGAGAAGCATGGCGGATTGTGTGTCTGACAAAAGTTAGTGGAGTTATTGGTGCCTCTGACCTGGCCTTTGGAGTTGCACAGCGAAATGACGGTCAATCACCATCGGCACACACCCTATTTGCAACAAGCTCAAGTCCTCTACAAGCGTGGTATCCTCGGTCCTGGTGGCTCCAGCCTCCTTCGAACTATAATCCGCATCGGTCTTCCTAGCATGGCAGTCCCACGATCCGACCGGACGACTCGAGATGAAGGTATCCTCAAGCTTATGCTCTACCTTCTTCGGAATATCGCTGTTATCTCCCCACATTCCCGTCTTTCGGCGGAGGGCGATGAGGAGGAAACTTCGAGGTCTGCGACTATCAACGCTTTCCAGGATCAAGATGCGTTTGCTCTTCTCCTTACCATGTGCTCAAATGTCGCAGATGATTTCAACCTACAAGATGTGGTCCTTCTTGAAATATTATTCCATATAGTCAAGGGAGTCAACGTGGAAAAGCTGTTCATGAACGATACTCAGCGAAAGGCAAAACGCACAGAGGAGCTCGGGGACCTGTTACAGAAAGAGTCATCTTTGCGACGGGAATATGCAAAAAACGCACCAACACGCCATGGTCGGTTTGGGACGATGATCTGGGTCAAGCGCGATGACGCCAAAGTCTCTACGGTATCTGGGCAGGATGTGCTTAAAGACAGCCAGACAACCTTATATAAGATGGATCAGAGCAAAAAATGGAACAAGCCCCAGGTGCGTCGGAGACAGACCGAAGTGACGGTTAATAATGACTTCAACACACCTGTCAACCTCAACTCGACTGCGACGAAAAATCTGCGAATTTTCATCGAAGAGTTCTTGGATTCTGGGTTTAATCCGCTTTTTACCCATGTTCGCAAGGCCATCGAACGTGAAGCAGATCGAATCATGGATATCAATTCGCGCCACTATTTCTACACCGTCGCCTGGTTCCTTGAAGCGGAGCGTGTGCGACGCAAATATCAACGCGAGAGGCACTCCCAGGAAGACAAGTCTTTGAAGAAGATGGAGCCTGATAGTTTTGCACTTGTCGCCAGTGTTCTCAACCAGGAAACTTTCGTGTTTCTAAATCGATCCATGCAGAAGAGTTTTGACAACAAGGAGGTGGAAGACCTCACTGCAGAAATGCGCTGTTTCACACAGATCCTGTTAACGGTCCAGGAGATGGCTCAGTCGCCTCTTGACGATGATCAGGAGGTTGCTGACAACATTCAAAATCGCATTTTCTACGAAGAGACAACCCATGACCGCATAATCTCTATCATTCGGGGGTACAAAGATCAAGGGTTTGGCTATTTGGACGCATGCACTCAGCTTGCCCATGTCTTCCTGCGAATGCTGGAGCATTACTCGAAGGAGAATGTGGATATGCAGATACGATCCCGCCGACGTATCAAGCGTAAAGCTAAGCAAGACGACCAAGCTATTGACGTTGAAGATGAAGAACATGCCTCCGAGGACGAAGAATTGATGGAAGCCGAAAGGGTTTCGAAGGAGCGCAAGTTCGACTTCAAGCGCTTTGCAGCGAAGTTCTGCAACCAGAAATGCGTGGACACGTTCGTTGCTTTCATCAAGTACTATAAAGAACTGAATACAGATCAGTTGAAACGAGCCCACCGATACTTCTATAGAATCGCGTTCAAGCAAGAAATGAGCGTCTTGTTGTTCCGCCTTGACATCATCAATCTCTTCTATCGCATGATAAAAGGCCCTGGCGCTTTGGATTCTAGCAAGCCAATTTTCAAAGAATGGGAGGAGTTAGTCCGTCAGATCCTCAGACGAATGATTAAGAAGATTGATCAACGGCCGGCTTTGATAACAGAACTGCTCTTCAGCAAGATCAACTCGACCGTCTTCTATCTGGAATTCGGATTTGAAAAACAGACAATATCCGTGTCCAAGCGGCCCCCAGCAGAGCTTGAGGTTGACCCACGAGAAGCCAAGACAACAGATGAGAAGTTAAGCATCGTTGTGCGTGTCATGATCAAGGACGAGCATATCAACTTGGTCAAATGGATTAGTGAAGTGCTGAGATTAGCTGCTGATGAGAGGGAGTCCTGGGAAAGCCGGGAGCAACAACCAGGGGAACCAACAGCTCCCAATCCCATGATTCGTATGTTCTTTCAATTCCTTCTAGAGTTCATGACGGGAACTAACGAAAAGAAACAGCCGTTAAGCCAGATGATGAGGCATGTCAGAAAGCAATGTTCTCAAATGCAAAATTACGTTTACTCATGACATTGATCGGGTTTGAGCGTCTTGGGATGGAAGACGTCCCTGGAGCTTCCTGGGTCGTCCCTTCATCTTTCACATCGGACGACCTTCGGCACACCAAACGCGTGATCGATCAATGTCTAATTGAGCCTGCCACCGAAGACCCTGACCAGGATTTAAGCCGGTTGATTCGGCGCAAATATGCCAACGATGCCAGGGGTGGTGGCCGAGATGAGCAGAACCTCGATATCGATTTCGGATCGGATTCTGAAGGCGAAGACAATGTTCCAGATGGACCGTTGTTTCCACCAAACCATCGTTCAAAAGCAAACGCGTTAGATCAGTTGAAGAAGCAGCGCCAGAAGAGACGCAAAGAGGACGGAGATAGAGAGACACCCGATGACGAGGTTCTCGAGGAACGTCGCCGAGCACGTCTAGAAAATGCGTTGGCTCGACAGGCAAAGATCAAGAGCGATCTGTATATCCATGCCAGCGATGAAGAGAGCGACGAAGAAGCGGATGAGGAGTTTTTCCGCCTTGAGGAACAGAGACGGAAAGAGCAGGCGGCAAGAATAAAACACGCCCTGCTTCATGGAGTTGTGGAAGAAATTAGCGATAAATCAAGCAAAAAGACTGGACGCAAGCGACAAAGCGATCAACATACTACTCTGAACATTGATGCTCATACCAAGCGGCAGCGACGCAAGAATCGGACTGACAAACTAGACGAAGGCGACGACCTTGTCATGGCTGGTACGGAAGCTCAATCACCAGATTCACCCGGGCTGGGTTCATCCAGTCATGATGCGAAGGGGATCGAGAATACACCGCTTACGTCCGACGAAGATGAACTCGAATTTGACGATGATTTGGCGTTTAGTCGAGACCGTAATCGGAGAAAGGATTTTACCCCCAATGTTGACAAAATGGTCATTGAACCTGCTCAACAGGATGCCGATCCTGCTGCGCCGGACGAGGATGATGATGAAGATGCCCCTGTCGTTGGATCATCTCGAAGAAGAGTTCGAGGTGGGTTTGTGATTGAGAGTGATTCAGAGTGAGAGGGATACCCATAATGCTGTAATGATACGTTCGTTTAGTGGGTGTTTTTTTGGACTTGGTCTCTGATGGGCATGGGAATGGATGTACATGATTTTGCATATATACCAGATCACAGAAGTATGACAATGCCTTTGCTCTTGATCTATACTGCCGACCATCGACATAGAAAAACATCTGATGGTCTTCAATTAAAGTGAAGGAGATCCGACTAAGTCAGTATTATCTCATCCTGCGTCGTGTTATGCTCCAATCCGCCTATAGATTTCATTGTATCAAGGCAAATAGCATGACTGGAGCATGGCCTCTTTTCTAGATATCGGGTGCTAATGATGAACATAAAGAAGGCAACAAAGACATTCAATTATTTGATGTCGATGCGATCTTCCCCAGCATTGCGAATGACAGTCCGAGATGGCATCCCGGGCTTCGTCTGCAACGAGTGACTCATCCATGGAAAGGGTGGAATAAGAACGCGTTGACAAATGACATGTAGATCCTCCCCCGCTGCCCCTCGTCATTATCATCGTAAAAACACACATCCTTCCTATCGCTGAATCACTGCCTTTAGAGCTTGTCTGCAGCAGATCTCTTCTACCATCCTGGGCGAACATAGAATCAGCCATTCGACCATGGCCCAACAAGTTCGATTTGTCACTCTGGACGTTTTCACGTCGCAGCCATACACTGGTAATCCGCTGGCCGTCGTTTTCCTCCCGGACTCAAAGCAAGAAACTCTGACGCAGAGTCAGAAGCAGTCCATTGCGCGCGAGTTCAACCTGTCGGAGACCATCTTTGTCCACGCTGACAATGGAGAAAAACGTACCATCGACATCTTTACCACCGACTGCGAACTCCCATTCGCGGGGCACCCTACCATAGGAGCCGGTACCTGGTTCCTGTCCCTGTCTCAGGATGACGCCGATAAGGGGGTTGTCCGAACTCTAGCCACAAAGTCTGGGGATATCCCCATTGCGCTGCAGGCTGGACAGCAGCTGAATGCGGTAACCGCGAAGATCGCACATAATGTCCGACTCCATCAGTCCGGATTTCCGCTGCAGGAATTGATCCGATTGCATCCTTTCCTATCCAGTTTCTTCAACCTCATGGAGGTCGCGAAGCAGACCTTTCCTGTCTTTTCTATCGTGAACGGTATGAGTCAGATCCATGTCGAGCTGCCGTCCGTCAAAGCTCTTGGTGCTGTGACCACGGCGACTTCAGGCGAAGTTATCTCGGCAGGCTGTGGCTATCTGGATGAAGGTTGGGATTCCGGACTCTGTGTGGTGTATTTCTTCGTGCGAAACGTCAAGGATCCTCAGACTGGGGCGAACAGTATTCGCACCAGAGCAATCATCGGAAATTTGGAAGATCCAGCCACTGGAAGCGCTGCCAGTGGTTTGGCGGCTTATTTGTCTCACAAAGAAGGGAAGCCGGGTCGGTACAAGTACAATATCATTCAGGGAGTGGAGATGGGAAGACGTAGTGAGATTGGGGTGGAAGTCGTTGTCAACCAGAACAAGCAAATCGAGAGCGTAGAGCTTCAGGGAGGTGCTGTCAAGGTGTCTGAAGGAACTATTCTCATTCCTCCGGCTTGATTGATGAGCAGCGTGATGACATGATTTGAGTGATATGCAATGAGCTCTTTCCAAGTATCTAGGAGACAATCATAATTGAATTGAGGAGCAGTGAATGATCTTGCAGTACACGTGAGAAATAGTGACATTACCCTTCCATATATGGTGAATAAGAGGCTATCCAAAAATACCTCTGCTCTCATAACATGGAGATCTCCGTTAACCATTCACTGTTAACCCCAGTGTAAACAAATATAAATACCAAAGATCTTTGCACATAATGGTTTCTGGCCCTCTAGATATCTCTGATACTATAACATTGGCTTTGTGTGATCGTCTTCGATCCTATCCATCCATCCTTTGATCTATCTTCCCAGCGTCTCATCTCATTTCTGTCCTCTTCCCTGCAAGAGATTGCATCGATCCCAACATGGCAGAGAAGCAGGGCCGTAGGGCTTCCCTATTGGGCTCCTTCCAAGCTCTTCGAAACAAGGCCCGTGGTGGAAAGCATCCTTATCAGACAGCGGAGAATAAGATAGAAAATATGAGAGACGGTCGTAAGAAGGGTCGCGTCCTCTCTCTCAATTCCTTCAATCCTATCAAAAGGAGCTCGAAATTGGCCTCTTTCATGAGCAAAAGCCGTTCTTCTTCTCGTCACGAAGCACCAGAATCTCAGCATCAGACCCCGGCGCCTCTGCCTAAGACCTTCACGTCTGACCCTGCCAAATCGACCAAGAAACCTCCGGGCATTGAAAACCCTCACAAAAAGACTAAGATATCCTTTCGTCGTTTGACTTCACAAATTAGTCCCTTCTCCTCTCCAACGAGCAGTCAGGCATCATCCAGATCTACCAGTCTTTCAGGCTCAACTTTGACTCAATCGTCCAACCATGAATACTCGAGAATTCCAGCTCCCATAGAGCCCCCAGAGGGCGGTTTATACTCTCATGAAGTGTTCGTGAAGGAGGGAAACCGCGGCGTCCTGTCCTCATTCAACAGACGCTACATGAGTGTTAAACGGAGCGTGAGCGGAAATGGATACAAATCGATGCTGCACTTGAACAACCAGAAGGAACTGAACAGACATGACTATGAGAATATAAAGACCAGGCATTTTAAGATTCATGGGATTCGTGCTGTCCAAGACCACGAACCTGTGCAACCTGTTCGTGTCGTTCGACTTCGTCAACACAGTCACCGTGCTCAGTCTATTCCATTGCCTTCAGGCGTTCAGCCCGTCCAACCTGTCGAACCTGTTCAGCCTCCTCAATCTGGTCAGCCTGTTCAATCTGCCACGGAAACGGGCTTAACCTGTGAGAAAGACCTGGTTTGTGAACCGAGGGTGGGCGAGGCCATCAAACCGTACTCGCAGGTCATTGCCGATCTGCCGCCAAAGAGATTCCAGTCATTGATTCCACGGAAGGCACCTTCATCAGCTTCGAAGCCTGTCGCGTTACGATCAAACAACACACGCAGCTCCATCCCCGTTCCTATTAAGAACCGACCCGCAACAAGCACATCCGCTCTTGCCTCACATGAGCAAAGAAGGCCATCCGAAGGGAAGGGCGCAATTGAGACCAATAATGGCAATCATAGTCCTGTCCCAAACAAAGACACCAATCTCAAAATCAAAAAAGTGAGGTTCAGCGAGCCTCTTCCCGCCAAAGAGAATACTTCCATCGAGCATCAAGAGTCCGACACCCGGCCTATCTCAGCGCTGAAGATGACGAATCCAAGCCTCCTCGAAAGAAACAGAAACCAGCCCGGAAAACTGCGCCTCAGCAAGAGATTTGCAGACCTGAGAATCCTCCAGCAAGAAGAAACGGACGTCCAGCTTTCCAAAAACGACAACACTGAAGAGCACAACATCTCCGTCCCCGGCCCGCACATCAAGCCTACCAAGAACATGCAGACCACCAGACAAAAGGATCGCACTCAGAGAATGGTACCCCCCACAGATGAACCCAGCAGAATCCCACGCACCAAGCAGAAACAGCTAACCACGACCCTCCCCTCGGCTTTCCAGGTCTCTGAAGCACAACCTCAGCAGTACTGGCTAGGCCGTTTCATGACTCTCACCAATGCATTCCACTATGAAGATTCCTTCAACGAGCCTGACATTGCGACTGGGTTCGGTATGCTGTCAAGTTACTCTCGGCCTCTGTCTCAGCCCGATGTGGATACGTCGAACTACCGTGTCAAGCGCGCCTTTATGGTGCTGGAGAACGTCTGCGTGACTGAAGAAGCGACTGCTAGTCTTTGCGAGTTCCGGGACCAGTACATTGCAGTTCACGGTGATCGGTGGATGTTGTAATGAAGCATGGACGGTTTATGTCCCCGGAAGGGAACTTGTATGTATTCTTCTTGTGATATTTGGGCTGAGAATGGGTGTTCGGTGATCATACGGTGGTGTTTGGAGGCCAAATATGCGAATTTATGTTGGGACGCAGGAATGGGTTCATGAACGCCCCGAGGCGTCTGGAAAACTCAATAGCTTCTCCATGTGAGATATGAGTAATAGGTTGGAAGGTCTTTGCTTTGAGAATTCCATGAGATAGAGACATTGATCTATACGTATCTCTAAACCAGCTCGAGTATCATGTAGTATGTAGAGTCATTGCAAATTCCGATTGAATCTGCCACTCCATTGCCTAATAAGTCACAGACCCTGAAGGACATTCATCATCCCAGTGAAAGAAATAAAGCGTCCAAACGCCATGCCATGCTTTGCCCAACGATTTTAGAAACAATCCGTATCATTCTGATATCGGTGAGTTTCCAGCTCCTGACCCAAGTGAATCATTTTCTACTTCTCAAGAATGCAGCAACTTGCTCGTGCCTTGTGACAAAGAACATTCGTTTGCGGTCAGATTTCCAAACCAGGACGCCGATTTCTTCGGCATACCGACACGGAGCCTCGTATTCTGCAAGACTGACGAAATCCTTGAACAAGAATCCAGGGGTCGCTTTGACACGATCTCTTTCGAGCTGCCAGAGGCGGATCTGGTCGACAACAGTGGGTGGGAGAACGGACACCGGCATCCCGGCTTGGTTAGAAGTCGATCGGGATGCATTGTGCTTGCGCATCTGGGGGTGTGCATGTGTCGAGAGGTACGAGATAATCTGATCAGCGGTGATACCCATCTCGACTGCACGGCGGATGGACTGGCGAGTGATTTTGCCCGTGATCAAATTGGGGAAGCGGTATTTCAGGGTTGTAAAGAGTGCAATGAGAGAGATCTGGAGCGGCGAGGAGGTGTATGCGTACAGTCGGTAATTCGTTTCGATGATAATGAACCCAGAGCCCGCCTTATTCGAAGCTGTACCCGTAGGCCCAGATAGTGAACCGGCGATGGGATTGCTCAGAGCACTGGAATCAGAGGTCAAGGTGGTCGCGAGACGAGTGGGATAAAAATGTGTGGCCTCCGGTGATTCTTGGTAGACAATGCCAAAGTCGGCCAGGTCGGTCAGAGTGCGCAGTTGATTGGACGTCATCTGCTTCTTCTCATAGGATCTCCCAAGTTCAAGACTGCTCAGGAAGAACACAAATTTGAGAACCTCGACACTGTCCATGCCGATGGCCTCTGCACTCTCAACATAGAGAATGAGGATATGCCACACTTGCGTGCCAACATCTTGCAGGACAAAAGCGAATCCATCCTTGGTGATTTCCACCCGACGATCCCTGATTTCGACAAGATGGCCGGCCTGTAAAAGCTGCTTCACGCCCTTGCTCAAATTGACATCACGTTGCATACCCAAGCCACCTGTGCCCACCATGTATCCTAGGACCCCTTCCCATTGCCGTCTCGAGTACTCGTCTAAATCGGCTATCGATACCGCTGCCTCATCGGATACATTGGACACCACACCAAACGACTGAGTATGCTCGGCGCCGGTAAGAGCTTGTCGGAGCGAGGAAGCGAACTCTTTGGTGACCATGTACGCTCGCACGTTATCCGCAGTCATTGTGTTGGTCAAAATGTGCAGTCGGCCTAGCGTGGACAGCGCATTATCACGCTCCCTGGTCAGGTCAGAGACTATGCCCGTTAAATTCCAAAATTGGAGGATTAAAACACTCACTTCAGACTGTCCGGTTTGACCCATGTTTCCAGATCCGCTGCTGGAAGCGGATCTTTGAGGTAGAGAAGCGCCATCACAAAACATTTTGCTATCGTCTGTCAGAAGTTTCCCCTCAGTGATTTAGATGGGGGCAGCATACCCAAGTCAGGCAACATGCGCCTGAAGATCGCAAGAGCAGTGGATGGCTCCTGATAGAGCTTGATGAACACAGTCCCAGGCAAGCTCTCCAGGTAATCAAACGGACGGGATGGTGCCGCAGCCATTTTGCCTGCAGGACCAGAGGAAGAGTATTATCTCTGCAGCATCATCAAAGTAATGAAGAAGAAGAAGTCTCAAGGATGGAGACTGATAAGAATGACCAGTGAGTAATTCTCGTCCTGTGAGTACTCTGGTATGGTTGATGTAGAACCTGCAGCAAAGATAGTCCGGTGACCAGAGCGGCCACGGAGCGCAGTCGGCGATGACTTCACTGTTGAGCGCCGAGACTATGCGGTAGACTGATCTACATCTACTTGATATCAAGCTCCGCCGTGCAGCTTTCTTTCTTCTCACAGTTTATTTACAATGACAGCGTTGCGGTTTGTTAGATCAGTAAGTAAATCATTTATCTTATCAATTGCAGAAATTACTCTCATACTCATTGTCTCGTCTAGGTATGGGAGTCCTTTCGGGCTACTTCGGGCTTGGAGCCTCGGTAAGCATCACAAAGCTCACATTGAGGGAGGCTTTCAGGGCAACAATAGCTGATGACTGACGTCTATCTCACTGATAGTCTTCTAGATAATGTAGGGCACACTCTTGTCACTTCAATTCTGCGATTGTTTCATTGCGTCTACCCTAATATCGGCTGTCCAGGTCGGATGAATATATCGGGATATGCTAAGACTTCTTTCCAGCTTCGTGTAACTGCAGCACGGCCTGGAACTGTCAATTTTGAGCTCGACATTCAAAAGGAACACACAGTAAGACCTTCTATCAGGACCTGGCTGTTTTGATCACAATCCATTGACATTCTCACCAGAACCGCCTTAACATTCTACATGGAGGGACAATTGCCAGCATGGGTATTAGATTCCATGCGGGTTCATCACTTACCTTTGCCCTCTGACTGATGATGCCACCACAGTTGACCTTGGCGGCTCCTTAGCCGTGGCGTCTCGCGGGCTGTTCGCGACAGGCGTCTCCACCGATCTGAATGGTAAACCAGACCTCTGTCAATGAGCCGACTTTGAAGCCTGAGCAGACACTGACCCAGTGATTCCTAGTGACATATCTTAGCTCTGGTGGCAAGGTCGGCGACAAGATCCAAGCTGTATGTTTCTTTTCAAGCATCCTGAGTAGGTAAAGCATAGCGTGCAATCGCTGACTATCATACAGGAGGTCACATGCGACAAGTGTAAGTTACCTGATAAACCGAAGGACAAAGCTTCATTTGCCCATCAAATTTGGGAAATCCTTCGTCTAACCACTACTACAGTCGGTAAAACTTTAGCCTACACAAATATCAAGTTCATGAACTCCAATGGGGAGGTTTTTGCAAGAGGAAGCCACACGAAGTATGGAACTCCCTTCAAATCACACAAATCTCCCACAATACTGACGCCTCTTGCTGCCAGATACGTTGCTTTAGCCTGGAAGGACCCCAAGAACATCGTCGAGGAGCTCGGCGGCCGGAAACAATCATAGAAAATTGACTAAATCGTGTTCAATAGGTTCTTGCTGAAAGAGGTCAGACAGCCTTGTATATAGATACAGAGGGCCTGCCTCTGGCTAGTCCTTTGCGAGTTGTCTAGTTGAAGCCTGCTGATTTACTCGATGAAGCATCATGCCGCATGGCATTGTACAGAAATAGAGTTGGGGTTGTACATAAATGTCTTCTGCTGTCAAGTTCTATTTCAATATATGTATTGCCTAAGAACATGTAAAACAATCATTACAAGGCTGCCATTCTACTCGACCAAGAAACGAGATCATAATAGATGAATATCCGACGATTTTCTCTTCTTTGTCTTCTGCGGAAACAGACACAAGGGTTTGATGTACAGAAGTGGAACATAGGGACATAATTCTTGTGGCATTTAACCGAGCATTGACTATGCATAGAGGTCTATGTAGTGTTCATAATGGACAGATTCACATCAGCCCCTTTTTTTTTTTTACGAAGTATGATCATGAAGCGGATCCTCTTCTGGCTCATCGCCAGCCCCGAGCATGATTTCATCCTCGTCCAAAAGCCCGTCATCACCATCAGGCATAATTGTATCATCGACCACAATATCTTGATCGCCGCCCATGGCCTTGACCTTGGCCTGAGTCATTTCAAACACATATTGCCCAAGATGTTCGACTCCCTCCATCGGTGTGCCTTGCACATCGTCGTCCAGTAATCGCTTGGCCGGGAACATCTCACCCGTAGCCAGCGTGAGCTTGTCTGGACGCTGTAGAAGAAGATCGAATGCCGGCTTGAGCTCATAGCATGACTCGAATACCTCGCGACGACCAAGGATATAGAGACCCAGACGGGCACGAGAGAGGGCAACTGTGAGGCGGCGAACATCACGCAGATAGCCTACCGCGCGGGTTCTTGTGAGGGAAAGAATCACGTCTCGCAGCCAGAGTCAGCATCATCTGCGCAGGATATTCATGGGAAAGGATGTTCCAACTTACAATCATTCTGTTCACCCTGGTACTTATCCACAGTTGTCACAATCTTCGGCATGCCAAACAGGGCGTTCTTAGCACAGCGATGGGCAAGTACGTCTTTAATCAGGGCTGTTTGACCTGCGTACGTAGCAAGAATGGAGATTTTCGATGCTGGATACCCGAGAAGTCGCATGTATTGATAGATGGCAACAGCGTATTCGGCCTCTCCCAGATTTTGAATGAAATGGGGAGTGGGCTCTCTTTCTCCTGTGCCTTGATAATCCGGGACATTAATGAATTGGTAGTCATACTGGAATCCAGCGTTGGCCTGCCTGTATTCCTGAGCTGTCCGCACAACAGGCAAATCTCCAAGCTGCTGATAACGCCAGCGAAAGAGTTCTGCGATACTAGGACGTGCACGACCCTGCTGATCCAAAGTGATCACAGGGACGCCAAGCCGTACCAGACGGAGGAACAGACTCTGCTCGAAGTGTGCGTACTGCCGGAAAGCAAGGTTCTGGATGACAGGAGAGTTCTGGAGGTGATCACCACAGAGAACCATACGTTTCAGAGGAAGCTCGCCATTCTTTAAGTTCTGTAAGGCAGATGGTATGAAACTCTCAATCTCTGTGATTTGAGCAGCTTCTTCCATTATGACATTATCGTAATGGAAGCCTAAATCAGCAATTTCCTGACGACGCATGGCAGCATGTGTAGAAGTCATGGCAATAATCCTCGCTTCTTTCACCAGGAGGTAATTTGCCTTATCACGAGGCTGCCTCAGGATCTCAAAAGGGCGGATATCTTCCAATTCAGAGAAAATTTTGTTGATATGCCGCTGACAGCCCTCCGCCACATCCGATAATGTTTCCTTCGAGGCGGCTGGATTCAAAACAGGTTGTGGTGCATTCGAAAAATAAGCGTGGAATGGGAAAGAGGCAACGAGACTCTCAGTCGAGGTATCTTCGGCACGAGCATGATCCCAGAATTTCGCCCATGCAGGCTGGATGTAAACTGTGTTGAAATATCCGGCTGTCTCACACGAGTTACCGTGTGCTCCTTCCGCGCCAATCGATGCCGCTAACCTTGTAACTTCCCCGAGGAAGTAATTGCGGTTGTCAAGAAATGACTCGACCCGGCCATACTTGCTGTAACTGGTGTCTGTTTCCAGCTCTTCTTCACCATGACCTAGACGGAGAAGATGGCGCTCATCAATATCCAAAGCAACAATCTTCTGGAACAATTGATTTAGCGCCTGGTTACTGTGCGCGATTAGAAGCGTACGCTCATTTGGAAAGTCATGATAGATATTGTTGATGATCTGAGTTGCGACGTCCGTTTTGCCCGTTCCAGGAGGGCCAACAATCACAGTGAGTCCGGGTTGAGTCCCAGATGCGATAGCTCCCACCTGAGCTGGAGTGAAGCGTACGGAGTTGAGCTTGGGAGTATCGATAGGATAAGGGCCTGGGTTCGGCTGCTTGTATGTGGACACACGAATGACCTCTGCCGTCTTCCGCTCCTTTCCAACTTGATCTCTTCGGCGCTTCTTTGAGGGTGTCGCTGGAGGTGCCTTGGGAGACTGTTCGATATATTCAAGTACATAAGGAGGCACAAGGCTTGAAGCTTCAGCATTCGATGACTCAATGGTAGTTCCAGGGAAGCTTTCCACAAGGTGTTCCCAATTCAAGAAAGTATCCCGAAAATCGACTGATTTTAGCCGGTTTGCTAACTCAGTGTATCTGGCTCCAGCAGGATCTCCATATCCCAGGAAGATATCTTGGATCCAAGCGGGAAGGGCGACGTCAGAAACAATGAGTCTCTGCATATTTTGTAGTATCGATTTGAAATTATTCTCCCGTCCTTTCCTTCTGGCAATCACATTGATCAAAGGATAGATATCTTGCTTGCCGTGGGTAGTGCGATCTTTGTCAGCTTTGAAGGATGAAGGGTCTAGATTAAGCAATAATCTGCGAACGCGAGGTCGGGACTGATATCCATTCGTATGTCCTTTGGCTGGTTCACGAAGTGGGCGGCCCTGTTCATCAAGTACCTGGACTACCTCCGCGGTCCGAAGGTAGGTCAGACCTGGAGTCTCTGTCGGGCTATCCTGAAAACCGAACTTGTTCGTCACGCCAGGTTGAACGGCAAGAAGGAAGACAACATCATCTGGACGCAGGGATTCCCATTCCTTCCGAATGTGGTCCGCCAATCTGCCCACCTCAATTGCAATCTCAGCCCTGACATAGGCGGGATTCGCGGATCCAACTTTGGGAGGCGCAACTTCGATGATTGCTGGTTTTGAGATTGGAATTGCCATTCGAGAAAATCCGTCGAACGTCAATGTCTTGCCATCTCGGCTTGACCGGGGCTGCATCCGCTTAACAACCGCTTCCATATCTTTGCGAATCTGGAAGAAAGCTTCAGACCGATATAGAAGAAAGGAGCGCCAAAGGAAGTCGCCGAGGCTCAAATACTGGAGATTTAACTTTGGAATGGCAAGTGGTCGCGATCCGTCGTATGTTTCATTTCGCAACAAGGAAGGATCATAAAGATCCTTTTCGGTGGGCATGATACCAAGTCCAGACGCAGCCTCCTGAAATGGCGCCCTTCGCTCATAGAATGATAAGAGTGTCTCCAGATATAGATGTCGACTGGGCGTGATCTGAGATTGTTTCGGGTAATTTGTTCTGAATCCCAAGTGCATACAGAGAGACTCTAATTCGGAATCATCCAGAGCGCTCAACTGACCTTCCAGTTCCGAACGTTGCTCGATTGAGCCATAGTTTGACAGGGCAAGGATCATAAGCTTATCCTTGAAGTGCTTCATTGATACCCTCTGCAGATGTGCTAACTCTCGGCAATGAGCTTCATAGACTTCCTGAGGACTCTGAGAAGATCCTGTGTAGTCATCAATTGCAAACTCTGAGAAGTGCCTCAGAAGATTGAAGAAGTCGCGAAAGAGCGCATTTTCTGACGAGAGGTACATCTGTGAGAGGCGTATGATAGGGAGCAAGTTCAGATCCTTCAACATCGTGTTGACGTAGCGACGCGTGGGAAGCTGGCTTTCCAGATCGACCAGAAATTCTAGGAACCGTTCACAATAGTATAGGTTGGAAGACAATTCCTGTTCGGACCCATTCAACCGTCGCAGGAAGTCCAGAAGCATTGTGTACAGCCATGACCGTTCGAATCGCATCTTCGCCTTTGCTGCTTCATCTCCGGCCTCATATCGCTTTCCAGCTGCCCTCCATGCTTTTTTCAGGGCTGGACCCTTTGCAAGAATTTGATCCCTTGTTTCTTCGCTCGTGAGGTTATGCCAAATCGATATTGAGACCAGCGGGGCACACTCCTTCCGAATAAGAACATTTTCCAAGGATTGAAAGGCGCTAATGATGAAAGATAAAATCGAATGACGAGAAGAGGTAGGAAAGGAGTTATCGACGCTCATGGATAGAATCCGATGAAAAAGACTCGAGAAGTCATCTGGCCGGTCAGAGAACGTTTCTAGAGCTTATTAGCCTTCTAAAATACATTGCCAGCTCACAAGTACACAAACACACCCCATATCGGCAAATGCTCTCTTTGCTTGACGCTTACAATCAGAGCAATCAGGAGCACGTGGTAATTAGATGCATCTTCTGTGTACGTCGGCCAAAGAAACCTATGGGGTGATCAGCTAGTTGTACGGGAAAAAGAGTTCATGTAAAGATCACGAAGCGCACTTCTCCAATATGTTCAAATTCTCCAGCGTCAAGAGAGACCGAATGTTGAAGCCTTCAGCCTCTAGAGGATCCCATATATCTTTCTTGATGGCATCACGCTTGGCTTTGCGAACCTTCGACGTTCCCAGCCAGTGGGTTTTAGCCAACTGGACCCATGAGCTATCCTCACGGAAGTCCTCAACGGTTGGCCTAGAATCAAGGCCGTGCGCCATCGCCTGACGTGTCTGTAGGCCCATTCCTCGACGTTGAGGGCTGTTTTAAAAAAAAAGCACTGCAGGCGCAGGTCCAGTTTATCTGCGCAAGTGGTCTATCATGGGCCGAAAGACAAAGCTGCTGGCGCGCGTTTAGGTCTTGGCGGCTATTCAAAGCCCGCTCGCGGAGCCGCAATCCATTATCCGCAGCTCCTATCTCATCTCAATGATCAACATCGCGTCGATGAGCTTGTGAGGATGGCAGTTGCAGAATTAGAGGCGATGCGCGTCTACAGGGGATTGGTCAACAATCTCCTGGAACGAGCAGCGCAGGTCAAAGAAGATGGACAAATTAAGCCTCCATTGACAGAAGCTCACCTTGGTGAATCGATTTGGTCAACCCAAGGAGAAGACAAGCAAGAGGTGGAACAGGTGAGCCAACAGACACAATTTGCAGCAGTTGAACTTGCCTTCAGGGAAAAATTCTACAGTCTTCTGGTATGTTGCCTTGTATTGGATGTGATGGTTACAGCAAAGGATGAGCGTGAAGGTTTACTGATGCCACGGGATCTCCAGGCGATTACTTCAATTGACGAACCGTCTTTCATACAAATATGGAATCTACTTGATATTATTTCCATTTTCTCGGATAATGGTCAGCTTCTGGATTTAGCCATGGTTCGAGAATAAACAACTGACTACATACAGAGCAATGTGAGCCTGGCCTGATTTTCTGGCTCATTGAGGAGATGCTCGATAGTCAAACCATAGATGGCTGCCGGAAAGTCTTTGATTACTTGGAATCTCGACGTGAGCGGAACACGAAGGTATATCTATTCTCTAGCCACTTGGTTTTCTTCAGTCTAGATAAGCTAACGCCATCGAAAGAAACACTTCAAGCAGAAGAGTTTGATCATCCTAAGGTCCTGCAATGAATTGCTTCGAAGGCTATCTCGGGCGGAAGATACGGTTTTTTGCGGCCGTGTCTTTATATTCCTCTTCCAGAGTTTCCCACTTGGAGACAAAAGCGCCGTCAATCTCCGCGGTGAATACCACACTGAGAATGTGACTACATTCGACGAAACTGTGCAGTCAAATACCCAGGGCAATGACGATATGGATGTGGAGATGTCCGATGGAAAGCCAGCATTAGCGGCGCCTGAAGGCCAGGGTGCTGATAGGGAAAGTCAACCGCCGTCATCAGGTCGGGATTCCCAGACACCCGCGCCCGACCAAGCCAAGATTCCGAAACTTGTGGTCTCAGGGAATGAAGACAAGTCTACGGATAAGGACGTAGATCTAAGCACATTGTATCCCATGTTCTGGGGGCTGCAGGCTTACTTCTCTGCCCCAACGAAAGTATTCGACCCGCAACACTTCGCATCGTTCAAGAAAGGCCTCGAGAATACATTGACTGTTTTCAAAACCATCCGAACAGACCTCGAGAGTCAGAGTGCCAGCCGGACTGCGGAGGAAATCCGGAAATCCAACAAGCGGAAACGGACAACGGATGGTCAAGAAATTGCCAGCAGTTTCAACCCCAAATATCTGACAAGTCGGGATCTATTCGACCTCGAAGTACGTTTCCGAAAGTCGATTTTGTCCATTAGTCGTGCTAATTCCCGGCTACAGGTCAACGACACAGCTTTCAGAAGACATGTCCTTGTACAGGCTTTGATCCTTCTGGATTTCATGCTTTCGCTTACTCCCAAAGCAAAAGCGAAATTGGCTGATTTGACTAACAAATCCGTACTCTATGGCTTTGTCCTGAGTGAAGAAGATGTAAGCTACTCTACTTACTTTTATGGGTCATCTGCTGCCCTGTGCAGTAGCCCTGATTTTGGTTCATCATATTTTGAAGTCAAGACTGACTCTTCCCAGGCCAAATGGGCAAGCAGGATGAGAAAAGTGATTGAAGAATACCTTCAGGAGGGGGCAGGAGGCAAATTCTACTATCGCATGGTGGATACCGTTCTTTCAAGGGACAAGAATTGGGTACGCTGGAAAGCAGAGGGTTGTCCGCTCATTGAGAAGCCTGCAGTTTCGGTAACCGAATATCTCGGGGCGCGCGAGAATGCAACAAAGACATACGCAAATAAGCGCCTTCGCCCTTCTCCCATGGGCTCGTTGAATCTCAATTTTCTGACAGAAGCAGAATCATCGGTCAGTCTGGAAAGGCTCAAGGAACAGGAAAGGTTGGTACATAACACCACACAATTCCAGAATCTACAGGCTGACGCTTCCTCAAGATACACTGTCCCCGCCGCTGACTCATTCATGATGGGGCTCATGGACGATGAGCTGGATATAGACACTGCCCAGACAAAAGAAGACAGGGAAATGGCGATGCGAGCCAAGGCCAGCAAGACCTGGCGCATTCTACGACTTTCCGCCAAAGGCAAACTTGCAGCGTTTGACAAAATCGACGATGGCAAGAATTTGAAAGTTCTTTTTGAAACTCCTCCACCGCTTGAAGGCACATCCCAGGCCAACGAGCCATCTTCGCAGGCTTCAGAGGTACCAGGAAAGCCATCTGATGAACCCGAAGCTACCATACAAGAGCAAGATGATGGAACCGCCGAGAAGGATGCCGCGACCACGACCGAGCCTAGTTCTGGGAGTGAGAGTAATGAAGGGGTAGCTCTGGTGGGTATGCCGGCGACCTGATGAGAACCGCTCGCTTCAGCGTGTAAAGGGGCCCCCCTGAACAAACAACGCCCCACCAGTCGCAAGGCAAACCCACATTCACCAAATATCCGCGGTACACATTTATTTTTTGAGGCGTGCAGAATTATGACCATGGCTCGTGCGCAGTCTACGGTCACGTGACTCCTTCAATGATCATGCATTGTACCAAGCTCATTTGCACCTAATGGCGCAGCCAACATATTCTTATATGGGAAGACATGTGGCGAAGATCTCACACTTGGAATTTGAGAGAGGAAAAGAGGAGACTTGTAACCAATCTCCCCTAGATTCCCAAATCATGGATAATGTACTTCATGGCTGACTGGGGTTGTTGTTCGCCAACATGAAGTGGGCTCCCTCTGCTTTCCGTGCCTCTAAGCGCTGCCGTCAACCTGTAGGGAAGAACGAGTGGATGATGGAACAGAATACTGGAAGAGAAAAAAAAGTATCCCCACAGGAAGAAAGGGAGGGGGGAAAAAAATCAAGGAACTCAGGGAATACAAGAAATGTTGAGAAAAGTGACGACTACAGCGATGAGTCTTTTGAGATCTGACACTTCTCTTCAGCGGGGGAATCGTCTAGGCCCCAATATCGAACTAGATGATGTGTTGCATAATGGCCAGATGCTGGGAATGAACCGTGAAAGGACAGGATATTACATGGAGCACCGGAAATCGAAGGTGTCCAAGCACCCGCACCTTTACCACCAGCCAAACAGAGAATTTCTTGTGGTTTAAGGTGTGGAAGTGAGATCTGCATGTGGACACATTAGGACTGATGGCGACAAAGAACACCATCATTATCTTTTTGCTGGCATTTCCAGTTCTAGTCACCAAGACAACTTGATAAACTACGGATATAGGTCCGAATCCGGAAGGGGACCAGGGACTTTAATTACAACTCATCAAGATAGTGATGTTCCTGCGTCGGCGGATTCGCTACTACCTATCTTACTGTTCATCGCGCTAGATTATTCGAGACTTCGTGAAGTGCGCAATCGTAAAGATGACCAGAATCACCAACGAATTCTCTTTCTCCCCAATTCTGCCTTCTTCTTTTTCTCGACTATCTATCTCCAGTATGAAGAGAAATGCGGTTCTAAGCCGGCTTCTGTACTTTCGCTAGCGATTTCAGTGATGCCGTTGGGCTAATGAAGTATCGGTTGTTACCGTATTTCACAATAATAATGATACCTAAGGAAGCAGCCGTAATAACCTTGTTCATCGGATAAGGCCCATCGTATAAACTATGGATCAGGACTGGACACCTGGGACTTGTGGATAGGAAAACGAGGCCAGGACTCCGCGCTCAATCCAGACTGAAGTATCGATTCTGTACGAATAATGGAATATCGATTATTGGATATTACATAGTAACCTATGAAATCCAGGTTGCATACGATTTAATCTTAAGCATCCAACCCCGGAGTTCTATCGGAGTCATGTATCAAATATTGGTTGTAACTTGTGTCTGCTAGATAATCAGGTATGAATCTCGTGGTAGGTTTTATCAGAAGAGAATGTTGCAAGCACCTCGGTTCAGCAAGCCGAAAACCTGCAGAAATGTTTCATTCGACGAGGGCTTTGATTACTTCGATCCCTAGAAGTGGAAACCATGAGAGGAGGTCAAGTCATGTTGAAGTTAACACTCAACAAACCATGGGAATGTCCTTGTCAAGCTATCGGGCTTAAGAGTTGAGAATGTTTCAGTTTCACTTCGTCAAGGACTCGCACAGACCACTATCCCTGTTGTTATGCAACAGTGAAGGTGTTGATGTTTTTGATGGATCTATCACTAGTTATCGGACCCTCACACAGTTTCTTCCCTACCCTGACTTCTATGCGGGATATACAGGAGTGCTGAAGTCCCTTTCTACCTGACGGATGCCAAATAAGTAACATCTCATTACCACTATTACTGAACGGATGCTCCTCATGGTATTGCCCTGCTTCGTACTGTGATATGTCAGGTCTTAGTAATTCAATCTGCTACACGATCGGCCTTGATACCTTGATCGAATCGATTCCGGAATCAGCTTCCCCGCACCGTTGCTGCTTCTACTACTAGACATGTGAGGAGTGACACTGATGAATGGATTTGTTACAGAGTGTCTATCTACTCCGTATCTGAGGTGAGATGGATACTGGCAACTTGTATGATTGTGGTCAGTGGTGCTTTATCCATCGATCCACTTGCCCTGTAACTATCGAGTGTCAATAGTCAATACTGATAGTGATCGACAGTCAACCTTGATGGACAGATGGAGCTACTTCGTCTGCTTCGAGAATCATGCCATATCCATCTCCACCAGCCTACCAGGGAGATCTTGTGGCACTGTGGTATCTATTATCCGCCAAATTCCAAAACGATGTACTTCCGCACGATCCCTACGTACTTAGGAAAAGTCAGTCTATGGAGCTACGGCGTCCTCCCAAACGGAAACACGGCATTCGCAGTTTAGAGCTTCCCTGAAGGAAGGAGAGGAATGAGCCACGAGGATAAAGTCAAGGGACTGAAGGCAGGAATGGAAGTGTCGCCGGGATCCCAGGTGATAACTCCGGGGCTTTGCTCCATCGCTTCTGGCCTGACGAGCGCCCCTTGTCAAGAACAAGGTTAAAGGATTTCTTTTTTTTTTTTTTCAAGCGAATCCACACTCCCCTCCGGTCGCGGTATGAACCTCCCTCCCTCTCCAAAATCAACAACAGCTGATCCAAAAGAGGCCGTGAAACGGTGAAAAACGGAAGTGAGACTAGTCAATCCACCTCCGTACCTAGATAACTTTAGTTAACGACTGCCGCTCCATTACTGCCACTGCTTAGCGGTTACATCCTACTACTAGTTCCAAAGTCAACTGTGTACGGAGTAGATGTTGAAGCCAGAGAGCATCGTTCGATGAGAATCATTCGAGAACTGGATCCTCTCTCTGACTGGTTGATTGCGGTGGAAGAATCCTCCGCTGTCCTGGGCTGATCTGGAGAATTGGGAGGGAACTTGCGCGATTAGTCGCCTCTGTGATGGTATTATTCCCTTCTAATCTTTTTAAGGCCAACTGAGAAAACCAAATCTACTCTTCGATTAATCACAAGACGAGGTTATTTTGAGGTACTATATCCTAGAACTTCTATCTGAGTATCCGGATATGCGCGACACTGTCTGCTCATGTTTCTCTCCACAAAATCTTCAGACATCTTGACCTTTTCCTCACTTCCTTCTGATACCTCGGCTGTTGTGAAAAAACAAGCCACACCGTTTTGGGAGACCACAAGTATCTTTAGCCTGATGTATGTATGGTGTTGCATATTTCTTGCAACAGCGAATCTCGCTTAGAACCATGCTGCATGGTAAGATTCTTAGAATGCATATCATTCCTCTTCTCTTTTTCTTTTTTTTTTCTCTTTTTTTCCCCCTCCATCCAATCCTGTGAATACTCATCCCTGTCATATCCCCCTCGACCATCATTTTGCACTCAGGAAGTCCCCAATTATCCCTGTTCCTGTCTCAATAATGATCATGTTAGTCTGGTACGTTGAAGGTGGCAGACTCACACTCACTCCGCTGCTTGTCTCCACTTCCGGAAGAGCCCACCTTTTTTTTTCCACTAGCTGTTTCTCTCTCTCGTCTCTCCTTCAACCATCATCCACTCGGAAATTATTCTGATCAACCATCAAGACTCTCAGATCTCATGCTGATTATTGCTGATTTATTGAAGCTCATCTATCGACATCTATATCTAGATGATGAACAGTGACAATCAGCCCTTTAGACTACTATATAATACATCGCCCTACCGTTATGCAACCTGATAGATACTCTCTACTCTTCTGTAACTACAAATAATAATGATGATATTCAATCATTACCGTTCGAATCCTCTCCAGTACAGAGTCAAAAAAGTTTCCTTCAGCCATTCGGGAAGAATTAGGTTTGAACCTTCCAGCAGACTTCTTCTTCCTCTCTGTCTTCTTCTCATGTTTTGAAAGATCCGGCCCCCTGGATGGGCGTGACCCGGCTGTTTCATGAATTCTCCTGGCGGAGATTATCATCTCGCTTTTCTCATCCAACCAGTCCACTCCTCTTCTTTAGGTAGTTCCCTTAAGATTCCCAGAGAATCGAAGGACCATGGTGGAAAGAGCAGGCGCATCGAGGTAGGAATCCATCACCATAAATGGCCACGGTTGAAAGTTGAAACCGTTTCTTGTCTCGGCTGGGGTACCATTTCAGTTAGCGTACTCCGTCTGGTATTTGCATGAATTATTATTGTTCTCTTCCCCTCCTCGCTCTTTTGTTCTTTTATTTTCGTAGCTGGTCGGCTTGTCCTGGCCGCTAGCCTGGCGCATGGTCCGCCTGGTGGTCATTCCTGCAGCGGCTTCTGCCCGCTAGTTGTTGCATGGGCTGTTAAATGATGAATCAGAATCATCGAAGGTGTGGACGACCCTGGTCAAGTCGTCGGTTCCGTCGGGCACAACTATTCCTGGTCAAAGGGATCTTGTTTGATGATTCTCCGCGAATTCCACCTACGCAGGCCGCCGGCTATACTGAGATAGGTTACTGGATTCAGCGGTTCGGTCAATAATGCCTGGAGTACTGGAGTGCCGTCACTGTCAGTTCAGGCGAAATGCATGTGCGCGCGAATGCCACCCCTCGTTCCCTTGATAGCTCGGATCCCTTCTGCCTGTGAAAAGTGAAGGATGAAGAGCTGCTTCTTTTTTTCAGCGCGTATAATACAGCATCTATCGTGTCCTGAGTGGTAGTACAAGCGGCTTTGCTTCAAACGCATTTCCCTTCTATGGAACAGAACTTTGGCATCAGTTCCTGTATAAGAAAATATTGCAGCTCGGCATAGCTCTCTCCTTGCGATTGCCATCAACTCAATCAATAGGCTCTCCTCCCTTGTGTTCCTCGGTTCCACGCCAAGAAGGACAAGAAGGAAGAGGAAAACAAAGTAAAAAGAAAAGACGGGAAAATAAATAATGGAAAACAGAAAAAAGAAAAAAGAAAATAACAACCAAACTAACGAATGCACTCCGTATCCTGGATCTCCTCGCTTCCAGTCTTCCAGACTCCAGAGTCTCCCAGGCGGGCCATTCGTGATCGAGTATTGGATCATCGCGGCCGCCCCGGGTGTCCGGCGGCTTATGGAGCCAACCCTTCGCTAGCGTCGTCGGTATATCTCCCACACCGTCTGCCAATAACACTGTGTCCTTATGATTTATTTTTATTTTTATTCCTCTTTGAGGGTCGTTGATGCCTTGAGGAAAAAGGCTCAGTCCAGTACGGAGTACGGCATGGAGACCGTAGTGGTGTCCCTGCAGGAGAACTACTACTATGTAAGATTCCGCGGCATAAGTGCTACGGTATGGGTTGTCCGCAGGCAAAGAAAGACTGAACTTAGGGTCTATTTACCCTTTTCCGAGAAGAGTTGGCTGGGGAAAGCGCATCGTAATTCGTATGTACCTGACTCTAGAGTCTAAGACTACGGAGTAAGTAAGAAGACCATCCTGTGGCCAGCTCCACGTTGGAAAATTTCCAGTGGTCAGATCGCTGATCGATAGTTAAGTTAAATGGAGTGAATACTACTCTGTAGTTGGTTCTCCTACAGAGACATCTCGCTGGACTCTGAAATCTGAATCCTGCCAGTTTGAAGAGTAGCTTATGAGGCTTGCATCTAGTTTTGATTGACTCGGTATGATACTATCAAGTACTACTCCTACTGACCATCGACCTTGGACTACTATCTAGCGCAGAGTAGAGTAGCACTACCACACAGTAGTACCTACCTAGTCCATGTTCCATCCTGAGTCGTCACTGTTTCCCGTTAACCTTGGTATTGTTCATATTATCCCCTCTATTTATTTATTTATTTCTTTTTTTGTTATTATTATTATTATTATTATTATTATTTTTTTTTTTTTTCACCCTTCCCTCTTTCGCTTATTTAGGCTGGCTGTCACAGTCTGATGATCTTGTCATCTTTGAGGGTCCTTGGCATGAGTCGCCAGGCCCAACTTCAGACTGTTTGGATTTGCCACCATCGACAGAGCCCTGACTTGCTGGAACATCCTCACATCCGTTCTATGATTCTCTCGGTGGTCAGGAATCATGGCAGCATCCTTGACACGCGAGATCTGAGCGGTGGAAAGGTCGAGTACGCACGGCGTAGTATCTTTCAATCTTCAACATCATTGGAAGGCGAAAAGGCCACAACCTTGCAATCCTCCTAGTCGTGGTATTCGCCCGCTTAGTACGCGATACTTTACAGCATCACCGAGTCTTGAACTGGGAGATTACTCCGTCCCCAGTCAGTCAGTATGGTCTAACTAACTAACTAACTCACTAACTCATTCTCACTATCTACTCACAAGTCATTGCTTTGCCGCCACTACTTCGTCCTGTTCCTCTGCCTCTCTGGATCTAGTAGTTTGCCTCTTTCCCCTCCTCCCCCCCCTTCTGGTCCACCTCCATCTTGTCACCGTTTTCTTCTTTTGGCCGCTTGTAACCTCAGAGTCTATCCGGATGCTTAGATCTGGACCCGGGTCTCTTGACTGGACAACCAGTGATTTCCACAGAGAGGATAGAATGGAAATGGTAACAGTAGTATGGAGTCATGGACATGATCTTCCGTATGGTCCAAGATGTCCATCTCCCCAACTATCAAGCTGTGGCCCGTCCTTCTTTCTTAGAGTTATTTGGAAAATGATCTTATTTTCTGCCCTTTCTTTTTATTTATTATTTATTATTATTTTTTATGTCTTTTTCCCCCCTATATATTTTTGGTTTTTACTGCACTTTATGATGCTCTTGTTTTCACATTAGTTAGATAGTTTACAGGGAATTCATTCAATCTTAATTCTCTATAATACCTCATGGTCTATCCGGGTGTGCATCACCTGCCTGTCATCTTATACCTCAAATCCCCCCCAGAGACAGACAGACAGACACCCTCCGTTCTCCACCCTCGTTCGTCACAAGCAACCGACTTATCTGGCTGACTTTCCAACGAGCGAGGAGAGACAGACACTGATCCGACTATTTTCCCCCCCGTTCATCTGCATCGCGAGTCGACTACAGTACTAGCATCGTCTTCGATCCAGGCCAGAAACACTGGAACCACTTCTCCGGTGGATCACTTTCGGACTCGAATAAGGCCTTGGTCTAATCTCCCAGACTTCCCAGTCGTCCCAGGATCCTATCATCATTCATCACACTTTTAGTTCTATTTAGTTGGTCTCTTCGGTTCATTTCCACTTGTGTTGGTTTCGTCTGTTTCCTGCTTGGCTATCATCTATGCATTGCTTGCTAGAATCACTTTAATATCCTCCATACCCTCTAACTATCTACCCACGGTCTGGTTACCTCCTCCGCCCCTCCCCACGGCCCTGCCTAGGACCCATTTGCGGATCTTCCTCCATTCCATCTTGCTTTCGAGCTCGGGTCTCAGCCCCTCACGCCATATTCCACCTTCTCCTTTATCGTTCTGGAAGGAAGCCCGCGAGAAGACCAAAGACAACGGAGACTAAGAGGAGAGGCACCCGTGAGACAACAGTCCTTCTTGACTTATCACCGTGGTGCTCCTTAATCACGGCGATCTCTGCTCTACTTGCGTTTCGTTTGACGCGCGCTGGGCATCTCCTGCGGGAGCCACAAGGAACTCGATCATAGTACACAGTATTACATCCCCTAAATCAACCATCGCTTCCCCTAACGCTTGCCTGTGATTTGCCTGACGGACCCGGCTCGGAGATCCTGAGCTTCTTCAGCAAGCGCCCGGACATTATTCCTGTTAGACCCACCCGGTGCTCGGTTGATCCGTTTTCAAGGTCCTGGTCCTGCAGGATATTCTTCCTCTGTTCTAAGGCCTATTTGTTCCCCAAACTTCTGTTCAAAGGGGAATTTTTGCCTGGCTGGCCCGTCCTCAACAGCAGGATTTGCTCAAAGTGCATCTAGCACCTTTCTACCATGTCAATCAGTGGCCCTTGTGTCTGGTTGTCCTCGTTGTCGCCTCCGGCTACATCCCACCTGTCTGCAATCACAAACCATCTACCATCAGCTGCCTGGAATAGCGATCAGGCCCTTCTGCGGTCAAGGGGAAGCCTACCGAGGTTACCTTATCCGGGGGAGAAGGGAGGCGATTCGACTCCGAAGCAGACCGTCGAGATGCAACCGATTGCGGCGCTGAAGGCTGAGAATGCCTTCACAGCTGCCGAGTCTACAGGCTCGTCCAGCCATGGTCGGTATCCTGTGGCAGAGATGCCTCCCAAGGGAACCGACAACAGGAACACAGACGAGACGCTCTCACGAATGAGACTGGATAAGCTGAACCATAGCGAGCCTCATCTTCCTGAAACATCACGGCCGGCCAGCCCCTCTGCTCAGAGAATATCGACCCCGGAAACGAGAAAGCGACCCCAGGAGGAGTCACAAGGAGACGAGCAGGAGAACGGTGATATAATGACCCACTCATCGGACGAGGGTGGCGACCAGAAGCATTCCTCGGATGCCAAAAACGACAAAAAGAAGATGAAGCGATTTCGGTGAGTCCGAGATCATCTCTGGCTTCTAGCACATCTTATGGGGTTCGAGCAAATACTGATGAAGCTGGCACAGTTTGACACATAACCAAACGCGGTTTTTAATGAGCGAATTCACCCGTCAAGCGCACCCCGATGCTGCTCATCGAGAGCGATTATCAAGGGAGATCCCTGGACTGACTCCCCGTCAAGTACAGGTCTGGTTTCAGAACCGGTATGCTTTATCCCGAAAGAGATTTCCCGTCAATCCCCGCGATTCACTAACGGTTGATGTGTTTCAGGCGGGCCAAGCTCAAGCGACTTACGAGCAACGATCGGGAAAGGATGCTGAAGTCTCGGGCCTTACCCGACGATTTTGATACAACCCAGGTTCTTCGCACTCCATTTGATGGTAAAGCATCATCCGAGGCATCTGTTGCGTCACCCCGAAACTACATGACACCTCATACGGACTCTAATTCTCTGAAGATGCTCCTCACGGATGGATTGCAGCGCATCAACGACGACGACTATGTGGTTTCTCCACTGAGCTCGACATCCACGCCGGGTAACTGTTTCTCTTCGGCTGGCCCCGACAGAAACCCCGATCATTTCCCTCAACCGCTTGCTCGGCCAGCACCCGGAATCCTTCCCGAGTTACAAAGAAGCAGCCGTGGCGCCTTCCCCTTTCCTCGATCGAGCAGCTTCTCTGAGGCATCTTTCAACACAGGATTGCATCTGCCAAATCGGTTCGCGAGGCCGGGAGCCGAACCCTTGAATCACCCCAGTATGTCATATGCGCGACGGCCAATGGAATACAGCATTTCCAGACCGGGTACTGGCATGGTCGTCGGGTATGATAATTCTCGAGCAATGGAAGGCTCGGTTTCTCCAACCGGGCAGCAGGAACAGTCTGCTGTGCCTTACAATGTCGAACACCACCGTACGGCTCTCCCCACCTTCCTTGTCCCCCATCCCTTGGTTTTGACGTGCAGACACTAATCGACATCAAATAGACCAACAACTCCCCCATTATCAAACCCCCCTGACTATGCCCGTCCCCAAAGCTTTTGGTGGCATCGACCTGAACTCACATATGCAACCGCGACATATGCCATCTTTACACTCAATACCGGTGTCCGAAGCCCCTGATTACCGACCCTACTCCTACGAGCACCATCCGTACGGCATGCAGACGGGGATACCTTACTCGCAAGCTAATGCCTCGAGCATGAGCCTTCCTGCCACCTTTCCACCCGAAACAGGGAGCGCCGCTCCCACTGCTGCGACCGCCGAAGACCGAATCGGCCACGCTCCACAGATCTTGGATCCTTTGAGGGCCAAGTTTGGCAACCCGTCCTACGACTATGCCAGTTACATGTGATACGGTCAAAAATTCCGAATCTCGCCTCACCTCACCTCGCGCTCGACCATCCTCAATATTGACCATCGTATTTTCCGGCTTGACATGATGGACAACAAAGATTTGACCCAACAGCTTAATTGTTCATAATTTCCGACACCGCTTCGTACATTTTTTTCGTTTCTATTGTGGATATATTAAAGATTGGGGGGCCATGGAGTTCGCTGTATGCTTGTTCTTGTTCATGGTGCTATTCATTTATTACTTTCTCGTCCCTTTTCTGATCGACTGTGCCTGTGCGTACATTATTCCGGTTTCCACGGAAGGAAACTGTTTTGCATCGAGCTTTTGTTATTCGAGGGTGGAATCATTGCATAGCGTTTTTCTCTCTTCTGCGTTTTTGTTTTTTTTGACAGGAAGTTCCATCGAGAGGACTCCTCGCAATCCTTAGACCCTCACGTCTACCCCCTGGCCAGTATAACAATCTCACTTGACGAGTTTACTGGAAGGCCTGTATTATAGAATTGATTCATTCGAGCATTCAACAACAATTGAGCGTTTCTGTCCAACGTTTGTGGCCTTGACCGACCAGAGGGCGAGAGTTAGGGCTTGGTAGTCAGCTCTATGTGGCGTACAGGGACCAGTGCCAGACCGTAGAAAAGCTTTGATTGATAGTAACCCAATCATATCATTTGATATCAAGGGACTCTGATTACATTCACCACGTTGCAAGACAACCCATAGTCCTCCAATGGGTCGAATGCGATTACCTATCCAACAGGTGTAGGGCTGTAGGCACATTGTGTGACCGAGACAAAGAGTCGTCCAACGAATAAGAGCCAACGCAATTCAACATCCATTAGAATCAAATCCCAAGGCCGGATAGTACCAAATACTGCGATGGTATCGAATCAGAGCGCAGCGAAAGTAATCAGCCACTGCAAAGTCTGCAGGTGATTGACAAGCATGCAAAATCAACACTTCATTACATATAGTTTCCTCTGCATTGGAAGAATCCATCCTCCCGTCTGGACTATCGCCGCTGCACCCCAGATTTTACAGCCAATAAGAGACGTCAGAATTGTCGCCGGCTGGGCTGGCTGAGTCACGGCCTACTTTACTCAAGCCAATCAGCGATTGGGTATTGCTAATCTTGCAACGACCAGGTTGCATGTCGACGAGTCGTATCAAATGTATCAGGCAATGACTAGGAGATATAAATACTGCTTGATATCTGCATGTCGATGATACTTGTCTCTACCATCATCTTCATCCTGTCTTAATCAAGCATATACTTAGACTCGTGCATCGATCATCTCTGGATCCTTCCTTCCTTCCGTTCTCCATCATCCTTCCCGCTTCGGTTACGTCATAGTTGACTTTTCTTCAAAAGAGCATCAATCTCAAAGTTCTTTCAACACCACCAACATTCACCAAAACCTTTTCCAGGCAACTGTTCAAAAACATACACAAGATGACTCACACTCCTCTGTCCTGCTGCAAGACCTCCGGCGAGGGAAGCTGCGTCTGCGCTGCCCAGGCCAAGTGCTCCTGCGGCAAAGAGAGCGCCCTCCACTGCAGCTGCAACAAGGCCTCGACCGAAAACACCGTCTCCGGCGCTCGCTGCTCATGCCGTAAGTGCCGGACCCGGGGAAACCCATCTCCTCACAAACGCGGGCACAGCAACTAACGTATTCGCCAATAGGAGCCCGTCCCGCTGGCCAGTGTACCTGCGAGCGCGCCACGACCGAGAACCACGCCGTGACGGGCGAAGCTTGTCCCTGCGGCAAGAGACCTTCCTGTAGGTGATCCGATCCTGAGATAAGCTTTTCTGGCTACGGAAGGCAATTTTGACTGATCTGTTTGGTTTTTCTAGCTTCCTGCACGTGCGAGAAGGCGGCCGCTGTTGATGCGGTGGCTGAGAGCTTCGAGACTGATTTCACGACTCAGCATGCTTGATTTTTATGGTCCACTGGGCCTCTTGCATTCGATGGGCTTTTTATGATTCGGGTTCGGGGTTTCTGGTGTTTGGGTTGATTGTCTGCTTCGTCTCGTGTATTTTGGTTTGAGGACTTGGGGAGGGCATTGCTGGTTTGGTACCTGGCGGCATGGCTTTCCAGGAGATCGTGATGACTCCTATGCTATCGATAATATAATTTAAGTACGACTTTGATCATAATCTGCTCATTAGTATGCGTGCGATTCGTAATATTGAATTATCCTGAGTTCTTTGGCTTCAAATCTTCCTTTTCACCGTCAACCGTCAATCAAAGCAGAAGCCTCCCAACGAATATAGTTTCATCTGGGGGCGGCGAAGCTCATATAGGCAATCACGCTTATATAATACACACATGCACCTATGGCTCAGTGGTAGAGCATTCCACTTGTATCTGCAATTTGGTAATGGAAAGGTCCGCGGTTCGATCCCGCGTGGGTGCAGTCAGATGCTTGACCCAAAGGTTAAATTAATTTTGTTTCTTTTCTGTTTTTGCTTCACCAATCTTGAGTTCGTAGTTTCCCTTTTTTTTCATAACACCGATGACCATAGCCGTAGAATGCGAGTAAACGGAGCTTCCACCTACCTGTTCAATGGGAGAAATCACTGATCTGAAAAGAAGGATGTGAAAAGACCAGATGGTTGATCAAAGATGCACCGCCTCATCGCAACAACATTGTTCCTTGGATCGTGCCAGTGGGTCAGATCGGCGGCGGAAGTGGCTTAATCAACACGGAGAAACGGTTGCTCTGCTCCCTGAAGCAGGCCAGACCACATGGAACTCCTATCTTGGGCTCTGAACGCTTGGCTTTGGAACAATTCTATGGGTCACATTTCAGGTCCTGTTCTGTTGATGCACTTTATTTGAGTCTATTCATCGGTCTCCGCGTCTCCCCGCTGCTGTCTGTCCTCTACGAACTTTTTCCCCTATCGCCCTCGCCCCCCTCCGCATTCTTCCACGTTGACAGAGCTTCATCGCATCGAGCCTACGCCATGTTCAATGCGATCTGAGAAAAGCCACCTAGAACACGACGAGACCAGCGAACGCCAGAACCGGGATATGTCTATCTGACACCATCCGATTGAGCGAGTCCCACCCCCCTCCGACGCGGATACCTGGCGCATTCAACTAGAGGAAACGCCCATCCGAAAATATCAGGCGGCGTTTTTGCAAAAAGTCAGCTTTTGGTTACAGACGGACACACCGAATCCTATAAAATTCCACCACAGCCACCATGTCGTCAATGCGAGGCTTGGTCCAATTCATCGCGGATCTGCGCAATGCACGAGCGCGCGAACTCGAGGAGAAGCGGGTGAACAAGGAACTCGCCAACATCCGGCAGAAGTTCAAGGCCGGGAATCTCAACGGCTACCAAAAGAAGAAATATGTCTGCAAGCTGCTCTACATGTATATCCAGGGGTATGAGGTGGACTTTGGCCACCTGGAGGCCGTCAACCTGGTCTCCTCGACCAAGTACTCCGAGAAGCAGATTGGGTATCTGGCCGTAACGCTGTTTCTGCACGAGCAGCATGAGCTGCTGCATTTGGTTGTGAACAGTATCCGGAAGGATCTGCTGGATCACAATGAGTTAAATAACTGTTTGGCGTTGCATGCCGTTGCCAACGTCGGTGGACGGGAAATGGGCGAGGCGTTGAGTATGGATGTTCATCGGTTGCTGATTTCCCCGTAAGTGTTTTGTGGTGCTCGTTGCTTTTTCTTCTAGGTGCAACAAATTAACCGGATCCAGCACGTCGAAAGCCTTTGTGAAGAAAAAGGCCGCCTTGACTCTCCTCCGATTGTACCGGAAACACCCTGGCATCGTACAGAATGAATGGGCAGAGCGGATGATTTCCTTGATGGATGACCCGGATATGGGTGTCACTCTTTCCGTCACTTCTCTCATCATGGCCTTGGCTCAAGACAGACCGGATGAATACAAAGGAAGCTATATCAAAGCCGCGCAACGGCTGAAACGAATTGTCGTTGACAATGAAGTCGCGCCTGATTACCTCTACTACCGCGTTCCATGCCCTTGGATCCAGGTCAAAATGCTGCGCTTACTCCAATACTACCCGCCCTCTGGTAAGGATTCCATCCGCAATGTTCCTGTTCCCTCTAGCTGACCTGTCCCAGAGGACAGTCATGTTCGGGAGATTATCCGAGCGTCCTTGCAGCAGATCATGACTACAGCCATGGACACGGCCAAGAATGTGCAACAGAATAATGCTCAGAATGCGATCTTGTTCGAAGCCATTAACCTCCTTATCCACCTCGACACAGAACACAACCTCATGGTGCAAATCTCGGCTCGTTTGGGCAAATACATTCAATCCCGAGAGACCAACGTCCGCTATCTTGGTCTGGAAGCGATGACGCATTTCGCAGCTCGGGCAGAGACGCTGGACCCTATCAAGAAGCATCAAAATATTATCCTTGGCTCACTTCGAGACCGAGACATCAGTGTGCGGCGTAAAGGTTTGGACCTGATCTACAGCATGTGCGACACCACAAACGCAGCACCGATTGTGAACGAGCTTTTGCGATACCTCCAAACCGCAGACTATGCCATTCGAGAAGAAATGGTCCTAAAGGTTGCAATTTTGACGGAGAAGTATGCCGCTGATGCTCAGTGGTACATCGACATGACATTGAAACTGCTGTCTCTGGCGGGTGACCATGTCAACGAGGAAGTATGGCAGCGCGTCATTCAAATTGTGACCAACAATGAAGAACTACAGGCATATGCTGCGCATACGTTGCTTGGCTACTTGAAGACCGACTGCCATGAAAGCTTGGTGAAGATCGGTTGTTACGTGCTTGGAGAATTTGGTCATCTGATCGCCGACAATGAAGGCTCTAGTCCCATTGAACAGTTCATGGCCCTGCAGGGCAAGATGGTCACCAGCAACGACAACACACGTGCCATGATCTTATCCTCGTTCGTCAAGTTTGTCAATCTCTTCCCGGAAATCAAGCCGCAGCTGTTGCACATCTTCCGTCTCTATAGCCATTCTCCGGATACTGAATTGCAGCAGCGCGCATTCGAGTACTTGACTCTGGCGACGCTTCCCACGGACGATCTTCTCAGGACGGTGTGCGACGAGATGCCGCCCTTCTCCGAGCGAGCCTCGATCCTTCTGTCTCGGCTTCATCAGAAGACGGCGGGCACCACCGAGAAGAAGACCTGGGTCGTGGGCGGCAAGGACGCCAATGCGGACAAGAAGGAGGTTCTCATGGCTCAACATACCGGGCTCAAGCGCACGTTCACGACCATCGTCAATGGCACCAAGACGGGAGCGAACGGTGCTGCGGCAGCATCCAACGCATCTGGCGATCTGGCCGGACTGGACCTCAGCGCGCCACCTGCTGCGGCACCCAACATGGCAAGTGCAGCGCATCTTTCGCCAGATTGGGAGCCTGGGTATAATCGGTTGTACTTCTCGGATGAAGGCGTGCTCTTTGAAGATGCGCAGATCCAGGTTGGCTTGCGATCGGAGTTTCGTGGTCATATGGGAGTGGTGAAGATCTATATTAGCAACAAATCCTCTTACCCAATTGCGTCCTTGACGACCACGCTGGACAACCCCGCCGCACCGAATTTGAAGATCGACAGCAAGAATCTTCCCGAAACGTCGGTCGCCGCAGCCGGCCAGACACAGCAGACATTATTCTTCGGGGCTCACGGGCCATTCGCCGATGCGCCCACTATCCGGATCTCATACCTTGCAGGTGCCCTGCAGGCCTATACCCTGCAGCTCCCGGTCCTTATGCACCGCTATATGGAACCATCGACCCTCTCGGCCGAGGAATTCTTCAAGCGATGGAGGCAGATTGGTGGGGCGCCGCTGGAGGCGCAGCGCACCTTCGGAGTTACAGGCAAGGTCAAGAATGTCACTGAGGCGTTCACACGACGGGTGGTGGAAAGTTTCCACTGGAAGATCCTGGACAACGTGGATCCCAATCCACATAATATTGTCGGATGCGCTGTATACCAGTTCCAGGGCGGAAAGACGGGCTGTCTTCTTCGACTGGAGCCCAACTACGAGAGAAAGGTAGGCTGGAACAGATCGACCCCTGCCATATATCATATATGCTAACTCTTTTATTTGTAGATGTACCGGGTCACTATTCGAGCGACGCAAGAAGCCGTGCCACAGGCACTTACCAAGCAGATGGAGCAGAAACTGGCGCAGGGAGCAACGGATATGTACGGTTTGCGATGAACTGGAGAGAGCTTCTATACGATGGCCCCTATGATCAATCTAATAATATCCCCGGTTCGGGAGGACTCGTGAAAGCGAGATCCACCTCTGTAATTATTGATACTATCACACAAAGTATATATTGTGCATGCCGCAATCCAATAACTTTTTTTCGAATAGTAATTAAGCTGATACAACAAACACCTCTGGTGCAACGCCCAAGTAATCATCCAATGCAAGTCGTCAATCGTCACACTTTTTTTTTTACCCCCTTTCCTCTCGTGGATGGATAGTTATAGGATCCTCGCCTCCGACTTGGGCGGCCTATGCCCGAAGATAGTCGTGCCAACACGCACCTGGTCACTCCCCAGGGCAATCGCACCCTCAAAGTCCTCCGACATGCCCATACTCAACTCCAGCTCGGCCTCGGGCCCCTGCAGCCCCAGCTCCCGCACAATCCGATCCCTCGTCTCACGCAGACACACAAAATCCTCATTCTCATTCTCCGGCGTCGTCGCCTTCGACCGCGCAATGGCCCCGATGGTCATGACCCCCTGCAGCCGCAGCCGCGGACACTTCTCGCGGACGAAGCGCGCCAGCGCCACCGCCGCCGCCGGCTCCACCCCGGCCTTATTCTCCTCGCCGGACGTGTTCACCTGCACGAAGACACGCAGGCGGTCGTCCGCATCCGTGGCTCGCACCTCCGCGGCCCGCTCCCCCCACCCCTTGTCCAGCAGGGAGGCCTTCTTCTCGGAATCGACGCTCTCGACGGCCCAGAGGCCGCGCACGTCGCGGGCTAGCGCAACGCACTTGTTCGACTGCAGGCCGCCGATGAAGTGCCAGCGGATCGTGGGGGGCAGCAGCTTGGATTTCTCGGTGAGTTCCTGGAGGTAGTTCTCGCCGAAGTGGGAGTGGTTTGTTGGCGGGTTGTGCAGGGCGAGGATGTCGGCGGCAGTCTTGAGTTTGGAGACGGCGACGAGGCGGACGGGGTGTGTTGGGGCGCGGTGGGCGGTGCTGGCGGCGGTGGTGATGCGGGAGGTTACAGAGGAGAGGTTGGAGAGGAGCGTGGCGGTTCGAGAGGGGGAGGCGGGCATGATTGCTTGGTGTTGTTGTAGTTGGTGGTGTTGGTCTTGGGACGTCATTGATGTGTTGGAGGATGGGGTGGTATTGTGGTCGAACTATATCATTTGGCAGTGCTTGTGATAATGATTGTTATATCAAGTGGTGTAGAGGCTTTGCTGGTGGTGGTCGGAGGACTCCGTAGTTCATCCTGTTGGTTTTTTGACCTTAGTGACTCGGAGGTGAGGGCGATTACTGGATTGGGATTAGTGGCTCTTCATGACGAGATCTTATCATGGAGAACTGATATCAGTGCCTCTCTTCACAGCAGGACTCGAACAATTGATTCAACCACTGCAAGCACAGAGAAAGCGTCAATGCCATAGCCTGATAGAGCCTGCGTCCTTTTGTTGTCTACAAATGCTCTGGTGGAATTCATGCCTTATTGCCTCAGTCATTATACATGACACTAAGCCAGAATCGAATCCACGTGATCCTGTGAGATCGGCGTTGAGGATTTCCGAACCAATCAGAAGACAGCTGTGCAACTATAAGAGCTAAGCCCAATGCAGCTAGCCCCATCTCGTTGAGGGAAACGAAACAAAACGACGCTATTCCGTTTCCGGTCAAAAGTCTGCAGGGTCCAGAAGAATCGGAGATTGATGACTGATCAATCAATCAATCAATCAATCAATCAATCAATGGTCTCTCATCAACGATCCCTCATGTCATCATCATCATCATCATCATCATCATCATCATCATCATTCCTGAGGATGACTACTGTGTGAAGTGCTCATTCATTCTTCCAGAAGGCGCAGGTCCCGCCAGAGGACAATCGGAGTCCCGGATGATACCTTGTCAGTGGCTTAGGACAGATTGCAACGACAAGGATCCATCATCTGGGATACTGATCTCCCGCTGAAACCCACCACCAGATGGAATCGAGGGAATCCATACAATCTCCGGGGCTCAGATCCTTTCCTTATTAATGCTCAACAGATTGAGACCTGAAACAGAATGACAGAACACAAATGTCTATGGCTCTGTGTGTGCCTATGTGCTGAAAGCCAAGACAACCACAGCGCACTTGAACCACAGGCACAAGTGTGGGCTGAAAGTCCCATGTGAGCGCCTCGACCACAGAACGAAGGAACCTAGAATTGAGATGAAGAGACCCTCAGCATCTTCTTGGGTGTCAGTCCATAAGAAATAGGGCCAAGAAGAATAACGTAGGCGCCTAAATTCAAGCGCCCACCGGAAGGTCTGACATTGCCTCTGGATGGCGATTGGACTGCAGGAAGTGTTCATCCTTGTGAGAGAAATATTAATAGACACAAAAGCCACCATCTTGTGAAGGAATTGGATCAAAGAGTAAGATGGTAAATTGAATAGGGAAATATTAGCAGAGAGAAATAGAGTCCATGACCCTTTCAAAATACCGTCAAATACCTTCGTCTTCTTCTTCTTCTTCCTCTTCTTCACGACTTTCCTGCGCCTCTCATTCTACTTCAACGTAGGTACGTTGACGTCAATCAACATTCTCTTGTGGTCATCATCGTCGTCGAGATCATCAAATCACCTACATCACTCACTTCCTATCATTGTGATAGTTTCCTTTCCTTTTCTCTTCGTCATTACTACTCTTGTTTTTTTTTTCTTTCTTTCTTTTCTCGTGGAAGTTGCAGGCTGGATTCTGCTTAACTGCTCCTCCTTCCCGGGTCATTTTTACTCTTGACACACACACACTCCTCCCCCACAACTAAGACATACCTATACGCTTGATTGACTCTTTGACTGCGTCAAAGACCTTGTGTGTTCCCTTTTCACCTGGAGTATCAATCAGATATATTGTTCCGGAACCACTGCCGCAGACAAAGAAAGCACCCAGTCTTACAGTGTACTTCTATCGAAAACTCATCGCAACCATAACACTGAAATACATTGACCCATCGCCTCAAAACAACAGCCAGACAAGTTTTATAGCTTGAATCCCCTTTAAAAAATATTCAAGGAACACACTTGTCATTTGTCGTCGAATTGGTATCCAACCCGTCAGATTTTTATACTTCATCCGGAGGTCCGCGGAAAGAGGATCCATTACTATAACGTCCTCCCTTGCGCCTTTGTATACTATCGCTTGGAGAGAAACACCGAAACCGTACACGCACTTACAATCGCTGAATCATCATGTGTCGCCAATACTATACTTTCTATACGTGGTGCCAGTGCGAAGTGGACGCAGGTCAGAACCTCTGCGTCGCTTTCAAGCGAAACGACTGTGAGGGCCTCAGCATCGAGACGGTGCATATGCACTGTTTCTGCAATCATCATGCGAGCAAAGGATTCAAGTCAGAAAAGAAGTCAAAGAAACCGAAGCGCTCGTCTGCGGGCAGCTCAGCAGGCTTCTCACTAGAGGAAAAGTCGTCGACGACATCAAGGAAATGGTACCAATTCCGTGGTCTGCGATCGCGAACGTTCTAAACCTGAATCCCTGTCCTTACATGGCGAACCTCTTTTTCTCTTGATTTGTGTCTTATGTGATCATGTTCATGCTTTATGACTTTGGGACCGGTGTTTCTTGGAGCCCAGAAGGGATAGCCTTGGGGAGTTCTTTCAGACGGCAGGATTGGCGTTTTCTCGGATTTGATGATGGCAAGGCCTTATTCTTCCCCCCCTGGATTTCGGTAGAGCAGAAATATCAGAGTGGATAGAAATGTAAATGTCGAGATCTTCATTGATTGATTGTTCCACAATGACTGTATCATTACGACCGATCAGCATATGACCAGGCAATCACTTCCAACGAAAATGAAAATAAAAACTATGGTTGATACAGTCTTTGTTGGCCCAAAAACTATCCAATTATTGGGACCACTCGTTGCCTTTATCATCGAGTCAAATGTGTCTCTGATGTCTGAACTCGAACAAAGCGACGATGCCGAAGAATGAGTGGAGGGAGGAGAAACACTGCCAAAGGGATCAAAACGACGACGGCTCGTTTTTTCTCCTTGTTTCGCTCGCTGCTCTCTTCTCCCTTCGACCATCGGTCAATCCGATGCTACTTTTCTTTCTCTGGCTGTTTTCCATCGCGTTTGTCTAACAAGAAAGGATATATATGTTCGATCTGTCCTATTCACACGCTGGTTAACTCAAATGCCACATCTATCGCTGTCATGGACCCCTCCTCTGTACGCGACGAGCCCAATGCGCCTTTCACTGCATCACCGTCCTCTACGCCCAATGCAAACCATCTATCCAATGATCTGAACCATCTCTCGATTGCTTCTGTGTCCGCGACTCCTCTCTCAACATCTCCTCCAGCCATTCCCTCCCCTTCGCTATTATCACCACTTCACGTCCCGCCACGTTCTTCTGTTGATCAAGCCCATTCTGCGCCCCGACGTACTCCAAGCTCGGGTTCTTTGAAGGAGGAAAGAGATGGCCGACGCGGCTCTTCGGCAAGCCTGAAGAAGCGCTCATCGATCGCCTCACTACGGTCTTCGCGCAACAGCGGAGGGACCTCCCCTCGCCCCAGCTTATCGCGACGCTCGTCGTCCTCCAACTTTGCGACCTCCCCCACCACTTCGACGACGAACACAATGTCGTCAAAGAAGCCCTTAGAGCAAACCACACCCACCGCATCTTCCATGGCGGCGGAGTTCTTTCAGCAGGAAATGAATATACACCAGTCGGAAGATCTCAAGGCCAAGACTATAGTTGTTGTTCATGACGCCTGCTACGGCCATCGTTTTTCGCGACCACGAACCTCTAAAACTGCCCTGAGCTATATTGTCGAACGCCCGGAAAGGATCCAAGCCTGCGTGCTCGGCGTGTCTGCAGCATATGTCCATATGGCCTGTCGACACGCTGGGAAACGGTTCGCGCCTCATCCTGATCTTGATCCTCATCAGCTCCCTGTGCCGCCTTTCCAGATCCGCAAGACATCGCGAACTCTTCCTCTCAGCTCTGCAGCTGTGACCCATGTGCATGGGACGAAGTGGATGGAAGACCTGAAAACCATGTGCGACGCAGCAGAGTCACGTCTTGCGTTGAACGGGAAGGAGTTGGTTCGGCCACGCAGTTCAGGAAAAGACAGTGACTCGACAAAGAAAGCCCCGCTCAACGATGGCGATCTATATCTGTGCGCTGAATCGTTGAATGCCTTTGAAGGTGCGCTCGGCGGAGTCTGCGAAGGTATCGACGCCGTGTTCAGTCCTGGTGCGACACAAAGAGCGTTTGTTTGCATTCGTCCCCCAGGCCATCATTGTTCTGTCGCCCAGCCATCCGGATTTTGCTGGATCAATAACGTCCACGTGGGCATCACTTATGCTGCCATGACGCACGGCTTGACCCATGCTGCCATCTTGGATTTTGACCTCCACCATGGCGACGGCTCGCAGGACATTGCGTGGGAGCAGAACCAGAAAGCATTGTCGGCAGTCTGGAATGCGGCCAACCACAAGAAAACCAGGATCGGCTATTTCAGCTTGCATGACATCAACTCGTTTCCCTGTGAGGGTGGTGATCCGGAGAAAGTGCGTAACGCGAGTGTCTGTATTGACAAGGCGCACGGGCAGTCGATCTGGAATGTTCATCTGGAGACGTGGAAGGATGAAGCGGAGTTCTGGGAAATCTACGGATCTAAGTATACGTTGATACTGGAAAAGGCACGCGCATTTCTGCGACTCCATACGGAACGCCTACTTCAGGCCCCCCATGACACGCCACCCAAAGCCGCAATCTTTATCTCCGCAGGGTTTGATGCTAGCGAATGGGAGGGATCCGGTATGCAGAGACATCAAGTGAACGTTCCAACCGAGTTCTACGCCAAGTTCACTGCTGATGTTGTTCGGATGGCGGAGGAGGAGGGTCTGGGAGTGGATGGGCGCGTTATCAGTGTTCTTGAAGGAGGCTATAGTAACCGCGCGTTGACCAGTGGAGTTCTCAGTCACCTGGCCGGTCTGGGAGATAAAACAACCATGCTGGCCGATGTTAACGGTACACAACAGGCGGGCCTGGCGTACGAGATGTTTGACCGTCTGCATATCGCGGAACACGCTTCAACAGAAACTAGGCGCACGCTGTCTGATGTCGAATACGATACTGAGTGGTGGGCATCAACCGCGCTTGAGGATTTGGAGGCGCTTGTCTATGCACCTGCTCCCCACGTTTCCAAGTCGAAGTCAGCTCCTACTTATTTTGCGCCCACGCGGTCCTTCACGGCTAAAGTTGTCCCCTCCTCCCGTGATCGAAGATCGAGTGGCTCCCAGACGAGCTTGGATGCCATACCATTACCAGAGATACCCTGGACTACCGCAGCGCACGAGCTGTCCAAGATACTCATCCCCAGCCACCGGCAAGTTTCAAGTTATCGTCCAGAAGAGCTTAATGCTGAAGCCTCACGCCTACGGCGGGAACGTCACACGGCTGCAGTCGCTGCTCAAAAGCCCGGCAACGTACCAGGAGCGGCAACAGCGCCGGAAGCAAGTCGGATGCAACTCCGCACTCGCAAGCCCAAAACCTCTCTTCCCAGTTCCCCACAGGTGGAAACACCGAAGAAGCAGGTCATGAAGAGCAATCGAAGGACCACTATCGACCCTGCTAGTGATCTTCCAGGCTCATCCACTGACCGTTCGCCTATTATTAAGACCACTCGCAGAAAGAGCGCAACCTCAACGCCGGTCGCTTCTGGAAAGGTTGTTGCAATCGAGACTGCTCAAGGGCAGCCCGGAGCTTTAACCACGATAAGCGATAGATCCGCGATGTCGGAAGTGGACGCGAAGAACCGGCCTTTAGTATCCAGCGGCAGCCGCCGACCTAGCACGTCTCGTGTAACCACGCCCAAGCTCTCTGAGAGCAATGTGCCTCCAGTGCCTCCATTACCTCCAGCGACGTCCGTGCCATCTACTGTCACACGTGACTCCCTAGGCGACGAACTGCGAACACTTCTGGATGATGGAAAAATGACCACTGCGCAAGATGGTGAAACAAAGCGTGCAGATGTAGATGACTTGACCGCTGGCGTCAAAAAACTGAGCATCAAGTTGAAGGTACCGACACCGGAGGAGCACGCTGCTCGCGAGAAAGAGAGGAAAGCAGCCGAGGACCGCAAGAGACGTACGTCCAAGGGAACAACTTCCAGACCTCGACTGCCCAAAAAGGCTTCGAGTGCCGTCGCGGGCTCACAGACATCTGTTGCAAAACAAACCTCTCGACCATCATCCAGTCGCGGCACTCAACAGGCACCCGACTTCAATCGATCGACTCAGAGCGCACCGATCGATATCATCAAGCAGGAAAGTGAGGAGATGCTGCATGAAGATCCCATTGCATCATCGCCTGATCCCCTCGTGGAACCTGGAATGCCGCAGCTGAATAATGTCACTATCCAACGGCCTCGCTGGGAAAGGTCAGTTTCGGCTTCTGCTTTAGCTCCAGAGTCTTCCTCTGTGCCGGTAACCTCGCCTACCATGGCGCAAGAATCCATTCCTGTCCAATCTAAGGTATACGCGCCACCGACTACCGCAGGCCAGACGATGAAAGGCTTCCCTGTGTTCACCGCGAGCGGGCCGATTCCATTTGCGGCAGCAGGTCTTGATAATAGCAACCAGGAAAATTGGGCGTCACCTTCTCAGGACCATTCTTCTCAGCCTGATTCTGATCATTACCCCAATTAGGGCCTTTTACCTGAGAACAATTGGTCTTTAGTTTTTTTTTTTTTTTTTTTTCCCTTTCTGTCTTCCATTCGACCCAGACAGTGTTTTATTTCTTTTTCAATTGTTTGGTTTTCTTGTGTTTGAATATACCCCCTGAGCTGTATTTACTTCGTTCAGCCTTGGCAAGGTTGCTATTGTCCTGTTTCTGCTTGTGACTGAGAATGTTATCCGATTTGCGAAATCAATTCTCTGAAATATAACCTTCTACGTAGCTTCATACATTCATATCGTGTGTACCTCGGCCCATACGAACAACATCGTTATCTCCGAGATCCAAATCAGATAATCAGCGCCACAGCCACACTTAACACTTTAGCCTTCTTCTCCGCGTGACTGCGCCTCTCCGGCTGAGTCATCTGTCTACTATCTTCGGCCTCCGCACGTTGCCAGCGGCTTCTAGCGCCATCTCTTGGAGTCCTATTATTCATCCTTCTCTTGCGCTTCAGATAATACCCAACTGTTCTCTTCGTTCTGCGGTTGAGCCGGTCGACTTTTCTCTCCTTCTATATCGCATTTCCACAAACCCACACTCACAATGTCACCCATCGGCGTCTCCAGGGGACGCACGTCCAGCGAGACCCTCGATTCCTTCACCCAAATGGCCGATAAGGACCTGGAGTCGATCGGCCGCCACTGCCAATACGAATACTGCCACCAACTCGACTTCCTCCCGTTCCGCTGCGAGTCGTGCCGGGGCACATACTGCCTCGACCACCGCACCGAGACAGCCCACCACTGCCCGAAAGAAGGCGAATGGGCGCGCCGCCGCAACAACAACAACAACAACAACAACACATCCACAACCACCGGTCCTCCCACGCAGAAACCCACCATCTACAACACAGAGCAGTGCGCACACGTCGCCTGCAAAACCCTCATCAACACCATGAAAGACCCCGCCGTGCGCTGCCCAAACTGCAACCGCCAGTATTGTCTCAAGCACCGCCTGCGCGAGGAGCACGAGTGTGCGAAGATTGCGCCGCTGGGCGCGCGAGCTGGCGGGCAGGGCGCGAACTCCGCGGAGACGATCCGGTCGATGTTTGCGCGCGTGCGCACGTGGGGGAAGGAGAAGGGCGCGGCGGGGGCGGCGCGGCCGAAGAGTGGTGCTGCGGCGCGGGTCTCGGAGCTGAATGCGCTGAAGAAGGCGGCGAAGGGGGACGCCGGGGTGCCTGTGGAGAAACGGCTGTATGTGCATGTGGTGGGGACGGCGGAGACGCAGAAGGCGGAGCCGCCGAGGGGGGAGTTCTGGTTTGATTCGAGGTGGAAGGTTGGGCGCGTGCTGGACGATGCGGCGAAGCGGTTGCGCGTGGAGAATGTGAATAACCGGGCGGGTGAGGAGGAGCGGCTGCGCATCTTCCACTTGGAGTCTGGGGAGTTTTTGGAGTTCGCGGAGACAATTGGCGCGGGGAAGGTGAAGCAGGGGCATACTCTTGTTCTGCTGAGAGGAGCCGGTGTGATGCTGGGCAAGTCGTGAACATTGCTTGCGTCGGTCTGCTTGCATAGTCTGCCATTTTCATTGTTGCATATTTCAGGAACATCATATACCACCATCACCAGCCTGTTAGTTCTTTTTTGTTATATTCCAGCAAGCGCATCTGAGTATATACTGCTGCATAGTCATGAATTCTTCGTGTCCTCTATCCCTCATCAAGCTATACAAACGAACACTGGTATCAATAATATTAAACACAAAATTTAGAATCAAAATCAAACGCTCATGTTCATCTTGATGGCTTTATGGGGCTGGTACCCGATAACCTCAAACTCCTCCTCCTTCCAGCCATCCACAACCCCACTGCCCCGATCATCACGCTTGATCCGCAGTTCCGGAAACTCCGTGGGCTCCCGCTTCAGCTGCTCCTCCAGCGCATCGACATGATCCAGATACACATGCGCATCCCCCATAGTATGGATCAGGGTGCCGGGATTCAGATCCGTCGCATGGGCCAAGATATGCGTCAGCAGCGCATACGACGCGATGTTAAACGGCACACCCAGCCCCATATCACATGATCGCTGGTACAGCAAACACGACAGACTGCCCTTCCGGTCCAAGCCATCGGGATACGAGACATAGAACTGCGCAAACATATGGCACGGCGGCAGCGCCATCTTCTTCAGATCCGCCGGGTTCCACGCACTCATGATGATCCTGCGGTCGAAGGGCGTGTCCTTCAACTTGCGCACGACCTCCGCGAGCTGGTCGACGCCTTGGCCCGCATAATCCGTCTTCGCGTCGACATACTCCGCCCCGAAATGCCGCCACTGGAATCCGTACACGGGGCCCAGGTCGCCGACCTCGCGGTGGCCCAGCCCGACTTTATCCAGGAACTCGCGGCTGCCGTTGCCGTCCCAGATCTTGACGCCCGCCTCGGAGAGCGGCAGTGACGACGTGCATCCGGAAATGAACCAGAGGAGCTCGGCGAGGACGGCGCGCAGGAAGACGCGCTTGGTGGTGAGGAGGGGTAGGACCGGGATGCGGTCGGCGGTGGACGTGGCGCCCGGTTTGGAGAGCGAGAAGCGGAGTTGCGGTGGTGCGAAGATCGAGCGGGTGCCTGTGCCGGTGCGGTCGGGGCGATGCTCGCCCTCGGCGAGGATCGTGCGGATGAGGTTTAGGTATTGGTGTTCCTCATGGGTGGGGTTGTGAGGAGCCGGAGAGCCAGACTGGCTGGGCGTGTCCTGTGGTGTGACTGCTGCAGGCGACATATTCGAGGGGCACTTTCACTTTGCTTCTGTTCAATGCTGGTAGAGAGATGAGATGTTGGAGAACTTGTTGCGGATGACTCTTTGATGGAGTGGGACGCGTGAACGCGACGCGCCACGCGATCACGTGAAGATAAGAAAGCCGCCAGGCGGCAATTACGGAGTAAATGCCAGACTCGGAAGAATTGTTCTTCGTTTGATGGACGGGAAATATTTACAATGTTTCCAGCCATGATAGCCAGTTCTAATAATAAGTGTGCTATATTCTATATGCGAAAGTCTAGTCAGCCAGCAAGTCAACTCCAACACCACGTAGCGCATTGACGGCCCATTCCGGAAATTTCGTCTTGTCGCCGTAGAGATTGTCGAAGAACTCGCGCAGGAACGCTGGGTATCGATCCTCGAGAATGGCTTGACGAGCTGCACCCATCAAGGACAATTGGTAGTGAACATTGTGAATGGTGAGGCTGTGGTAGTATTAGCACGTTGACCCCGGCACACATACACATAATCGCAAAACTCACAGATGGGCTCCCACGGTCTCTTTGGCGGCCAGGTGATGCAGATAGGCCCTGGTGATTCCGAGACCACCCTGTTCTCTGGGACGACAAGAGGAGCATGTACATCCTTCCTGGATGGGCCCAAAGTCTTCGGCAAAGGCCTTGTTGCGGAGGTTCAGGGTGCCCGAAGGGACAACCGCATTTCCAAATCGCTGCACACGTATTAGTCCTGAAGCGCATTTTACAAAAAGTTCAATCCACTCACTGCTGTTCTTGTGGGCCATACGCAATCGAACATGTCTGCGCCGAGAGCAACGGCCACAACCAGATCCTCCGGATACCCCTGAGGAAAGTCAGCAAATCGGAACGCTCAGGGAAGGAGCGAAATATCCTACCACTCCCATCACATATCTTGGTTTGTGCTCTGGGAGAAGTCCGGTGCACGTATCCACCCTGCTGCTTGTCAGCTGGATTGATCAACATCAAACACCTTTCTGAAGACTTACACTTTGCAAAACTCTTCCTTCGCTTCGCCGCCAGATAGACCTCCAATGGCAATTCCAGGGGTATCTCGTGCCACCATCGCTTCACAGCACTGCTTCCGAAGCTCGAGATCCAGGCCGCCCTGTATGATGCAGAAAAGATTCTGTCTTTCCGGATATTTGTGCGCATCGATACACCGGTCCAGCCAACGTACGGAACGTTCCATAGCCTCGTGGATTCTGGCATGATCTGGCGAGGTTGTTGCAATCACGTCGTCTAGCTGCATGATGATATCGGAGCCGATGGAATTCTGTAGCGAGATGGAGTGTTCTGGGGTAAGGAGCCTGGACAAGCCGCAGTTAGAGGAACTGGACTGGAGCGCCGACAGGACGAGTAGACGCACATGGGAGTACCATCATGGGGGCTGAGGAAGCGAACACCCTCCTCGGTGACTTTCGCAAGCTTCAACAAAGAAACCATCTGAAAGCTATCGGCGCATGCGTCAGTAATAATGAGCAAGAAGAAGCAGCTAGTAACCCACCCGCCGCTATCTGTCAAAATATTCCGGTCCCATCCTTGCAGTTTATGTGCCCCGCCCACTGCATCGAGAACCTCCTGCCCCGGTTTCAATCCCAGATGGTATGTATTATTCAGGCAGAGCATACAGCCCGTTTGTTTCAGTTGGTCATAGGTAAGCCCCTTGAGAGACGCCTGCGTCGCAACCGGCATGAAGATGGGGAGAGGCACCGAGCCATGGGGAAGGGTGAGGGTGCTAGCGCGCGCTTTGGTGGTCTGTACGCGGGATTTTTGATCAGATATGCGCAAATTAATAACCGATAGAAGAGAGCATTATGGCAAGCATACTGAGCATTTCTTGTGTAAATCGAACTTCAAAGCAGACGGCATTGGTTTGCGCGGAGGGGTAGCTTCGGTCGACATGTTTGCGATCTGGGGCTTGCGCCGAACTGCTGGAAGACAGAAGAAGGTTGAGAAAACGCGGTCGGCTGCTTGTCTGGATTGGCTATGGTAGAATGACTTCCTCCAGAACAAAGCCAAACCTGTCATGGGGGAGAACAAGGGCAGCAGTCGACGCACAACAGCCGCGAAACAGAACAAAATCGCGATTTCATTATCGATAGATAAAGATGCGCGCTAACCCGATATGGCAGGGGTTCGTACTTCTCCTCGTGGCCAATCAGAGAAGAGGGTTCTCTTGGCGGTTCTCATCATAACAAAAACCATCGATCTACCCAATGCTGACTTTTGGCCTTGAATGGTCTGTGAAAAAGCGGTTTCAACTGGATGGAGGCGCATTTGCCATCATAGCTACGGGAATCAGGGTCCTGGCGATTTCGTGTCTCTAGTCTGGCTGATAACTCTAAGCACCGGCTGCTATTGCATCCCGACATAAAAAGCACTACGCCCAGCAACTGCTCTTGAGAAAACAAACCACATGAAGACCAGAAGACTTTTTTTTTGCTTTAGAAGAGGTAAAATCAGCTTGATTCTAAATCGGAATTACAGTAAATCCAGATTATAGATGACTCTCTGACCGATAATACCAGATGTGGCGGCCTCGGCGTGTGGAAGCTTAACACCGATAAACACAAGCTTCACGAGATTGCATCTACATCTGAACCTTCTTATGGATAGATTCAGATCAATATCAAAGCAAGTGGAGAATTATTGAACGGTAATACCCATCGTTGCTTGGTGAGTTGAAGTCCGTCCGTCTGGCGTCTGCAGGTTTCCCTTGTACAACTCTTGGGTGTCCTTTTATGTATCTGTCTTCTCAGCGAGCTCGTTCAGCCCCAAACATGCCGATCTACTGCCTCTTTCGTCGAGGAGCAGCCAATCATCCCTCTGCCATTCTAGAGCCATCTGATTCTTCTACAGAGTAGGTAGATAGCCAGGTGGCTAGTCCAGGTGATTGGTGAGAACCAGAAAGCGTCGGAAGTTCGCCGATATCGCGGAGGCACCATCTCCCCAACGGGGTTACCCCAGTTCCACAGCTCGCTTACTTCTGCGGGGAGGTGACTAGAGAGTATCTAGGGGTTCGCGCCAGACGCCAGCACCAGGCCTATAAATCTTCATCCGGAAGACAGGGGTCTTGATTGTCGAGTCTTCTTCATTTGCTTATGAGCTGACTGCTGATCGTCTCCCAGAACATGAGTGAGCCAGAAAAAGCCATTGCTGGCGTTGAGCCTGCTCGGGATCTTGAGCTCGCCTCTGATGTATGTATAAACCAACCCCGGATGATGAAACAAGTCATGCTGAGATAACCCACCAGGTCTTTAACGAGCACAATTCCCATGACCCAGAGCTTGCCGCTCGCGAGAAAGCACTGGTCTGGAAACAGGACCTGCGCATCGTCCCGTTATGTGCAGCAATCTATTTGCTTTGCTATCTAGATCGATCCAACATTGGTAAGGAGGGATCTAGCAGGAGGAAAAGGATGTCTACTAATGGGCGCAGGAAATGCGAAAATCCTCAACCAGGATACGCACCATGATCTACTATCAGAGACCAAAATGACATCGTACCAATACACGTATGTTTGTGTGTCGGAATGTCTCCACCAGATCCATGCATTGACCCAAGCCAGGATTGCGCTCATGGTCTTTCTGATCGCATACGCGCTCTTCGAAGTTCCCTCGAACTATCTCCTGAAGAAACTCAGACCAAGCGTATGCCACTCATGTCTCCCCGCCGGCACTCAAGGCAATACTAAGCTTTCTGCAGAGATGGATTGCATTTCTCATGCTCTCCTGGGGCGCATGCACCATGGGCCTAGGCGGAGCACACACCTACGCCCAAGTCACCGGCATCCGATTCTTGCTCGGAGGTACGGTCAGAAACCAGGCCTTCATCCATTGAATATCCCCCCCCCCCCCAACCCAACCCAACGCTAACACCCACCCCAGTAATGGAAGCCGGCCTGTTCCCCGGTTTAGTCTACTACCTCACCTTCTGGTACCGCCACTCAGAGCGCTCCATGCGCGTCGCCCTGATCCTTGCCTCGGCCACCCTCGCCGGCGCCTTTGGCGGCGCCATCGCGTACGGCGTCGGCCACATGAACCAGGTCCAGGGGCTGTCCGCCTGGCGGTGGCTCTTCATCATCGAGGGCGCGCCCTCGTGCGCCTCCGCATTCCTGGTCTGGTTCCTCCTCCCGGACTACCCCGAATCAGCCCGCTGGCTGAGCCCAGAGGAGAAGGAGCTCGCCGCGCAGCGCCTCCGCACCGAGGGCTCGAAAGGCGAGGCGAAAGCCATGAGCTGGGGCGACGCAAAGGCCGTGCTGACGGACTGGCGGCTCTACGCGCATTATGCGGTTTGTTCCCCATTCACGGTATTGGCTCTCCAGGGCTGGCTAACGATACGCAAGGTCTACTTCGGCATCTCGGCCCCGTTCTCCAGTCTCTCTCTCTTCACCCCGGCCATCACCAGCGGGCTCGGATACACCAACCTGCGCGCGCAGCTCATGACCGTGCCCCCCTGGGCGGTAGCCTACGTCGTGACCACGGCCGCCGCCTGGTCCGCCGACCATTTTAACAGGTACTGGACCCTTCCCGCTCGAGCCCCACGATCAAATCTCACAGGCAAAGCTGACCTCGGGCTATCGCAGTCGCGGCCTCCACTCCGCGCTTTTCTCCTTCATCGGCGCCATGGGCTTCCTGGCCTCCGCCGTCCTCCCCCCGGACGCATACCTGGTATCTACATATTCTCCTCTCACTGTTCTATACAAGACTAACCTCCCCAACCAGCACCGCTACGGCTGCCTTATCGTCGCCACCAGCGGTTCCTTTGCCTGCATCCCCCCGCTTCTCGGCTGGCTGTCCTCGAACCTCGGCTCCACGGCGGGGACGGGGCTCGCGATTGCGCTGAACATTTCCGTCGGTGCGCCGGGCCAGATCGTCGGTGTGTGGATCTACAAGGTCAATGAAGCGAAGAAGGGGTATCCGACGGGCCACTGGACGAATGCGGGGCTGCTGCTGTTTGTTTGTGTGGGGTGCATTGCTCTCCGGGTGTATTATGGGTGGCTGAATCGCCGGGGTGGTCTGTATGCTTATTGAGAGGGGTATTGTAAGGTGAATTTCTTCTTTTTTTCGCAGGATATATCGGGAAGAAAAGAGAGGAGAAGAATACTACGGACGCCGTCAGTGACTAATCCGTTAGTTCAAAGGCATTGCCTGTACGGAGTACCTGGGTATGGAACTGCGATGTCTTTGGAAAGGGAGGTAGCCAGTTGACGGGACGGGAGGAAAAGGCACGTGCAACGCCGACGAAGCTTTCCCAGTTCCAAGTTTCCAGCCGGAGATTTAAGGTTAAGCTCCTGTCATAACATGGTGCAACCAGGGATACGGGTCACTGGAGCCCGGACTCCGTACTTTGCAAAGTACTGCAATTCTATATGACAACTGGCAAACTGGGGTTCAGAATGCCTGTGGAAATCCGACTGAAAGTGAATATGATTTGACCTGGAGATAAAAAGGTTTACTCAAAAGTAGAGCCACGAGCATCTAAGTATAAAAGAACTCTCTGCTTGCAGAGATGCAGTTGTCCAAGAGAAGGGGAGAGGGCAAAGATACATAGGAGATGACACAGCATCATTGAGAGAAAACATAGTCCAAATCAACGCAAAAGAAGTCGGAATCTGTCCGTCATAAAGTCTCTGTCGTCATAGTATCGTAACAAAGTCTTCATATCCAAATTTGCCTTGCAGAAATCCAAAACAAAAAAAGAAGAGAAAAAAAAAAATGGAAACAAAAGAAATGGTACAAACATGCGCACTTCAAACCAAAGCATGACACGGCCACAGCGTGCAACCGAGAGAGGATCGAGCAAGGCGTGGCTACTGGCGAGGGTTGAGGGTCTGAGAAGGGAGGATGTTCGGCCGGCAACTGGGAAACCTTGCGGATTCCTCCACCTTGGTCTACCACCCGATGTGCCATGTGCTTAAAGCAGACCCTTGCACAAAGAAGAATGTCGACAGCCGAGAGTGTTGTACATAACCTCTGCGGGAAACCCCAGGATTGGCATCGATTCGGAAGTGCGTCGTACGTGGTCATTTGGGGGGAAAAAGCGAGGAAACAAGGAACATCGTTCAACCCAGCAGCAACCCCGAACAAAAGACAGTGAGCAAGAGACGGAGAAAGTCACATATCCTCCCGCTGCCTGTCCTGCCTCAACCCCATCTATCCGCACCTTGCTACGACCACACCTGTCCCGGAAGACCGTTGAGGCTAGGTTGTGCTGGCTGTTGTTTGGGTTTTAGACGTCCCAGAGCTACTTCCGCAGCGTCATGTTTGGCGTTTTCCATGAACTGGCCATCGTACCAAAATCGTGCAGCGAATTCTTGCTTATGGATCGTAACAATGCTGGACCACGCCGTCCGACCTCCTGGATAGAGACATCAAAGCCGTTAGCACATGGTACAACCAGCAGTCACGGTCTAAAAGTCGGTGAAGAAATAGTTACTCCACCCTCCAGATGCCGAGACACACACACACAGTGGGCACCGTTCAAACTGACAAGATCTGCTTCCGAGAAAAGGAGCCAATTCACGAACAACGTAGCAAATTGCAAAAAGAAACTCGATCAAGCGCAGCATCTAGGGGAAATGAATGGGGGGAAGGAGACATGACAGTACCTCGACGATCGGAAAAGAGCGAGTAGACCGGGGGTGGAAGTTTTGCAGACCTGCAATGCTCTACACGAGGCCAAAGGAAGAAATTAGCCCCCGATCAATACAGTGAGTGATCCACGGTCATGGCGTTCAACCAGTTTGTCGACTTTCTTCAAGGAAAATCATTGTAAGGAGGGTGGGGCTTACCCTTAAGTTGCTCTTGCCAGTCGATCGTCCGACCATTGTTTCCTTGCGGGCTAGCCGATGACATGTTGATACGAATGGGTGTACTTGTTGGATAACACGGGGTTTTTTCGCAGGATTGGTCTCTAAACAACCAACACAACAAGGTTCACAGATGGATAGAAAGGGAGCAAAGGGTAAGGAATTCGCAAAGCTTTTAGAGAGGATCAAGAAAGAAAGAAAAACTCGAATGGGGGGAGAGTCAATCGACTGATATCAATCCCAGTTGAACCCCTCTAAGAACTTCTGCCCGAACAGGTACAATCAAAAAAAGGCCAAGGGAAGACGGGTCGTTCTGGAAGACAACGATGGAAAAGATGGGAGGATACTCAAGCAGCAGGATCAATTGAGCCGAAAAAGTTTCTTCTTTCCTTTGACAGCTCAATTCCTATTGTGATTTTTTTTTCTGTCTTCCCACTCAAATAACCCTGATGGATATGGGAAGCGGGGAGTCATATAAACTGTGGGCCATGCTTGACACCAAAGCAATTCTGCGCAAGCAGGACAGTTTTTTGGCGTAACAAACACGGAGCCTAACCATGAAACCTAACAGTCGGGCTTATGCATGTCGCTGTGGACAGGGCACAGCGTCAGCAAATTTCCACCTGCCCCCCACTATCCCTTATCCTCCACTCAAAGACCGCCAGTTGCATGGAGAACATGCGGATCATTTTGAGGCTGCAATGCTGGAACGGCCCGGCGCACGCCGACTGAGAATGCACCCTGAAGAAACGCCAAGTACCAAGGAAAAGGGGCCATGGAGCTCCACTCAGACCAGATCCATTCGATGACAAGGATCAGATGGCCACAGAAGCTGTGGTACAAGAGGGATGGTTGACCGGTTCCCGAGCAGTCGAACAACTCAGTCAGACCTTCCTCCATCTGTTTTCCTCCTCCCCTCTTCCCGCTTGATCCCTTTCGCTCCTTCCTTGACTTCGGATCCCACAAGACGGTTGCTTGCCATCGGGTATGAAGAGTCTAGCCGCCTCATGGACGCTTCTTAATGACGGAAGGAGAGGCCATTCTCTCATTTGGAAGCACCACAGGCAACAGAGAGGGGGTGAGATCTAGTTGCCCAAAAGCGGAGAGTGGCCCCATCAGGAACAAGAGCGACAAATTGAAGTCCGAATTCTCTTGCCATCAGCCAGTCAGGCCACTCGAAAGATCGAAAGCGGGCCTGAAGACCACAATGCCAGCTCATCGATGATTCAATGATGAAGTATGAGCCGAGGGTGGTCAAACACATTGTTCCTGCCAGCCCTGATTGATAGATGGCACAAACCGGGCCGCTCTGCATGAACAGTTGCCATCGGGATATGGGTTGCAGATAGGGGAGAAGGAAGACGACAGGGGTTGTTCGTTATCCCGGCAGGAACGCCTCGTTAAAAGTGAAGATGGCTCGCCACATCACAGACCGTTTCAGTAACAGTTTGCTTTGCCAACGAAGTGAGAAAGGAACCTATGGGGCCCGATTGACCCGATCCGTTTTCCAATGTGGGAGCATCATGATTCGTTGCTTTCCTTTGGCATCGTGTTGGGCATGCATACATACGTGCAGCATCATCACTATTATCACCTTGTTCCTTATTGCCGTCAACTACATCAATAAGCGACAAGCTTCCTGAGCCGAAGAGAGGTGGAAGGATGCAGCAAATCTCGAGAACCTGCATCAAACATGAGGTGTACTCGGCTATCATAGCACCGGGGGAAGGCTGGATCACATCCACGAACGTCTTCCAAGGCTATCGGCAACGCCGTTGTGATTCAATCGAGGAGGGGGCGAGACGTGCTGACGAGCCTCGATCTGTCCTGCATCGCCTGCAGGTCAAGCTTAGTTGACATCTGGCCCAAGCTGCAGCTTCTCGTATGGAAATCCGAAGGGAAATATGCCAATGGAGAAAAGGGGCGGGGGTAAAGAAACGAGCAAAGGGGAGAAGCAGGAAGGGAGAAAGGAAGGGAGAAAGGAAGGGAAACGCCTGTTGCTTCAACCGCAGGATGCCCTCTGATCACTCTGATCCAATCAGTCCAGCCTTCCCGTGTCTCAGTGGACTTCGGAACCTCCATTCTTGAATCTTGAATCCTCGCAAATTACCTGCTTATTTTTTTTACGGGCTTTGGGGGCAGATCATTTGCGCCTCATCAGGATCTTTTGACGGTTAAGCGCTAGGGTCGGGAGTGAGGCAGACGCTAGATACAACGAACCATGGTTCCTGTGTGCTGCTAGTTTGGCGACGGCGGCAGAAAGACTCACGACCAACTACTTGCTCACTACTGAGTACTGACTCGTTTCCACGCAGACTAGTCAATTGGTCCATGCTCCTTTTCCTTGTCATTCGAGTATGCAGGCGCTATTTCCAAGAAAGGGGAGGGAGGGGGGAAAGAGAAAAAAAAAAAAAAAAAAAAAAAAAAAAAAAAAAAAGGGGGGGGGGAAATAAGAAAAAGAAACCATTGCCAGCAAGCATTCATATAACACGTTGATCATGATCCAACAGAACCAGAAAACACAGAAGGTCATCCGACCAGAATCGTTAGATTGACAATTGTCCAGCAAAAAGGGAAAGCACATCAATGACATGAGCCGCTCGAGTTCTGTTACATGTTGGCTGACAGAGAGCCTGAAACAACAACAAGGCAGGCCAGACTAAAGCACCGCTGGCCACCCAACCAAAAAATAGATGGAAATGAAATGCAAGGAAGTTCTGAGAAACTAAAATTCGTCAAGCGTCATGATAGGTTTTGGTCGATGGTTTTCGCGCCACTGCACGTTGACAACACAAATCGAATCCTCCTGGCCTACGAATTTGGATCCGTCGTGGAAGTGAGGCCAGGGCTATCGATCCGTCCGTCTTCGCTGTTCGTCCGTTCTCATCACAGTCAGGCTGATCCTCGGCGATGGAACACTTCATCGATAAGACGCATGGGTGCCATGAACTCGATACTTTTGGTGAAAGAGTGTTTCCTCGTGTGCGTGTTAGATTGGGCATGACGTTTCGAGTGCCATCGCCGTCGGATGCAGTCGTCGACGAGAACGATTAACCCTGTAGCAATTATCACACTGTAGGAAGATCAGCATCAGGGTCCAGACTACCAGGATGAATTGGGATGGGACCAAAAAGAAAACGGAACTGAAAGCGAAAGGGCTGCGACTTACTCGGCAACGTCATGCATAGTCTCATACACGGAGGAGTCACTGATCCACATCGAGGACGGAGGTACCCAACCACCCTTGCTTTCTTCCTCGACAGCCTCCATTGGCGTCAGGATCTCGGGAACAATGTGGGCAATCACTTTGGATGTTTTCGTGTTGATGAGGTGGTATGATACTTCGCGCAGATCTCCTTCTTTCCGGCATTCCTTCTTCCACTGGTACTTGGTGGACCAGTATTCAAAGTCGTACCGTTTGGGTAGCCCCGCGCCTCGCCTGCGGACCTCTACATGGGCATAATTAGAAAACTCTAGCAGTGTGGTGTCGCCGAGGGCAACTGGACGACTGGGGCCGTCCTTGGCGTCCGGTGTTGCATCATCTAATGTGCCCTCGCCGTCCCTGATCGAGTTGTAGCCCGAGTCGTGGCGCTTATGTTCGGCGCTAGTTATCGATCCATTCCCACTCGACCCCGGCCGCAAACCTGCCAACACACTGCTCCAGGAGCGCTGAAGGATGGGTCTCTTATCAATACTGGATGACCGCGGCCTCCGTTCCGAGTGACACACTTCACGACCGGAGTCCCGGCAGTAGCGTCGCAACGAGAACTTTCTCGAGAACAGGTCATACATGCGGAGATGGAATAAGATTACATCTTGTTGGTAGCCACCTCTCCGCGGCACTAGCGTGTCGACCCGAAGGTTCATATTACCATCCAGAGTCGCATCATCGTGGCGAATCAGCAGCCGTCGGGATGATGGGAACAAGTCTGCAAACGTGGATGGATGGGACGGGATCGCATCGGTGGCATAGATTTCCGGCCTTCGATCTACCACCTCATACTGGGGCTCCTCTGGTACGTCGTCGTCATCGACCGATGGGATCGTAGAAGCGTAGGTTGAGACGGAGTCCTTGGGGTCCTGGTCCTCGGCGAAACGATCCGCCTCTGCGTATCGCTTAGATGTGGGCCTATCGCTGTAGATCGTCGGGGCGGTACTTTTCGACCGATCCGAGGCGTCGCTGTTGGTCGAGCTGTAGCTGCCGCCGGTTGGTGCACACCGGCCTGGACATCTTGATCCACTATAAGATCCCATGTTCTGTGTTTGCGAGGATAGAAGAAAGTGGTGATTGCTGATGGTTTGGGTATCGTGGGGTATAGCGTAGCGCTTGCGATCCGAGATAGGAAAACAAACGTCGGATAAACACAAAAAAAAAAAAAAAAAAGTTGACACAAAAATAAGCAAAGAGAGAAGGGAGGAGGGACGATGGCACAAGAAGTCTTAGATATATAAACGGGTATGCAAATCAGATCAGAGGTTTAGAGTCCGTTTTCTCCCCTTGAAGAGAGAAAGAAACAAGACCGGTGTTTACCCAGCCCAGTATTCCGAGTATTACAGAGCATTAAGTCAGGCACACTCATCCGGACACAGACCAGATGAGATGAGATATGATGAGATGAGACGAGGTGAGGCAAAAAAACAAGAGGGTAAAAAAAAAAACTAGATCCCAGCGATTGCAACCGAATAGAAAGAAAGAGAGAAGTATGTCGGTCATACGATAGGGATCAGACTCAAGAGACGAGACGACGAGGTGCGTTCTCCCACTGGAAGGAGAGGTGGGTTAAATCATAAGAAATGGCTTTTCTCGGCAAGTATGATGGGATAGGGAGAGAGCCCGGAATGCGAAAGGGGAGGTCTGAGGGTGGCAGTGGTGTGTGTGTGTGTGTACTGCGTGCGAACTGTATAGGCGGATGACGCCAGGAGGATAGGTAGGGTACTGGTAGGACAGTACTTCGGTGGTATGTACTCGGTCGATAGTGATAGTGATAGTGATAATTTGGACAGAAGGAGAGGGAAGAAGGGCCTCTAGCCCGGTGCTGGTAATTTCTAGTCTAGGGATCTTAGTAGGGGAATCTTGGGGAGGGGGGGGGCCTCGGAGCTCAAGCCCTGTTTCGTGAGGAATGCATGGAGAGAGCGCGTGGCGCAGGGTGTTGTTTTGGTGGGCTGGTTATGATGGGCAACGAGGGGGCAGAATGTTTTCTATGCAGGAATGGAGGAGATCAAAAAAAAAAAAAAACATAAAAAGAAAAAAGAATGAATGCTCAATAATGATGCTGGATATGCGGGATGATGGAGAGCGAGGGGTTAAGAAGCGAGCCACGTCAATCCACCGGGGGAGTCAGTAGGTGGGTTTCAACGTATTCCATTGGGTTGGGGGCTGATAATCTGTCCTTGATCTTTATTATTATTGTGTGGTAAATTAAGTTATTGACAGGATGGAAAACAAAGCAATCTACTTTGAACTGTACAATATACAGAGTAGATACTATTTCGGGGGTTAATCAAGGCTCAGCCAGTTGACATTCTCCATGGTACAGCCTCACACAACCCGGATTCAGCCTCGGATTGGAGAACAATGAAGCATCGGTAAGTAGAAGATATCACGATGATGCCTACTCATGGAAGAATAATAGACAGCTTGCTCATGACATGGATAAGATTCCATGAGTGCCTAATGGCACTGCCAGTCGAGTCTCTGCCCAAGAAAGTAACGGCAAACTCCCCTCGTCATAAGCCCAAAAAAAAAAAAAAAAAAAAAACAACCAGATTAGTTCAGACCAGGAAGTCAGGGACCGTATGGGAGAATCTGCAACCCATGCGCTCGATTTTCATTCGCGCCTTAGCTTGAACTGCACCCGTCTCGTTCTAGAACCAACTTTGACAGAGGCGTGAGCGCTCAGGCTGACCAGCGCGTGCTTCTTCCTCTCCCAATAAGCAGACAGCAAAGAAGAAGATTCTCACCGGGGAATTGAGACAGGACCACAAGGACGGAGCGTTGGTCATTAGTTATCCTCCGTTGTCTCCATACGACTTTCTCCGACCAGCCAACTGGTGCAGGAACCGAAGGCACCAGCGCGGGCTGAGTCGGAGATATTGATCATTATCGTGCCTGCGTACTGCGGCAGTTGTTTATCAACGACAGCCATCCCACTCTGGGATCGATTGCATGATGTCTAGGGACCCTCGTCAGGGAACCAGGGTTCGTTCCATGTGAGGGAAATAATGACTCCGTTAAAGATCTGATCACGCTCTTGCGACCGTCCTGTTGACACTCGACGGGTTCACATACTTTCCAACTGGGATCTACTTTCTTCTCTTTGATCAGCAACTTGTCACTGAGAGACGACATGCTGACTAGTAGTGACTTTTCACGGGGGATTATTCTAGACCTCGGGTCCGTTGTGCGACCATCAAACTTTCGACATCCGATTCAACAAAGTGCCAGGGACTTTGCCACTCGACCATGGATCTGACTGGGGATTTTCGGATCGGACCGAGATTAGGAGTCTGAGATGCGATGGCCCATGCTCGCAGTTTCATCGCTCCATCGGGACATACTGGCTGAGAATCAGGTTGGGTCTACAAATGCTGTATGCAGAACGCAGCAGCTTGATCGAGCCAGGCAATGTTTCTGATCATCTTCAGTTGAAGAGGGTTGATTCTGTTCACTCCATCCTCTCCGATATCGGTTATTGTCGCTGTACGAATAACGAGGCGGGACTGGAAAGTGGATAGTATCGTCCCGCATTCAACAATAATAGGCAATCAGAAGTCATAGCAAAATCTCCATGGAGCAGAGTTGATCAATCCACTGTGCCACCTGGCAGTTCCAATGTTAATACTTACTAGATAGTATCTATGACTCTACCTTACCTATCATACTCTATACACAAAACACGTGGATCTTACCAGACAGAAGTGAGAGAGACTACTCCGTACAGAGGCACTCCGTACAGAGGCACTCCATAATGAGATCACCTACGGAGCAGACATCAGCATTCCCCAACATTCCTTAACCACAATCCACGTTTCAACTTGAAAATCATAGTTACACTCATACAAACCATGACATTGAATCAAAGCAGTCATGCAGCATGAAGATGAAGATGACCCTACGTACTAGGAGTCCATGATACCACACATCGAACCCCCAAAGAAGCAAGAAAGAAAAACCCAAATTCCCCTTCCACCCCCCGCACTAAGACACTGTACGATCAGCCCCGCCAGCTCATCAATCAGCATCCAGCAATGATTTCCAGCGGCGCTGGTCAGATAATCCTGCTCGATAGTAAGATAGATAGGGAGGAAGTCCAACGAGGTGGGTATTACTTGATCACTTGTGTCAGATCATTAGATGACGGATTCGCCGTGGGAGTTGGAGTTGGAGTTGGGGGCTGAGTTAACCAGTCTGGAAAGAGACCACTGAGGGTTGCTTACTTTCCCAAGGACAGTGTTGTTGGCATGTCATACAATATATGTCAGGCGGCGTATGTCAAATATCTACTCACCAGGGAGAAAGTACCTAGACTGTGAGAGGTCCGAGATTAAGGGTTGAGCATCCCCATGTAGATCTTGCTTCTAGCTCTGTTTCCTGGACCTGGTGGAGTTCATCAGGTATGCATTAGGTGGGTAGTAGCATCTAGCAAGTCCCTCGTAACGTCATGATGGCTCACGGCGCGATTCAACATGTTGCAATGAGATAATCATGTGTTCTTGCGATGCGACAATGAGGAGCATTCCATACTCAGCAGAGTTCGCATTGTGCTTAGGCCAGCTCAATGGATGTCTGGAGGCCCAACTAGGCGGGAGACCAATGACGTTGGCTGGGTCACTGTCCCCCGGAAGACATACAAGACAAGATTGCAGTTCTTAGGATCAACCTGCCGACTCTTCTGGGCCTTTGCTCTGCGCAAAGAAACAAGGTGATGGGCAACTTGCAGAGAACCAGCACATCAGAAGACCATATCTCTCAAGGAGTAGTTGGTCCCGGATAGAATCTTGGTTCCGATACTCTGGTAGAATGCAGGTTGCTGTTGTCAAGTACACTGATGTCCATATTCCAATCAGCTGGTTACTGGATGGCCGACGATATCCGCCGTACCGTATGTACGACTATCCTATTATATAGTGCTGAGGCTGTACCTATGTTGAATGACTGACGTATCTTACACCAAACTCACCCAAGCCCGTGTATGGAACTACAATTTCGAATTCTCTAACCCAGCCTGAACTCTAACCTTCTATTACCAGAGTAGAATATGAAAGAACCAGACAGAGGCAAGTCTGCTAGCAGCTCAGATCTGCGCCCAGAGCGGCCGGGGGAGCTCATCCCCCGGCTTGATCAGAGCATCTTGCCGGCAACTCGTTGGCAGACCTGATTGAGCCGTAAGCCCAGGCCGACTACCAGGAGCCGGCATATGGAATCCCACGTAGGCCTCGCGGCGGGCTGGCTCGCCCACCGTGACAGACCATGTGTGCAGACCATAATAACTTGCAATGGAATGGACAAGCCACCGACTATAGAGGAATTAGCATCGAACCCATGACTGAGTCGCAACTTGACCTACCCAAATCCAGCGGCCCGATCATCGACCATGCTTTCGAGCACCATCTTCTCCCCATCGCGCTCGTTATGCTTGTTGATGTTCGCGCGCAATTCTCGCAGTCTGGTCTTGTGTTCGGGTGAGTCGTGCATCTGCTCCTTCCGTCCCACAAAGACCACCTCATCCTCAGAGTCCTCGTCAGATGACAGAGGAGCGTCTTCCAAGCCTTCGTCCAGCAGCAAAGATTGCTTCTCGTTCCATGCCTGGATGAACTGTCTGATATCCTCTTCGATATCTTGAAGCATACCGCGCGCAGCACGCGCATGCTTCAACCTCATGCGTAGTTCCTTGGGGATGCGATGCTTTTCATGTTCCGCACCCTGGGAAGTCTGCTTGGCCTGGCTGAGGTGCGCGTACTTCACATCCCAGAGAGGAGCGAGATAGTATGGCATGGGATTGTGCCTCGGATACGTCGGTTGTACCGCCCAATCACTGGGAGACGGTGGCTCGGCCCATGGATTGTGCAAGAGACGATCTTTGAGAAAGCAAAACCTGTCAGCTCTTTATGATCTCTGGAGAGGAAGAACACGGCGCGTCGCAATGCATGCGACAAGGAACTTTTTGCGAAAGGAGAGATTCAGTAAGATCGACTACACGAGTCAAGACATACCGTTCTCCCAACGTTGCCTGCGCCGACTGCCATCCTTTCCCTTCAGCAGTGCTTCGCGCCGCTTAAGACTATCTCGGCGCAGAGTCTCCCGACGCCGGAATGACACGGAGGCAATCTGCTGCGACTCATCCGACTCCCGAACCGCAATCTTGACACGACTCTTCGACTCGGTCTGTGCCGCGGGGACAGGGTCGTCCAGAGGTATAGACAACGCCACCGAGGCACCGCGCAAGGCTGATACACGCGTAGGGGTATTTTGCACTGCTTCCGCAATGGACGACACAGAGTCCGATAGTGTGAGGCTCTGCAAGGATGCCGCCGCCGCCTGCTCCGACCATGCCGAGATCGCACGGGTCTGCTGCGGCGTAAGACGCCCCTGTGAACCTGCCGGGGATGACAGTGTTGGATGGATAGCCATTGTAGAAGGCGCGAGCGGATAAAGGATGGGTGGACAAATTGACGCGGTGGCGAAGTGCTCTGCAAGATACCAAAGAGCCGAAAACGGATTGACCCTCTTCCGATCGATATCCGGGGTATCTCTGGTAGAGAGGATGAGGACAGGAATCAGGATGGGGAGAGAGAGAAGCGGGGATGGGATCGGACAGATAAGAAACACCCAGAAAGAAGCAGATACGCAGATAACCAGTCCCGGTCGTTCGCGTCAGATGCGACGATCGCGGATTCTTTACCGGGCTGAGCGTTGATACAGAACTTTTCACCCGAGGAAAGGTCCTTTCGCTGACTCACAATGGGCCACGGGGATAAGAGGGCGATATGATTGGACCTTGGCGCTCAAGAGCCCTAGCCCTGATTACTCCTTACGGTATTGAGACGGCTTCTAGTACCTCATGATACACGGATGCAGGTACACATGATGTGAATCTGAATACGAACCGAGTCATCCATTAAGAGGATGATTCAGAATCACGGTGAGTAATAGTGACGGTGAATCAAGACTTTGGACCGCTTGACTGCCGTAAGCTCTGGTGTCTTTTCCGATATCACTTCTAAGCAGTCAAACCAGGCAGTCGATATGTCCAGCTGCTCCTGGAAGACAGACGCCAGTGCCAGTCCATTCAAGGTCAACACTCTCAACATTCTCCTTGAGACCTTGAGAAACTATACCAGTCAGCCGGGGAATTAAGCCTTATTGAATCTCATCGGGGCAATTGATATGACTGCATAGAACCCACTATGCTGACAGAGATGCCCAAGGACCGAACGAGATAGGCTTTTCCCGTAATCTTCGCTGTGTGCCAAGGGTCGACACAGATATATAATTTGTGTTGGTATCGCCGTAGGAAAAACCAGACTCGAGGGAAAATCGTAGATAATCTTCAGAGCTGCAGTCTCATGAAAGATTTCACGATCCCAAAGCAGTAAATCTATTTAGCGCTCTTTGCCACAACTGGATCAATCCTTCGGCTCTCTGAGGGACGAAATGCTGATCATATAGTTATGAAGGATATCTAGATCTCGATATCCAAGATAATAGTAAGAGTAGTCTACAGAATCATCAAGATGTCTGCAAGAATGAGAGATATTCATAACCAGCATCTTGAACGAAGCAGATTTATTTCTTATTAGATTAGCCTAGGTCTAGATGCCATCAGTCATACTGACTGTCTCCCATCACAACATTGTCCAGGGGCCCGCCTGGGACGCAGCAACCGGGTCCTTGACTTTTGAGCATTGAGGCAATGTAGTCAAGAGTGCATGATTATCCAGCTTCATTTAGGCTCTTGAGCGCCTTTATTTCCAGTAATATTCGACCGCAGTCTGTTTATGCTTGCTGCGCACTTGTTGTGGAGGATCTGGGCTCGGCTTCAATGCACGAATCCTATAACATAGATCAGATAGCCATATGCCGATTAAGCGGGCAGGGGTTGAACCACGCTGCATTCGAATTTTTATAACGGCCTGATTCAAGTTCCCAAGCTCCTCGCAGACAAAGATCAAGCATGATTCAGAGTATAGCCCAAAAAAGCTCGAATTCATCCTGTATATAACGATCTTCATGCTCCTGCAGCTTTTGGATTATCCCCCACGAACACGAGGAGTTTCTGAAATGGATGACCTGCCCTATCCATTGAGAGTGAAACCAATAGCCAGTGGTCTTGATAAGAAGATGTGTAACTGGAGTCACTGCGTAAGGCAGATAGATACAATGTGTCGGGTCATCGGAAATCACGTTGATCTACCGCTTGAGTGGAGTACTACTCCGTATATTGGGCTGAGCAGTAGGCACTAGGCACTAGGCAGTGAGGCTGTGGAGTATGGGCTGTGTGAGCAGTGAATGCTGATGAATATTAGCAATGGAGTCATCTCGAGATTCAACTCTCAGCAGCGATGATCGATAGTAGGCAATTTACAGGATAGCATAGCTACTTATATTTTCTGGGATCAGGATAGAATAGAAGTATCATCGTCGTAATTAGTGGTTGACTCAGCGGAGAGTCGGAGACCCTGAATCAAGTGACGGGCGCAGTCACGAGCCAGGGGATTGTCCAACTAAACCAGTTCCATTTCCCCTCACCAGGAACCAAGGCGGACGACAAAGATTATCTACACAGTAGTAACTACGGAGTAGTATTGTCGAGTTTCACAGAAATTGGATTCGATTATTACTCCACTGCAACAGCCCTCACTACTCAGTTGCTGAATCCTGGTTCATTGTCCATACGGAGTAGGTAATTATCTAGCTCTCACTATTTATAATCGATGCCGCCCACCACGACGCTGGAAGGAGTCCACAACCAACTCTGACGCAACGCTTGGACTTGGTCATATCCACCCAATCATCCAGCATCCGGTGTTGAACTCTGAGACACAGGTACCTAGTCTAGAGGCTCCCTTGATTTCGTTCTGGCTGAGAGTATCTTCATAAATAATCAATATTCTTTTTCTCCTTCTGTCTTCCCTTCCCTTCAACTAGACCATTGTTGAAAAGTGCTTGGAGCCGAAGCTGTGTATATTCATCATTATTCGTTGCGAGGCCATTGAAGCCTACCAACTCATTGACCTGATCCCTCAGAACCGCCATCACGAAGAGCGACAGGATTCATCATGAGAGTTCTTGCAGCTATTGCGCTCGGCGCAACGGGCCTCAGAGGCGCTCTGGCCGCAGTCGTCCCTCAAGAAGTACTCGGGACCAATCCTCACATCCACCACGAACAGGAAAAGTACTTGATTGAATTGGCGCCTTACCAAACACGATGGGTGACCGAAGAAGAAAAATGGGCATTGAAACTGGTAGCCATACTCTTTTCTACATTCTATAGTATTTCAAGTAGCCACAGTCACTGACCGCTTAATTGCTATCAAGGATGGCGTGAATTTCATCGACATCACAGAAGAGCATAACACCGGATTCTACCCAACTTTGAACAGTGCCAGCTATGTCAAATATCCGCTGAAGATGCAGTATGCCGACGAAGTTGTTGCGCTCAATAAGAACCTATCCACAGCGAATATGAAAGCCAACCTCGAACACTTCACGTCATTCCATACTCGCTATTACAAATCGCAAACAGGGATCGAATCAGCAACATGGCTTGCCAGTCAGGTTGAGAAGGTGATCACAGAATCGGGAGCTGCCAATCATGGTGCGACTGTCGAGCGTTTTGCTCATCCATGGGGTCAATTCAGCATCATTGCCCGGATCCCCGGGCAGACGAATAAGACAGTGGTGTTGGGTGCCCATCAGGACAGCATCAACTTATTCCTGCCGTCCATTCTGGCTGCCCCCGGTGCTGATGACGATGGAAGCGGAACTGTCACTATCCTTGAAGCTTTGCGTGGCCTGCTGCAGTCAGGCTCCGTCGCTCAGGGTAATGCAACAAACACGATTGAGTTCCACTGGTATTCTGCCGAGGAAGGTGGCATGTTGGGCTCGCAGGCAGTTTTCTCAAGCTACAAGAAGAACCGGCGCGAGGTGAAGGCGATGCTTCAGCAGGATATGACCGGCTACACCAAAGGAGCGCTCGATGCTGGGGCCAAGGAGGCTGTGGGAATCATGATTGATTACGTCGATCAAGGATTGACTCGGTTCGTGAAGGAAATTGTTACGACGGTAAGCTCCGTTTAATCGAAATCCCGATTAAGTCCACTGGACTCGCTAACAATTACATCTAGTACTGCTCTCTGGGATACGTTGAGACCAAGTGCGGCTATGCCTGCTCCGACCATACATCGGCAAGCAAATACGGATATCCTGCGGCCATGGCAACTGAGTCGGAGATGGAAAATACCAACAGGAAAATCCATACCACGGATGACCAGATCAAGTATCTGAGCTTCGATCACATGCTGGAACATGCGAAACTGACTCTTGGTTTCGCCTACGAGCTGGCTTTTGCGCCGTTCTGATGTTCTGGGTGTCTTCCAGGGCTCATGGGAGATGAGTAGGACATGCTTGATAACGATTCTAGCATCCAAAAGGCGTTTGAGGTTCCGGTCTTGGTTCTGGTTTCTTGTGTGTCGACTTCACTTGCCATTCACTTTGTACCTCCTAGAGGATGGTCTCCCACTGATGTTCTCTTCCATCAATATATGAGGCTCAACAGATATTTATATACTTCGTGCCACTTCGCTGCTCCGTTCCCGCTTCTATCTACCCTCTCCACATACGGAACTGGAACCGCCTTCCAGAGTCTAGGCGTATCACGTGATATAGTCACAAACGGCAAATTTTGGAAAGACACGCGATCAGCTCTCCTCTTTGTCAATTTGCGGCCAGCGGTGAGTCCAGGAGTCCGCAAATGGCTCTGCCAGGCCCCATTCACAAAGACTTGACTGTCTTATGTTGCCCCTATATATCTGGATAGATAGAGGTAATCACCCCCTTCCGGCACATGATACCACTCCGCAAAATTTTCATCTCAACATTAAAATATATATCTTTACTCCTTGCATTTCATATCAAGTCCATCAATGTTATTAATTTAGTTAGATTACCTAGTAAATAAAAACATAAATATACATATTTAGATATACTGAAAGTCTGGATTAATATCCAATTTTTCTAACATGTTCTGATGGTATTTTTTAGCCAGGTGAGAAGGTGTCTGTAGAGCCTCATCCACCTACTCTTTCTTAATCTATATCTTATTATCCAGCATGAAAGTGAAGCTATTTGCATGGTCTAGATTCACTGGATTCACTGGATTCGCTAGTATAGCAAGCAGTGGGAGCCACCAGGGGGTAGGAGCATATGAATGCCTATCTAGATCCAGAGTTAAATAAGGAGAACTAGGCAGTGGATATAGTGCTAGCCAGTATAGAGTCTAGATATATAAATATCTCTCTAGATCAACTATAGATTAAGAGCCTCCTTCTGCTTCAAAGAGGTACTTTTAGTTAATCTCTATGAATGCTACCATCTCTCCCTCCCACTGAGAGAAGTAGTTAATGATATAGCTAGCTAATTGCTGCAGTGGAGGCATCTACAGCAGTAGCATCTGCAGCAGTAGTATCTGCAGCAGAGCTAGCAGAGCTGGCAGAGCCGGTGGAGCCAGTGTTAAAGATAGGTAGGAAGGGTAGTTAGATAGCAGAGTAGGCAGGGAAGACCATGAAGTCTTTATTTTTAGTGTGTTTACCATAGAATTTTAAGTAGCCTAAGTCTCTTACTTCTGCTCTTCCTTCTCCTTCTTCTTCTACTCCTACTCTAGTTTCTAGGCCTCTACAGCCTTTACTTTCTTATCTTTCTCCTTCTTCTTTAACTCCCAGGCCTCATGGGCCTTTAGGGCCTTATCTAGGCTGTAGATATAGCCTAGAGATGGCTTAAACTTCCCTTTAGAGTACTGTGAGTGTTAATTCTTTAAGGTAATAGTAATACTAAGTAGATTATGATAGCTATTCTAAAGAAGAGTAATGCTATTTAACTTACTAATAAGCAGGTAAGTAAGATACTTCTTATATTTTAGTAAGATAGTAGGTGATACCTACTACATCTACTAAAAATAGGAGAGGCATTCTTCTTCTAATATAGGGGTTTTAAAGCTAAGGGCAGAGGTAACTAGCTCTAGAGATAAAGAAGCAGTATCTACCTCTTCTAGAGCCTATTTTATGTGCTTTATCACTATTTTTAGGTTGATTAGCCAGAGACCTAAGGTTCTCTAGCCTGCAGAGATCTAGGTAGATGTTATTAAAGCATTCTAGGTAGTAAAGAGGCCATCTAAAAAGTCTTCCTTTATAATATTTACCTGGCTAATATATAGGCGCTTCCTAACTTCTATTAAATAGGCATAAGATAGCAGGCTGAATACACATAGATCTAGCAGTTAAAGTAGATGAGATGTATGCAGTAGTATACAGATTAGGATGATCTAATTATTCTAATAGATCTATATAAATCTAAATAAAAGATAAGATTTATGCCTATTAATTAGTAGCAGCTATAGTAGCTAATCTATCTTCTTCTCTGTATGCATCACCTGGCTTATATTTATCTAGGGAATAAAGATATATTAAAGCTATTTAATAGTATGCTATCTATTATTATATCCCTTTAAAGAAACACTAATCTACACATTAAGATCTATAAAATAAAGTAGCCAGCCTGTATGGATCTGCTTCCCTTTAAAGATAATATATAATAAGAGATACTTCCTATTCACACTATAGCATTCTAGAATAATAGCCTATTCTTAATTATCTAAGCCAGTAGTATAGCACTGCTATATATAAAGATAGCTTTAATATATAATTACCTTCTCTTTATAGTATAGAACACCCATACAGAATCCCTTCTTATCTATATTCTAGATATCTTTATGAAAGATATAATATTTCTCTATTATATGCTTGAAGAGCTTAATAAAAGATAAAATAATCTAAGGCTGTGCCTAAAGCATATATTTCTTATCTAGAAAAGATTCCTATATCTACTTAAATTCATAATAGTATTTAAAGAATTTTATATACTAGTATACACTAACTAGCTTAAATTTAATATCTAATCACTAGTAATTCTACTTATATAGAAGATTTACAGCATCCCTAAGCATCTTATAGCTTGGAGGGAAGCCAGATTCTATCTAATATATAATCTAATTATAGAGAACCTCCTCTTGGATTTCATCTAGCTTCTAGAATTATTAAAAAGCCTTAGATTACAGCTACTATATGCCTTTCACCCAGTAGTATAAGGTATAGTAGTTAATTCTATACATGCAAGCTACTTTATAAATTAACTAAAATTCATGTTAATCCACAGCCTTAATTACTTTCTCTAGGTAAATAGCTAGGGGGGGTAGAAGAGGTAGCTCTCTCTTATTTTTACTATATTCTATCTCTAATTCTCCCATAAGTGTTAAAGATAGGGAAGAAAGTAGTAATAATATAAAAAGTAGGCTCCCTAGATTATATACCTGCATTTCTGGAATCTCCCTTACCCATGTAGGTAGCAAAGATGGTGGTGGAAGGGGGGGGGTGGTATATAGTAGGCTTATAAGATATAGTAGTATTATAGGTATATTAAATTAAATTTCTTCTGAATTTTTAGTAGTATCACTATTATTTTCTAGATATAAACATTAGCAGTGCTTTATTACATATAATTTACTACTTATAATCTATTTTGGATGTGTTTTCATGGAATAATTTAATGTGGAATGTGGATAGATCTGTGGTTGAGATGAAAATTTTGCGGAGTGGTATCATGTGCCGGAAGGGGGTGATTACCTCTAGTCCCTCATTGAATCTATTTTTACAGTATGGTATGAGGTCATCGACCGTCTCCACACAGATAAACACCAAATTTGCGGATTTCGTTGCGATAACTCTCCCTGTACATTTCTCTTTCATCTTCGTTTGTCCTGTGCCACTTATCGGTTCTCTTTTTTTTTCTTTTTTCCCCTTCCATCGAAATCCTAAGAAAATCTACCACGCATAAGGAAAGGATTACTCAACACCAGTTAACTAAACGTCTCATTCGCTCCTCCCAATCTGAAACTTTTCCCGTGAAGGGTTGATCGCTTGCCAGAGTCAAAGGGAGAGCAATTGGGAGACTCAGACAGCCGCATCCTGTGGCTCCTTTACTTAATCAGTCCTTCAGTCGCTTGAGATACTGAAGAAGTCTTCCATTCTGGACGTCTCTCCAGGTTTACGAACGTATCATCATACATCCACCATCGGCGGTCATCTTCGTTCTGCCAAAGGCCTCAGCTCAGCGCACCTGATCGCATTGCCTGGATCTTGCACCATGGAGGCCACTCATCCTTACGCAAAGGAGCTACAACTGGCTTGCTTGGCGGTACAGCGGGCCACGCTTCTCACGAAAAGATTGCTCGAAGCTGTCGACAAGGGATCTCTCGACAAGAGTGACTCTACACCCGTGACGATCGCCGATTTCGCGGCCCAGGCACTCATCATTGGCGCCGTTCACCATGTTTTCCCTGAGGATGAGTTTGTGGGAGAGGAAGATTCCAATGCTCTTCGTGCCAATCCGGAGCTCCTCGAGCGCACCTGGGAGTTAGTGTCGACGACCCGTCTCGATGACGAGGAAAGTGAAGGGTTGCTCTATGCTCCGAAATCCAAGGAAGAAATGCTTTACCTGATCGATCTTGGCGCGCAGGGCAAATGTAACCCCGACACTCGAGCTTGGGTTCTTGATCCTGTGGACGGGACTGCGACCTTCATGCAGGGCCAGCAGTATGCGGTGTGTCTGGCACTGGTGGAGAACGGGCGCCAGAAGCTCGGTGTGCTGGGATGTCCGAACCTCAATCTTGTTACTGGGCGTATCCAAGAGGATGTCGTGGACCGTGACGGTTATGGGTATCAGGTCTTTGCGGTTACTGGCCATGGAGCTTGGAAGCGCAAGATGGGCCGCGGAGCTCTCCTTCCAGCTGAAAAGATCGCTTCCCGGCCTCAGATCACCGAACCAAAGGATCTTGACTTTGTGGATTGCGGATCTGCCACATCATCCAATACCGATCTCCATGCGCGTGTGGCATCGACACTGGGTGCTCCGTGGCCGTACACGACCGACCTGTGGTCTACACAGTTGCGGTACATCGCCATCGCGCTCGGTGGGTGTAATGCCCTCTTGAAAATCCCGCGCAAGGCATCGTATCGCTCGAAAATCTGGGACCACGCAGGAGGCATGCTGATTGCCCAGGAGGTTGGGGTGAAGGTGACGGATCTTGCCGGAAACCCTGTCGACTGTAGCCTGGGCCGGACCCTGGCTGGATGTTATGGAATGATAGTGGCTCCTCCTTCTATTCATGGACGACTGGTGGAGGCCGTGAAGGAGGTGATGCAGGAGCAGAAGAACTGATCCACGCTGCCACTGGCAACAGCATTGTCACTACACCGCCTGATGTGATAGCCAACGGCGACGATCACGAGCGGCTTAGCTACGACAGTACTTTTAAGTCTACCGAAGGACGAAGCCGACAATGTCATGCAAATACCTCGTACCGCGCGCCTATTTTTCCATATTAATACATGCATAGCGATCATTCCTCGAGGTCTAACTCCCTGCTAGAATAACAGCCCATTTATTAGCGCTATTGTCATCCTTTGCCATACTCAATACCAGGCCCACTTTCACTGCCGGCATTTTAGTGTCAAGTCAAAGACTCAAAGTATCCTACATACAGTTGGCTCAAACGGGTCAATGTGACCTGTCATGGTGCTAACAGTACAACATAGTGGTCGAGAGATTCACGTTCCAGGTCTGCCACCAACTGGTAAACTTGCGCTATTTCGGGCGGGAAGCAAGCAGCAGTGTCCTTTTGTCCATGTAAGGGATAGAGAGGTTGCCTGTCAGCGCCTCGAGGTTTGGACGTTCTAGCGAGCCACGGATACCACTAGTAGACGCTAGATAGCGCAGTATTGATCGTACGATATGCACTGCGATGGACTTATGGTACACCTTGCGTTGATCGACGATGTGGGTCGATTGTAGTGCCGGATCGCTCAATAAATCTCTACCGGGGCTACTTGACGATTTCACTGACGGATGCTTAAGAGTCTATGGGGGCCTGTAGATATTGATCATTTGTATGGTTGATATAACAGATAATAAGAGCGTACCTTATTATTATGCTGTATGAACGATTTTATAGTTATGAAAAGTCCCGAGTTGTGTTCGAGGATGCAGTCATGGAACAAGTAGTGAGGCTGTGATGTCATCTGCCCACTCATATCACTGCATTTACATACTACTGCCTCGATACTACTAGGTACTTGCTTCTGCGTTGCTGCAGCTGCAATGAGGAACCCTCCCCCAACGAAGGAATCACAACGCCTTTTTAGAAATGTAGATAATTATAGTGCACTTCTCAGGATTATGGCTAGTAAGTTGACAAAGATAGCTGGGTCCTAAAAAAAAAAGTCCATTGCGTTGGAGATCCGTCTTTTCACTCTGGGGGACCGACGCAATTTCGTTGGCCACTGCCAATTGTCAGGAGACCCTCAAGATGCGGGGATTTTCTACTACTTATTGGAGTCGTACTTGTTTGTCTTTCTCGTTCTCACACTCTCTCTTCTCTCCCTCTCTCTCTCGTACTTTGAGAAATTTATAAAGCTTCATTCTCCCTCTGACATTCTTCCCTCGTTGTATTCAACCTTTGAAAGTACCTGACCTATACTGTGTCTTCTGTCCACTCCGAGCGTAGTAGACAGGCCACTCCAATCATGGCTATCTGTAAGTGTCAACGTCACCACCCGTCATCCTTGTGTAAACCTGCGTACTGACTGCCTAGACAACCCCTTTGCTAGACGGGAATCGCACAGTCGTTCCTCCTTGTCAACGTATCGTGTTCTCGTTCCCTTGTCATGGCTTCTCGTCGTCGTACTCGGTATCTACTACACTGTGAATTCTCCGCATGATGTCAAGCATGGCCATAAGATTTTCAACCAAGGCCATACGCACATCACTCCCTTCAGCCTGAACACCACTATCACCGAGATATACTGGTATGACTGTTCTTTCCACTCGACGACCTGTTGCTTTATGCTTACGATTTGCCGTGATCTAGGGTCCTTCTGCTTCTCACGCAGCTCAGCTATGTCTACCACCTTTTCTCCAACGACGCCGCCATCGTCAACGCAGCCGCCAATGTCGGAACCCACTTCATCCTGAACAACCTGTTCACCGCTGCCTGGATTCTGCTGTGGACGCGCGGTCACTTCTGGGGCTCTGAGATCATGCTGATCGCCAACTATGTCAACCAGCATGCGGCCTACTGGCGTCACCGCAATCTCCCGACATTCGTGCATCTTTCGGCAGTCGCGGGACCCTACGCCTGGACCCTGATCGCCCTCTTCTGGAATGGAGCCGTCGCTGTCAATAGCAACAGCTTCCCCGCGCGGATTGTCGCGAACATCTTTATCTGGTTGATCTTCGCTTTCGGCTCCACTCATATCATGGCGACGCAGGACGATCTTCTGGGCTACTGCTTGACTTTCTTGACACTTGGTAAGTTGGAACTTTTTTTTGGGGTGGAGTGGACTAGAGTATGTCGACGGCTGCTGACCAATATAGCACTGGCTGTCAAACAACTCGCCATCAAGGTCATCGCCCTACAGTGGATCTTCGCCTTTGTCATCTTCGCCGTCTTCCTCGTCGAGTCGATCTACCTCTCCAGCACCAAGTACTACGGTCGCGACTCGCTCTTCTGTAGAATCGTGGAACCTGAGCCCACTGACCGCGAGAGAGAGCCACTGCTCAACAACGCTGCTAATGTTTAAGAACAAGGTGGGCTATGTGCTCCTGGCACTGCGTGCGGGGAGTTCACCGGATGGTAGCGTGTGTGTAACGACAATGGAACGTCGAATCGGTTAAGTGCTCGTTGTGATCTGTATCGTTAATCTGCTTGATGGTCATTACGAATTGTTTTCTCATCTTTCCTCCTCTTGTTCATTTCTACTGTCTCACTTTGATATCATCCTTCGAACATAAAAAGTCGAGTCACAAACTGGCGATGATTCAACGCTCAGTTGTACATCGCGTATCTATTGATATCATCAATGTCTTTCCTGATGTTTTATATGTGATCGCTTTGGTGGGGCCAGTCTGGGGAGCTTCCATGGGTCCAACCTGTTGTTTATCTTGTCTCGACTCCTCTGTTTCTCGGTCGTCCAAGTAGCTAATTTGCTATCTACATATTGCTCTTCATACTCCTTACTGCGTACAATCATTCTTATTAGCTTAACCCCAGATCATCGGGTGAAGGTTATGTCTTGGCTCCATGAGTGGGTAAAAAGTGGGTGTCGGTGCGGCATGCTCTATCACCAGTTATCCGTACTGTTCCATCAATGGTCAACGAGCCATGCAACATTGGTTATGGAGGATCGGAAGAGAAGCAAGTATCCTCCATTGATACTCCGTACAACGCTTCATAAGCGACTAGAGAAAACAAGCCAACTCATTCATTCGCGCAATGTCTCGCACCTGCAAGGCACAGGGAACGGGGATTTGCGTCGCCCCGCTGGTCGTCACCTCCAACCTGTCTGGTTGCCCGGGAGACATCCACATGCAACAGAGATACAACTCCACACGCCCTCACTCGTTCCTTGGGGCAATCAAGGTGATCTAGCTAGCGCTTAGGTTGGGAAGAAAAAGATTCAAGGTGCCTGGGGTTTGTGCCAGTTCCATCATACTCTGTTCTGAACTGCAACTCGTCACCAAGTCTGTGTTTATTCCGTTCCTACAAAATACAGTTCGGGATCAAGCACCCTCTGGTAGTGCTACACAACAATAGCTGGCGGTGATTACATTCCACGACTCAAGGATTGTTTACGAGTTTCATCTCTGCAGTGAGTGACATTCCTGAAGGCATCATAACTGGTGGAGCAGACACACTGATATTTCATCCACCTCAACTAGACTCGAACACGACGTATCTCACCCGATTGACAATCTCAACGCAGCGACGCCGGTTTTCTTCGAGGCTGAGATTGTCTCAGTCATACGCGGATATCCTTTGGCTCTTGTGCAGCCCCGCGAAGAAGATCCCGAACCACCCTCCCCGTTACACGATCCCTGCTATGAAGGCGTAAATCCGCAAGAGCCATAACCATGAATCCCAACTCATCGGGGATGTATCCCCCCGCACCGAACTACGAAGAGGAACCACCAGCCTACGGGAATTATGGCGAGACCTCGTCCTTTCTCGCAGATCATCACGACTCGTCTCCTCGGCACAGCGGGCCCACGATGCGCTTGCTGCCCACGAGCACGGGCGTCGATGACGATCTGAGCGCGGATGTGACCACTGGTGCGGGTTATCAGTACGGAGACGATTACTCGGATGATGGCCGGTGAGTACTTATTAACTTTTTTCTTTTTCTTTCGTTTTTCGTTTTCCTTTCTGCACACTGCCGCTGCCTGTCGCTCTGGAATGTGTCAGGGAACCCGCATACCTATGACATTGATTGGCATCCTGGTGTTGCCAGCTGCATGGTTGTATCCCTTGTTTGGTTGTTGCAGAAGTTTCATTTGGGAATTGAAGAATATCCTTTCCGGCTGGACTGAAGGGGATTTGTCTGTCACACGAGTATCTATTTTGGATACCACATCCTGATTCTTTATCTATATTGTTTTGCTGTACTTTCTGTTACGGGTCCTTCAGCGTCTGCACATGTCTCAAGCAAGACAATCGTTGAACAGCTCTCCTCAAGCTCCGTCACCATGATTGATCCCAATCTTCCTAGAATGACTTCTCCAAAAAGACCGAGGGCTAACGGACACTACGTCGCTTATAGAACACATGCGAGTGGAGAATATAACCGTTTCTATGGGTACGATGGGGGCTCACCATCACGGGCTACCTCGAGTCTAGGAAATGCGCCAACGATTCCTCCACCGACAGAATCTATGGTTGATATGCCGCAATTCTCATCGCGTCCTGCTTCTCCGCTTAGAGCATGGTCGCCGACACGCGCACCAGATTGGACACGGCCGCCCGCTCCTTCATCTGTGGCTGGCTCGCACTACGAGCGTGCTGATTTAAATGGTAGCCCAAGGCCTGGTACGCCCAGCTCGAGATATGGAGGAAGCCCCAGACGGCCCTTGCCACCAGCCCCATTGTTCTCTAGGCCTGGGGCAACCGGGCAAGACACAAGCATCGACATCGGAGACGGCAACGATGATGACGATGTCTTTGGAGGAGGTGGCAGGACAATTAGTCGTCATGAGCACCGTGGTAGCGTCCGGTCATTCATGAGCGAATCGACTGTCATTACCGACGAGAAGGACCACATGACCAAGATAAGCCTTGACGAAGACGATGATGCCACAGATGTTGACCCAAATATGCACTATGGCCCCGCTCCAGAAAAGCAGAGTCGGCGTGGTGTTCGAGACGCGCAGATGTCCAAGAAGGAAGTCCAGCTTATCAACGGTGAGCTGATCCTGGAGTGTAAGATTCCCACGATTCTGCACAGCTTCCTCCCCCGCCGTGATGACCGAGAGTTTACGCATATGCGCTACACGGCCGTGACCTGCGATCCGGACGACTTCGCCCAGAGAGGCTACAAACTGCGCCAGCAGATTGGAAGTACGATGCGTGAGACTGAGTTGTTTATTTGTGTGACCATGTATAACGAGGACGAGATCCATTTCACCCGTACTATGCATGGTGTCATGCGGAATATCAGCCACTTCTGCGCGCGCTCCAAGTCGCGGACGTGGGGCAAGGATGGCTGGAAGAAGATCGTCGTCTGTATCATTGCAGACGGTCGTAAGAAGGTGCATCCTAGAACTCTAAACGCCCTTGCGGCCCTTGGTGTCTACCAGGAAGGGATAGCCAAGAACATTGTCAACAAGAAGCAGGTCACTGCCCACGTCTACGAATACACGACTCAAGTGTCGCTCGATTCCGATCTAAAGTTCAAGGGAGCGGAAAAAGGAATTGTGCCTTGTCAAGTCATCTTCTGTCTCAAGGAACACAACCAGAAGAAGCTGAACTCCCACCGATGGTTCTTCAACGCCTTTGGACGCGCGCTGCAGCCAAACATCTGTATTCTTCTTGATGTTGGTACTAAGCCCGAGCCCACCGCACTGTACCATCTTTGGAAGGCATTTGACCAGGATTCCAACGTTGCCGGTGCCGCCGGTGAAATCAAGGCGGGCAAAGGAAAGAACATGATGGGTCTATTGAACCCGCTTGTGGCGAGCCAGAACTTCGAGTATAAGATGTCCAACATCCTTGACAAGCCTCTGGAGTCGGTATTTGGGTACATCACCGTGCTGCCCGGAGCGCTCAGCGCGTATCGCTTCTTCGCTTTGCAGAACGATGCGGATGGCAACGGGCCGCTCAATCAGTATTTCAAAGGTGAAACACTACATGGAAAAGATGCGGATGTCTTTACGGCGAACATGTATCTGGCAGAAGATCGTATTCTGTGCTGGGAGCTCGTCGCCAAGCGGGAAGAAAGATGGGTTCTGAAATTCGTCAAGAGTGCCGTTGGTGAAACCGATGTGCCTGGTATGTGTTTTATGTCTTTTTGTGTTCTGATATGAGGCTGACTCCTTCATAGATACCGTGCCCGAGTTCATCTCACAGCGTAGACGGTGGCTGAACGGTGCTTTCTTCGCCGCCGTGTACTCTCTTGTCAACGGCAAACAGCTCTGGAAAACAGACCATTCCCTTCCGCGGAAGATCCTCCTCCAGATCGAGGCTGTTTATCAATTCCTTCAGATTCTGTTTACATACTTCGGATTGGTAAGTTGTTCGCTCCAGGGACTTGCTGCAACGATCACTGACAAAAGTAGGCGAACTTCTACTTGGCATTTTTCTTCATTGCAGGGTCTCTGTCTGATCCAAAGATCGACCCTTTCGGACACAACGTGGGAAAATACATCTTCATTATTCTGAGATACGCCTGTATCCTCGTCATGTGCTTGCAGTTTATCATTTCGATGGGTAATCGACCGCAAGGGTGAGTGTTTGATTGACTAGCTGTGAGGAAGCCCACGCTAATCCTTTATAGTGCCAAGAAGCTTTACCTGTCAGGCATCATCGTCTACAGTATCATCATGGTTTATACAGCCTTCTGTTCTATCTATCTGGTCGTTCTGGAGCTCATGGCCAAGGCCGGGGTGGGTAGGAAAGACCTACCGGTCAGCGATGGCCTCTTCATCAACATCGTTGTGTCACTACTCTCGACCGTGGGGCTTTATTTCTACGCATCCTTCCTGTACCTGGACCCGTGGCACATGTTCACGTCCTCTGCACAATACTTTGCCCTTCTACCCAGTTACATCTGCACTCTACAAGTCTACGCGTTCTGTAATACACACGACGTCACCTGGGGTACCAAGGGCGACAACACCATCAACACAGATCTCGGCGCCGCTCGCATCATCAACGGCACGACCGTCGAAGTGGAGATGCCGTCCGAGCAGCTCGACATCGACAGCGGCTACGACGCGGCCCTGCGCAACCTCCGCGACCGCCTCGAGGTCCCGGAGCCGGGCGTCTCTGAGAGCCAGCAGCAGGAGGACTACTACCGCGCCGTGCGCACATACATGGTTTCCGTCTGGATGGTCGCCAACGTCATCCTCGCCATGGCCGTCTCCGAGGTCTACGGCATCGACTCGACGGGCACAAACGTCTACCTCGCCATCATCCTGTGGTCTGTCGCCATCCTGGCCATGATCCGCGTCATCGGGTCGACCACCTATGCGATCCTGCTGGTTGTACAGAAGATCGTGGAGGGCAAGACCAAGTTCGAGGCCGGCAATATCGCCAGCGCCAACAGCGCCACTGCCAGTCATGTCAGTGGCTCGACGGTGCGGTATGGCGGCGGCACGACCTTCAAGGATAAAATGAATGAGACCGGGTGGACGATCAAGAGGCAAGTAGGCAAGGCGATGTTTTGGCGGAAGTAATATTTGGCACGTTTGATGGTTTCATGGATATTTGCCCATTTTTCTCTTGGTCATGTTCCTTTCTTGTTGTTGGGAGTTTCCCATTTTTTTTTCTTTTTCTTTTCTGCTACCGTGATACCGCTTGATGTATGATTGATTTCCTAACTTGATGCCCCATATGTACGTACCTCATGAATAATGGATATAATAATGATTTCCCCCATCCTTTCTCCCTCCCTTAGATCTACTTACCGATAGAATAGGACAGAGTAGGACAGAGTAGGATAGGATAGGATAGGATAGGATAACAATGCAAGACAAAAAAAGCAAGTCCACCTAAAGCGCCGCCGCAACCTACTCCCTCCCCTGCACAATCTCCGCCACCAACCCGGCCGCAGCAAGCGTCTCCTCGTCCCTATATTTCCTCCCAACCAACTGCAACGCAATCGGCGCATCAACATACCTCTCCGGCTGATACTTCGCCCACTCCCTCGCATCCACCTCGCTGCGCGGCACATACCCGCCATCCACCGCATCCAGCACCGGATCCACCACCAGCCCGCTGGGAAACACCGCCCCGGGCTGGTCGAGGATATTCCACACCGCGGTGTAATTCCAGTAGTGTGACTCGCCGAAGACGGCCGCGACGCCCGGGTACACGGGACACAGGATGAAGTCGACGCCGCGCGCGCGCATGAGCGCGTGGTATGCGTCGCGGTAGCTGTCGCGCTGGCAGTTCAGCGCCCAATTCTCGGGGATGCTGAGCGGGGTGGCGCGGCTGAAGTTGAGGGCCCATTCGGTGAGTGGAAGGAGGGGCTCGTTGCTGGCGGCGAAGACGACCCGTTGGTTTGCGGCCGCGTCGGGGAAGTAGAGGGTTGACTGTTTTTTTGGGGGGGGTGGGGAGGTTAGTTTAGTGGGGGAGAGAAAGGGTATGGAGGAGGGGAGGGGAGGGGGATAGGAGGGACGTACGACTATCTCCCAGCCGTGGTCGTGGCGGTGCGGTTCCCAGTCTACGACGTTGATGCCGGCTGCGAGGAGCTTTTCTTTGGCGTGTTGGAGGGCCCGGGTGATGGGTGGGTGGGGGCGCACGCATCTGGTTGCGGGTTTTTTTTTGCAGTCAGTTGTAGGCCTCTTGCACTGGCTCATATGAATTGGTTAGAGGAGAGGGAAAGGGACATACCCATCGTCCCACATGATGCCCACGGTCATGTTGCGGGTGGGCGCAACGCGCTTCCAGGGAATAGGGACGAGAGACGTCTCAATCTCCCATGGCTCCTGATCGATGAGGGCGCGCTGGAAGAGATCGAGATCCTCGATGCTCTGGCTTGCCAGGGGGCCTAGGGTACCCCGGATCGACTCCTGTCCGGGGCAGGGGATCTTGGTCCCCACCCCGGGGTTTCGAAGGGTCGTCGGACGGAACCCGTAGGCGCCACAGAAGCCGGCAGGGCTGCGGATAGACCCGCCGATGTCTGTGCCTACACCGAGTGGAGCGCATTTGAAGCCCATCGAGGCGCCTTCGCCGCCGGATGAGCCGCCAGCGGTCAGGGTACGGTTGTATGGGTTTACTGTAGGGCCGGTGAGGTTGTTGTCGCAGCATAGATGCTTCAATGATTGTTTAGTTCTGTATCAATGAGGGTGGATAGAGTACATACCATCAATGATTGTGGCTGGTTTGTCCGTACGTGGAACACGGCGCCTGCCTTTCGGAGATACTGTAGAAGCAACGCATCTTCGCTTGCTATCTCATCCACCCTGTCGCTGTCAGCTCGTAGCTGTATTGCCAGATATTCGGACGTACCATGCCGCGAAGCCCGCGTTGCAGGTTCGGCCCTTGAGCCCAATGTGCTCTTTTACGCTGATAGGAACCCCGTGCTACGCATTAATTATCGTTAGGGTTATACTAATCATGTCTTACTGATCAAACGTACCAGCGGTCCAACTAGCTTTCCTGTCCGTCTGTAGTGCGCATCAAGCTCTCTCGCTCTGGCAATGGCTTCATCTGCCATGAACTCTGTTGCAAAATTAAGCTGGGGGCTGTTAGCACTCTGCCTCAGAGGTAGTGATCCGTGCACAGCATACCAGCTGGTGACCCAATACAGCTCGTTTGAGGAATGCGACAACCACTTCTTCGGCAGTCAACATGCCCGCAGCCATCCCAGCCACAAGCGCTGTAGCAGACTTCTCGGTGATGGAGATCTCTCTATCACTGAGGACGCCACTCTTCCGAGGGAAGTCCTCGACATTTTTCTGGTCTGCTGGGGGGAGCTTATCTGCGGAGACAAGCCATTGCTTTGGTATGGAGTTTTGAAGTAAGTCTTTAGCTTTGCGGGCTTGACCTTCCCAATTCTCGGTAGACATGCTGTACTGATGGCAATGATAGAATGATCAGAGTCTGGCGTCGAGCGGCCGGATGCGAGCACGATAGGGCAGATTAGGATACATCTTATACCCCTCACAAGAAGATAGTTACATAGATAAGCATCCTGGTAACCTCGTCACATTCTAGGAACTTGCTGCACTTGTCGGTCCTTGCGTCGCGGAACCGGAACGCGGTGACGAGTCCCAATCAACAGATGCCGCTCTTCTCCGTGACTCCGAGTTGGAGAACCGATCTTGGAGATAGGCGGCTTTGTAAGGTGGAGAAGCTCTTATCTGCGATGGTTCACAGCTAAGAATGATCACGAACACCAATCTTTGTCCTTTTCGAGTTCTTGTGCCATGGTAGCACCGGGTGTCATTGGCTCTGCCTGGAAGAGGGGGGGCGCCAGGGCGTATCAGTTGCCCTTTGCGTGCTGATGTGACTCTCTAAGATAGCAGTCGACATCTTTCCAGTTCACAATGATCTCTGATATAAATGTCAATACGTCATTTTCTTCCAGATAGCTCTGCGACTCCTAACTCGCACCCAATCAAAATAGTGCTCGGATAGTGACCTCCACGCTACCAGGCCAACAAGTAGCATCGCTCCTCTATAGCTCGGCGGAATCGTTCCGCAAGAGAAGCGGAGAAGGTGGAGATATGGAGAACCGAGGATTTAATAGTACAAGCCAAGGACGAGACGGAGGATGATGGATTGGAGATCTGGGGTAGCAGCAGAGAGGAACAAAGAGAAGTGAGAAATGCTCTAATGAATGATGGATGAGGGTCAGGTGACAAGGGATGACTTGTCTTGACCTGAGCTCGCCCAGCATCTCGACTTGACTTCCACAATGCTAAGAAAGAATAAATAAGCCAGCTCGGTATCCCTCAAGGATCAAGGCTTCTGTTATTCGTCCCCTTTACTGTCCTCTGGACCCATCCGCTCAGGCACCACGATGACCCCTGCTGGTGCAATATCTGGCTGGAGAGCAACCGACTGAATATCGTACTTCTGGAAGCATGCATTGATTCGACGCGTCAACTCAATGAACTCAGGAGCTGATTGATCCGAGACAGCTGCGTTGACGAAGGCCAAGGACTTGTGCTGGTGGATATGCCAGACGTAGAGTTCCTGAATGAATAATACGCCAGGTATCTATCCCAGCTGTGATCAGAAATGAGATAGCAAACATGCCAGATGGCGTCTCTTACCTTCTCCAAGTCGTTCTTGATATCGTTTGGATCGACACCAGGGGGTGCGCTTCCTAGAAGCATATAACCAGATCTTCGCACTGTTTCCCCAGTCAGTGTCATCCAGCGCCGACTGCCGAATACAACATACACAATGGAAGAGAGGATAGGGTTAGCATGATAGCGATCCCAAGGCTGATTCCGGGATCAGCATAGTATCGGCCTTCATAATGCGTCAGCCATATCACTAAGGCTGCGACTATAACACCAAGGTTGTTGGCTGCATCGCCAACGACATGGAGCAGGGGGCCCATCATTTCTAAATCATGGCAGCTAAGTTTCATTCGAGCTTTGTTTATCAGACGACTGCCCCCCTGCTAGTGACACAGTCAGCTCTCCTCGCCAAAATGATGATATAGCAAAACCCGCCTGACAAACCTTGGCTATCCTTGCTTCGATTCCAGACTCCATGGACGACTCCGACGGAAGAGGCTCTAGCGCTCGTTCGTGATGATGGGCATGGTGCTCTGTACACCATCAATAAGATACCTCAAGACCAAACAACAACCATACCATGGAGGACCAATGCACTGAGAGCATTAAGCCCCAGCCCAACACATCCCACAACAAGCACCAACTTCGGATTCTCAACCTCTACCCGCCCGTTCAAGTTCAGCCAAATCCACACATATACACCAACCGAGATCACCAACCGTGCAACCAGATAAACCGTTCCACAGACTGCAGGAGAACACTGATCCCCAGCGCAAACAGCAGAGCTCCATTAAAGAAAGCCCCCAGTAACGGGGCCCGCTGCCACCCAAAAGCCAACGTCTTCGGCGCATCTTCGGTCTCGGACACCTTCCTGCTTATCAGAATCGATGTGCCAGTGTACATTTGCATTGTTGCTCGGCGGAGAAAAAGGGGGGGAGGGAAGGGTCATCGTTCCCACCTTCAGCGCCAGCAAGGCGATGGCGAACCCGATCAGGTCGTTCAGCTGCGCGGTTTAGCATATGACACCTCGCCCTAATTTCTTCAGAAGGGTCAATACGTAGTGGAATGCGTCTGCCACCAGGGCGAGTGAGTGCGTGTATAAACCGACTGGACTCGTTAGCCGTTGCCTGTTAGAAGCCAACCGGGGCAGATGTACTTGAGATCTCGGCCAGGAAGAAACAGGACGAGAGCCCGATCACGACCATCAAGCGCTGGGAGCGCGAGATGTTGACATTCATCTTTTGATAGCGAGTTTATCGGCTCGAGGTTGCTGGTTGAGGAGAAGCAGAGGGGGGTTTCCCCCCCCCCCCTTTGTGCCGGTTTAGAGGGACGTGTGTGGGAGACGGCGGCTTCCTTCTGCCCCCCTCTGCCTGCACTCCGTGTAACTGCATGCTTATCGGGTGGTTGCAGAGCTGTGCAATTAATATGGGACGGTTAAGGAGGGCCGAGCATGAGATATGGCTGTCGTGCCGTTTGATCCCTCCAACCAGTTTCGGGTTTATGCATGATTCCGATATACAGCCCACTAACGGGCCCATGCCCAGCAAGTGGGATTTTACTTCGGACTTCTACCGGCAGGAAGATGGAGGTTACATGAAAGTTTGAATTATATATTATTGGCTCCTTTATTTAGGGTTACAACGAAGGCATCGAGCATGAGTATCATGTGTGAGGGTCATAGCACGTTGAAGAAATTAAGCAGCAACCTCATCGACCAGGCCGTCCAGCTCTCTTTGCCAATTCCTGTGTCTTGAGATGTGCCAGATAAATTGCTCCGCAAAGCCTTTGCTATCCTTGCTGGCATTAGCAGAGACCTTCAGATGCTCATTCGCCGGACCATTGGTAGTGATCACACCGTAGCTCTGCACGACACCGCCAGAGCTCGCGGCATACTTGACGCTGTCAAGGTTGATTTGCTTCCGAATAAATTCCACGGCTTCATTGAGACCCGCGATGGCTTTGAGATGCGCAAAGGACTCGGTGATCCAGTACTTGGCGACGCCGTTCTTGCTCAGGGCCGCAATGTGCTTCTGACCGCCGGGGATGAACACCGCGTCGAAGAGCGTCGACCGCATACCGGCGAAGTGATGCTCGGGAATGACCTTTTCGCCTGTCTCGGCTGTCACGCCCTGGCGTTGAGGGCCGATGGTGAAGACGAAAGCCTTCTGTTTCTGCAGGGTCTCCTTCATCGCCTTATACGAGGCGTAGTCGAAGCCGTCGGCGATGAGGATGGCGATACGCCGGGTGGTGATGACGGCGCTGTCAGACAGGTACTCGAGCTGACTCAGGCCCTTGGTCTTCTGGCCCTTGTTCTCCTTGGGTGCCTTTTCGGGGGTATCGCCGCCGACGTTCTTGGCTACTGTTTGGGCGAGCTCCAGGTCGACGACGGCGAGACGCTCTGCGAGTCGCTTGTAAACGATCTCCTCGTCACAGTGGTCGAGCTCGAAGGAGAAGGCCTTGGCGACATGCATCTTCTCAATGGGGGAGAGGGAGTTGTAGAAGAGCTGGGCTTGGTTGTAGTGCTCCTTGAACTTGGCTGAGAAATGGCGTCCTTTCGTGCCCTGCTGCTTCTCGGGGTAGCTTGTGAATCCGCCCTGGGCTGCCGAGGCAGGGGGGTTGGCCCCGTAGCGGTTAGGCCAGTAATTAACCTTGCCCTTGGTGATGCGGTGTCTCATAGCTCCGTCGCGGTTAACCAAACTCGCGTAGGGGCATACGGGACGGTTGATGGGCAATTCTTCCCAGTTGGGGCCGAGTCGAGAGATCTGTGTGTCAAAGTAGGAAAAGTTCCGGCCTTGCAGTAGAGGGTCGTCCGAGAAGTCAACACCAGGCACGATGTGGCTGGTACAGAAGGCGACCTGCTCAGTCTGGGTGAAGAACTCATCGATGTTGCGGTTGAGCTCCATCTCGCCAATATACTCGATCGGAACCAGCTCCTCGGGCCAGATCTTGGTGGCATCCAGGATATCAAACTCAAAATCATGTTGCTTCTCCTCGGGAATAGCCTGGATGCCGAATTTCCACTTAGGGAAATGGCCCGCGTCAATGGCATCCATCAAGTCCTTGCGGTGGAAATCCGGATCTTGACCACAGATCTTGAGGGCTTCATCCCAGACGAGCGAGTGCACCCCAAGTTCCGGGAGGAAGTAGAACTTGACGAAATGCCGCTTGCCCTCAGCGTTAATCAGGGAGTAAGTATTGACGCCGAAGCCTTGCATCATACGGAGCGAACGAGGGATAGCCCGATCAGACATGACCTGCCCAAGTCAGCCTCTCAAATCACCTTCCCCAACTCACACCAGAACGCAAAACATACCCATTGCTGCATATGCGTGGTCTCGGAGTGCATATACATAAAGTCCCAGAAGTTATTATGCGCACTCTGGCCCTGGGGGATCTCATTATGCGGCTCCGGCTTGACCGCATGGATCACATCGGGAAACTTCATCGCATCCTGGATAAAGAACACAGGGATGTTATTCCCCACGATATCCCAGTTGCCCTCGTCCGTGTACATCTTCACCGCAAAGCCGCGCACGTCGCGCACCGTGTCCGCACTCCCCTTGCTGCCCTGCACGGTTGAGAACCGCACGAACAGCGGCGTCTCGCGCGAGGTGTCCGTCAGCACCCCCGCCGTCGTCAGGTGGCTGATCCCCCTGTGCAGTCGGAAGGTGCCGAAGGCGCCGACGCCGCGCGCATGCACGACTCGCTCGGGGATGCGCTCGTGGTCGAACCGCATGATCTATGCTCCTCGTCTCAGTCGCTTGCATTCAAGTGCCGAATAGCACGCGGAATATCATGGCCGTCCATACCTTCTCCCGGGCAATCGGGTCCTCCAGCAGCGACGGGCCATTGTTCTTGTCGTCGACGACGCGCAGCCAGTGATCCGGGTCGGAGATCTTGATCCCAAAGTCGGTGGTCATGTGCTGTTTATCGTCGATTTCGACAGTATCACGTTGTAGATCCGCGTCCTTGCTTGATTGCGCCATGTTTCTTCTCTTTTCCTCACTGGCTGATATTCAAAAGGTAAAAAAAAAAAAAAAAAAAAAAAAAAAAAAAAAAAGAACAAACGTACTCGTGGAGTTAGTCTAGAGAGTCAAATCAACCCACGACCACGATCCCGTTGTACCCAACACGCCATATAAATATAAATCCGAACCCTCCTTTCCCCCCCAAACGACACAAATGATGCAATAGAAATCCCTCCCTTCCATCCCCGATGACATCGTCACTCTCTTCATTCAGCGCAAACGTCTGTACCCTGTGCAGGTACCTGACCAGTTAGAAAACGCATTCTGCGCAGTGGTGACGCGAGGAAACGTAAATCCCTACCCAAGTTTTGGGCCAGAGCCCACGGTCCCATCTGGCACGATCGGCCCCCGTGGAGCAAGAAACCTGCTTATGTATGTATGCATAGTTTGCGCACTTCGCAGGGCCAAGGGGCTCTACCTCTTGGTCCCCTCTCTTCGATCGTTAGTGACCGAGTTTGTCGAATACATCAGGGCCTATTGAATTGCAACTAGTGCATTACAAAGCGAGGGTCTGGGTCGGGATGCCATCTTCTAGGCTATTGTCTGGCGGTGGTTCGTACTTCGAACTGGTTACTTCTGGGGGACTGCGGATGACGTCATGACGCAGGAACCAGAATGTGGGTTTATGTACATAAGTGTTTGTATGTATATGCATATCTATATAGTATATGAATCTGGGGGACGCCTCATCTATACAAATGTCCGCTCGGCATGGGGACATAACTACATGTTATCCTCACTCCAGTGACTCCTCGACCTTTGCCACGCATCGTGCTCACTCTTCCCCTCCTCAAGCGTCTTCCCCACGCCCAGCCCGCGCTCCACCCACTCCTTGCTGCCCATCTCGTGGAGGCGGGACAGGGCGCGCGCAAACGCGAACCGTTCCTCGTCACCGCTGAAGATGGATGTGGTCTTGAGCGCCTGCATGGAGAGACCCAGGTCATCCATCATCATGCGCATTGCGTCGGACAGGTCGGAGTGGTCGCCGCTGTCTTCGAGGGAGGTCTTGACTTCCTGCTCGGACATGAAGAGGTTGGGCAGGGCGACGGCTGTGGTGAGGACTAGTTTGGCCTAATGGGGATATTAGCATGGTTTTAATCTAGGACTTAAGAGCTCGACGGGAGGGGTGACATACCCTGCTCTCGTAGACGGCGTCAATGAAGGTGATGAAGCGACGGGCCAGATCCCGCTGATGCAGCGTCATGCCCGGCACATCCGTCACGATGAAGGCGTCATAGTTGCGCACCAGCTCCAGATAGTCGGCTGCACCGGTGGCACTGCCGATGAGCTGCTGGAATGTGAAATGGGCGGCCTTGCCGCTGGCCGAGGGGACCTCAATCTTACGACCCCAGACCTCCTGTGTCTCGGGATGAGGCGGGTCGTTGGGATCGCCGAGGAACTCGAACCACTTCTGCGCGTGGCGATCGGCCTCGGGGCCAAGAGGGTGGTAGTAGACGGCCGCTGGCGGACGGGGGATCTTGCGGTAGTCGGTGGGTGAGTTTAGGTTGATCACTGTCAAAGCCGTCTGGAGGAGCTTGATACAGGGGATGAAGGACTCGCGCTGAATGCCGTTCCTGTAGAGATCGTTGGGATGCCGGTTCGAGGTTGTAACGAGCACAACACCATGCGACATGAGCAGTTCGAGGAGTCTTAAAAGCTACAAGTTAGCACACATCTAGCCCTCTCTCCAGCCGGTCCAACCAACAAACATACCTCCGTAAGATCATCGCATCAGCCACATCCGTACACTGAAACTCATCGAAACACAGCACGCTGGACAACTCGGCAATATCGGCCGCCACCATGGGCAGCGCGTCAAAATCATTCCCATACCGCATCTTCACCACATGCATGCGCTTATGCACATCCTGCATGAAGTTATGGAAATGGATGCGTGACTTCGACTGGATATTCGCCGGTAGCGTTTCATAGAACAGATCCATGAGCATCGTCTTCCCGCACCCGACATCCCCATACATATACAACCCCTTGGGCAAGGTCTCCGGGATCTTCGTCTCGTCCTTCGCGGGCTTCCGCCCGAACAACGATCCCAGGAACGACTGCGGCTTCGGGTCCAACGACTCCACGCTCGGGTGAACCACCGCCGGCGGCGTATACTGCTTCAGCACCTCGTACAAATCCTGCAGCTCCTGAATAATCTCTGCACACGCCATCAGCAACCCCCATCATCCCTCGCACCTCACAAATGAAAGAAATGAAACCTACCCCTCTGATGCGGATCATCCCGCAACCGCCCCTGCTGCACCCGCGCCTCATACTCCCCCAGGGGCCCACCACCGCCTAGCCTCGCCGACGCAACCTCCGTCGCCTGCGCAATCGGCCCCGACCCCCGCTCCTCAGCCTCAGCCGCAGCCGCAGCCCCCGTCGCAAACCGGCGCAGCTCCGATCTCCGGACGCGCACATCTCGCGCACTTAAATTCCCACTCCGAGCCGCGCACGCCCGACGCGGAGCAGCACCGCTGTGTACATTGCGTCTGCACTCGTGTATGCGCGCGCTGCGTGCGACGACGGGCCTGGATCCGCGGAGGGCGGCTGGCAGGGTCTCGGCGCAGAGTTTCGCGGGGCGGGCCATTGTATTTTATCCTGCGGTGTTGTGTATACGGGCCAGACAGGGTATGTGTATTCGAGGCGTAGATCCCGTGGAGGATTGAATTGGTGCTGATCGGGTATAGGTTATAGGTTATACTCCGTACGCTACTGTCATAGAGCGGACAAGCGGGGAAAAGTGAAGATGGATGGTGTGTCACTTGTCAACAAAGGGGATGAGGTTGGATACGTAGGGCCGACGGGGTATATTCCTCGCGTGTTCGGGCCGGATAGAGGAATAGAACGGCGGGATGAGGATTTTTCGACTCAGAGAGCCCCGGAACAGAGTTGCAGAGAGGAATCAAGAATCAAGAATCAAGAACTCCCATCGGCAACTGCGTTGGCCTGAGGCGAAAAAGAACCGCGGGATTTCCGACGGCCGAGATCATGTGACTCAGGACCCGGCATGCAGCGGCGGATTTGGCATGGCCGTTGTTCACTATGCTATTATTGCTGATTATTATAAGTAAAAACACGCAGAATAAGGGCTATGCGACTGATGTAGGTAGAAAGCCTACATATATCGGTGTATATATGCAAAGAGACATATGTACATGTGTTGCGACGAAATGTCAAAATGGGTATGAAAACATCGCAGGCCGTCATTTGCCCACGAAGATGAGATATCAAACAAATAGAAAAGAAAAAAAAAAATACATATCAGCATAAGCATCAAACATGTCGGACATGTCTCGCTCCCGTCATCTCTCAACCACATCATCAATCAAATAAAAGACGCTCAAAGGACTATTTTGTCAGGGTAAATCAGAAGGAAGCCCCAAAACACCGTACACCGTATCCCCCACCAATTTTAATGGAGGAAGAGTTCGAAAGGATTAAATGAGGCAAAAGGCACAAGCGATGAGAGAAAAAAAAAAAAAAACAAAGGGAACAATCTATCGCGAACGTGGGAAATCATGATTCTATGCATGTTCACATGGTCAAGAAAAAGGAAGGGCGAGACTCTCTTAGGCGAGCCCAACGTATAGCGTAAGTTTGGAGTTTCGTTGAATGGCGGTGTCCAGATCACTGTCGCTGGCAAGATCCACATAACTGCCCGAGGGCTCATCTTTGTATTGTACCACGATTTCCTCGTTGACTTTAAGACGATCCACAAGTTTCTCGTGGAGTTGCTGGAAACTGATGTCGCTGGAGACACGGATGGCAATCAGATCGTCTTGGAAGAAGACTTTGACTTTCATCGCACTACCGCTGGAGGCCGTCGAGACCTGGGTGAGAGAGCTGGGCTGCCGGTTCATCTGCGTAGGCCGATCGCTTGGGAGTGACAGGGACGGCTGGTTGCGCTGGTGTGAGGTCCGGTCAGGGTGTGCGGTCATCTGCGCCTGGGAAGACTGGCGCGACGCGCTGCGCGACGGTTCTTGTGTGGAAGAATGATGCGAACCACCGGAATACCGAGCATCTTCCCCGAATGCGCTAGGGTCGATTTCGAAGTCGTTGAGCCGGGGCGCAAACAACTGACGGACCAGCTGGCAGCGAGAAATATGAGGGGGCATGGCGAGGAGCTTCTTGATGTATTCGTCCAGATTCTGTCGTCGTCCATTGGAGATGGCATCAGTGACATGGGTCACAGGTCCTGGCATGAAAGGCAGTGTCCGGGGCTTCCCACGATTTCCGGCCTCGTCATCGAACTGAGTCAAGAGCGCAATCTGAAAGTCGTAAAAGTCGTGATAATAGCGAGACAATTCCCAGCAGCGCCCGTCCTCCATCTTCGCCTCAATGATATACCAATACTTGTCGTTGTCGAAGCAGTACCGAGGGATGGAGGCGGCTACTGGAGCCATCAGAGGCTGCGGGTAAGTCTGCGCCGGCGGTTGCGACAGATGCTGGGGAAGGGAGGCCTTGCTCGCGTTGCGATTGTGGTAGCCCTATTTGTAAACAGAAGGATCAGCACAAGGTCCGGCACGATTTAGGACTCATGTTTCCAGGGCAAAAACTCACGTTGACACTTCCGACCTGGCTCGCATGGCCGGCGCTGTTGCGGCTCATTGACATCTTCTCCATTCCAGAAGTCATGGACTGCATTCCGGAAGGCGTGGGTTCAATCTTGCCGAGCGTAATGCTGCTGTTCTTGTACTCTGCAGTCATTTTCTTCCACTCCTCGACCCGCGGCACACCGGCGCGCTTGACGGCTTCCAGCGGATCGGTCACCGCTTGACCAGTTTGCATATCTCGGAGCTCGATGAACGAGACCGGGATCAGACCAGGGCCACCCAAACGTCCAATCGGCTTCGCAACGAACCATTCTGGGTTGGACTGGGCGATGACAATGATCGCCTCACCTGCTTTCGCATCCAATTCATCCGGTCGCTCCGCCTGAAAATCATATTGGACGATACCATACACCATGGCGCTTGAACTTTTCCCAATGGCCGACATCCTGAGGGGCGCAGGCTGATTCGGTTGATGATGATGTTGTTGTTGTTGTTGTGGCGGCGTGGAAAACTGCTCGGGTGAAGGAAAGGAAGCGAAACCGCGATCTGAGAAACCCGAGTCGTGCGACTCTTTCTTCTTATGAAGCAGGTCGATTGACCCGCCACTATTTCTTTCGTTCTTGCCAATGGCCTCAAAAAAGGAAACGGGCACCAACCCCCTGGCACTAGGGATGAGAGGATTGCACGCTTCGTACCAATCCAAGTCGTCCTCCCTGCTGATAACGTGGAAAAAGTCTCCCTTGCTGAAGGCCAATTCCTGCGTGTTTCCGGGTTCCGGCTGGTAGTCGTAGAGGGCTTTGATCACCTATAGATAGACAAACAGGACGCGCGGTCAATGCCAACTGCCAAGAACCGACAATGCGACTGGAATGAGAGAGGAAGGAGGGTGATGATTCAGAAAAGGAGATAGGCAAGAAGGAGGGAATTGGGAGATATATTTTGCCAACACGCGCAATCTAATGACAAGGCAGATTGTGCTTTGGGCGGCGAAAGGAAAGGGGGCCGGGGCGGTTGGTTTTGTGGTTTACTGTGTAGGAACCAGGATAAAAAGACTCACCTTCTTGGGGGGCAGAATCGCAATGGCTGACTTGGGGGTAATGGAAAGATGGTGGTGGTGAGGTTTGGGGTCTTTTTCCCCTTTGAGCGATCGTCTAATGGCCTAATAATGATTTTAAAAAAACGCGAGTGGTATGTCAATAAAGGATGCCAGAAAAAAAAAATTATAGAAAAGTCAAAATCGCATTTTGAAAGGACCACGATGGGGGGGGGGAAATGATTCTAGAAATTAGAAAAGTCGGAGTCGGAAGAAAAACAGTAAAGTAGCCCAATCGACCATAATCGAGATAAACGAGAGGCGGGGTTGATATTATTATGGTGGAAGCAATAGAAGGGGGGCGCAACCCGGGAGAGTGAAACGAAGGGAGTGTCAAGTTATGTGATCTAAACAGTTTTAAAAAGCGAACATACCTTCATTTTGACCACTTCAGACAAACTAGTGGGATTTGCGCCGAAGATTGTTCGATAGTCGTCGAGGGAGGTTGGGTCTAGGATGAAGAGAAAAGAGAAGAAGCGAAGAGAGAGAGAGAGAGAGAGACTGGGAGGCAAGGCAGGAAGAAGCAATAATATAACGACCCGAAAAGTCAGATGGAAAAAAGAATGGATTCAGATGATCACTTCACAAGAAGCAGGAGAGGAATCAAAATAAGAAAAGAGATTCATACAAAGAAAGAAAAAAAAAAGAGTGTGGGGAGACTGGAGTTGATGTCTCTGTTTGTGAGTGTGTGGGATAAGCAGCAGAAGAAGATGTAGACAAAAGAAAGTGGAGTGTCAGAGAACGTCAGGAAAACAGAAGACAGATGGGAAGATGGGATTATGGTTCGAGTCTCGATCAGGCGATTGCCTGTCTTTTCGTCTTGGTTCTTCTGCTTCTTCTGCTTCTTCTTCTTCTTCTTCTTTCTACCGTGGATGAGTGTACTCTGGTTGTGGATGGCGAAAGAAAAAAAAGTGGTCCGCTTGGGGGAATTTTGGCGCTGTTCCTTCAGCCTGTGGTAAGAGGAAGACAAAGACAGAGGCCTGCTATTGTTGGCAACCACCCCCGGTTGATTCCAGGGATAAATGCTGTAGGCTGGTTGATGATAGATTAATCAACAGAGGTTGAGGAACGCAAAACAGGATATTCAATCAGCGAGTGTGATGAAGGCTGATGAGCGGCAGGTGGTATGAATGGACGTATCCAACTTGTATTTGGGGTGTAATTTTTACCCCAGAGTGAAGAACTCCGTAGGTAGTCCGTAGTACTCTGTACTGGTAAGTAGACAGATGGACCTGAATAATGCCCGGATATTACTGAGGGGCCGGTGGCTGTGAATTTCTACAGCTGAATAGTCGACAGTTTGTGGATGGACCATCAGATGTCGTAAGGCTGATAGGTATCCTTCTTTTGGGATATGATGCAAAATGGTGGCGGGGATTTGCCAACCTCTTGATGGAATTTTGGTCTGGAGTATGTATGAAGGCCGATAGATCAAGGGATCATCAAATTGCCTCAATCCTATGATCTATAATTCTACTGGTATCTATAATTCTATAGAGCATTCAAGTGTCCACTGTCAGAGTGTGAATGAATGCAATTAGTGGAATGTGGATAAGTGAGTTCAGCAAGTGGAGATGACTGTTCTTTTAAAAGTGGCTTATTTTTTCCAAGCACAATAATAGTCTATGGTCGCAAAGTCTAATCATGCTGATCTATAACTACCTACCTAATAACAACCAAATCTGCATTCAACAAGTAGATAGGTAGATAGTAGATACTAGATAGACTTCAACCCCATGAACTCGACCCTTGACGAGAGGTGGTAGTTCTGGAAAATGGTATTGTCGCTGACCATCCAGACTACTGCCCAAGTGGAGCATCCTGTACTTCTTAGACTGCAAAGGACTAAAGGACGAAAGGACTAGTAAAGGTACCTACGGAGTACTTTTCCCACTTCCCAAAATGACTGTACCTTACAGCCCGATACTACTACTACATAGTACTACTGACAGCACACGAGTCAATGCACAAACCCACAGTAATGTGACTGCTCATAATGAGCATTCTGATTTCTCATAACTACGAGTCTCTCGTTCTCCTTGAGTTATTGGTTAGTTTTAACTACTAGCTACAGGCAGAACTATACAGTTTGAGCCAAGACATTTAGAATTTCACACTTTGCCCCCATCCAGCATCTGTGGTTGGCAGCCACATGGGCTTCCAGGAACCACCAATTTCCCTAACCTTTTTTTTTTTTTTTTCTTAGTCTGAACTCCGAACGACGGAGTATCGAGTATCTACGGATTCAACTACCTAAGATTCAAGATTTCGAGATGACGAACCTACTACTAAGTCCTAGACACCAAGCATTCTGATCCTATGGCTTGTGCTTCTTTCGTATAGTTATAGGCCGAGACCGTCTATCAAATTTCAATTCAAGTTCCTCAAGCACAGATAAAATCAATCCCAATGTCTCCCAGACGCTAGACCACTATCCCCCTCCGAAACCGGCCTATCTTTGTCTCACCCAGCTCCGCCCAAACATTGGATATCAATCTACCTACCTACTTGGTAAGTGCAAGTTTGCAGAGTTACCATATTCCGTAGATAGACCATACATCCATGCAGCGTCTTTTGTAAAATCGTAGACTGCGAGTGCGACCAGATGCCACAACCGTGAGTCGTGACAGCCGGCTGCATCGCGAATGCAGGCGCCCCTTGTATGCTCGTCAGATCGGGCCAATCGGGGGTTTGGGTGATTTGTACTCATCTGCGGGATGGCTGCTGGTCGGTATCTAGAGTTCTAGACTACGGTAAGTAGGTAGGTGGTAGATAGGTACAGTACATACATACATCAAGGCATCCGGCAATAGACTGGGAGATAGAGCAATCGGCGATTAATTATGTTGTCATTCCTTACCTGTGGGTTCGGGTGCATCGCTGGGCTGGCGACCTTTGCATGAAGTCGGCGTTGGACAATGCCCTCGTCCAAAAGATTGATCAATGTATCAATCCAGTGCCCTTTGGAGTTTACATGAAAGCAAATGCTCATTGCATGGTCTACTAGAGCCGCCAAAGTCTGAAATAATAACTTTTTGTTTTCGACTAAAAATCTTTAGGTTACGTGAACTAACTAGAACGAGATCCACTCCCACTTCCATCCACACTTCCCATCAACAACGCCGGGACTGTAAAGCAAAATAACACTACTGTTGCTTCCAGAGTCAGGTGAGCATGCGAAGAACATAAACGATGTATGAGAAAGGTCGTCAGAGCCGAGGAGCGTCGGGAACGTCGGTTGGCTTCCACCAGGGGCATTCGTGCCAGTCGGCCGTCTATGTCGTTCAACCAGAGGTAAAAGTAAGAAGAAAAGAAAAGGGGCGAAAAATCAAGATGCAAGGGTATCGAGAGCTGGGGAATCTTGCGGGGAATCAGACATGGCATTGAACAACTGAGGTCGTCAATCCTGGCTGCATGGACGAAAGACGACATCAAATCTGGCCTTTGATATCAACGACGCGGTGGGCTTCCGCCTTGGCCGCCTCAAAGAGTTGGCCAGCCTTGCCGCCAGTAACCAGCCTCACGGACCCATCTCGCTCCTGGAGCATATCATCCGAGGTGTGGTCCAAGATGAATCGAGCGCTTTGCTCATCAGATTCGAAGCCAAGTTCCTCGGTGATGAACCGAATTTTTACATCGGGTTTGTACCTAGGTACGGCAGATTAGCTCACATAAAAGTAAGACAGGACCGCAGCAGCAGAGAGTACTCACGCTTTACAAATGGCTGCAAGGGCGGAGAGTCGTTCACGATCCACGAACATGTCCATCAAGTAAGCTCCCATATTCGGTGTGTCAAGATAAAGCTGGAAGAAACGGTGATAGTTGCCCAAAGCAAGAGCCGAGCGCACATCCAGGGCATGCTTGACAGCAGGATCACGCTTGTCTGCTGCTGTTAGATCGGCCAACGCATCATTCATAGCCGTCCAGTTGCGAGTGTGAATGAAATAAAGAATACGGTACGCCTTGAACTCGGTAGGGTGACCGCCAAGGTTTTGCGCATACAATGCCCGCAGCTGCGTCTGACATTGATTATACTCACCAAGATCTCCCTTCTCGAGCGCAATACGGGCATGGATTTCATACACGCTGACTGTAAACTCGTTCCTGATGCGCTGCACGGTCAAATCTTGCCTCAATGACTTGAACTGGTCGCAGATGTATCCATAGTTGTTATCCTTTTTCCACTTCTTCTTCAACAAATCCAGAGTCTGATACAAAACGGGCAATGGGCGAACGGTATCTGGGTTGGGAGCTGAGGTCAAGCGGAAATAGTTCTTCTCCAGGTCCTGGCACCGCCCGACCACTGGACCCTGATTCGCACCAGGTGAAGGTGAGTCATCGCGGGATGAAGATGGCGAAGATCCAAATCTGGCCCGTGATTCTTCGAAGCGCTTCTTCCGCATCTCCAGATTAGCTTTGGACTTACTTGGGTTCTTATAATCAATACGCTGGCGTTTGTCTGCTGAAGCGTAAGTGGTTCGATCTTCAAGTGCAAGATTGTTGTTAGTCTGCCTCCATGGGGGACAGCTGTCTTTGTCTCCGTGGGAGTACTCAGTCGACTTCCTTTTCTTGGACGCATCTTCGGTCGCTGGTTTCTGAGCAGTAGCTACGAGAGAAGCACTCCATCCAGAGACGGCCGGGTTTGTCAGAATTTTGTTGCGTTCGTTCTGGATCATAACCTGTGGTAGGGGCAAGGCATCCCAGTTGATCGTCTCCAACTGCTCCTTTTCCGCGGCCTCGGTGATTACCGTCTTCAGCTTCGTCTCCATCTCCTGACGTTCAACTCCAGGGATCTGATGCTCCGGTGCGAAGCTTCGTTGTACATAAGATCGAAGGGGTGCTGGCCATTCTACTCTTTTGCGGGAAGGTGCTGGAGTCGTTGATGGCTTCGGCTGAGTCGTCACACTAGGAGCAGAATTTGTTGCGGCGGTATGAGCAAAGCTACGGCGTGCTTGAACGGGAATATATGCTGGGGTTGCTGTAAGCAGAGTCAGTTCACAAAACTCGAAAGATTATCAAGACGGTGGAGTACTCGTACCATGTCCATGAAATGGAGCCGTAGCAGTTGCCGACGCTGTAGCACGCCAGGGTGGGATGGAGCTCATGGCGGTATGGTTTGAAGTCAAAGCACAAAGACAAGAACTGATAGGAAATGAAAAAAAGAAGGAAAGATTCACACAAGAGAAGAGAGAAACTACGAATGGATCAGGCCTCACAGACCTAAAGAGGGTGAATTCTCATTCCACGCCAGTGAAACTGAGGTTGGTAGAATCACCACAAAAATAGCAGTGATAGTATCAACTGAGAGCAAAGAGAAAGATGAGCCAGGGGTGTTCTTCTCGCGTCTGATGATGTTGTGGCTATGGTGTTGAGTGAGAGAGACTTGATACTGTTGAAGGAAAGGAGTTCCTCGCTTACTCTTTCGTGTCTGTGGCGGATATCTTTGAGACTGCGTTAGTGAGTGCTCCCGCTCCCCGTATTTTCCCTTCCCTTATCTTACATCAGCGGGGTGAACCGAGGGGACTCAATAATAATGAATGAGCTTGGCTTTGGACATCCTGACCTTGCAATTTGATAGTTCCATCTCTTCACGCTTCTGACGGCGAAGAGATGCTGGATGAGCTTACTAGATGTTTCTCAAGTCTTTGGATCTGACCACTGCCCTTCGTCCCTTACTATCGTCGGATGAGACTCTCCTCTTCGTGCAGGATGCGGTGGGGTTGTATGAAGGGTGAGTGATTCAGGGTGTTGTTTCTAGGTCACTTCTACCCGATTATGATAATATCCAGCTCATTTACCTGCTCGTCGTCTTTGACAAGGATGGGCTAATTTCCTATTGCTCTGTACGTAAAGAAAGTACAAGATTCCAAACTATCAGAACGGCCATGCATATCTCACATCGCATCGAGTCTGCTATGTGGCTGTCGACGAGCCGCGAAAGTACTCGGTCGCCCTTGACTTGAAGGAAATTGACAGAGCGGAATATCAGGTAATTTCTGCCCTGATGATCTCATCCATTGCTTAGACTAACATATTGCAGGCAGGGTTTCTAAAGTCATCGCCGAAAATCACTTTGCATCCGAAGCCAGCAAAGAAGAATCTCAAATCAAAGAGCGCAGGAGCCAGTCCGTCGCTCTCACAGTCTCCAGCTCTTTCATCTGCAAGGCCACAGTCGCCTTCTTCAGTATTGGATTCACCTCTTCACAAACCATTAGCCGCGAAGCTTGTGAATGCGACCTGGATCTGTCCGATATGCTCCTTCTCTAACCCGGTGCCGTCGAACTTCGATCCTAGCACAGCTACTGCCTCTACTCACTTACCACCTTGTCTCGCTTGTGGCATAAAACCTCCCTTTACGACCGTGCTGAAGGCGGCTATCGCGGCCGCTGCTAGCAACGAGGGCGTTCAGACCAGCACGGTTGCGCACGAAGTCGGCCATCCTACTAGCAATGGAAACAGCGACGCATTCTCAAAGTCCGGTACATCAATATCGTGTCCAAGATGTACGTTTGTGAACCACCCATATCTTCTCGAATGTGAGATCTGCGGCGCTCCCCTAGCTGCCGCCAGCCCTCGTGGGCCTTCCACTGGGGATAGTTACCGCGCAGAGTCCCCAGCACCAGTTTTCGAGCAGGGTAGCATAAAGAATACCGAAGTCTTTGAGATTATGAAGTTGTCCTTCCGCGGAGGTGGTGAGAAGACTTTCTATGAAAGGCTAAAAGGTGCCCTCGTTCAGAGAAAGTGGTTACTCTACGACGCGCCGCCTGTGCCGCTGCAGCCGTCGCAGTCTTCAGGGTCGCATACCCTTGCTATGCCTGTGGCTGCTGTACATGACTTTATACCCCCGCAGCCCCGATCACCGGCAGTTGGGATTGCGGGTCTCGAGCAGCGAAGGCTCGAGGCTCGTAGGAACAACGAGGCAGTGATCGGGAGCTCGTTTGAGGACCTTGAAGCTCTGATGGCGTCTGCGAAACGCATAGTCGCGCTAGCGGAAACTCTAGCCAGAGAGTCTGGGATGACAGGTGGCGAGAACGCTGCAGAAACCAGTGCAGTCCTCTCCGAATCTGCCGCGGCGCTGGGAATGATCACGACTAAGGATATGCTTGGGTCTGGTGCCGGGAGCTTATACCTATCGGAGCTGTCCCGTAATTTGGCAGAGTACCTCACTGACGACAGAAAAGGGATTCTACAGAAGGAAGGTGGCATCATGAGCCTTATTGATCTCTGGGCAATCTTCAATCGGGCACGGAACGGAGTGGAACTTGTTAGTCCCTCTGACTTCCAGAAAGCAGCAGAATTGTGGGAGAAGCTGAAACTTCCTGTCCGGCTACGTCGTTTTAAGAGTGGCCTGCTTGTCGTCCAGCGGAATGACTGGAGTGATGAGAAGACGATCCGTCAGTTGCAAGAATGGATGGAAGAACTACGTCAAGTACCACCAGCGGAACCGGTACCTTGGGATTGGCGTCAATTTGGACGTGCTGTGACAGCGCAGGAGGCTGCTCAACGGTTCAAGTGGAGCGTTGGGGTCGCTGCCGAGGAGCTGGAAATGGCCGAGGACAAAGGAATACTTTGCCGGGAAGAAGGTCTTGAAGGGCTGAGATTTTGGTGCAATCATTTCTCTTGCGGCTCGATTGCAGTGGACACTGTGGGTATGAAAGTGTCGACTTTGACTATCTAATGCATTTTTTACGTACATAGAGATAGACATCTAACGATTCTCGATGATACAACTCTACTACGGTCATCACAATGAAATATCTTGATCCGTCAAGGCACTGAACATCAAATCCTCAGTATAAGATCTCAGAATCTGCATCCCCATCGAGTGCTTTGGTGGCAAAGTCTTAACAGCTCGGACCAGGGGTTTGACAGTTGACCCCGCATGATGAGCTCTCCGCCTTGGGGAAGCTCCTTCACTGTTTGTTGCCTGCTGGAGATTATGGAAACCTTCATCATCGATCTCCGTTCTGATCTCATCTATCCATCATTCTGAGATTTGAAGCAATATCCATCTCTCGCTCTACCGCTGTGTTTTTGGAGACTTCCCTTCATCATATCGCTCTGATGTGACCCGCTTGCTACTTCGCTGTCCGACCCGGTCATGCATCACTCTTAACTGCAGTTCCATCACCAGGCTTCTCCTTGAGATCAATCCACTGAGAGAGAAAATATCGGAATAAAAATGGGGTATAATGCATTGATATCATCCAGCTACTCAAGGGCATTGTGCAAGCGCCCTCAAACTACATCCCTCGCCTCCAACCGAGCCACGAGTATAACATCACCCCCAATCCGAGGGCTATGGCGATACTCATACCATCGACGAGAAAGCCGAAGCCCCGGCAAAGGAAAACTATCGCAGAGGCATACATGGCATGATCAGTCCAGACTGCAGGATCAAGCCTCGCGTTTCCGTCGGCGATCACGGTCAGAGTCAGATAGGCATCATTCCTGGCAGAATTTAGGGTTGGGGTGGGGTGTTACGAAGTCCAGCTTCCCAGGTCGTTTGGGCGGCTTCTGGGAGGCACAAAGGGTCCGTACGCAGCAACGGATCGAGCAGATCAAGAAGGAGATCGACGCCGATCCCTACAGGGCTCTGTTTGGTCGAAGGCTTGAGCCGTTCAACTTTGGGGGCAAGCATGGTGGTATTTTTGCGTCGATGATCCAGTCGTTCCTTGGTCGTGGACAGCGGGCAGAATCAAATCCCAGGGGGACCGATACGACGGCTGAAGTGAAGGCTGCCGATCGTCCATCGGAGAGACGAGCAGGTGACAGCCAGACGTCGACTATCTCTAAAGGAGAGGACACTCCAGGTGGAACCCTAGAAAAGGATGCTAATGCAGACTATGTGTTTGATCCTATCAGTGGTCGTATGATTCCGCGCAAAGCTAAAGGCTTCAATGAACCCGAGAAACGACAGACAGCACAGGAAGACGATTCAGCTGACATGTCGACTCGAAAAGATGAGACTAGTATTGACAATGCTGGATTTCTCTCCTCAATTGCCCGCTCAAAAAACACATCGAAGACGAATGAATCTATAAGATCTGAAAATAAAGAAGGCAGTAAAGAAATTCTTCGGCCCATGGAGACTCATTTGTCGGAGACTTTGACCAAAAAGGGAGCCCCTCCACACAATGATACTCATAAACATAATTTAGGGCATCCAGAGAAACCCGTGTATGACGGAATGACCAGGTCTTATGATGAAAGCTTGCCCTTTCGAGAAGCAGTACCTAATTCTCAAGCAGAGCCAAGACATGAACAGACTCTGCAATATACCCCAACGGAGATCCATGAGACTGACCAGATAGGAAAGACCGATAAAAGCGACGGCATGAAATGTGCTATTACACCAAGCATCTCGCCCGAGATTTCAAGCGCATCCCGGGCATTCCGAGACGTGGAGCAGTCGGATGCCTGGATAACGCGGGCAGAAAAGGAAGAAGATCTGGATCTCTTGCGTGCAAGCGATATCCGCGCAACGTATGCGCTTGAGGGCAAAGGCCGAAAGACTGATATGCAGGACCGGGAGAAGCGCGGCAATTTAGAATTGGCTTTTGAATCGTACCAAGATCCAGTTAAGGATCTGGATGCTCAAAGTATTCGGGCCAAGTACCAACCTTTGAGTGAGAGTACTCTACCTGAGCATTTGCCACTGTCTGCACATTCAGGGTCAACAACTCAAGGGTCTCCAGAGACCCCATTATCGTGCGCGCCAACTGTCTCCCAAGATGCGTCTGAACTAATCGGTGGGCTGGGTGAGCAATCTCATGGAATTCAAGCGCCTCGCATCTGCTCGTCGGCAGCGGTGTATCGATTGCTTGTATATGATCCATTTACCATGCAAGTAATAGAGGCAGAGACCAAATCCTCGCAGCAATCGGAAGGCACGCCGCTTTCTCCCGTCGAGGTTCTTTCGCGTTTGAACCACCCGGCTAGGTTTGTGCCATACCTTGCCAAGATGGACGAAGATGGCTTCGAAATTGTTTCTGGTGGCGGAGATATTATTTTCTTCAAGCAGGCAGTTACGGGTTGCTCAGACCCTCAGTCGAAACCCTCGAACAGCGGACCTAGGCAAGAAGACAATATGGCCGAATCTCCTACCTCATCAAATTCGTCGCCCTATTTGCCTGTCTCTAACCAGACCTCGAGTGATAGGCTTCACTCAAACACATCATCTCGAGATCGCGCTGTTTTACGAGGAATTCTTATCAGTGGCATAGCGACAGTCGCGACATGTTACGCCATTGGTGTTGTTGTCGAGTACTTTCGCACTGGCGGACAGGACGGACTCGGTATCGATGGTTTCACTGAGTTCGAATCTGAAAGACGCCACAGGGATCGAGAGTGAAGGATTTTTGATTCTTTCGCGCCTCATAGAGGGATCGCAACTCAAATGTGCTTGCTTTCATGCTGGGGCTCTGATATTTATATTCGACATCCCGTCTGAGCAAGACATGTCGATCCAATACCAATGCTAGGTTGCAAACATGTGAACTGATACGGGCAGACTGCAAGATAAAGAGCAAACAGTCGCCCGCATTTCTGCACACATCTCAACTCAGAGAAGCGTCAAACCACTGATTCCTCTAACTCTTCCCCGAAGCACCATCCTCCTCTCTGACCTGCTGGCGGTCATGTTTCCGCTTATACCAATCTCTGATTCGGAAGCGTTCGACCGAATTGCGTAACCATTTGCCCAATTTCGCGGCTTCCTGGTCCGTCGTCTGCTTCCTCTCTTCCCTTTCATCCACCACCTTCTCCGCCTCCGCCAATCGGTCCTCATCTGTGAGTTCTCTTTCATAAGACTCTTCTGCATGCTGCTCCTCATCCTTCGACTGGCTTTGAGGACAATCCTTAAATGAGCTTTGGAGAATTCCGCAACGTGCCTTCCCACTCATGAGGTACATGAACAAGCCGACAATCATCCTGATGGCCGCGCGGAAATCATCCTTAATCCAGAGATGGTACTCTCGACTGCCGAGGACTTGAAAGATGTGGGGATCCGGATCGCTGTCGTCACTCTTTATGGCCGGCCTTTCAGCTTGCTGCACAATCTGCCCGGCCTTCTTTCCTGGGTATAAATGTCCCCCCACCGAGCTCAGGATTTGTTCAAGAATTTCGTCCTCTGAGGGGGGTCGGTTGTATCGTCCACACCACAATCGAGAAGTATTTTGACCGGGAAACATGGCACGGAAGATATGCAGTCGAGGGCCATGCAGCCCGATCAGATAGACTTCTTGGTTCGGAAACTGATCACCGATGGGGTGCAGGCGCGAGATGTTCAACACGAGCTGCCCCAACATCAACTTGAATTTGCCCTCAAGTGCAGTTTTCAGGGTCGTATCTTCTAATGACTGAAGCCAAATTGTCAGTGGCTCAGATAAAAAAGTCAGCCTGGTTGGGAAAGGCATACCGCTGAGAGTGGGAGTATAGTTGATGGAGTCTTTTTGTCAGGGCGGCGCTCTAAGTTCAACAGTCCGGCCGTAAGGGGTGCGTCTTTGTACTTTTCATTATGCCCGGTCCAGTACTCCATCATACCATTCATAAGCCTTGCCCTACACGATCTGTGAGTATATCAAGCAGACGCAAAGTAAGGCCATTGATCACCAACCGAAGTGTATAGTAAGCATCACGATCACCTGTATCTCGAGTGATTTGGAACGATCGCAGGATTCCGGACAGCAAAGCGTACATGGCTTGCCCCTGGACTCTGAAATTCTCGTCGAACTTGGCTTTTGAACTGGTCTCGTTGACTTCGTCTTCTTTCTCATCGTCGTCCTCATCTTCCTCGTACAGAGGCTTGAAGTCGGGTAGCTTCCTGAGGGTCATGAAGAGGCCCCGGAAATGATCGTCGACGAATGACCATCTTCTAAGTTTCACGTTTCGAGCGTCTTCGGCTTTCCGGAAACACCAAACGGTACGTCTAAGGATGGCTGTTCTCATCAGCATCTGCGTCGCAGACTAGTGATGGACGGAGACATACCAGTATCTTCTGCTCTTTCCAGATAATGCACAGGAATAATACTTTCGTCTGGGAGATTGAGGAAGAATTTGGCCGTGAGACTTTGGACTTTGATCTCGACGGAAGTGTTGGTTTCTAAGGCTGGTGGTGTTGGAGTCGCGTCTGTCTGGTGATTGGATTCAGGCTCAAGCTCTGGTGTTTCATTCTCACATGGCTCGATATCATCATCAGCTGGATGTTTGGTGTCTGCTGCTGGTTCTTTGTGGAGAATTGAGTGTGATTCTGGCATCTCTGGGATGGTTGTCATAGCTGGTTGATAGCGATCCATAGTGTGTTGTGGTTGTGGAGTGCATGGTTGGGATCGATGAGTGAGTGAGAGAAGCTGTGCTAGGTGCTTTTCATCTAGAGGGGCTGGATAGACATTCACTTCACTGCGCTTCTGCTTCTAGGAGTGATGCATTCATAGCAAGAACATCAGGTACTCAAGCTATCAGATCAGGAAATACTGTCAGCGAATAATTAAAGTCATAGGGCAGGTTCTTGGCTCATACAAAGCTTATCACCACAAGGATGATCAGAAATATCTGCTGAAACAGAATCTCTTGTCAGAAATTATCAAAGTCTGCCATAGCTTCCTTAATAGGAGGAATTCTTTACATACCGAGTATTTTTAGTAGTATATTTCCAGTCGAATGTCATGTTAATAATGCTATGGGCATGTCTCTTCCTTCGGTGCTTGTCGGTGTATAAATCAGCCCATCACCGAAATATAAATATTATCCCTCGCGTTCCCAGCCGAAGTCTACTGTACATTTCTGATAGATTGATAGATTTATGACTCGATACACGCCTTGAACAGTCTACCTAGGTAACACGTTTACTATGTTCCCAGACGGCAATATCCTGATTACACGCTCCAAGCAGGATCCCCTCAATCCAACAGATGCAGATGCCGTCAAGATGGCCACTCTCCACGCCCCATGAAGCTTTAGTCAGAGTGGGGCGGTAGACATGATAGTGATAGTGATCGTGATAGTTAACTAGTGATACCACCGCAATCCGCTCCTCCTCCGCACACAACCGACATCATCACCATTCAATCAATCAATCCCCAGTTCTTCCTCTCCTCTCCTCTCCTTCTCATCCTACAACCACGCAGAAGGGAGAAGAAGAAACCAAAAAAAGAAAAAAAAGAAAAGAAAAGACACCATGGCTAACGCAACCCGCACCCCCATCCGCACCAATAAGGCCCCCTTGCCCCCGCGCTTCCTCTCCCAGGGCATCGTGGTCGGCGACATGGTCTACTGCTCCGGCCAGCTCGGCGTCAACCCCGCGACGGGCAAGATGGTCGGGGGACCGATCCAAGCGCGAACGGTAGCCTCTCTCCTCTCTCCTCCCATCCGAAAGTAAAGAGTAACAAACAGCAACGTAAGCTAAATAAACGCACCCCAGAAACAAATCCTACAGAACCTCAACGCGGTGCTGGAGGCCGGCGGGTCGAGTCTCCACGACGCGGTGAAGGTGAATATCTTCCTGGCGGACATGAACGACTTTGCGGCTGTGAATGAGGTCTATGAGACGTTTTTCGAGGATCCGAAGCCGGTATGCTATTGCCCCCCTCTTCCCTTTCCCTGGGTGTGTTTGGATTGTTGTTGACGCTTGGATAGGCGAGGACGTGTGTTGCTGTCAAGACGCTGCCGCAGGGGTCGGATGTTGAGATTGAGTGCTCGGGTGTTGTGACGAGGAGGGTGAAGGATTCGCGTCTTTGAATGGGGTTGTGGATCGAGGATGGAAGGGCGAGATGTCCATCTTATATGCCAGATGGGAGGTGTCAGTGAGGGAATATTTCTCATTATGTTCAACTTTATCTTGGACAAGTTTGGTCTTTTCTCAGTCTCTCCCCTGAAGACATGGTGTATTGATATTTGCAATAGTACTCAAAAGGACGACAATAAAAAAGTGCTGTGTAAGAAGTTGGGGTTCATCTCAATTTTGACCCTCACTTATCATTGTCTCGCATGACTCGGGAGTGGATGGTGTGCCTGTCAGGGCTCCGTTTCCTGCTTGCGCTAGGATCGAGAGAACTGTAGAGTTGTGGCGACAATACTGGCTTCATGCGACTCTTGCAGCAGGCTGCGCCATCATAACGGTCCCTTCTTGTGGTATCCACGCTTTCGGGGCTCTGAAAGGTGTGAGGATGATGTAGGGAGCACTGTTGGTTTACGAGCATAGGACTGGCCTGTGCGTTTTCTCACCATGTTAGTAAGATTAGCAGTCCTTTACAGTATGTGTTGTTGGTTAGTTGCCTCTGAACGTCTGAACCTAGTTATGGTCTTACAATATAGTGCTACATTTATTGGAGTCACTTACTGAAGCAATCAAACATCTCTGACTATATACTCCATAGACATGTACGCGTCCCACTCAGTATCTTGGAATTGGTTATTTTTTTTTCCAGATGACCACTGACTACAGAGATATAAGCTACAGTCTTTTTGAACCTCAGAATTTTTGTGGCCTGATATGACCATGTATAGAGTAGATCTATTATACATTATTTTTGTGGAAGTAAAAGGTCTGGGGATAGGAAGAAAAACACAGTACTCCGTACAGAGTACGCTACACCCTCGCCATCAACCATGGAACTTACTCCGTAATGTTTCAGGTGGGCCATTGGAGAAAGTCCTCCTTTCAGGAACAGGCTTAGCGTCCCCTCTGGCGCATTTCAACTTGTCTCAGAATGCATTCTGTGACGCACCTGGTATTATGTATTATTGTTACTGAGAAGGAGGACTGTTCGTGATTTCAGCAGCCACCACACCACATGGGAGCATAGTTATGGGCTTCAGGAAGATTTGCGTTGATGATGCAGGAAATGACATCTGAAGATTCTGTTGTTTTTACAACAGCAAATGGTTCATTTTTCCTTTTTGGATGTCAGGACAGCCTACAACAGTAGACACATGTACCAGATGTACTCTGCTAAATGGCTGCTCTACGTTACCCATCAAACTAATCTCGAGGTCAAATCATACTCCATATCACAGTTTGTAGACTACAAGACTGATCAGACCATCCACGTTAACCAGAACGTCCACGTTGACGGTGGGAATGGAATATGGACCGTGCCCCCATGCGTTCAACCAGACACCTTGAACCACACTCTATGAAACCCGAACAAATTTTTTCCTTTCCCACTCCCCTCTCGCCTATGGCGTCTAGATCGCTGGATGATGGTGTCAGTTCGATCCGATCCTACTACCTGAGACATCAAAACGCCCGTGACCTGTGTCCATACCCACGCCGTGCTGGATTGGGTGCTCAAGAGCATCTCAACACTAAACAGAACCAAGAGGATTGGGGGAAAAAAAAATGGCGACTGTTTCAGCCTCCCACCGGTGTGAGGCCAGACTGGGTCGCTTGTCCCTTTACGATTAGGAGTACTCAGGTTGCGACTCTGCGAGTCGCAAGTCGCAACGTCCTGGCCTGACAGCCATGTGGCTTTGGGACATATCTTATGGCATGTCTTATGGAGTACGGGCTCTGGAGTCTGGAGTCTGGAGTCTGGACAGATCCAAAGGATACCAGCTCAGAGCTTCGGGGGGAAGGGAGAGGTGCAAATGGGCAGCTGGGACGAGGGTGATGACTAGGTAGATACTCCGTAGATACCGTCGGCACTACTCTGTATGTAGTCTGTACATTCTTCAGCAATCAGAATCGCCATCAACCCATCAAAAGTCAAATAAATCGAATGCTCCCCTCCCATGAGCCCATCCCGCTATGACCGAGCTGATCATCGTGCCTAGTTGATTGTTAGCACCGGATCAAGGTCCCGAATGAGCCAGCCGCTCCAGCCTCCATGGTGTCTGTAGCGAGGTTGCTAAGGGAGAGACCTATGCCGGATGTATGCTAGTATGTGTGTGCAGTGCTTCTATTTTAATGATGGTTCTTTCTAATATCTATCTATCTAGCTACTGCTGTGAAACTAGCTGGACTCCGTAGTGAGGCAGGTACTAGGTAGCTAGACTTAGTAAGTTTTGTTCTTGACTTGAGTTGGTGGAATTGAGTTGTGACTCGTGAGCGAGAGATAGGGATAGGGGTTAGTGCTGATGGCTGCGGAGTGATATTCCACAGGGCTGTAGGATGGATAGAAGTATGAAAATAACATAACAACGATCAATAAGTCAGCAAGCAAGCGAGTAATCTTATGATTTGCTTGAAGACAGATGTTCCCTACGCAGTAGAATCTTCGATGCATACTGGAATGCATATATATCATCAGTCTTGATGAAAGAAGGCTCAGAGAGTCGGATCACTTCGCCTCAACTCCTATTACCACGCACCATAATTCAATTCTTCCAGTTTACCTGGTTCCTACTACGAAGATACTATCTCATATCTAACTCCATAGTGCTCCGTACTACAAGCACTAGCTAGAATCAGTCTAGTTAGGCCTTGCAAGGGTCCGAACCTTGACGGAATGGGCTGCGTGCGTGCAGCGCCAACATTTTCTCACATGGTTGGTTGGTACGGTTGGACTGTGGAGAGTACGGACTGGATCCAAGGTGAGAATTATTGCGATGTGCAGCCAGCGCTTTCAGAGTCTGACGACATCAGCATTGAAATAATACACAGTAGACGATCAGAGTCAGAAGCCACCCATGGATGAGGATGGATAAACTCATGAACACTCGTGTCGAGATGGGCGAACTGCATATTTTCTTCTTTCTTTCTTCTTTCTTCCCTTCCGGACTCCGGAGTATCATCAATTTGCCAGGTTTGGGGGCCTGGATGCTTGTTGACAGGGAAGGAGCTTTTTTACTCCGTACACTGCCACTCCCCATCACGCCCTGGACGCACTTCTCTTTGTGCTACTACGATCTATATCCAGAACCGAGTACAGAGGATGATTGTTGTGTCACACTCACTGCCCAGTGCTCTCTTTGACTCGCATTATCCATTCAGGATTCCCTTGTAGATCCAAATACTTCAATGACAGCCGGGGCCTTGAGCTATTTAATCCAGACTTGGTCGTTCAATGTTAATCTCGTACCATTATTGTGGACTAATGCTAATAATCGAGCATTTAGCGCTCAGGGATGATCAAGCGGTACTGCGGTAGAGAGGAGAGATAGCCTGTCTCTCGAGAGGATTGTCAGCATCTATCAGGGCTGCAGTGAGCCAGGAGTCAGTCCTAAGTACCTCTCCTGTCCGGCATAACAGAGGACATCGGCTCTCTGCAGACATCAATCATGTCATCAAACCCAAAGTAGACTGGCACATACGATGACTGTTGCCAAGTGCATAATAATCAATTCATGGAAGGGTGCAGGGATATTCTCAGGATTCTTTCTCCCAGGACTGACTCCGTAGAGACAAGCGTACAAGACAAGGCAGAATTGATACTCACAGTTGGTGCGTGGCTATAGTTCTCCCCCCAGCTGGAAATGGGGTGTATTCTGACGGTAAATAATACATGATCTATTAGGTAGGTTCCCTCCCCCTTGTCCTCCCTCCTCCTTTTTCTTTTAATTTCTTTTCATAGTACGGAGTACCTATAATTCGGTGGAACAGGCCAAACCAAAACAAAACCGACTAAACCCAGCCGGGTTGAGATTAATTAAATCTCCGCCTCCATAATTTCATCTTCTACAGAGTAGTTAACCACTGCTAGTTAGTAAATAGTTAAAATAGTTACTTACGAAGTACTCTCTCAACTCTGTTTGTTGTCACTTGTTCTTGTCTGTTGCTCATTTTACTTTAGTCCTCCTCCTCCTCCTCCTCCTCTTCTTCTCCTTCATTCCCCTGTGCATTTCGGCCTATTTTCTCTTTTATTTTATTTTATTTTTTTCCTTGTTTCTTTTTTATTTTCTTCCCCCCTCCTTCTCCCTCTTCTTCTCTTGTCAGCTGTCACTTTCCCAATAATAATAATAATCGTCAGTGCTGTCCTTGACGTGGCCCCAATCTCTCTCTCTCACTCTCCAGTCTTCCAAAGTTCCAGCCTTTGGGGGGGGGCGTACCTGACAAGACCAACAACCAGCCAAAAAGACGCCCTGGGAGGACTCCTTGCATCCTCCACAGTCCACACCCACCCACTTTTCCCCCTTCGCCCACGGTCGCGCCTCTCGCTTCTAACCCAAAGGATTGCTTTCTCCCCTTACTACTACTATAGTCTAGTAGTAGTAATAGTAGTACAGTTACAGCCTACAGGTACGTACTTACTTACTTTTTATCCACCATCAATTCACCTTCACCTTCTTCCCTTCCCCCCCTTCCCCCCCATCATCTTCAACCATCTTCACACCCGCTCTCAACGGCTGCAATAATAACGCCGCCTTGATGTGTGTGGCTCTCTTCTGACGGCTCTGTTCTAGATCTCGTCGTTCGCTCCTTACTCCAACTCACACTCGTTTAGACCTTCATTCTGGGGATCGTCGACTTTCAATCATTTCTCCCCTCCAGTCGCTCTTTATTCGTATTGTTGTTGTTTTATATATCATCGATTGGCTTTCCAACCTTCGTCGCTGTTGTTAACCGTCACCATCTCGACCATCGAAGTTCTTATCGAAGCATTGCAGGATCAATCTCGATCGATCGCGACAAGCCTATATCGTCGAGCGTCAAGCAAGGGTACTTCAGTCGGAGGATTTGCGATTTGCATCCCAACCTCCTGTTTACTGTGAACCTCGATTACTACTATCGCTGCATCAGACGCGACTCCAGCATTATTCAATCAACCCCTACATTGCCTACTTCGATGATTTATCGAGCGTGATTGATAGCGCCCAAGCCACTTCGTCGTGATTTACTCTGAGCCCCTGCTGAGCGTTCGGCTCTGTCCATTCTTTTGTCCATTCCGGCGGTATCTTCAACCGTAGCCGTTCCTTTCTGCGACACGTCCACCATCATATCACCTACACCCGTCGTCAAACATGCGTTCGACGGCATCCCTCATCGCGGCCCTCGCATCTCTTGGCGGGCTTGAGCTTGTCCGAGCTGAAGACCTCCAAGAGTTGAAGCCTCAGTTTATGCCCGAGCAGCTCAAGAGACACATCGACTACGGAACCACCTCGCTCGCGGACATTCCTACCGCTGGCGAAGCGCAGCTCACAGCAAGGTCGGACGCGAACTCCTTCGTCTCCTACTTCAACAATCTGCTCCAGAATGGTAGTGGCGGCGCGGCCACCAGTGCCCCTGTCGCTTCAGAGGCTCCAGTCCTCGTGGTGCCCATCACGATCTCCGTCGACGCCAACGGCGTGACCCATACCATCACTGGCGCTCCTACAACGGCGCCAACGCCCACAGCTGCCCCTGAACCTGTGGTTGTCACAAGCGCTACATCAACCACAGAACCACCGGCCCCGCCAACTTCGGCTGCCGCAAACACCGGTTCAAGCGCCTCGTCGCAAGATCCGACGTCTTCTGGTGCTAATCAGCCTTCTCCCAAGAACGTCGACCCGACCTCTGAGTCTCAGACATCCCCAGCAGCGCTGGCATCGTCATCATCCCCGGAGCCTTCTCCCAAGAACGTCGACCCGACCTCTGAGTCTCAGACATCCCCAGCAGCGCCGGTATCGTCATCATCCCCGGAGCCTTCTTCCACACCGGAACAGTCGCCTCCGAAGGAGGCGCCAACAACAACAACTCCGCCCGTGGAACAGAGCTCCTCCGAAGCTCAGTCTCCCGCCACTTCAGAGAAGGCCCAGACGCCGACCGCATCCTCCTCGGAGCAAGCCCAGACGCCGACCGTTTCCTCTTCGGACCAGGCTTCCTCCGAAGGCAAGCAGACCACTCCTGATCACACTCCGACGCCGGTAGTGTCCTCAAATGCGCCCACCGCGACCAGCGGCAACATCATTAGTGACGTTGTGAGTGGTGTGAACAGTGTCGTTAGCGGCATTTTGGAAACTTCCAGCTCGACCAGCGTCACCCCTACCGCAAGCTCGCCTGTCACTGAAGAATCTAAGACCCCTGAGGCCACACCAACCGGGACAACACCGTCTGAGGCCACACCAACCAAGGCCTCACAGACCGAGACTTCCCAGCCTGAGACGCGGGATCCTGCCTCGTCGACGCCGCTTCCAGGATCCTCCACAGATGCGGTTCCCTCCTCAATTGAAGCGACCCCCACGCCGACCCCCAGCACGTCGGGCCTCATCGACTCACTCACCTCTGTTATCTCTGAGATCTTGCCTACCGCAGCCAGTTCATCTTCAGTCACCGATGTCGTCAGCACCACCCCCTCTTTGACCGGGGTCACACCGACTGAGGCCACACCAACCAAGGCTTCACAGACCGAGACTTCCCAGCCTGAGACGCCACTTCCGGCCTCGTCAACGCCGCTTCCAGGATCCTCCACAGATGCGATTCCCTCCTCAATCGAAGCGACCCCCACGCCGACCCCCAGCTCGTCGGGCCTCATCGACTCGCTTACCTCTGTTATCTCTGAGATCTTGCCTACCGCAGCCAAGTCATCTTCAGTCTCCGATGTCATCGGCAGTGCCCCCGTTTTGACCCCGGCAACCCCGACGGAGGAGACCCCGACTGTGACCCCAACCCCAACTGTGACCCCAATCGCAACTGGCAGCTCGACCAGCCTCCCTGAGTCGCTCACCTCTGGTATCTCCGATATCTTGCCCAGTGCCTCTAACTCGTCCACCAACGTCCCTGGCAGCGGTAACGCCACGGCGACCGTCGAACCCACGAGCTTGAGCAATTTGCCGACCATTCCTATCAGCATTCCCTCCGTGACGACCCCCGCTGCCACATCTGGAAGCCCAGGCGGCTCCTTGGGTCCTATTCTGGGAAGCACACCGGTCATCCCACCCGTGGGCAGTTCTACAACCAGCATTGTGGCCGTCCCCACTGGTGTGCCGACAACTACTCTCTCTGGGGGCGCCAATTCAACTCAGACAGGCATCTCATTCACCACGATTAGTCCCAGCGTGCCCACGTCTGCTCCATCTGCGACCAGCACCCCTGTGATCCCTGGTTCTGGCACTGCTACTGAGACCGGAGCGGGCTCCTCCTCTGCTGTGATCACCCCCACCAGTGTCGCATCCACTCTGCCTACCAGCCAGGCCACCCCGACCGCTGTCTCTTCCACCGAGTCAGCGACTCCAACTCCCACCACAACGGAGCAGCCTAGCACAAGTTCGACCACCACGCAGCAGACAACCGAATTCACTACGTCCATTCCTCTCCCCCCTCAGTCCACCTACTCTGAGAACACGGAATTCGTGCCCTCGAGCATCTTGGTTGAACCTCCCACGACGACCCAGCAGTCGGCGACCCAGACCGCTACGGAGACCACGCAGCCCATTCAGCTCCCCGGATCCATTTCGCCTGCCAATAGTCCTTCGGCTCCTCCTGCTGACTCTACCCTGATTCAGATCGGTTTCAACGGCAAGCTCCGATATAGCTTCGTTGCGACGACCCCGCTCTCGTCCTCTCAGATCTTCCTGTACGTTCCTCAGGGATTGATCTATGCCTTGGAGGTTCTTGGTCAGGATCTCTCCATGTTGGCTATCGAGCCCTACAACAACTCGGCCAGCACTGGTTACATTGCGACAGTTGCCTTGGCCTACATCCCTACCGATAAGGTTGATGCTCTGAGGAAGTTGCTCCGCAACCCCATCTCGAAAGTGTATGAGCAGCCCAACGAGTCGGTCAAGACGCTGTTCTCGATGATTGATCCCTCTATTCCTCTCGTTGTTGGCGAGTCCGGCTCGTCCAGTGGCAGTGGTCTGTCGACCGGCGGCGGCTTCTCCGGCAACAACAACGGTGCTGACGGCTCTGGCAAGTCAGGCGACGACGATGCGGATGCCGGCGCGAGCAGCAGCTCTTCGACCCGCGCCAGCTCCGTTGGAATCGGTGTCGGTGTCGTGGCTGGTGCTGCCGCATACGGTGCTGGTATGTTCTGGCTTGCTCGCCGCTACCGCAGGAAGCGCCAGCTGCACCAGCGCTCCAGCTCCACGGTTGAGCAGATGAGTGGCGGCGGATCCCTCCTCGTTGCGGGTGGTCGGGTTTCCCGCCACAGCCAGAACAGCCGGGGCAGCGGCCGCACTCAGATGATCAGTGCTCCTGTGATGGCCGAGAACTCGTTGGGCTGGAACTGAGCCACGATCGCGAGTAAACGGCAACCGTTTTTGTGCATACTGTTTAACGAAGGCATGGGCTGTAGATGAACTCGAAGATCAGGGCACAACTGTCTTGATTGGAGGGTATATATATTGTCACATGGTCTCTCGGCTTTTCTGTTGTATTCAATTTTTTTGGATCTATGTGACAGCGCTTCTCTTTGGGCGCTTTTTCTGTATCAATCTTCCTTCTACCTACCATATTTTTTTTTTTTATATTTATTCCCCATATGTTCTTGCCAGACATTGGTCTTCATTTTACCTTCTTACTCTCCTTTATGGTGCCACAAGAGAAGTACCTTCCCACACCAGAATCATTATTACTTTTCTCACTCCTCATTTTCTCCGGAAAAAAAAAAAGAAATCTTTCCTTCCTCTGCTCTGCACCACGGGTGGTAGGTATCTGTGACGAGTGATGCCGTCCATGCTTTACTGCTCCCCCTCCGTATCTTCCCCTGTCCCCTGTCAAATATTTTGGATCTTTCCTTTATTTTGTTTGTTGTTGTACAGATGTATATTTTGAGTAGAGTGAACGAGTCTTCCTGGGTTGTTCCAGGTTGCCATGGATGCCGAATGAATGTTTCATTGTCGATTGATATAGAATGCTGAGTCCCATGTAGTGCAATATCTAGGAATACAAAATCCATCTAGCTCTTCGCTTCGCAGGGGAAAGGTGTGTAAGTAGAGCCAATCCGTATCAAGTGAGTAGAGAGCGCCGTGAACTCCAGTCCATGGACCCATGGAATGCAAACACAGACGAAGCTGAACAAAGGGAAAAAAAGCATCACCTGCGCCCACCACCACCACTACTAAAACAACAACAACAACTCAACCCCATCCTTCCATCTCTACTCCGTCTTCCGCTTCGACTCCCCCCTCCACCCCAACCACGCTAACGGCCCGGCCTCCCCACCCGCCTCGCGCTCCCTCTGCCTCTCCTCCTTCGCCCTCCGCCGCTCAGCCTTATACTCATCCCAGGAGACATTCTTCTCCGCCGCGGCGCCGGCGCCCACGTCGGCGCCCTGCGTCTTGAGATAGGCGTCCAACACGGCGGCTTCTTCGGGGCTCGTGTGTGCGTGGCTGGTGATGGGGAGGGGCCGGACAGCGTCGTCGCCGGCGTAGGCGCGGATGGCGGTCTTGAAAGACCAGTTTACGGCTTCGTCGACGGGTTCGTCGAAGATGTAGGGGAGGAAAGGGACGACGGCGAGGCCGAGCTGGTTTGCCGTTTAGTGTTGATCATACACAAGATATGATGAAGAAGGGGGGGGGGTAGTAGGAATTGGGGAAAGGGGAGAGAGGGGGAAACATACACCAATCGGCGTCCATGTGCGCACAAACACGCTCTTGTTATTCTTCATCATCCGGCCGGAGTACTTCACCACCGAGTGGATCGTGAACGCCGGCAGGCCCATGCTCGCCAGGCTCTGGAAGATCGCGCGCTTCGCCATCACCACCCGGTAGTCCTCGAGGAGGGGGATGCGGGCCGTAGGCCAGGGGGCGAGCTCGGCGCCGCTGTCGCTGGTCTTGGCGTTGGTGGTGGTGGTGCCGCGCACCGCCGCGCCCATGGTCCCCGTCGCCATGCCGCGCACGACCTGGTCGGGCGAGAGGTGGCTCGCGTCCTTGTAGGCCTCGCCGGGCGGGGCCAGGGCGTGCTGGTTGCGCAGGTAGGCCTTGTAGCCCTCGTGGGCGACGTCGCCGATCAGGTACGTCCAGGAGACGCCGTAGGCGGCGCGCACGAGGTAGGGGTGTGCGACGGGGCGGAACGACTCGCCTATGTCGGAGGTGTAGGCAACGTAGCGGTGCGCGGAGAGCAGGATTGTGCGGATGCGGTTGGCGTAACCGGCGTACCGGTAGGGGGTGTCGGTGGAGTCGACGGAGCTGGCCATGTTAGTGTTGCTTCTTCATTAGGTGGAAGGTTTGATCCTGCGATAGTATGTGGTGCGGTGCGGACGGGGAGGGGGAGGGTTCATGGGTTTATATATGCTTATATGCGGGGACACGGCGGAGCCTATGATGCCATCATAGCTTTTGGTATACACGAAAGGAAGTGGACACGCGACAGGAGTGTGGCTGCGCGGCTGAACGAGGAAGATGTCGGTTGAGAAAGAGAAAGGAAGACGTACTAGGACGAGTAGAGATCATCGTAGAGCCCGTCGTCTTGATCGACCATTTGCTGGAGTTGAGGAGGCAGCTTGCCCCGAGGGATGACTTTCAGCTGCTCTGCTGCGTCTGCTGGTTGAGCCTCAGCTTCGTCGTGTTTCTTCCCCCAGAACATCTTGTCGAGCGTCTTCCTGATCGATTCTTTTGGATGAAGAGGAGTAGAATTGAGAGATCTGAGTGTCTGAAGGCTAGACAGGAGAATGCAACAACAACGAAAGAAGTAGAAGAAGAAGTGAGAGGAGACGCTACAGAGCTAGAAAATGAAGTTGTAGAGAGCAAGAATAATTCGACCGACAGATAGAATTTCAGGCACAAATAATAAGAATCCAACACAGCACAAAAAATATCTAATATAATAATTGCAACCTCAATGATTTCGCTTCCAACACCCGCACACGGCGTCCGAACAGCTTGCGCAGCTGGAGTAACCGGGGGTAGCATTTGGTAGTGACGGAGTAAATGTATCCCCAGTGTCCAAGCTAAGCTATGTCGCTCCGAGGTTCAGCGCGTGTGTTTCCCTTGGTCCAGCACTGCCACTCTACACCCTGCTATATTGTTGAATTGATGTGGTTTGATTGCGCATCAAGCTCTAACAAATGACGTTCTAACTCCTTTCTCAGCGATTGCCTTGCGTTCTCATGATCATTCCACTATTGGGAATTAGTTATTATTATTAGTAGTTACGGAGTAGGATTAATCCATCGCTGGTGATGATTCCGCGGAACTTCCCGATGCCGGTCATGGGATTCGGACCGAGCCGGAACATCACATGACAATGAGGTTGATTTGAACTGGAGCCGCACGTGATATCACATGACTGCACAGCTTCGAGGTGACTCAGCATCGCACCCTAACCCAATCAGGCAAGGCCACAGCCGCCGTTCAACTTCCAACGCTGCCGTCTTTTGACGATTGCTTCCGCTGGTCCCTCTCGCAGAAGCTCCAACCGCCGCATCTTTCCCTCCGTTATCACTTGCACCCCCTCCCAGTCTATCACCATGGTCGCCTACTACCAGATCGCCGGCAAGCAGGTCGGCTCCCACGTTGTACGTTCTCCCACGCCATCCCTGCCAATGGCTCCCGTTGAACGGCCGAGGCGGATTCACCTCATCTGTCGACCATTGTAACAGGATAACGCTAACAACTGCTCGGTTAATGTCTAGCTCGCCATGGGCGTTATGGGTACCCTCTTCGGTGGCATCTTCCTCTCCACCCGCGGCGGTGGCCAGAAGAAGCAGGGCACCACTCCCCCCATCCAGGCCTCTTCCAGCGATGAGGAGAAGTTCATCCAGTATGTTCTCACCTAGCCAAGTGATATGGACTCGTTGTGCTAGAAGCGTCGCGCGTTCGCGTGTATCGCTCTTCTGTCGGACTACTGTCGCAAATTACTGTTGGAAACACCTGCTGGGACGTGGCTAACTATGTGGTGCAACAGGGATTTCCTGAAGCAGGTGAACGGCGAGGAGAAGAAGGCTGATCATTAAGAGTCTGTCTCCCTTCGACGAAAAAGATATGGTCGGGATAACCTCCAGTGGATACGGTTTCGGCCTGGGATATTTCTCCCGAAACGACTGGGAGTGTTGGATGGGCTGTCATAGCATGGCTGCTCCGGTCTTCTCGGCAACTGGGATCTGTGTCAGGATTTGAGACCTGAGACTATGACGAGGACGGGGGAATCCACTTCCACTGGACCTGATGACTTGTACATAATAGAGGTATACGCTATTTGGAGGTTGTTTCTTCAAGTGGGACGGTTTCTTCCCCCGCCTAAGCAATTCAGCACATGAGCTGGGTGATGTAGTGAGCGTAGCCCAGTAATCAGGCCAACCGTGTCTACGAACCTATCAAGGAACCGAATGATACGGAAGCATTGCCAAACCGTGTCTAGACCGCATCCCGCACATCATTCAAACCAAGTCCTGGTAAGCCATTTATCAACGCGCCTCCAATCCACTCACCCAGTCACATGATTCCACAAAAACATCTCCATCAACAATCACCATCTCCCCTCCCCGATAATCCCACAAGACAAAACAGCAGAATACAAACCACACCCATGAAGCCCCGTCCATTCCCCTTCCTCCTCAACATCGGGACGGACATCGTCCACCTCCCCCGAATCACCCGCCTCCTCAACCGTCCAGGAAACTACCTCCACCGCTTCACCCGCCGCATCCTCAGCGAACCCGAACAACAAGACTTCCGCGCCAGATTCGCAACCGCAGCCCCCGCACACATCAGTACAGATATGGCCCGCTGGCTCGCGGGCCGGTTCGCGGCCAAGGAGGCTGCGCGCAAAGCTGCGCCTGCGGGCGCGGCGGCGGTTTCTTGGAAAGATGTCCTGGTGAGGGTGGGGGACGTCGAGGGTCGGCCGGAGGTGGTGTACTTGGATGCGGAGGGGGGAGGGCGCGTGGGCAAGTTGTCTATCTCGCATGATGGGGAGTATGTGGTTGCGACTGTGCTTGCGGCTGAGTGAGGGGTGTGATCTACGATTACGATTATGTTTCGCAGTTGAGCTGGTCTGGAAGACACCATCAGGCAGCCTAAGCTAAGGAAAAGTACCATTGAAGTGTGTACATGACAGCAATCTTGCCACCTTGCGAAACCTAGGATCAAAGAGTCTGCATTCTCCCGTTCAGCTTCGCTAGGCAGGAACCAGACCCATTCGAGCCAGTGCCACCTTCGCCTTCCGACGGAGACCATCCATGCTCAATGGAAGGATATCCTCTGGGTTGGTGTCTGGGAGCAGATGCTGGCCAAAAAGCTCCTCGCGGGTGATATTGATATTCTCGGTGCTATCAGCTGCAGCGGGAAAGATAACCTGGAGAAGGTCAATGCTGCTCTCAGAAATGGGGGAGACACAGGTACCACTCGCTGCCGAAGGTGTGGCAGACCATCCTGGCTGCGACTATAAACCTTGATGGCTCCCGAAACTCCATCAGGGGTCTTTGTCCACTCCAAGTTCATCACGACGTTGGCATTCGTCCCAAGAAGCCAGACTCGCACATCCGTCGCCATGAGCAAGTTTAGCCCACTCCACCCGTTTTCCATCACTATCGAGGGCAGCGGTTGATGCATAGGCCGGATGACCAGATCGGGCTCCTTTCGAGATCCCTGATAGTCCCCGGAAAAGGATCTGATGGCTAGTGAGACTCGTTAGAGGAGGAACTACAGCGAGTAGGTGAACCTACTGGTCCCAACCGACCAATGGAACTTGTCACGCTCTTCCTGGCTCAACAAGCCTGTTTGCATCCATTCAAAGAGTTCCCGTTTCAACCATTCCTGATGACAACACTGAATTTCGGTGTGGACGACCCGTAACCATAACATTTCCGCCACGACGTTGTAATTGACCCTGTACTTAGCAGCTCAACGAGGATTCTTAAGGACGGCACACCAGAGAGGTATTTACCGTGCGTATTTTCCTTTCACTTCACTGTCGCCTATCAGGGAATCTGCGATACTGGACCCCCAGGCAGGGCTGACATCCGTATACAACACATCTGTGCTCTGTGTCGCCCGGAGAATCTGTTCCTTGGCGTGTGAAAGAAGATTTTCTTGAGTAGGAAACCTCGACGCATCGTAATCAATTTGATTGTGCTCGTAGATACCCGCGTCCATTTTTGTTTGTCTGAGGGGATTTATTGGGGTTTTTGACGATAGTCGGATGGTTCATGCAAATATCTGTTAGGACGAGATGCTGGCACGCTGTTCAAATAAAGCTGCTTTGACAGAAAGTCAGAACTCAAGACTCCTTCAGTATAATCATCATGGTGACTCAAGATTTCAATGATCTAATAAACACTGTTCCCCCTCTGCTCCGAACCTTGGATCAGCTTGTGGTATAAACAACTTGAATAATACCTCGAGGAACAATGATCATGATTCGAATGAAGTTCTTCATCAGCATAAATGTATAGTGAATCTGTCTTGCTCTTACTACAGCTGAAATTGGTCGATGGTATACTACTATAGTTACTTCCAAGCCGTAGCGACGAACGACGACGTTCTGGATGGAGATGGAGCAGTCAGTGGGTCTGATCTCTCTTCACATTTTCTATGACTGCTGGGCAAGGTTGCTGTTAGATAGTTATTATCTCCTCGCTCCATTATCCTTAGACCACTTCAGGGTCTATCGAGACATCAATCATAGATATCTTTTAGGTTTATTCTTCATATCCAACCGATATCGCTGCCTCATTCTTTTTGTACACCAAACTAACAGTGCAACCGCGGGGCAATTCCTCTCCGCGCAGTTGAACTAACGGCACTGGTTATTGGTTCCTCTAGTGACATCTGCGTACTTCTACCTGATCTGCTCAAACTAATATCAGATCAAGAGCTTCTACATCTTTGTCTGACATCTAGCTTCCATCACTCCTAGCATATCACCTTGAGCAGCCATGCCCTTCTCACACCACAGCCACTCGGGCCAGTTCTGCCCCGGCCATGCCAAAGACTCCCTCGAGGAGATCATCCAACTAGCCATTGCAAAGAAGTTCAAAGTCTTCTGCTTAACCGAACACATGCCCCGAGGCATGCAGGATCTGTACCCAGAAGAGGTTAACCCCCCCCTCGCTAGTTTCCATGAACCCCTGGAACATAGCTGACCAACCCACCAGATCGAAGCCGGCGACACCGAAGCCGCCATGCTCGCCAACGAAGCCGCATACTTCGCCGAAGCCACCCGGCTGCGCGAGAAGTACGCCGACCAGATCCACGTCCTGATCGGGTACGAGATCGACTGGATCCGGCCGGAGTCGCGCGCGCTGGTCGAGCGCTCCCTCGCGCGCTTCCCCTTCGAGTTCTTCATGGGCTCCGTGCATCACACCCTCAAGGTACCCATCGACTATGACCGGCCGATGTATGAGAAGGCGCGTGACCTCGCCGGCGGCTCTGACGAGCGCCTGTTCGAGCGCTACTTCGACGAGCAGCTGGACATGCTGCAGCAGCTGAAACCGCTGCTCGTGGGCCACTTTGACCTCATCCGGTTGAAGAGTGATGACCCGGAGCGCAGCTTCCGCCAATGGCCTGGGGTGTGGGAGCGCGTGCTCCGGAATCTGGACTTCATTGCTGGGTATGGAGGTATGTTGGAGCTGAATTCGGCTGCGCTGCGGAAGGGGATGAGTGAGCCGTATCCCAAGGAGGAGATTTGCAGAGTAGGTCTTCTGCTTCCCTCCCCACATCTTCTTCTCTCTTCTTTTTTTTTTTTTTGCGTCTATCCTCTTTCGGTTTTGTGAGGGATTGTTATTGAGTGATGGTAGGAATTCCTGGCACGAGGAGGCCGCTTCGTTCTCTCAGATGATAGCCATGGGTTGGATCAGGTGGGTTTGAACTTCCACCGGGTGCTGGCGTTCATGGAGAAGGCTGGTATTTTGACTTTGCATTATCTGGAGCTGGGTTATGGGCCGGGTGTGGATGAACGATTCCCTCGGACTCAGATTCGCTCGATCCACCTGGATGAGCTGAAGAAGATGTCCTTTTGGCAGTAGCCGCTTGATCCGTTGGCAGTGCCTGTACATAATAGGTCGGCTTACCTGCAATGATGGACATGCATATTTATACCCTGTTCACTGTCTACATGTCTTATGGGATGATGGTATAACACGAGATTCATCCTAGGTCTCGATGGCCGACATTGACCTTGAGCAATAACCACGAACATCCATCGATCTATATTCCCAATACCTAACCGAGATCCCATATCCAAAAGGGATTCTAACCAAAATCCCCGCTGTCAGGGCCTGTCTATGAAATGATTACATCAAACCGATACACACACACACACACGCCTATGACCTTACTCCCCTCATCCACTCTCCTTACCAACCCCTTCACTCCTCTTTAAACAAACCCTCTTCCCTCAGCCTCCTAACACAATCACTGACCACTACGCAAAATGGGTGTCGAAAAAGAAACCCTCAGACCGGGCAACGGCACCGACTTCCCCCAACACGGCGACAAGGTCGCCATCAACTACACAGGCTGTCTCTACGACACCAAGGCCGCGAAACACAACATGGGCAAGGAGTACGGCAGATGACCCCCTTTGCCGACGATTGACTGCGACTTTTTAACGGGGCCACTAGGTTCGATAGTTCGAAGAGTCGGGGCCCGTTGGAGACGACGATTGGGGCGGGGGAGGTTATCAAAGGTTGGTTTACTTTTTGGTGCGGAAGATTTGTGGGGGGGGGAAGGTAGGGGTGGTATGGTTTATGTTTATGTTTATGTTTATGCATGGTGGCAGGCTGGGACGAGGGCGTTCCACAGATGAGTCTTGGGGAGAAGGCGATTCTGACTATCAGTGGGTATGTTCATAATTCCCAGCCTGGTTTGATTGCAATCTGCTTGTGGGGAAGATGAAGATGTTGTTGATGCTTGGGGTTTTTGGTGTGTACTAGGGACTATGCCTACGGCGAGAAGTAAGTGCGCGCGCGCGCGCAGCTTGGAAAAAAAAAAACGGATATGCAGGGACTGATTGATTTGTCCTCAGGGGTTTTCCGGGATTGATCCCCCCGAATGCTGGACTGGTTTTGTATGTCCGTCCGTTTTTTTTTTGTCTTGTGAGCTTGGTGGTGCTGTATGTGTTGCTGATGGGTTTAGCGAGGTCGAGCTCATTCGGATCAATGACAAGTCGGTTCAGTTCTGATGTTTGCTTGGTGTGGGTTCTTGTTTGGAGTAGGCCGTATTTCAATGGGTATACAGGCTGTGCCCCGATATATTAACATAATGCTACTTGATAGCAGGTTGCAGTGCCAATGAAGATGGTTCAAACGGTTTGGGTGAAGTTTGCCAGTTGGTGACCAGTTGGCGAGAGTTGAAACCAGTTGATGCATGGCAAAACGAAACTCTTCATCATTCGTGCTTCATGCCTCTGAACCTATATTCCACCACACTAATCTCATTCAGGCGCAGCTATCGTGCGATAGTATTGAAGGAATTAATCCCATCCGCTCGGTAGTCGTCCCGTTCCACACAGCTCTCTTTCTTCGGAAGATGGAAGACAAAGCTCGAAGCCTCCTTACCAGGTGTATATCTTGGCCAGTGAGGTATATGGGGCACTGCGCTTGTCAGAAATCTTACCAATGGCCCATAGATTGAAACATACCCTTATATCCATTTGGACTCAGATCCGCGACGATTGAAGTCCACATCCGAGCAGACATGTTGCCCAACTCAAGACGAACAGGATCACTTCCCAGTGGCATTATGTTATGTCTTGCGCTGGATTCGAAAAGAACAAGGGGATCTATCGAGTATGAAAGGCTCAGTCATTGTAGGGCTCGAAATGAAGGATCTAGTTCTCACCTCTGCGAAATACCCAACGCCAATGGTACTACTCGTGTTCAGGGCAGCTACATCCCATCGGTATGAGTACACCTGTTTCTCATACCTGGCCAAGGTCTGCGCCAGTAGCCGTCTCGGTCCGCGCATGGTCAGATCCCCCGCCATCGATGCATAGCGTTTGTACATAAGCCCGAGCTTCGGCCATGTCACATTTCCCCAGCCGTACGGACATTCCAGAGCAGGGTCATTGGCGTGGTATGTGAGCAGCTGCGTGGCTTCCTCGCGGTTGATGACCCAGCGTTTCGAGGCTAGCTGTATCAGTTCTGCTTCCTGGCACTGAGCGGGTAAACGTACTGATGAGCTGCGCAATGCACTCTTCGTCCGTGTTGGTTCCAAGGAGGATCGGGATCTTGGCTAGTCCCCTCTCGCTATAACTGATCTGGGGATATTCCTCGAAGAAGGTGCCGTCGACGGCAGCGGACCATTCAAGGCCTTCGTTTGCATTGTTGTAGATGGTTCCATATGGGACCTCGCGGAGGCATTGGAGGGTGTCCGGGGAAGCCGAGCAGCTATGCATGTTAGCTTAAGCAGTATATTTTTCAGCATGTCAACTTACCCAGTTCTATTCACTATCCGGTCATACATCGGCTGGTGCCAGTCCGTGCCGTTCCATGGGGGCCCAACTGCGTTTCCGAACTCCATGATTGCTATGGACTGTGTAAGCGCATAGATTGAAGGAGGACCGCACGAGAATCTTGCCTGCTCTGAACAGACCCTCGTTGTCACCACCGTTGGTAACCGAATGAGCGTGAACTCTGTAGGCACCTTTGTCTCCCGTTAGCACCGATCAGACTCGCCCGTGGGTCTAATGCCGAGGAACGCCTCTTGCTCGAACTCGGGCAGGGAACGGCCGACGAAGACGGTTTTGGACCCGTCTGTGCGAAGAGTCGCAGTCCCCCCGGAAGGGAGGGAGGGGGGCCTGGGCAATTGCGCTTCTACTCTATGGCTCGGGGAGTGCAATCGCCGAGACACTCAAGGCTATAGTGAGCCAGGGAAGAGAAGAGGCTTTGTGCAACATGTTGCTCTACTCTGTTCTGTCACTGAGAATCTTGCGGAGGAGTAGATCTTGGGCAAGTGGATGCATTGCGTATATTTTGATGGCGAAGAAGAGAAGAGAAGCACGCGATAGGTGGAACTTTTTTCAGAAGCAATGTTTTGATGCTTGTTAGCGCCAACTGGCACTCCTCAATTCCTCCGTTTGCAGTACGTGTATCAGCTTCGCTGCAGAGTGACAGAGCTTTGATGCTTGGTTGAACAGCTGCAGGATTCTCGCGCCCTAAAAGGAGCTCAAATCTTGTCGTAGGAATTGAGTGAATTCGAGACAAACACGGTGTAGTAAGAGAAGCTCTGTTCTGGCTTCAAATAGAGTCCGAAGTTATATGAGACCATATAGGCAGGGCACTTGGTACAAGGCAAGTCAGTTGAGCGACTTAGCTGATGTTTCATAATATTATTTACAGTATACATAGAATTCCTTTGGCGCAGGAGCACAGGCTGAATATAAAAGACGCTAACGTCCCATGGTGAGGTATATGAAGAATGCTGCTTTCCACTAAATACAGAGACACAAAGCAACAAGGGAAGAAACGGGTATCCCGACACCCTGCAGTCATATAAACAGGAGTGGAATCGCAATGTACCGACGATGCTGTCTGACGACGCCATGCTGTTCATACAATGCAAGACATGGACGAACGATATTGGAGCCATTAGAATTGAGAACGCAAGTCGTGGAGACCACAATTGACTGGTCGGACGTCAATCATCCTTGACCCTATCTCCGTAGCCCGTGCCTGTCTCACCCGTACGAGTCCTGCTCGTTCCAGACGATGAAGGGCTACGGAATCGTCCCCTCAATGACGAGGTATCATGCAAACTTGATACCGATCGACTCAGATCAGGTTTCCGCTGGTTCACACTCGGGATGTTGGGCGAGTTTCTGGATTCCAAACCATCATTCAACTCAATCAAATCTCCCATCCCACGTCTTGGGGTCCCCACGCCCCAGCTATTGCTCTGATACGTTTGAGCTCCTTGCTGTAGTTCGCTGAGACCAACCTTCGCTCGGGTTGTCATCTTTCTCACCCAGCCTTCAACGGCACCTCCGATATTCTCAAGGCTAGTCGAGGGACCAGGCACTGTAGCCGACGCGTATTCCGATGGTGTTCTCCGCAGCCCTTGTGGTGCTGGAGGAGGGGCTAGATTCGGCAGATGCTGTGCGACAAACTTACTTAGCCCATCAAGAGCCGGCCCTGGAGCCATCGCACTGCGATCGAGCGTGCCAACGCCTGTTCCGACAAACTGGATGTTGCTACGTTGGCGCTGATGATGTGGGCGCGGCTTGAATGAGGATATTGTCCGTGATCGGGGAGGACCTACATCGGGACAATCCGGTGCGACAGCATGTCTTATCGGTGGTGAGTTAGTCGGTGACGAGAGCGTCGAGGAAAGGGTTGCGGTTCTTTCATGACCAGATATTGGAGAGCGGGGTTCGGAGTCGGTATAGGACACAGATTTTCGTCGTGTACGTGGGAAGAATCCCAGAGCTTTTCGAGGAACACGGCCAATCTCAACTCGCGCAGGAAATCCATCAATCTGGACCCACGACTCATGCTGCCAGATCCTATCCCCCTCGACCTCAGGCATCGGTTCTGCTGATGTCTCCTCATTGGATGAAGTGTGAGCATCCGAATCCAGTGTAGGGGCTATAGAGCTTCCGCTCAAATCCTCAAGTGAATTGTGATGTGCATTGTTACTCCCGAGAAGATCAACTTGTGGGAAGACAGGAATCGGCCGTCCTTTCACAGTGCAGGCAGCAACTGGCAAGAGGACAGTTTTCCGACTCTGAATACTATCGCTGGGCCAAAACCCATTCGCCTTCCTGAAGATTGCGGGATGACAACCATATCTGATCGCGACTCCTGTGATGCTGTCGTTCGGTTGGACATGGTGTATATACGCTAGAGCATCTTCATCTTGCTCCGGATCAATTGCCAAATGACCATTCTGGTCACTGGAATCTCGTCTCTTATGCCGGATGTCGCGATTTGAGATAGGCCCCGTATCTGCCAAAAGCAGAGCCTCGCGCTTCTTCGCCTGCACCAGAGCCTGTCTTTCCTCCTGTGTCCCAGCTCCGATCTCTGTTGTGGACGATGGACCCCAAGACGACAGTGTCGACGTCTTCGAAACTTCCCTCATGTACGGATCTGGTCGCGAATGTTTCCGGACATGGGTACGCACAATTCCATTTGGCGCAGGTCGGGCGATATCGCTTCCCAAGAATGAAGAAGCCAGGCTCTGTAACGACGTCCAAGAGGCATCCAAGAAGTCGACCGCGGCCCGCGAGGAATCAGCGACGGTGGTCTGTCCTTTGCCTGTTGTCTGGCTAAGGCCGCCTAGAGAGACGCCGTATCCATTCAGATTATCACGATTCAGCGATTCGGTCGCGCGCGACGGATGCCGCATCGGAAGGGGTGACGCCCCGCGGGATGTGTGGGGGGACGGGGTGGCGCCTCGTGATCGGATCGTTGAAGATTCCCGTGCGAGCGTCGTTGTCGAGAGTCCGCTGGACAGCATTGGCCGTCCATAGTCTCCGTCAGGAGCATCATCGAGCGATATCAGACGGGGGTTGCGAGGACGGACGGTCGACGTGGATCTTCTGCTGGTATTCGAACTAGCAGAGCCAGGGTCGAGAGTGTCAAGGACGCCATGATGGGAACTCATTCCCGGCGGAATGAGGCGGCAAAGAGATATTAGTATTAAGTTGAACTTCGTAAGCTCTGTGTTAGAAGCTCAAGTCTGCATGCGAGGTCATCAAGGCACAGACTGCCATCGAAGGTCGCTGCCTATGATAGACCCTGCGTCATCCAGCCACAGTATCGCATTCACGGATCGTGGTAGGAATGACAATGAATGGGCGAGCGGCTAGATCGTGAGTAGTGCTTTTCCCTTCGGGCTCTAATGACAACAAATACAAGCGCTCAATTCCAGTGAACAAGGGGGAGTGTAAAAGCTGGCCAAATATGGGGACAACGCGGGATGCGGCAGAAGGACTGACGACTCCTTGTGATGACGACCCGCAATGTCCTGGATGGAGTAAATGTACTGGACTAGACCCAAAAACGCCAAGTGACAGCTTTCAAGAAATCAACGGAAGCGAGAAGGGTCTTTTGCCAAGCGAAATATATTCAACGCTATGTGTTTTCGAGTCGCGGTGATAATCGAGGTGAGGTTGAGAAGAAAGCAGCTTCGTAATGGGCTGAGGAAGTGTTTGAACGATCGGCAGGTGTTCTTGTTTGCCGCCTCTCATGAAACACCTGGGAGGAAGTAGAAAGTACCTCAATTCGGCTGGTGGCCACACCCAATTTTATGTACCTGGTACTTTGACGAACCATATGTATATAGGCTTGCCTTGTCTTCTCTCGCGTTACACGTAGAAATGTGCTATAATGATATTCTACGTAGATGATAAGTTCCGAATTTGTTAAGACTCGAGACTCTCCAGTTCTGTATTATTATGAATGCGGTCCCAACGTCATCATTCAGACTAGGTCAAGCAAGCACATGGCCTTCATAATTAGTGGAGCTCCCTATCTCTACTCCAGTGATACGTAAGTGGACCATTTGCAGATAATGAACATTCTATCATTCCCACATCGCCTGATTTCAAGAATAGAGATCTTCCGATCATTATACAAGAGCTACCAAGTAGTTTATGGACAACGGCATGTCATGCCAAAAAAGCTTGTCGCTTGTCTGGAAGCAATGTTCGCTGGAGCCAGCAATCATCAATGAGAAGTCCTCAAGAAAATTATGCCATACCCAAAAGAACGCCATAGCCAGGGTCATGTATACAATGGCAGTACTGACAATAAAAGAGCAAATTAGATTAAGCCTCTAGGAGATTCGTTCATTCAGGAGGTTCAGCCATTTCAGCCGGTCGTGCATCGTCTACTGATGCTGCTTCGGATTCTGCCGTAGTCCACTCTTTCTCGGAGCTAGCTTTGCTGGTAGACTGTGTTTGAGTCTGAGCGGGCGCTGGAATGACCTTGACACCTCCGGCGCGAGTGAAAAAGTCCTCGGTTCGAAGACCACGGACCTCACTCGGGTTCACAGATGCCATCTGCAGACCATCTGCCTTCGTTTGTCGGATTAATTCTCGGACTGGGACCATAGCGGCGTCGCGACATGATTCCTTTATATCACTACCCGACATCCCCGCCATTGCCTTGACCAAATAGTGCAGATCAAAGTTCTCTCGGTCGACCTTTGTATCCTTGAGGATCAGACTAAGAATTCGAAGCCGTTGCGGGGCCGGTGGAAGAGTAACCGGGAACTTCTTAGGCATCCGTCTCAGGATTGCCTCGTCAATGTCCTGGATGCGATTCGTCGCTCCGAGAACAACAACGCGTTGTGGCTCACCTAGGGAATTCGCCGAGGTAAGGCCGTCCCAATGTGTCATGAACTCGGCCTTGACCATCCCACTGGCCTCATGCTCACCACTCCTCCTTGTGCCAAGAACAGCGTCAATCTCATCAATGAAGACAATGGTCGGCTGCAATTTGCGCGCCAATGAAAAAACAGCATTGACCAGTTTGTTCGAATCACCGTACCACTTCTCAGTCAGGGTCGAGATATGTAGATTGATAAAGCACGCGCCACTCTCATGGGCCAGGGCCTTGGCAAGCATCGTCTTACCACAGCCGGGGGGACCGTACAGTAATACTCCTGATGGGGCGGTGAGAAGTGATGAAGTCGAAGAGTATAGGTGGGGCATTGTCAGAGGATAAATCACGGATTCCTTCAATTCTTCGATGATCTCATCCAGGCCTCCGATATCCTCAAATGAAACGGCGATGTCATCAGGAGCGACAACGTCCATGGCGATAGCTTGCTCGTACTGGTTGAGAACTAAATCCCCTCGTCTTTGTCTGCGCGCGCGCTTGCCTTCTCTGCGGGGTGAATCCCCATCTGATTCGTATCCTCCATCAAGTTTGCGCAAAATAGCGGCGGATTTGCGCCGTTGCTCTTCTTTCTTTTGGCTTTCAGGATCTATATCGAGACGCGACAGAAGGTAACGGATAAGGAAGTATGCGGATGCCGACTGCAGGCCATCATGTCAGATACGATTGATAATAATCATGCACTATACTCACGGTACCGGCAACCATCACCAACTCCTGTAAAAACTGCTGCCATCTTGGGCCGCGGCCGGAAGCCATGATGACGAGTTGACCCAATCCGGGGAGAAGGACCGACTTATAAACTGGGAATATCCTAGCCTCTGAACTAATCAGTCTTCCAAATCCAGCAATGGGATATCGGAGATGGAAGCAAAACAATCCTTTGATTGAAAGTGAAATCTCACGTTGAGGACTTGGGAAATGTCGGCTGTCGGCGACAACAGCAGCTGTGGCGCCTCACTGATTGATTGAGCCGGGGAACGTGGCTTTGCCGAAGGGGCGTCACATGTCTCAGCCTGTCTGCATGTGGTTTGTTCGCAGTGTGCACAAGGCGGTGAGACTGAAAGGCGGACGCGGCTGTTTTGATTTGTGTTATTGGGATCATTCAGCTGTGCATGTCGCGTGTAGTAGATCCACTGCAGTGTGCCTTTTAATTTTGATTTTTTTTTTTGACTTTTTGTTTATTTACCTGCGCATAGATTATACACCATCGAGTATGCCACCAAAGAGAAAGGCAGCCACCAGGCTGTCTGGTTTGGCGGGCTCAGACGATGAGGACCTGATGCAAGTCAACAGCAATGAAGCTCAACAACGCGAAAATGAGCGCCCAGCCAAAAAACAACGAGGGAGACCACGATCGAAGTCTATTGAGACCAAGGCACCCGCTCAAACAAAGCGCAATTCTTCAGCTGCGCAATCGCAAGTTCCTGATCCTGCGCCCAAGAAGACAGCGCGGAGGGGACGGCCAAAGGGCAGCAGAAATTCGGCGCAAGGCGCAATACAAAAGACATCGGAAGAGCATGGCGCACAAGACGAATCGAAACAAGAGTCTGATCCTCAGGAGCAGGACAGTGATGTTGCATCAAATGATGAATTAGACGAGCCGCCGGAGGCAACGAAAGCAACAAGGACTTCGAAATTTACAAAGCCTGCAACTACCCGAGGACGACGAAAAGTCAGTGCAGGAAAGCAGATCAAGACGGATGGCGAATTTGAGTATACTCCAAGAGCTTCTAGGCAAACCAAGGCGCCTGCGGAGTCGCTGGACCAAGTCGAGCTGCCGAAAAGACAATCCCGACGGAGTAATCGGAAAGAAGTCGAGAATCCCCCAGAAGAAGAAGAAGAAGAAGAAGAGCAGCCAGAGCAATCGGAGGTCGTGGATGAGACCATCCTCCACGATGAGCCCTTTGCTCCTCGGTCGGCCTCGAGATCACCAGTGAAGGGCAGACATTCTTTCCACCGTGCCTTAGGAAGCTCCCCTTTGAAGAAACGGCCTGGAGGTTCGACAGACGATAATAAGACAAGCGACCCAGAATTAAGACGTAGACTTGGTGAATTGACTAAAAAGTACGATACATTGGAGAACCGCTACCGTAATCTCAAGGAGATAGGGATTGTCGAGGCCAACGCCAATATGGACAAACTTCGACAACATTGCGAGGCGATAACTACCGGTATGCTTACCTTTACCTCCTTTTAATCGCATCTCAAGAACTGACCTTCCCAGCTTCCAATAATTTGGTTGCGTCACTCAAGGCTGAGCTGGAAGCACAAAAGAAGCTCGGCCAGCAAAGCCGAGCACTACAGAAGCAGCTGAAAGACCGGGATGCTGAAGTAGCTCAGTTCAAGTCACAGGCAGAGGAGACCAAGAGCCAACTCACTTCAGCTCAGATCGAGATTAAGGCTTTGCAGACCAAGCTCGCTGCTGCCCGCAATACCACTGCCAGCCTTGAGAGTGCCGTAGCGAAAGTTCCGGGCAGCGCGATCAAGAACAGCAATGCTAGCCGCGCTGCAAACGCCGAAGCAGCTCAAGCAGCACAACTAGCGCAATTGAAGGAGGAGCTGTACAGTGATCTTACCGGTCTTGTCATTCTGGATGTCAAGAAGCAGGAATCGAATCATCTGTATGACTGTCTCCAGACTGGCGTCAATGGAAGTGAGTTGCAACCCACATGCGTGAAGGCTGCTCGCATTTGTTGCTAACATCAGGACAGCGCTTCATTTCAAATTGGCCGTTCCTCTAGGAACATCTACGAACTACGAGACTGCGGAGTTTCAATATGTCCCACTACTAGACGAGAACCGTGACCGCGAACTGGTTGATATCCTTCCGGAGTATCTCACAGTCGATATTACCTTTGTACGCCAGCAAGCATCCAAGTTCTACACCCGCGTCATTGACGCACTGACCAAGCGGCGCAACTCGACTACCTGATTACTTTAATCCTGATGTTCTTGATACCATTCGCATATCTCGTTTTTGGATTTTTTTTTCTTTGTTTTTTAAACTTTTTTTTGTCTTTTGAGCTACTACTTCACCAGGAGCATATGCTTTGGATCGAGCATGGGAGTTGGTATGACATTGTTACAGGGATTGTATGGGCGTTTGGATATCAATATCATACATTCTGGCTATAAAGAATGTCTTCTATATCCAAGACTTGATTCTCCTTTCCCCCCCCTCCAAGCTCACTAGATACTTCGTACTGTCCAGACGAACATTGTCAATCAGGGGCACTGCGTCATGGGTGTTTTGGGCCACCGTAGCCACAGCATGCCGCTTTGGGCCTCGCCGATTGGCTGCGGGCATCCCCAAGTTCCCCAATTGCTGTCTGTCACTAAAAAAGCACCAGACCAGACCTGATGTCGCAAGTGCTCAAGTGTCTTGACTCTTGACGCTTTTCAGCAAGTGTTCTGTTTTTTTTTTTCCTTTCATCATTCTTGTAATTGTTTCCTTGTTTTTTCTTTGCTGCAATCGCTATCCCATTCTTTTAACTTGGGTTCCCTCCTGACACTGGAGATACAGTAAAGGAAGCCCAGCCATGGCGCGTCTCGGCCGCGTTGGGTTCCTGACCCTCGCGGTGGTGTTCCATCTCATATATGCTTATTCGATATTTGACATATACTTTGTCAGTCCGATCGTTAGTGGAATGAGATCATATCGTGTCGAGCGAGAACCTAAAACCGATGCGCCCGCCAACCGCCTTGTCTTGTTTGTTGCCGATGGCTTGCGTGCCGATAAGGCCTTCGAACCAGCTCCAGATCCGTCTCCGGAAGATGGTTCAGACGCTCAGAATACCGATCCAATCTATCTTGCTCCCTTTATACGATCCCGCGCTCTCTCCCACGGTACCTTTGGCGTCTCTCATACACGAGTCCCTACCGAATCTCGACCCGGCCATGTTGCCCTCATTGCGGGCTTGTACGAAGATGTCTCCGCGGTGACAACAGGTTGGAAATTGAACCCGGTCAACTTCGACAGTGTCTTCAATCGGAGTCGGCATACTTGGAGCTGGGGCAGTCCTGATATTCTTGCAATGTTCAAGGAGGGCGCGGTTCCTGGCCGGGTCGATGCGGATATGTATAGCGAAGAGGCGGAGGACTTTACGGCGGATGCGACGAAATTGGATACTTGGGTCTTCAACAAGGTGAAGGAGCTTTTTGCGTCAGCAAAGAGTGATCCTGAGTTGGATGCGAAGCTGCGTCAGGATAAAAACGTCTTCTTCCTACATCTTCTCGGCCTCGATACCAGCGGACACTTCTACCGTCCGTACTCCAAGGAGTACCTGCACAATATCAAAATTGTGGATCAGGGAGTGCAGGAGATAACAAACCTGATTGAAGACTTCTACGGCGATGGCAAGACGGCATTCATTTTCACAGCGGACCATGGCATGAGTGATTGGGGAAGCCATGGGGACGGTCATCCCGACAACACCAGGACTCCACTTGTCGCCTGGGGATCTGGAGTGGCTGGGCCGCACTTATCGGAGGGCAATGTGCGCACAGGTCATGAGGATGGCTATTCTTCCGATTGGGGTCTGAATGGCATTCAGCGACATGATGTCGCGCAGGCCGATGTCGCTGCTCTAATGTCCTATCTCGCTGGCTTGGATTTTCCCGTGAACTCTGTGGGCCAGTTGCCTCTGGACTATATTGATGCTAGCCCTAAGGAAAAGGCACTTGCTGCCCTGGCAAACACACAAGAAGTCTTGGAGATGTACCGTGTCAAGGAGGACCAGAAGAGGGCCACGTTGCTACGGTACAAGCCGTTTGAGCCGCTAGCGGATTATGGAGAAGACTCGGTGGAGGAGCATATCGCCGAAATCAATACCCTTATTGCAAATGGGTCCTATGAGGGGTCGATTCAGAGATCTTCCGCGCTCCTCGCCACGGCCCTGGAGGGCCTGCGCTATCTCCAGACATATGACTGGCTTTTCCTACGCACGATCATCACTTTCGGCTACCTAGGGTGGATTGCATATGCACTGACCACGGTTATTGATCTGCATGTCTTGCATGGTACCTCGGACTCCAATCGGAGCTTGTCAAGTACTATATTCTTCACTTCTATTCTCACGGTGCTATTCTCTGTTCTCTTCTATCAGAAGTCTTCGTGGAGATACTATTTCTATGCATTCTTCCCCATATTTTTCTGGGAAGAGGTTTTTGCACGGAGAAGGGCTTTGGTCGCTGGGCGCGAAATTCTTCTGAGTCACGTCCGTTCCTTTGGCGGCTACCTCACGTTGAGTCTCCAAGTGATAGCCTTCGTTGGTGTGCTAGAGGCTCTTGTATGCTGTGATGTTGTCCTACTTATTGGGTTAAGAGCTAATCTGAGGTTCATAGGTTCAATCTTACTTTCATCGGGAGATCCTTACGCTATGTTTCGTCTTGGGGTCATTTTGGCCTGTTCTCCAAGGTGTCGACTTTGTGAAACAGAACACGCTGTTATCCGCTACCTGGGCGGTGGGATGCTCCTTGATGAGTACCTTTACTCTGCTTCCAGTGATCAAAGTCGAGAATGTCGACACTATGTACGCGTGCCCCCAGTTGACGAAAGGAGTTGGTCGCACAGATCTGCTAACCACGTACGGCAGAACTTATGCCGCTGTGCTGATGTTCTTGACCGGATTGTTCTATCTCCTTTTTGAGGACAGTATCTTGAAGCGTAGCAAGGCATTGGAACATTCGCCCAGTCGTACGTCGACTTGGGGCTCCCGAATCATTATGGGTGCGCAGGTACGAATCGGTTCTCTTCCACCTGACTTTCATATCTACTTACATCGCTCTATTCTTTAGGTTGGTATGGTACTACTTGCCTTAATTGTCACAAGATCCAGTGTGGCGTCTCTGCAGGCCAAAGAAGGCCTTCCGTTTGGCAACCAGGTAGTCGGCTGGTTTGTTCTGGGTAAGTATTGCGCAGGCTCTGGATTGGGTCTGAACCATGAGATCCAGCCCTTTGAGTTGGACAAGTGGGTAATTGGATCTAGCTAACCAGTCAAATCACTCTAGTTGCTTCGCTTCTGCTACCGTTTCTCCATCGATTATATCCCAATAAGCACTACCTGCACCGCCTCCTGGTCCTGTTTCTCACATTTTCGCCGATCTTCATCATCCTCACCATCTCCTATGAGGGGCTTTTCTATTTCGTTTTCTGTATGACTCTGGTCACCTGGGTTCGACTGGAGCATGCCATTTACGTGTACAATGTGACGCCCGGGGATCATGGGGTGGGTAGGGGGTCTGTCCCGAAGAAGCCAGGCCTGAAGGCGACGGCGGTGGTTGATGGGCAGGAATACCGCTACCGCACGCTAGGGCTGGCAGACACCCGCGTGGCGTTATTTTTCTTCTTCCTCCTCCAATCAGCCTTTTTCAGCACGGGCAACATCGCGTCGGTCTCATCATTTTCGCTCGAGAGCGTGGTTCGCCTCATCCCGGTATTCAGTCCGTTCAGCCAGGGCGCCCTGCTGATCCTGAAACTGCTCATCCCCTTTGCCATCATCAGCGCTAATCTGGGGATTCTCAACCGCCGACTGGAAGTGGCGCCCAGCGCCTTGTTCATGGTGGTCATGTCCATCTCGGACGTCATGACGCTCAATTTTTTCTACATGGTGCGGGACGAGGGGTCGTGGCTGGACATTGGCACCACCATCAGCCACTTCCTGATCGCCAGCTTCCTGTGCACGTTTGTCGCAGGCCTAGAGTTCCTAAGCGAGGTCTTCATCAGCGGGGTGGATTTCGGACCGTCCGCCAAGGCGATGGGGGCGGCCATCACCAGGGCTGTGGAAGGGGTGGAAGGGGAAGTCCCTGGGTCTGGATCTGAGCACGAGCTCGAGGGTCTCGAAGGCAGCGGCAATGGTAGCTCGTTATGATTTGTATATGTGTGATATAGACTTTTCGGCAGGGTGCCGTCCAACTAGCTAATTTTTTTTTCTGGGTGCTTCCATATTATCTAATGAGAACGAACTTGGTCAATCTACGAGGTACTTACAGAGACCCCAGCTCCTCCAGCTTCTCTGCTGTGATAATCCTCACCCGAAAACTAGGCTGTTTACTTACGGAGTACAGGGGGGAAATCACCACCAGCGTCATCACTTCGCCCATCAGAACATCCATCAACACACACAAATACGTCCTAACCGAGGCATCACAAGCCAAACGCAAGTAACAGACTGTCAATTGGTCCACACATCGACAAGACTGGGTCCAGCCGTCCAGGTGGCTCGACCCGCCGGCCACCTAGCCTGTTGCGGAATAGTCCTCCGTAGTGCGTCCATACTCCATAGTCCATAGTCATCCTCCATATATATGTACGAGTAGAATTGTAGATTACTATTTGAGGAAGAAGGATTGGGGGTTTGCGCCAGCCAGCTACTATCTATCTATCTATCTATCTATCTACCCAGATTCTATGGAGCACATAGATAGTTGCTACTTGCTAGACCATTCATTATTGAAGATTCGGGAACCTGGGGACCGGAGTTGCAGATCAACCACCCCATACTCATACTCCGTAGACTACGGAGTACTTCGTACTTCGTTAAACCCTGGCACGATACATCCGTCATCTGTATGCAGATCTGATACTCAGACTTTTGGCCTGGCTGAAGTGGCTGACGATTTGCGGGGGAGGGGTGATCGGGGAGATGCGGGTTTAGGGATATTAAATCTCCCTTCTTGAATTTTGAGTCTTTTTTTTTTCCCCTCTGCTGAGGAGAAGGATCATAATTCACATTTGCAGGGGGTAGCCGTCCCAGATAGGATCTAAGTCCGGGGGAAGGGGGTGGGTGGTGCATGGGTGGTGGTTTTTTAGTTATATATTATATTTTATATCGTAAATGCCGCATGATGGATGATTGGAGATGTGTGTGGGGGTTTGGGTTTGGGTTTGCTTCCCTGTCTCTCCGCGTATCTGTCTTGTCTGAAGGCTCGATGGAATATGGATATCGAATGTTGATGGTGGTGACGGTTGTTCATGTTGGTGAAGGGAGTGGTGGTAGTACTCCAGTCTCCATCTACAGAATTTGAGACTGACAGGTAAGGTTCCGATCTTGCATGCGGGGCCCCAGATTGGTTTTGGAAAGGGGTGCAATGTAATGACATACTCTGTATTGCTCAGTATAGGGTAGGGGGACTGAGAAGGTAGGTATATATCACTAGGGATTTTGTACTGATGTGATGAGATGAGATGGTATGTAGAGATGGGTATCGGGACCTGATAGGCGATATGTATGTAGTGATAGTTGATTAGGAGTATGACTGCATAACATCCACCAGACAAATAACGAACCTAGGAATCACTGATCATCATGATCTTCAGGTTTCAGCTCCGACAACTTGAATCATGACATGCCCTGTTTGCGCGTGTAGATCTGGAGTCTACTGAGGAGCGTTCTTGGGCGAGAGGTACTTTAGGACATAGGAATATGCATAAATGGGGACCACGAATTATGAGAAAATGCAGAGTATTTCTCAGCAGCAGCAGAACTCCACTGTGGAGATGCAAAAGAAGCTTCGGTCATGCAGTGTCTGCTATGGGGAAAATTAACTGTTTGTTACCGTCGTTGCCTTGATGGCGATTCAAAAAAAAAAAAAAAAAACCCCTGGCATTTCTCGCTATCAAATGAGGTAATGAAGACTGCATGAAGTTACAAGTATCAAACTAATAATGGTGAAATAAACTCCGGACCACCTTTGAGACCAATTAGTCGAATCCCTCCCAAAGTCTGAGGTCGAACTCCTCCATCTCCCCACACTTTCTGGGTGATCCTCCAAGAGGCTTAAACTTGGCTGGGAAGAACACTCTTAGGTAGAGGAAATACGGAGAACCAACAACGAGGCCAGTGCCACTACTAGACTAGTCTAAGTCTATGGATGATTTCGCGATAGTCGATACTCCGGACATGGTGGATTCGTGCCTGAGGCCTTAGCTATATACACATGGTTGCCAGTTTGCCACTCTCGAGGAATAAACTAAGAGGGTGTTGGATGTAAAAAAATATCATCCTTGGTAGTATGTATCTATCTATCTTTCTACTGAGTCGAGTCATTTATAATTATAGGACCATAGCTCTAGATACATATACATACATACATAGTGAGTCGGAGTACTGTCTTAGGGGTGGACAGCCTTATTCCAGATCTTCCGGGGTCCCTTTTCACCCTTCCCCTCCACCGCATTATTACTAGGTATTCTTCTTCTTTGCTCGAACCCACTCGTAGTCCCCAACTACTACTACTACTACTACTACTGCTACTCTCGGTGGCGCTTGTTCCTTTGTAACTATCATTCTGTCTGGCTACTACTCCCTCGACCTACTATCTATCCTGTTCCCGTGTCGTATTCTTTATTCCTATTCCTATTCCCATTATCATTGCTCCCCCAACTTAACTCTGTTCAGAGTTCACACCCAACCATACTGTAACAATCCCGCATACCACACACGGAAAGAAAAAAGGAATCAATCATCCCTCATCTCATTCTTCTACTCCGGCCTCTTTTCCCATCTCCATCTGATTCGATCTTGGCTTTCTCGCTCTCACTCTCTCTCTCTCTCTCACCCCGACCCTTTTCGTTCCTTTTAATCCATCGCCCGTCTACGCTTTAAACGCGCTCTTTCCCCCTCCCTCTCTCTCGATCGCAAAATTTCCCTTTGATGGACACCTGGCCATGAGCACAATAGCAGAGAACCATTCCGAATCTACACCCTCCAAACCCAGCCCTGCCCCCAGTACTGCGGGCTCCACGGGTACATCGGGCATCACCGTGCGCGGTGCCTCAAACGGACACATGAGTTTCAGAAGGTGTGTGGTGATATATTCCCCTGTGTTGCTGCTGCTGGTGGGTTGATTCGGTGCTGGTCGCGGGGCTGTTTGTCCCAGACGGTCGCACGAGAAAATTCAGCCCGGTCGAGGAACACCAGCGTGGAAAGATCAGTTGTTGTCGAGGAAAATGGACAGGACTGGAGTTTAAATGGGAAGAGCTACTAGATTGCTAATTGGTTTTTATCTTATCTTGCGAAACAGACAACGTGCGTCGCGTGCTTGTGAGGTACGTCTAACTGCGCTTTTTTTTTGTGTTCCTGTGAGCTTCGACGCGACCTTGCGCGGGTGCCTCGGCACCTCGGCCCATCCGCCAGCTGCTATCACCATCATCAAGCGGCCATACTGTCGAGGGTTGCGTGGAGAGTGGGAGCTCACCCACAATCACCTCATATCTTCCCACTATCATATCACGATAATATCGGAAATTTCTGGGCTAACTGTTTGTTCCTGATAACACACTACAGACCTGCCATGCTCGAAAGGTAAAGCCTGCCGTTGCGTTGCTTGTGGTGGAGAGAGTCGACACAGTGCGCTAATCATGAACTCTTTCGAGCAGGTCCGTTGCGATGCTGCCAGTCTAGGTGTGCCTTGCACCAACTGCGTAGCTTTCTCGATCGAGTGCAAGATCCCTACCCCGAAACGCAAGAAGAACCAGACCAAATCAAAGGATACCAACAGCGGGTACGTCTCGGATGCCTTGGGTGACGCCAATGGCCTCGTCGGCAGTTACTTATCTTTATGCCTTCTCGATAGGAACGATGAGCAGAACGAGGACAGCCAAGAGAAGCAGGAGACATCGCCGAGTGACGTCCCGGATGGCAAGAATGCTTTTGGGTACGGCAAGAACCGCATGGCTGTTGACGGAATGCCAGTGACCACCCTCTCCGAATCGCAGGCGGCTCAGCAAGCGTCTCAGAACAATGCGTATGCTCAATTCATGAAGCCGAAGTTTGCCCGTGCCCCTATCAAGGAAGCCGGGAGGGTTGCCTATCTTGGAGAGTCGTCGAATCTGTCGCTACTGGTTCAAGATCGCCATGGCACGACAGATGTGGTGCACTATCCCCTGCCGCCGAACATCCGCGGATCTCGCGCCCGGTTAACGGACCTTGACAACCTTGAGCTCGACATACTCCACCAGCGTGGCGCCTTTCTACTGCCGCCCAAGCCTCTTTGTGACGAGCTTGTCGAGGCCTACTTTAAATGGGTCGCCCCTGTGGTCCCCATTGTCAACCGCAGTCGCTTCATGCGGCATTATCGCGACCCGAAGAATCCACCGTCCTTACTCCTTCTCCAGGCTATCCTTCTCGCAGGCTCGAGGGTGTGCACGAATCCCCAACTCATGGACGCCAATGGTTCAACGACGCCTGCCGCCATGACATTCTACAAACGGGCCAAAGCACTCTATGACGCCAACTATGAAGACGACCGTGTCACGATTGTTCAGGCCCTGGTTCTTCTAGGCTGGTACTGGGAAGGCCCCGAAGGTTTGTCCCCCGCCACCGTGGATGGATCGAATTTTGGCTCTAAACTCTCCAGATGTGACCAAGAACGTATTCTACTGGACTAGGGTGGCAATGGTTGTTGCACAGGGCTCGGGTATGCATCGAAGGTATGGATTTTCGCCTAGAATTGCTTTGTATCGCCACGGTTGCTGATAGTGCACAGCGTGGAAAGTTCTCAACTCACGAAACCGGACAAGAGGTTATGGAAGCGTATTTGGTGGACTCTCTTTACGAGAGATCGCTCCGTCGCAGTCGCGCTGGGGCGGCCCATTGGGATCAACACGGATGATTCCGACGTGGGCATGCTGACAGAGGATGACTTTATTGAGGATGAGATCGATATCGCTGCCGAGTACCCGCCGGACCCCGTGCATGTGCAGTTCTTCCTCCAATACGTCAAGCTTTGCGAGATCATGGGCCTGGTCCTCTCCCAACAATATTCGGTGGCATCCAAATCTCGAAGGATGAACGCCATGGATCTGACGCATTCGGATATGGCTCTGGCGGACTGGCTCCAGAACTGTCCTAAGGAGGTATGCTGGCAACGGTCACGGCATCACTTCCTGGCGGCCCTCCTCCATGCAAACTACTAGTAAGCTGAGCATTTGCCCGCTCATCATGTTTATACTAACCAAAAAAAATTAAGTACCACACTCTGTCTACTGCATCGTGCGCACATGCCACCTGCCTCGTCGGCGCCAAATAGCTATCGTGTCGAGGAGATGGCGTACCCTTCGCGAACCATTGCTTTCCAGGCTGCGGGTATGATCACCTCTATTGTGGAGAATTTGCAGACACATCAGGAGATCCGGTATACTCCTGCATTCATGTGAGTCGTGCAACAACCCCTCACGCTGTGGATGTCGCTAAACTGTCAACAGTGTCTACAGTTTGTTTTCCGCCTTGATCATGCATGTCTATCAAATGCGGTCGTCGGTACCGTCGATTGTGGCCACCTGCCAGGAGAGAATCAACATCTGCATGCAAGCCCTGAAAGACGTATCCAAGGTTTGGCTCGTGGCGAAGATGGTTCACACGTTATTCGAGTCTATTCTGGGCAACAAGGTTCTTGAAGAACGTCTGCAGAAAGCCGCCGGCAAGAGACATCAGAGGGTGCGACCCGAGGCGACTCACCAACACCCCGCGAAGAAACCCGAACCTCCGAAACGCAAGTTTGATGACATGGATATCGGCTTTCCTAACGGAGGCCCGACACCCCCAGTTTCATACGAACGGTCTCGACCGCAGACACCTGCCGTCACGCCGTCGAGAGAGCTGGGGCAACCCCCGGGAATCAGCGTGCCACAAGGGTCCCCTAGCGCCCCGCACAGCACAATTCCGGGCAACTCCCGAAGCAATACTCGACCCACCACTCCGTTCAACGGTCATTTCTCCCTGCCTGCGACCCCGCCGGACCTGTTCCTCGTCACACGCACTTCGCCCAATCTTTCCCCATCGCTTTGGGAAAACTTCCAGCCTGAGCAGTTGTTCCCGGATGGGACAGCCATATTCCCTGAGCTGACATCCCCGCACACCCAGACAGTCGATCCCCAGTTACAGATGCAACCACAGATGCAACCACAAGGCCTGCCACAACGTCCCATGATGATGAACCAAGCCACGCACATGCCTGGTCGCAGCATGTCGATTTCGGGAGCACAAGGGAGTCCCGAACTTTTGTCGGGCATGCCTCCTGGGATGGGCATGCAGGGTGTACAGCCACAGCAGATGTTTGGTTTGGAGAATCAACATGGCTGGCCAATGCAGGGCTTAGATGCGCCGATGAGTGCCACGAATGTCGACCATGCGAGCCAGGATGACAACTGGAGTAGCAGCTCACGGAGTGGGCCGACGGCGCCAACGACTCTGAACGTGGAAGACTGGTATGTGATCTGATCCTGTAGCGAAACAAAAATTCATGCCCCAGACTGACTTTTCTTTTCCTATTGCAATAGGTTCCAATTTTTCGGCATCAATGGAAGCTTTGGAGAGATGATCACATGATGAAATCCTATTGTCACGCCAAACGCATTTTGCCCTACTTTTTCGACGTGTATAACATCCGTTCTACTCGCATCAGGTGTATGTGTTGGGCCAACCTGTGGTCACGGCAGTCTTGCATAGTGGTTTCTGTTGTGTGGGTATATATAGTGGAATCTAATGCATATGATGTGGAATATTCTCGTCGACCGTCAAGCCCCATTGTATCGTAGAGAATGTGTTTGTAGGCACTTACACGACGTCCACTGCCAACTGGTGACCATCCTAGGCGTCTATTCCTGCCTCAGGCGGTGAGGCGCCTGAATTTGCGCGCTAACCACTCTGGGACTAGGCGATGACGAAATCGCCCATGGGTGGCCAGCAGCCAATCACAGGCGGGTGGACACCAAGCAACGATCGGAGTCTGACTCTTCTGGAGAATCCCCGGCCTTGAACCTTCAAACATCTGCCTCTCTTTTCCATCCCTCTCTTTTGCAGCTTGCATTCTCTCCTTGATTCGTTTGCAGGAGCTCTCTCACTCTTACATTGACCTCTTCTTTCTCCGTGCATGGTCTGACTGTCATTGACAACCCCTCATCTGTCTCAATTCCCCTCTCCCCTGCTTCCCCGCTACTTTCCCGCCCCGCAAGCGATGTCGGCCTCGGGTTCTGGTGCTGGTGCTGGTGCTGCTGCGCCTGCAGGCGATGCTCTGAAGAAGGCTTTCCCTCGCGTCGACCTTGAAGGACATAACCTTCCTCCGTCTCCGGCTCCCTCGAGTCCTCGGACGGGTAAGCGATATGCCATTGCCACAGAGCTTGTATATACAGAGGGCAGCGACCAGTACAACGCCAGCAGTGTTCCAATCTATCAGGTACGACTTTGTTATATCACGGCCTCTGTGTGACCTTTTTTTAATGTAAATGAAGATTGGTGAATACTGACGTGACATTTTTTTGGTTGTTCTTAAGAGCGCCACGTTCAAACAGACTTCCGGCAGCGGCGGCGGAGAGTATGACTACACTCGCTCCGGCAATCCCACGAGAACACATCTCGAGCGACACCTCGCCAAGATCATGTCCGCGCAGCGGGCACTGGTCGTGTCATCTGGAATGGCTGCTTTGGATGTGATTTCGCGGCTGCTTCGTCCCGGGGACGAGGTGGTGACAGGTGACGATCTGTACGGCGGATCGCACCGACTCCTGAAATATCTGTCGACGAACGGTGGCATTATCGTCCACCACGTCGACACAACGCAGCCGGAAAAAGTTCGCGAGGTGTTGAGTGCGAAGACGGCCATGGTGCTGCTGGAGACCCCGACCAACCCTTTGATTAAGATCGTCGATATCCCGCAAATCGCGGCGGCGGCGCACGAGCTCAACCCCAGCTGCCTGGTGGCGGTCGATAACACGATGATGTCGCCGTTGCTCTTGAATCCGCTCGACCTCGGTGCGGATATCGTATACGAGAGCGGAACCAAGTACTTGTCTGGCCATCACGATCTCATGGCCGGCGTGATTGCCGTCAACGACCTGGCTCTAGGCGAGCGGCTGTACTTCCCCATCAACGCGTCCGGATGCGGTCTGTCGCCGTTCGACTCATGGCTGCTGATGCGTGGTGTCAAGACGCTCAAGGTTCGCATGGATCAGCAACAGACCAACGCCCAGCGCATTGCCGAGTTCCTCGAGTCGCACGGGTTCAAGGTTCGCTACCCCGGGCTGCGGTCGCACCCCCAGTATGAGCTGCACCACTCCATGGCACGCGGAGCCGGCGCTGTGCTCTCCTTCGAGACGGGAGACGTTGGCGTTAGCGAGCGTATCGTCGAGAGCGCCAAGTTGTGGGCCATTAGTGTCAGCTTTGGCTGTGTGAACAGTCTGATTAGCATGCCCTGCCGCATGAGCCATGCCAGCATCGACGCCAAGACGCGAGCAGAGCGCGCGATGCCGGAGGATCTGATCCGGCTGTGTGTTGGCATTGAGGACGTGGATGATCTGCTTGATGATCTGAGACGCGCGGTAAGTCTGAATTGATATGTCTTTTTTTTTTTTTTTTGTTTTTTTTTTCTTACGGTTGACCAATGCTGATTGTTTGGTAGCTCGTCCAAGCTGGAGCCGTAAACATTACCCTGGATGGCTTCGAGGCGAATGCGTCTAGCGATTCCTCCACGTCTGTTTGATTATGTTGGCTGTTGTTGGGTTGGGCGGGATGGACGGGATGGACGGGATCATTTCGGGCGATATCATTGGCGTTTTTAGGCTACAAAATGGATCATAATTCACATATCATATTATATCAAACAGGACTACATGAATTTCTCATCATTGCAGTAAATCTCTCAAATAGTAGTCTATCCCGGTATCCTCATTCTGGTTCGTAGATAAAAATGCCTCCCGCCAACACCCAAGATGTAAGTATGTAGGTTGAATTGACTAGACTAGGGAGTAGGGACTCAAGAGACTCTCGGTTTTAGCGCCGGCATCGGAGGCTGCCCGAAGCTCATCGGGTCCCGGGGCGTTCTCGTCCGCGACAGAAGTCCCAGTCATCAGCGTAACTGTTTTAAGAGTCAGGTCAGCTCGCCAGGATGAGGAATCCATGCATCTTCGTCAATTCCTCTTCTTTTCTGATGCGTCCAGAATCCGCTATGGCTTGGCTTTTATTATAATCATCCCCTGGGTTCTTTTTTGTTGTTGCTTGTTATAGATAGATATTATCTAGGTACTCTGTTACTTTGATCGCCGGGACAATTTTCTTGTTTACTTACTTACTTCCTTCCGGGCCCTTATCGTCCCTTGAAAAATCGCTAGTTGGGGTGTTTGAGCACAGAAGGAGAAGACACAGAAGGATTATGTCCCGAAATGCTCTCTCACCGGAGGCACCGTCCATACCTGTTGTAACAACAACAACAACAGCAGCAGCAGCAGCAGCAGCAAACCCAAAATGGAACACGAAGCAACTCGGTCTCCGGCTAGGCGTGGACGTCGCCAGCGCCGCTGCCGCAGGCGCCCTGACTTGTCCCGTCATCACGGTGATTGATCGGTACCTTTCCCCCCCCCCCCCATGCAAAACATGACTACTCCCAAGGTGGACCAATTGCACACAAAGCTGACACCGGGGGGAATGCGAAAAAAACAAACAGCGCCATCATCGAAAAAGCCGCCAAGGGCCTCCCCATCCGCACCACCATTTCCGCCGGCTTCGCCTCCATCCTGTCCGCCCCGCGCGCCTTCCTCGCCAGCACCCCCTTCCTCCTCATCTATACCCTCTACAGCGCGACCTACCTCACCGCTAACGTCATGGATACCCTGACCGCCACGCTGCGCGATAAACCCGCCGAGACCGTGTTTGCCGGGCCTGCCAAGTTCCTGAGTACCACTGTTGTGAATATGGGGATCTGTGTGTATAAGGATGCGAGGTTTGCGAGGATCTTTGGGTCGAAGACGCCGACGCCGACGTCGCCGGCAGTGGGGACTGGCGCGGGTGCTGCTGGCGCGAGTACATGCCATCCGACCGCGGCGCAGGTGCCCAAGGTCTCGTACGCGCTGTTCTGTCTCCGCGACAGCATCACCATCTTCGCCTCGTTCAATGTGCCGCCGCTGCTTGCCCCGCATATCCCCGACTCGCTGGCCGCGACGCCGCACAGCAAGGCTGCCGTCGCGCAGTTCGCGTGTCCCGCGCTCATGCAGTTCGCCAGTACGCCGATGCATCTGCTCGGCCTGGATCTGTATAACCGGCAGCCTGTGGGGGGCCTGGGGTGGCGCGAGCGCGTGGGGAGGATTCGCCGGGACTATGTACCGAGTTGTTTTGCGCGCATGGGCAAGATTGTGCCGGCGTATGGGGTGGGTGGGGTTGCGAATGTGAGGTTGAGGGAAGGGATGATGAAGTGGTTGCAGGGTTGATGGGAGATGGGTTTCTCTTTTTGATGGGTTATTCGGCTTGGCGATGGCGTTGGGTTGGGCTTGGATTTGAAGCTCTGGACATTTCGCGACAACTATAGATTATGTATATGTCTAATGATACTATCTAGATTTATTTCGGGGGGTCATCAGCAAAGCAAAATCTACCCCACTTCGGTACGGGGTCTTGATGTCAATTTCACCACCTATATGGTTAGTTAGTCGGGCGGGACAATATCTGCCTTTTTCCTGGACTACTCACGAGAAAGGCTCCATGTGCAAGTACACCTCTTCCACCCCGTTCCTCACGACGGCCCGCTGCGCCTGCGCAGCCGCATTGCGCGCATCGTGCAGCATAGACGCAGGACCACAGGCGAAGATACCCACCCGCGCCGCCGGCCTCGCTGCACACGACGAGGCGATGATGGCGGGGAGATCCGGGCGTCGACCCTGACGCATCCACCCCAGCGCGCTGCTGGTGACATGCTCGCCGGACAGCCTCGTCTCCTTCCCGTCCTCAACCCCCCTCGCCGTCTCCGGACCACTCGCAGTGACATAGATGGAGACAGCGACGTCGGCAGTGCCGAGCGCCGAGACCCTGCTTTCGACCTCCTCGACGTACCACTCCGCCACGGCCGGGCTGCGCGTCGCAAAGACGATCTGCACGGTTGTCTTCTCTGTTGCGGTCTTGAGGGCGTCGGCGAGGACTGCGAGCGAGAAGCCGGCGCCGGAGCCGCCGGCGAGGACGAGTAGCGTGGTGAAGTGGGAGAGCGGGGTGGTGACGCCGCCGTAGGGGCCTTCGAGGAGGACGGCGCGGGCGGCGCCGGGGCTTTTCGCTGCGAGACGCGCGAGGCGGCCGGTGATGCCGTGTCTCGGGCGGATGTAGAAGATGAGTTCGGTTGCCTTGCCGGCGTGGTCTGGATCGTGGGCGACGGAGGCGATGGTGAACGGGTGTGCGGTGAGACAGTGGAGACCGAGGCTGGGGAGGTCGAGGAAGCGGAGGGAGATGTGCTGGCCGGGATGCCAGGTTGTGATTGTTGGGATTTTGACGCGGAGGAGACCGCAGGGGAGGAGGTCAAGGGTGCTTGTGTGCAGGCCGTTGATGAGGAATGTGCGGGTGTAGCCTATGCAGAGGCTGAAGGTGTAGAGGCAGCCGCCGGCGATGAAATAGTCCCTGGGAAGGGAAGGGGTGAGTAGTTTTTTTCGCAAAGGATGAGTAGGGCGGTGTTTACCAAGACGAGAGGCGGAAGTCGCAGTGGAAGAAGAAGAAGAGGATGAAGAGCAATGCGATGAGGACATGCGTTGCTTTGAAGAATTCGTAGTACCGGTTCCTTTCTGGTCGTTAGGGTTTCTGCTTGGGTACTCTTCTATAAGGGAGGAACATACCGAATAGCCGGCAAAGACATGACAGTCAGGTAGGCCTGCGGGATCAACGCTGCTACTCCCGTCCAGTACGTGACATTGGTCTTCCATTGCTTGACCATGTCACCCTTATTGATGTGGAAGATGATAAAGGGGAATGTATGAATCAAGGCTAGGACAAACATTGCGTAGCTGGCCCAATGGTGAAAGATCTGAAGCTTCTCGTGAGAGACGCCCGTCAGCATCGAGACGAGGTTTGCCTTGGAGCCCAGGGCGCTACCCGATCAGTACGGCTTCAATGGCAGGATTACAGACATACTCACAGGACAAAAGGAAGCAGGGCCAATGCCATCCACCCGGTCCTCGTTGCAATAGGCGGGCTGTTGCCATACGAGACTGTTGCCGTGTTGGGCCAGTAATAGGGTCTCGGACCGAGAGTCATTGCTTTGCGTCTCAGTCCGTCAGTCAGTCAGTCTGCAAGTCCCGTCGTCTATGGCATAAAGTGTGCACCAACCGAAGAAAAAGACCACGCCCACGAGACCGAGGAGTATCACGCCGAGGGACGGTGACCGGTAGTGTAGAGCCGACATCTGATATCCCTTATATGAAAGATACCGCAGCACCGCTGCGACCCTGCGCCAGATGGCAGTGCGTTTGATCCAGGGGGGAGCATACTGAGAGGTGTAGTGTACTGTGGTGAAGACGCCAATGATCGCGCACATAAAGTAGACGGTATTCAAGGCGTAGACGTGATCCGCTTCATACCTGATCTTGTGAGGCTTTATCCAAAAAGAAAAGAGACTAATCGAAAAACATACCAGTATCTCCAGTAGCCTCGACGGTAGGCACACTCCTCAGCGTTCAGTTTGCAGGTATCTTTGCGAGATGAATGCAGCAACACAGGCTGATCCAGCCATGGCAGGCCAGACGACTCGGACATGTCCATCTTGAGGCTGTTAGGAACAACCACACTGCTGTATCACGCTTGATCCGCGATGGAGGACTCTTGAGCCGAGTTGGCTCTTTAGACAAGCTGAAGCCAGCAGCCCCATTGAACATAACACTACTATAAGGAGGGTAACATCCTCGACTGGCGGGTATTTCTATTGAGATTTGGGATTTGGGATAGTTACAGATTGAGAGCCCGCCGAATGGAAGAAGAGGTTGTGATTCGTCCAGACATGCTCGCAATTGAGCACATTTCATAAGGTATCTTATTTGTGAGTGTCGAGAGTGGGAGGACATTTGAGCGGATTTGCGCTGGTTTCAAGCTGGTGGTGTGGGGGAAGTGGCATCTATTGGCTAAAGGATCACTTGTAGGGGGGGGGAAGTAGCTGAATTTCACTTCAGGAAGCAAACATTTGAAGATATTCAGACCGTCCTGGGAATTTCCTCGTGTCGATCCCGCCGGTTGCATCCATGCCGGGTTGGTCATTTTCCACCCATCCACAAGGTCCCTGACAACCGTCTAGTATCTATCTATCTAAATGTCTAAATGTTTAGATGTCTAGATATCGATCTACCGGATGGCCAGATCTGCCTGGACGGACACAGCTTCCATCGAAGAAGCCGTCTTGAGGCTATTCGGATTCCCTCCCAAGTCCATCCCTCGACTCCCCCAGAGCCCATGGTCCTTCAGCGCTTGATACCCACCGCGAAGACTGTCCGCTTCGATGCCCTTGGCTCGCAGCACGCTGGTGGCGACGCGAGCCGTATCGCCATGATAGCATATTACCAGGACATGATGGTCCCGGAGCATGTGTAACGCCTGCTCGTTGGTGAACAACGCCTCGAGCTCCAGCCACTGTGCCTCGAGCACGCTGGGCTCGGTGAACGGTTTCGGGGTGTGCGAGTCAACGCTGCACAGCGGGAGATTGACCGATCCGGGAAGATTCCAGGTCGAGTAATCGGCAGCAGTCCTCAGATCCAGGACGCGGCAGAGCGGTCGTAACTCGAGAGTGCTGAGCAGGCTGTCCGAGAGCGCGCGCGGCGTCTCGTAGTAGAAGTGGGTGAAGAGGACGATGGGACTTCGCTCCCAGCTCTCGTCGTAGCGGTACAGGTCCACGCGGGAGAGATTCTGCAGAAAGCGCATTAGTCTTTTTTGTTTTTTCAAACATTGGCTCTGAAGCCTCTGACCTCGTTCCTGATGGGATGGAACTTGTCCTCCCCCAGTTTGGCAAAGTACTCGCCAATATACTGATAAGGCAGATCACAGCATATAAACACACTGTGGATCAACCCATCCGGCCCTGCCAGCTCGGACAGCGTCCCCGCCGTCTTGCGCTTCTCAAGCATCTGGAACAGACCCTGGAGATTGAACCCCGAGGACGGGCCACAGACGATGCCCTCCCGGCACAAGTCCAGCGACAACGAGAAGGAATCATACGAGTTCACCTCCTCAATCACATCCACCGCTTCCTTCCACGGAAACTCCACCGGCTTCAGCAGCGCCAGCGATCTCGGCCCAGGCACTCGGTCGCCAGGCGCCGTGCACACCCCCAGCCGGAGCACCGCCGGCTTCATCTCCCCAAAATACGTCCCCAGCCCGGTCATCGTCCCCGACGTCCCCATGCCCGCACACAGCACGTTTATCTGCGGCAGCTGGCGCAGGATCTGCGGGCCCGTCCAGCGTACATGCGAGCCCCAGTTCTCCGCGTTCTCGTACTGGTTAGGGTTGAGGATCTCGGCCGCGTCCGCGTGCAGCGCCATCTTCCGCGCCCTCTGGATGCCACCGCGCTCGTCGAATGGCTCGGGCTGCGACGGCCCGCCGAAGAGCGTGACGTCCAGCCCGAAGAACTGCATGAGTTGCAGCTTCGCGGTGCTGGTCTTGTTGCTGAGGTAGGCGCGCGTATCGTGGATGCCGTGCAGGACGCGTCCGGCCAGCGCCATTGATATCACCGTCGACCCGGAGCTGTATTCGATGACGGTCTTGGTCTTGCCTGGGACGACGTTCTTCTCGAGCATGTTGAGAGCTGTGTGCGCGTTACGGGTTAGCCGGGCGTTCAAACCCCTCCCCCCGCGCGAGTTATATCACTGGCGTCTGCATACCTGGCATCGCCTTGACATTGTTGGCAGGGTGCATCGTCATCATCTTGGCGTAGATGCGCACCCCATCGTGATAGTAGCGGTTCAGGTACTCCGGGAGCTCAACGAGGGGGAGTGGAGGCTGGCTGTCGGGATCGAAGTACTTCTTGAGGGCATCAGGGCCGAAGTAAACATTGAGTTCATTTGGACTAGTCATTCTAGCTTCAGCTTCAGCAGCTATGCACGTAAATCACAACCCAAACACGATTAGATAAAAGAATACATCCGGACATCCCCCGCCGACACCAGCAGCAATTTATACCACGCTCCTCATCTCCCCTTCACCCTTTCCCCACAGAGGCTCTCGTCTGTCTCCCTCTGCAGTCTCCAGAAGGGATATAGAAAACAGGCCACGAGTGCGCTATTTCCCGAAACCACAAGCTGATCGCTGCGGGATCTTCACGAGGAATTCCCGCCTAGACAGCTACCTTGGGAGAACTGAGACCCCCGTGTCCAGTGTCCAGCTCCGCTTTACCGCGCTCTCTATCCCACAAGGTCGGATGGACGGAGGACCTCGGCGTCAAATTCGGTGGACAGGGGACTAGACGCTCGCTGTATATCTATACACCCGGGCTGGATGTGATTCCTTTCGAACTCTCGAAGGGTTTTGTCTGTTGATCGGACCTGAGGGCATCCCCCAAGGTCCTTGGGCTTTGGGCTTCCGGGGTGGCTGTATCTCAGCAGCATGCAGCAAGCAGCAGTGACATCCACCTTGGCTCAGACGTAACTCCGAGTCTTGCAGGATCAGGATCAGGATTGCATTTTTTTTTTCCTCCCGAGCCTCGTATTTCCATCTATTGACACCGGGTAGACAGGGGGTTTGGTGGTGCACTATCCATCGAGTATAGATAGAGGAGATGAATTGACGATCCTACACGGGGACCTTGAGTGCTTTTGCGCACATTTTGCCCACGCCCCGTACCCCGTTACCAGTCAGTTGGACTGGTCTTCATGGCCGATCTCTGCTGGGCAATTCATACAAGGGTATCGCCATCACATCATTTCCCAAATCGGGATTCTTCATGATTCCTGCAGAGATGCGTGTGGGTCGTCCGGATCACGGGTTTTTAAAGACTTGAGAGTTCCCCGAATCATACCGTTACTCTTGTCGTGTCCTTGTTGAAGTCGAAGCCGAATCTACCAGGGGAAGGATAGGATATCATGGCAAACGCCGTCTTCAGTCAAGGTCGGGGACAGGGACAAGAGTCGACTCCTCATGCGTCCTCGGAGACGGTCGTCGAGGTCGAGACTGAAGGGCGCACGGCACAGCATATCTTCAACGAGCAGACAAACTATGTGCCCAAGAGCACCATCATCACGGTAAACCCCATCCACATGGAAGAATAGACAGAGGCCAACAGTTCGAGACTGACTCATATCGTTAGATCTTCCTGGCCTGCTCAGCCGTCGACCTTGTCGCATTGATGGACCAGACCACCCTCGCGGCCAGTTTATCCATCATCGGCAACGCCCTGGACGCCAGCGATCAGACGTCGTGGATCTCGGGTGCTTATTTCGTGTATGCCTGTTCTCCCTCCCCCCCTTCCCTTTCTCAATAGAAAAAAGAGAGGGAGAGAGATCACACTGACCCCCTGGCTAGCACCTCAACTTGCTTCCAGCTCCTCTACGGTCGCCTCTCCGACATCTGGTCCCGCAAATACATCCTCTACACCGGCCTCGTCATCTTCTTCACCGGCTCGCTCGCCGCCTCCCTCGCCCAAACCGCCACCCAGCTCATCATCTTCCGCGCCTTCACCGGCGTCGGCGGCGGCGGCCTCATGACCGTCGCCCAGATGATTGTCTCAGACGTCGTCCCGCTGCGCGAGCGCGGCAAGTACCAGGGGATCCTGGGCGCGGTCGTCGCGCTGGCCAACGGCATCGGCCCCGTCATCGGGGGCGCGCTGGCGTCCATCGACGCGGATTCCTGGCGCTGGATCTTCCGCCTGAACCTGCCGCTCACGGCGCTGACGACCCTGTGCGTCTGGCTCTTCATGCCGCTGCGCAAGGTCAGCGGCGACTGGCGCGCGAAGCTGCGGGCCATTGATTTCGTGGGCGCCGGCCTGGCGCTGGGTGGTACTGCGGTGCTGCTGCTCGGGCTGAACTGGGGAGGCGGCGAGTATCCCTGGCGAGAGCCGCATGTGGTCGCGACGCTGGCGGTTGGCGCCACGGTCTGTGTGCTGTTTGTACTGTGGCAATGGAAGGGCACCTCGTGTCCGCTTGTCCCGATGCATATCTTCACGTCGCGGATCGTCAACGGCGCGTGTTTGACCATATTCGTGAACGGGTGGAACTTCCTCGTCCAGATCTACTATATCCCCACCTTTTACCAGCTGGTGTTTGGCTATTCGACCGTGAAAGCGGGAGCCATGTTGCTGCCCATCACGCTGATGCAGAGTATGCCCCTTTCCTAGCTTCTCTTCGACAATCATGCCGCTTATGAGGTCCATAGCTTTTAGTAGCACTGTCTCCGGGTTGGTCGTTCACTGGCTCGGCCGGTACAGAGAATGCATTCTCTTCGGCTGGATGATCTGGGCCGTCGGACTGGGCCTCTTCTCAACACTAGACAAGTCCTCCGGTCTGGGCAAGCAGATTGGCTATGGGATATTGACTGGCGTAGGAGTGGGGAATACGCTTCAGCCGTGAGTGTCCTGCCCGGTTTCGATGCTATGGGCTTCATTTGATATTGACGCTCGCAGCTCCCTGATCGCCATCCAAGCCGGTGTCGAGCGCCGCGATATGGCCGTCGTGACCTCATTCCGGAAGTAAGCCCCCGTCTCGCCTCACCCATTCGTAGTGATTGCAGCAGCTGACGTACGCAGCTTCGTCAGAAATCTCGGCGGAACACTAGGTCTGGCTATTTCGGGGACAATCATGTAAGTTCCCTCGACAGACAGACCAAAACGACCCTAACGATACAAAGAAACAATCTCCTCTCATCGTCGATATCAGGTCTGGGTCTCGACGCCTCGGACAAGAGAGCCTTCCTATCCAGTCCTCAGAATTATCTCTCTGGGCTCCCCGCTGAAGAAGCAGAGAATGTGCGCGCCGTGCTGATCCCCGCGTATAGACGAGGCTTCAGGATCATATTCGTTGTTGAAGCCGCGTTGGCTGCGTTCGCGTTCTGCCTCGCGTTTGTCCTGATGCCTCAGGTTTCGCTGAAGCGAGAGGATGATGAGAAGTTGAAGGAGGAGGGGAAGAAGAGGGTGCAAGGGGAAACAGATGATGAGAAAGGTGCATGAGCGATACGCTGAAATTAGGAGAAATGCTGCGATGGCAGGTGAACCTGATCTCAATGTCATATTAATTCAATAGTAGAAAAGAAGTATCCAAGTAGTGAGTGTCGTGTCCTCGTCACGTCGTCAAATCCAAAATAAGTCAAACAGTCAAACAGTCATAAAGGGAAATAGACACCCTTCTGTGTATCAGTGACCCATGTTGCTGACCCAACCGTGATGCTCAATCCTCATGACAGTTTCCGAGAACTGAAAAGACATCAATCAAAGAACGAATTCATATCTGCTCGATAACAACCACCTGCTCCACCAGCCAATCGACCAGGGTCTGTCCTTCCATCTTCCATCGCCCGTCACACCACACCTCGTTCAGCCAGTAGTCCCATCCGTGGCCCTGGCCCTGCAACGGAATTCCCCAGGTGTTTTTGTGGCTGTCTACGGCTGAGAAATCCTTGTTCACCTGTAGAGCACCCACACCGACAGCACCGGCCGTAATGCCCTGCCGCGCGCGCCACTCTCGCTCTGCACGCTCGCCCGCGCGCCGCGCAACAGCTTCTTCGTCTTCGGCCTGGTACAGGTCGCATTTGTTGCATTCCCCACAGCGCGAGCCGGGGTTGAGGCGGAAATGCTCGCAGAAATGTCTATAGCCTTCAGCAGGTTCATCTCCTTCCGGGACATCTGCATGTTCATCGTTGCCATCCAGTCCGGGCGCGACATTCTCTTGGTTGATGATTCCCGGGCCCTCGAGAGCGCGACGTTGCCCTGCTGCCGGTGGGGATGGACCAAGCGCTTTGCGGCAAAGATAGCACATGGAATATCCGCAGACACAGGTTAATTTGTTGCAGCCGGACGATTTGACAAAAGACAGCCCACATCGCGGGCATGTACGCTTCACGGCAGCGGTACGCGCTGCCTCGACGGTGGCGCGAAGATCAAGCAAAAGCGGTTCATGACAAATATGGGGATCGCGCCACGGTTTCTGACAGGTGATGCAGCTGACGCGACGACAGAGCGGACTAGCACAGGTGAATCGTTTAGGTCTGACCTTGAGACTGAGATTGAGTAGGGAGTTTTTGAGAATAGAAGAAACAGCAGTGGGTTCCAGCAGCCACAGAATCAGCAGCGGTATGGCAAGCAAGGGTATCATATCAAGAAGTACAATGGCCATCAAGACCGTAGACAGGAGCCCATCGCGGCGAAAGCGCCAGGCGATTCCGTTGGAGGGAGGATGGTACACCGGGTCGACCTCAGCGTAGGAGCAGAACGGACAGCGAACGAGTTTCAACTGGGATTTGAGAAGCGACTCTGAGGCCAACCGGGTCTCAAACTTGCGGTAGGTCTCCGACCCGGCTTTTTCCAGGAGAATGGCCCGCTTAACGATCTCCGGGCTCAAGCTCCCGTCACAGCTGCTCCCTTGGGCAATTGGCGCAATGCACCTCAGAGTGGACCTTTCGACATCCACAGATTTCCCCCATCCCTGACCAAACAGGGCCTCATGGATCGTCCGCTGTATGCAGCTGTAGCAGATGATATGGGAGCTAGCTGAGCAAGCAGAAATCTGCTCAAACGTCACATCCGCCAGACAACATTCGCACTCATACAAAGCCTCAACGTCCTGCGCTTCCCGCACATTAAGTTCCTCCGCCAGCCGGAAATCCCTCTCCTCCTGCACCTCCTGCATCGCTCGCAGCAGAGGCGCCAGCAACGCCTCGTGCAGCTCCCGGTCCAACTCCGCACAGCCCGTCTCCTTCAGCCTCGGGACCACCTCCCCATCCGCTCGCCGCTGCCACACAACCATCGGATGCTCATCCTTGTCTTTCTTGCGCTTAAACGAAGGAAAGAGACTATTGAACGTCGCCCGCCACGTCCTCCTCGACAGCTCCTTCAGCGTCGGCCGCGCCCGCACGTAACAAAAGTTCGCTTCCGCCAGTACCGCCTCCACGGTACTCCGACTCAGCGCGCTGAACTCCTTGCTCAGCACCACCTTAACAGAAGCCTTGTACTCGTCGCTCCGGAACCGCTCCTCGGGCGGCACCACGCGCGCGTCTCCGTCGTCGTGGTCAAGCCTGCCGCTTTCTGCTGGGACATTCCATCGCCCTGCCACCCACTCATTCTTGTGTCGGAGCAGCTGCTCAACGCAGACCTGCAGCCGGCTCTGGCCGTCAAACCGCACCAAGAGTTCGCGGAAGACCTCGACTTTCACGTCCGGGAAGATCCGGGCCAGTGTCTCCAGTGCGTTGTTGAGCTCCTCCTGCTCCTGGCGCTGGTTTTCTGTCTGCGTGGATGAGGTGAGGGCGGCTATGGCGCGGGATCGTGAGGTGTTTCCGAAGGGATTGTTGCGGAGAGCCTCGCTGAGGGTCGTGGACTGGTTACTGTTGCTGTTGCTGTTGCTGGATCGGAGCGTGGGGGAGGTGGAGGTGGATCTGGAGAAACTCGGGACAGGGAGCGAAAGCACCATCGTGGTCAACGACGGGGATCCCGCTACATGATCGTAGGATACAGAATAGTCACAAAGTGATGATGGTCGAATTAGTTGATTGATTGATGAGAACGAGAGGGATGTTGGGTGTTTGTGATTGTGATTGTGATGGATGTGCGGGGGAGTCGAGGCTTAATCCAAGTCGAGGCTGGTTACATAACACGCAATCCATGAGGCTCATATTCATAGTTCATTTCACAGCAGATCAATTCAATTTAATCCGATGCTCATGATAAGCGTATATCGACATTCTAGTCATTCGAAGAAAGACACTGGTCAAATGTACGAATTTATAATTGGTTTGAATGAAGTAAAGGAATGAAAATGCATTTGCCTCTGCAGAAAAACGTCATGAAATTTATGTACACATGTCACAGGCTTTGCTCACAACCCAAATTAATGATATTTTACAACTTGGCCTTGGCTCCCTCCAGCAGCTCAGCACCAGCACCAAGGATGGCGGGCTTGCCGGTCTCTACAACAGTCGTCTGGAAGATGACTGTGTTACCTTCCTTCCACATCTCGGTCTTCAGAGTCTGACCGGGCAGCACGACACCAGCAAAGCGGACCTTCAGGTTCTTGAAAGCACCAAACTTGCTGAACACATGCTTGCCGGAAACACCCAGCGAGCAGAGGCCGTGCAGGATGGGGGTCTTGAAGCCGCCGACCTTGCTGAACTCGGGGTCAATGTGGAGAGGGTTGAGATCACCGTTGAGACGGTACAGGGCGGCCTGGTCCTCGGAGGTCTTCTCCTCGATGACAGCGTCAGGCTGGCGCTTGGGAGGGTTGTAGGCAGCAGTGGCGGCCTTGGAACGCGCAGCAGTAGGCTTGGGCGAGCCACCGAAACCACCGCTGCCACGGATGAAGACGGTCGACTCGTTGTAGAAGAGCTCCTCACCGGTCTTGGCATCCTTGGTGGTGTAGCCGGAGATGACAAGAGCGGCCTTGCCCTTGTCGATCACGTCGATGAGCTTGGGGTAGGTCAAGGTCTTGGCGGTGGTCGGGATGGGGAACTTGCGGACCTCCATGTACTGCTCACCGTGCAGCAGCATCATGGGGGAGAAGTTGGAGACGATGTCGTCCATGTTCCAGGGGTTGGCAGTGTTGAACCAGGGGACCACACCGAAAGTGGGCAGGGCCTGGAAGTGCTCGTTGTTCTCGTAGACCAAGGGAAGGTCGGTGCGCTTAGCGCCAACACTGAGGTTGTAGAGGATGACATCGCGGTCAACGTAGTCGAACTCAGTGCCATCAGTGGTGGCCTGCTTGGCCTTCTCGATGTTCTGCAGGATCTGGTTACCACCGTCGCCGCCGCTGCGGTTGGACATGTTGGCCATGATCTTCTCAGTACCGGACTGGTTGTCCTCGGGATGGTCGGCACGGCCATCATCGAAGTTGATAATCTGCGCCCATTGCTTGAGAACAGCCTCGGGGGTCAGTTTGACATCCACGGGGAATCCGTGACCGCCAGAGCGCTGCCAGCGGGTACGGGCAAACCATCCGCTGCCGCACTCGTAGAGTCCCTTGGTGCTGGGCTCGGGAGCCATATCAGAGCAAAGAAGGGCAACCATGGGAGCAACAAAGTCGGGCTTGAAAGCCTGGACCATCTCCTCGGGCATGATGGTGCGAGTCATGTTGGTACCGGCGTTAGGGGCAATGGTGTTGACCTTGATGTTGTACTTCGCACCCTCAACGGCAAGAGCACGGGAGAAACCCAGGATACCGAGTTTCTAAAAGCAGTTAGGACAAATTCTACCAGTCCGGATTGAAGGAAAGTGAAGACACATACCGCAGCAGCGTAGTTAGCCTGGCCGAAATTGCCGTAGATACCGCTGGTGCTGGCAGTGTTGACGATACGACCGTACTTCTGCTTGAGCATGTGGGGCCAAGCGGCCTTGGTCACCTTGTAGGTACCACGCAGATGGACGTTGATGACAGGGTTCCACAGATCATCGTTCATGTTGGTGAAAGCCTTGTCGCGGAGAATACCAGCGTTGTTAACCAGGATATCGATACGACCGAAGGAGTCGATGGCAGTCTTAACAACTGCCTCACCATCCTCGCAGGAAGCCTTGTTGCCGACAGCGGTACCGCCCATCTTCTTGATTTCCTGGACGACGGGCTCAGGGTCGACAAGATCGTTGACCACAACGGTAGCACCAAGTTTAGCGAACAGAAGACAGTACGAGCGGCCAAGTCTAGCCAAGTTAGCTGTTTATCCAGAGAGGAGATATCCAGATCGTGCAATACGTACCCAGCACCGCCACCCGTGACGAGGGCAACCTTGCCCTTCAGGTTGGGCTCTTCGCCGGACTGAGCGCTAGGGGTCTTCAGACCATTCTCGAGGAGGGACATGAAGTCGGCGGGGCCGGTAGGATACTCGGGCTCAGAGAAGTCGTTGACATCGTTCCACTTTCTGGAGATGGCACCGGGGGTCAGGGAAGCGTCGGTCTTGAGCAGAGCACCCTTGGCACGCTCCCAGCGCAGCTTGGCCACATGGCCACCACCGACCTCGAAGATCGAGCCGCTCTCGGTGGTATTCGACGAGTGGACCAGAACAGCCACGAGAGGAACAATCCACTCGGGCTTGAGAAGCTCCAGAACCTCGGGGGGCATGATTGTGGCGGTCATACGGCTCGCAGCTGTGTCAAGTCAGGGGTTGATTCATCGGTGATTATGTTTGAGAACATACCGATGGGCGCAATGACGTTCGCAATGATGTTGTACTTGGCACCCTCCTTCGCGAGGGTCTCAGTGAAACCAACCTGGCCGAGCTTGGCAGCTTTCCGATTATTAGCATCCGATTAGACCTCCATCATAGGACAAGGAACTCACCAGAGTAGTTCGCCTGGCCAAAGTTACCGAAAAGACCAGCAGCGGAAGCGGTGTTGATGACACGGCCATACTTTTGTTTCCGGAAGTGGGGCCAAGCAGCTCTTGCACACTAGAAACAAAGACAGTCAACATATGTGGAAATGACTATGAGACGGGTTGCGCTACTGACCTTGTAGGCACCATATGTGTGGACCTTGTTGATAAGATCCCAGTCCTGATCCTTCATGTTCTTGAAGCTGACATCGCGAAGGATACCAGCGTTGTTAATGAGAACATCGATCCGGCCGAAGTTCTTGATGGCGGTCTCAATGATGGCCTCGCCGTTCTCGACACTGTCGTAGTTGGCTACAGCTTTGCCTCCAGCGGCTCTGATCTCCTCTACTACCACATCGGCAGCCTAGATAATGATTTCACAAATTAGCAAGTGCCGCAAGTCCCCACGACTTTTGAGAGATGAACGTCCAACATACCTTTGATGACTTGCCCTCACCGGCGTGGGAACCACCCAGGTCGTTTACAACAACATTGGCACCTCTGGAAGCGAAGAACAGAGCATAAGCCTTTCCGAGACCACCACCGGCTCCCGTCACAACGACGGTCTGGTTATCAAAGCGCAGCTCAGACATATTGAACAGACGTGAAGAAGCAAAAAAAGAAAAGAAAGGGTATAAGGAGAAGATTCGTGAAGCGGTGCTCTCCGCACACTAGATTGTTTCAAGGAAGGAAGAAGAAGAGAAACGGGGGGGGAGAGCAAACGACTCAAGACAGCGTTTCTTTAAAAAGGATGAGAGAGGGGATTTAAAAGGAAGAGAGTCTGGGGGAGTCGAGGAGAACGGAGAAGAAAGACTGGGACTGGATCTGGGGGGAAAAGATGAGGTGGATAAAGGTGCAGACGGTCGCAACGCTCGGCAAGCTCCCCCAGGGACCTCGGTATCTTCCAAAGTTCCAAATGTGAAGCTCGGAGGTTTTGGGGCCACTTGCCAAGCGATTTTGGCTAGGCAGATGATCTGGCTTCACATGCCGATGTCTGGCCATGAGATAATCATGAGAGAAAGGTCCAGTTAAGGAAGACTACAATGCATCTGACATATGCCTGTACCAGTTGTGCTACCTGCTGATCAGCTTTACTCTTGCTTTTATAGGGACATTATTTCTCCTAAGTTGTTCTTCCTCCTTCACTTTTACGGAGCACAGAGAGGAACGCTCACATCGAGGGACCCAGCTGCTGACTCATCGGGCTTGTGATCTCGTCGTCATCGGCCCTGTCACGTGGACAGGCGGGGTGGATCGTGAGAGCTGCGACGATAAACGATGAGAAGAGGAGGAACCTGGGAGACTAAAAGCATTCAAAAGATATGAAAAATGCTCTTGCCTATCATGAAGAGTATGGATTCGTCTGGACGGTGGACATCACTGAGGCCCAACACGGTCCCGTTGCGGACAAATCGTCTACCCCGGATTTCCCTCGGCCTTCCTCCGAGATGTAAACAGGTACTACTAGCAATCTAGCACAACGACGATTAAGTCCCCATAGAATCCACGTATCTAGACGTAATAGACAACTCCCCGTCACTCCGCCATGGCTGAGATAATTGACGACAAATCCCAATACTGCATCCCATTCCTCCTGAAGCGGCTGGAAGCCCACCAGGCACGGTACGGGAAGGACCCCGAGCATACCCCGCCGTTCTTCCTAGGTCTGAACGGAGTCCAAGGAGCAGGGAAAACAGTGCTGGTGAGCCATGACTGATCCATCTATCCATGCTCTGGGCCGGTTTTTTACAGTCTGCGATGCCGAGTTTGCTAATCGCCGAAAGGTCTCAACGCTCCAATCCACCCTCCGCGCACCCCCGTACTCCCTGCCCGTCGTCACGATCTCCCTCGACGACTTCTACCTCACCCACGACGAGCAGCAGAAACTAGCCAAGACCTTCCCCACCAACCCCCTCCTGCAGCATCGCGGGCAGCCGGGTACGCACGACCTCCCCCTCGCCGAGCAGGTCTTCGCATCCCTCCGTGCCGGCCGTCCTACTGCGATCCCGCAATATGACAAGTCGGCTTATGCGGGACAAGGAGACCGCGTACCCGAGAGTCAATGGGAGACGGTAAATGGCAGCGGACAGGAGAAGATCAAGGTGATTATCTTCGAGGGTTGGTGTGTTGGGTTCCGGGCCTTGGATGATGGGCTCCTGAGGGAGAAGTGGGAGGCTGCGGTCCGCCAAAGGGACCAGGGGGCCTATAATGGCCGATTGGGATATGTGAGGTTTGAAGACGTGAAGGCCATCAACGATGCGCTAAGGCAGTATGATGTGTTGACCGAGTGAGTGTCCTTTGCTTGTTTAGAGGATGTTATTTTCAGGCACAACGATACTAATTCTGCCGATCGCAGTCAGTTGGATGCATTGATCCATATGTGAGTCGGTTCCTTTTTGACCAGTGATCATGCCAGACTAGATTTCTAACACTCTCTGAAGCGATGCGCAAGACTCCCACTTCGTCTACGACTGGCGACAGGAGCAAGAAAGAACCCTCCGCGCAGCCAAAGGGACTGGTATGACCGAAGAACAAGTGTCGCATTTCGTCGATGGCTGTAAGCATGCCCCCGCAAGACTGAGCGGATTCAACTGATGTATAACAGACTATCCGTCCTACGAACTGTTTACCGAAAATCTCCGAAGAGGTGCGTTCAGACCGGCCGCGGGTTCCTCCGATGGAGACTGGCAAAATAGACAACTTCGTCTGGTTGTCAACAGAGAGCGAAGAGTTCAAGAAGTCGTTGAGATATAGAGCTTGTGCTGTACATTTGTATATACAGCTGGGAGCCTTTGAGAGTCTATGCCGAGTGTATATTTTCGTTCCGCAAATATATATATCACCGTTGCACAGCGAGGTGGTTGGTATACACGGTGTGTTGAGTTGTAAGTATTGATTGACTTCAGTTTATACGAGGGAGAGAACGTCTGGTACATTTGGGTGTCAATAAAGACACTTGGGCTCTGTCCTCACAGTTTGTTAGACGTTTTAGCCAAATTGTGATGACCTCGAGACGCTGATGGAGATACAGACCGAGGGTATTCATACATCGGGTACGGGCTAGCCGAATTAAGAATAACATCCAGTTCAGGGCTCTCTATTTGCAGGCTCGGTGCTCAAATCCAAAGTCATCCTCTACAGAACAGACAATTACAGAAAATCACTATACTTTACAAGGAGAAACAATATGATGGGTTGCTTGAACTTTTCCATTTTTGTACCCGAGACTCATATACCATTATACGCTAAACGAGCACAGCCCAGATCAACCAAGCAACACCAGGAGAACCGCCGCCCACAAGACGATGTCTAGTTCATCTGTCTGATGAGAGCGTTGATGTTCTCCTCACGGTTACCAGTGTCACCACCCTCGATGTAGTGCTTGAACTTGCGGGTACGGAAGCCACCGGTGGGGTTGGAGAGCTTGAAGGGCCACAGGAAGTTGTTGGCCTGCTTGAAGTTGGGGCCAACAGTGTAGATCTCGTGGATCAGATCCTCCATACAGACAATGCCGTACTTGCCGAGGTTCTCCTCGATGACCTGGTTGTCGGTGAGGGGAACACGCTGCTTGTTGACCTTGCCGTATCCGCGCTTGTAGACGAGCTCACGGACGCTCTTGAGGTTGGGGTAACCGTAGGCGATGTAGGGGTTGATGATGGTCAGCATCTCCTGGGTGGCCTTGGTGAGGCGGATGAAGGTGCCGTTGTTGATCTGGAGCAGACGGAGCAGCTGCAGGATCTTACGGGGCTGAGGAGAGATCTTGTTGATACTGTTGGATCTATTAGCAATCTGGTTTGGCTCAATCGAGCACGAATAGCAACATACCCCTTGATACGGACAACGAAGACCAGCTTGGGCTCATCAGCAACGTAGAAGTTGCCCTGCTGGCGAGCGACACGAGCAAGGCGGATCTTCTCACGCTCAGCATCGCGGTACTCCTTGACGTAGGACTCGGCGCGCTTGAAGATGGCTTCACGCTTCTTCTTGCTGGCCTGATTCAAAACGAGTCAGCGACATGTTTTCTCCAACACAAGATTATAAACAGATGGGAGTAAAAAAGTATTGTCAGCCCCGAAAGATGGTTAACGAAGCGACAGCATCGACCCGTAGGTCTAGTCGCGTAATGGTGTGCTATCATCATCCAATTGATTTGCAAATGCGAGAAAAGAAAATTTTGAATACTGACCTCCTTCTTCTTCTGAGCCTCCTCACGGGCAACAGCGCGAGCCTGCTCCTGGCTCTTGCGCTTCTTCAGGAGGGTCTCAGGGACGAGGACCTGGTCCTGGGTGGGGACGGTGCTGGTGAATGTTAGTACAGTCTGCCCATGCGATCAAACGAAAGCAAGTATTCGCCGAGTGTAAGAATTGCAGCTATAGCGCCACATTCTCAGACTGAAGGCATAGATAAAAACTCGACGACATCCATTTTATCGGTGAGGTAAAGCATTGCACAGACATGTTGTGAAATTCGATGCAGTTACTAGCACGAGCATTCTCAGCCCGGTCTTCGCGCATCACCACGACAATTGACAAGTTTTGATCCTCAGCTGACAAGACCCCAAGCATTACGCTCGGGAAGTTATGTCGAGGCCGTTCGCAACAACTGCCCACAACCTGGTTCCAGACTGGGAGCAGTGACACGATAGCTCACAACAATAGATTTCAAGGAGAAAGCCAAGAGCGCTTTCAACCCCAACACCCCAGACGAGTCCCTAACCACCGGCTTCTTCTCAGTGTGCACCAAGATCCAAGCTCATGGCCAGAGACACAAATCATGGGAAAAATCGAGCTGGTGCCTAGCGACCAAATGTTGGTCGCAGCATCTCCAGCGAGAAGGACGACTATGAACTGAAACCTTACGGGCTCGCAAAGCGAAACCGCTAGAAGGAATCAATCAAAGGGTATCATACAAAGCAGTCGAGGCCATTGCGACGGTCCGTTGATTCGCGATTTGGGCGGTTGGCGAGGTTGTCGGAGAAGAGAAAAAGTTCGAGGATGAAAAGCGTTCAAGAAGAAAATCGGTTGTGTGGGTGGATCACCCGAGCTAGCCCGGATGTAGCTAGACTCCAGCTGCATCCTGGCCTTTCCACCTTGGGAAGAGTCTGCCCTTATCTAATCAGGGCAAGCCTATCACATGACTATCTAGATAACGGGCTGGGCCATGACAACATCTCCATAAGTAGTAGTTCATCACTGGACTCAACTCATACCCCGCGCTTACAAGCATTCAGATAGCCTCCCGATTCCTAGACAATATGTCGACCCGCCGAGGCGTTGGACTTGGTGCTTTCACAAACCGCAACCAAACCGTTCAATCATATGCGACACATGGCGCCAACCTTCGCTCCGCGCACCTTTCCTCCCTCCAGACCCAGCTGTCCGTCTTCCAGTCTCTCCTCCACACCTTTGCCCTCGAGCACAGCTCAACGATCAAGTCGAACCCGACATTCCGGGCTGAATTTGCGCGCATGTGCAATGCCATCGGCGTCGATCCTCTGGCAGCGAGTAACGTTAAAGGGAAGAATGGCCGGCGAGGAGAGAGCGGTAGCTTCTGGACGCAGATCATGGGCGGTGATATGAACGACTTCTATTTCGAGGTTGCGGTACGGGTTGTGGAACTCTGCCGCGCAACGAGAAGCGAGAACGGCGGTCTGTTAGGCGTGGAGGAATGTCGGAAACAGGTTGGCAAGGGCAAGGCTATCGGGAGTGGTCTGGAAGTCACTGAGTATGATCCTTTAATTTCCCCCCTTGCACTAAATTTTCGATAACTAAAACTGCTCCTGGTAACAGTGACGACGTCCTTCGCGCCGTGAAGTCACTCGGACCACTGGGGTCTGGCTTTTCCATCGTCCAGGTCGGAAGCAAGCAATATATCCGTTCAGTCCCCAAGGAGCTGAACACGGACCAGGCGACAGTGCTAGAGGCCATTCAGATACTCGGCTACATCAGCATCTCCATGTTGCAGCTGAACCTGAACTGGGAAAAGGCTCGAGCGCAAACCGTAATTGATGATCTCGTAGCGGACGGCTTAGTTTGGGTCGATGCGCAGGGTGAAGAGAAGGAGTACTGGTCTCCCCAGAATCTCCTGGACGATAGCGGATGAGAACACCGCTTTCTCTGGCTAGTTCGATCAGTCACGAGAACAACCCCTTTTGACCCATTACGACAGCCGCTCCGACTTCAGCATCGTTCGGACGTGGAATAGTCGTCCCCTCTCACTGCTACAGGAATGTATGAAAAGCACACGGGTCCTTGCACGGGTCCCTTCGAGCAGTAGCAGGCAGCCCCGGGCTATATGAGCCCTGTTGAACTGGCATCATCCGATGACATGTTGCGAGCTACATGCTTGAATCTCTTAAGCCTCTTAAGTTGGGCAGAGTACACACCGAGCTATGTCTGCATGCTTCTGCTAGCATTCTTGTGTGGTTAGATATAAAGCAGACACTTGGACATGAGTAATCAGAGAGATGACCAAGGGAGCTAGCTCCCAGTCCTCGATTTCCGAATTATCCATCAATATATATTCCGTAACGATATTGGTGAGATTATATTATGTGATTCATTATCAACATGCTATACTATCTATTTGCTAGAACTTCATTCTACACTGTTCTAACGTGCGCCGGCCGATTTCAGGCCCCAGGAACACAACTCTAGCATACGACCAATTTAAATTAATTAAATGAAAAATTTTCACTCTCTGTTCTCATTCAGTCTAGACATCGAATCATCTGTGGAATATGAAAATAGGGGCATACATAAGATGATAGAGGAGAGGAACCGACAGCAAAGCGTCGACAAGAAAGCACACAATCATACGCAGTTTGTATTCCCGAGACAGAGCATTAAACCATGAGGAAGGAAAAAAAAAGAAGAAAGAAGAAAAAAGAAACAGGATGCGATGCCATTATAAACAGATTTTTCCCTTTCCTTTTTTTTTTTATGAAATTTAAGCCTTGATAGCTCCGCCCAATGCACCACCGCCAAATTGCTGGCCGCCAGGACGACGGCCTTGTTGGCCGGGGAATCGGGCACCGCCACGAGCATGGCCTCCACGGCCGCCACCACGGCCACCACGGGCGCCGGCGCCCTGATCGCGCTGGAAGGCATTGGCCATACCCTGGGTGCGCTGCTCGAGGGTCTTCTCGTTGCCTTCGAGGAGGGCCATGGACTTGTCGGCGAGGGTGACGATCTGGGACTGCAGACGCGACAGCTCGACGCCCTTGCGGAAGACGATGGCGCCGTTGACCTGGTCGAGGGCGGCGGCCAGCTCCTCGTGCGAGATCATGCGGCTGATGATGGCGGAGATCTTCTTCTCGGAGAGCTCGAACATGCTGGCGAGGGTGGCGACGGAGACGCTGTCATAGAAGGGGGCGTAGGTGAAGAGGTAGGTTCTCAGACCCTCCTCCTGGATCTGCTGGGAGAGCATCTCCTTGATCTTCTCGGGCTGGGGCATGAGCTCCCAGATCTTGATCGAGTTGAGCATCTCGGCGGCCTTCTTCCAGTCGCCTGCGGCGAGGAACTTGGCGCTCATGATCACACCGTCACGGGTGTTCTCGGCGGGGCCGGTGAAAACCTGGCGCTCGTTGTAATCCAACATACGGCGGAAGGTCTTGGAGATGACACGGCGCTTCAGCTCGGGGGAAGAGGAAGTCTGGGCCATCAGAGGCACTTCGAGGAACATGCTCGATGTGAGGTAGATGCACTCGAGAAGCTCCAGGTTGATGTGCATGTGGAAGGGCAGCTGGCGCTGGCGCTCCAGGCGCTCCTGCTCCGGCGAGACAGTGGAGTAGCGCTGGAGGATGATACCCTGGGCCAGAAGCTCCTTTTGACGTCCACTGCCGCAAACCTCAGAGAGAGTGTTCTGGGCCTCGTAGATGAGACCGGCGCGGAAAGCGCACAGACCAATCTGGACAAGGGTGCGGTTGAACAGGATCTGAGTGCTGACGTCGAAGTTGGAGATGTTCTCGGTCAGATGGGACATGAGCATCAGGTCACGGGCGCGGTAGTACTGGTCGTGCAGGGCAAGGAAGTAGATCTGGCACAGCATGGCGCGGGCTCTGATGATGCCATCACTGTACTGGAACAGGTAGTTGCAGAGTGTGAGAACCAGGTTCTCGACATCGCCCGTCTTTCCACGGGGAGTGACGCCAGAATCCAGTTCCGAGGGGAGGGCCTTCCAGGTAGCATCTTCGAGGATCGTGATGACCTGAGAGGGCTTGAAGTAGACGTGCTCCAAGCGTCTCATGACCACTCTGTTGACACTGTCCTGCTTAGGGTCGCTCTTCTCGGCCTTGCTCAATCCTTCCACGTAAGCTTGTGCGCGGACGAGACTGGTGTACAGCTGCTTCTCGTCGCTCAGGCGCTCAATGTACTCAGCGGTGTGGGGATCGATGTGTTGCAGGGATCTCGTGAGTTCGTCGTCGAGTCTCTCAGCGTACGAAACAACGCTGCCGGGGATGTAGAGGGTCTCGCCAGCGGCGACCTGGGGCTGCTTCTCGTCATCTTCCCATTCGTCGACACCTTCGGTCACGACGTAGTCGCGGTTGTTCTCCAGAACGGAGAGCAGGGAGGAGAAGTCTTGTTCAGCAGACTTCCACATTTCGGGAGCCATGTAGTTGGCGCTGGATGTGGATGTGAGGTCGAAGCGGGTGGAGATGAGGGTGAGGTAAACGCGGATACGCTGGTAGGGGTTCTGGGCCACCTCCAGAAGCTTCTCCATCGTCCGGATCTGCTCGAGACGATCTGTGTTCTTCTTTCCTCGCGACTCGACAATCACGCGGAGGTGTTTCAGGATGCTCTCGGGAGTGTACTGGAGAGTCTTGCCGCCGCGGCCGACGGTTGCGAATCCCTCATCATCGGCAACAGGAACATCAACAGGAGCCTCAACGCGCTCCAACTTGGCGACACGGGGAGCAGCAGCTGCAGGGGCGGCGGCTTCGTCCTTGCCCTCCAAGAAGGCCTCCTTGTTCTTCCGATACTTGTCGATCAGGTTGGCGTAGTCCTTGTTGTTCTTCTTGATACGTTGCTTGACGGCATTGAAGCCCTTGGCGTTGCTGGCGTTCAACTTCTTGTCGCCAGACTTCTGCTTCGAAACGGTCTCGTTCACGAAATCCTCAAGATCGGCAACACCCTTGATGTAGACTCTGGGCGTAGGGCCGGCTTGCGTGATCTTCACAATCTGTCGGTTCAGCTTGTCAAACTCTACAAATATCACACGTCAGTAACCGATCAGTCCGACCCCGCCCCCTCCAACGAAATCCCCTCTCCCGAGATCCACGCGAGTATATCGGTATGGAGGAAGAAGGTAAAAAAACGCACCTGTCGAAATAACTGCCCAGTCGTTGATCTTCTTGGCGTTATCGATCAGCTTCATGGTGCTCTCGAGTTCCTCCAGTCGCTTGTCCTTAGCACTCTTGACGACCGTTGTTTTCTCCTCGTCCTCGCTCTCCTCGCTTTCCGACATATCTCTCATGAAACGTGCGGCACCGGTCACACCACCCTCCTCATCATCGGAGCCCTCCTCCGAAGTCTCCTCCTCCTCGCTGGATTCCTCCTCCTCCGACTGCTCCTCCTCATCGCGCTCGTAGAGCTCCTCCTCATCAGAGGAGCTGCTCTCGCTGTCGCTGCCACCGCCGTAGAAGAAACGCGACATGTTTGCGGGTGGGGGGTTTTCGTTTTAAATCCGGAACAAAAATTCTGGGAAGGTCGCGGGAAAGAGGGTGCGAGATGTGGCCGTCTCGGAGTTTGCGGATTTGAACAGGGTAGAAGCGGCCGTCTGAATTCGAAGTTGACCCGGTGCCTGATGGCAAATTCAGTTGTGAAGTGAGGGTTCCGAGCCGCCGCGAGTTTGGCCGCGCGAGCCACACACGAAATTTAAGCGAGTCGGCACCTAACCGTATATGGTAGTTTGCGCGGTTTGCAGGCCTTCTTTCCCCGCGAGTCTTTGTCTCCAGGAGAACATTCGGAATGCCTCATTGTTCAGTATCCTGTCTTTGATTTCTGATCATTCGAAATATCTCGATATGTTACTTGCTCTATAATTATTTCTACACTGGGCTGTTTGGGCTTGCTGATGATGCGTTGCCGGGTATGCATTACAGTGGCGACTTCATAAAGTCCAGTCCAGATCTCGGCTGTTGGACTCGACTGTGTCTATCATGAACAGACATGATTGAACATGAGTCATTCATTCTCACTGATGCAGGGAGCTGACTGTTACTGTGACGGTGTTGAGTAGTGACCATATCTGATTGGCGCATACACAAGGGAATGTACGATGCGAGATCACCAGAAAGTTTTTGCTAGGTTGCAATCAGGAGCATGACTTCATTTAGATCTCTCCGTCGTCTGAGAGTTCAGAATGAGATATCCAAGCTATATCAATGCCTTAATCGAACACATAGCAACATGAAAGGAGACATAAAGCATAGAATAACAGCAGGGGAATACGAAGTGGCCTCGCCGAGGAGAAGCACATTGAAAATTAGAAAGATGGAACATGACAGGACAAAAAAAGTAAACAATGAGATTGCCACGAAGATCCATCTTGGGCAGGATTTCACCCGCATATACAAGGATGGTCTCGACGGGAGCGACTGGTTGAATAAGGGATAGGTGCAATCGAACGCCGAGGTTCGATCTTAGAGAAATAAGAATTTCTTCACCGGATAAAGCCATACTCAAATCCGAGGGAACTTCTTCCGCTCGATTGATCTCAAAAGGCTTTCTTTGCCCAGTGGAGGGCGATGGTGTTACAATATAGATGACTCGCCTGCCCGCTCGACCTTCATCAAAGGGAAGATACCGTCTCAGCCCACGTGCTCACAGGCGACTTCTGACAGAGTGCCAGGCTTTCGCATGATAATGATGATGATTGACAGGATCTCAAGCGTCATGTTGGCAGGTCTGCAGTATCAAAGAAGAAGGGAGCGAGAAGAAAACAATCGAGCAAGGTACCAAATTCCAAGCAACATAGGAAGAGGACTCGAAGTAGCTCTGCGCACCAACTCCCATGGAGCAACGCACCTGGAAAACATACTCGCTCGATAAGGAGAATGTTGACGATAGACAGCAACAGACTCGCTTATAGAAGACAAGCAGTACGGCTGACCGCTTCAGAGAACTGCGCAATCAGTGCCACTGACCTTGACTCATATAGTTGTCACCACCGAGAACGCCGTCCTCAAGGGTCCGAACGAAGTCTCGATTGCGCTGTCCGGTAGCGCCAGTGCGGCTTCCCCGACGTCTCTGCGCATTGCTATCCACGTACCCATCAGGAGGTGGCGGGTAGTACGCTGGACTGGGTTGAAGTCGGATTGGGGCATTGGGGTCCAAATGACTAGCAACGCGCTGTATAGTGGGCGGAATGCCCGCCCCTTGATGATCCATAGTAGATGCACGTTGACGTCCAGCGCGAGTAGTTGCCTGAGCATAGAGGCTCTGAGACGGTGCGTACTGGGACTGAGGCATTTGGCCTGGGATTATGTTCATCTGATGACCGTAGCCTGGCGGTTGAGTGGGGTACGGAGGAGGGGCACCTTGTTGATGGCCCGTGAACATGCCATTGTACATGGGGGGAGGCTGAGCATGTGATGGCGTGTGGAATTGGTTCAACTGCATTGAATATGCGTTCTGCGCCGCTGACTGTGCATGCGCCGCCTGGGCTGCCCGTTGTTTGCTTGCAGCCTCAGCCTGCTGTTGCTGCTGGATCCCGGGGGCAATGGTTTTGTTGAGCGAGGAATATTTGAGGTTCATTGGCGGCACGAAGGGACCGGTAAACTTTTGCTGCGTAATGAAGGGGTGGAGTTTGGCTTGCTGCGGCGACCAACGCTCGAGAGGATTAATTGAGAGCAGCCCACGAACAAAGTCGATGAAAGCCACCCGATTGTTCAACTCTGGAGACATTGTTAGCGAATGAGTAACCGAAACCTTATCTCATCTGGAGTCACAAACCTCGCTCAATTTCAGCTTGTTTCATGTTTTTCCGAGGCATTGGGTAGCTTCGGATGATCTCCTCCAGTGTAGATGCTTGGAAGTACTTCTTGCTCGGTTGTTCTTTTGTATTGTGTTCCCGAGAATATTGTTCCAAACTCTTCAGGCGGTACGTCTTACGACCAAACTCATCCTGAGTTTTCTCGAAGAATTCGCCAGACTGCTTGCCCATTTCCAGCATCCATGTCGGAGGCAAGCCTAGCATTTCCACGATCCGACATACCTGATTGTACTCGGAAGAGCCAGGGAAGAGGGGCAAACCGAGGAAGAGCTCGACGACAATGCAGCCAAGGGACCACATATCGATAGCGGAGGAGTACCTGCACAGGTTAGCTTGATGCAGTTCTCTGAACAGGGGAGTATACATACGGTAGACCTAATAGGACTTCAGGAGAACGGTAGAATCTTGACTGTATATACGTGTAGACCGTTTGTCGCTCGTCGCAGGCCGACCCGAAATCGATGACCTTGATAATTGGACTCTCCAGACTGGGAATCCATGGTTAGCACTTGAAATCATGCTCAGCACACGGGGGATAGCTCACTTTTTCAATAATATATTCTCAGGTTTGAGATCACAGTGAATCAAATGAGCCTTGTTCAGAAGGCTCAACGCATTCAGAAGCTGCTGAGCAAACACACGGACCAGGGTCGTGCTCAGACCGCGGAATTGATTTTGTTTGATCAATTCATACAGGTTGACGCTGAGCAATTCGAAAACCAGACAGAGATGCTGCCGGTGGATGAAAGTGTCTTTCAATCGAAGCAGGTGGTGGTCGTCGTTCTTGTCATACTTGCTGTTTAACTGCAGAAAAAAGGATTAAAATAAGTCTAAGAAAAGGCCATTGAAGGGTCTTTACCAGATCCAGAACCGAGACTTCCATCATACTCTGATTGAAGTATGCGGTCTTGTTCTTGATGACTTTGACAGCGACAACTTCTTGCGTTTTCAGATTTTGGCACTTGACGACTTGGCCGAATGTACCTTGGCCCAACACATCCAGAATAAGGTAGCGGTTTCTGCGAAAAAGAGATCAGTATGGAAAGAATATGTGGGAAATCATGCGCGGAAGGAGCCGATGACGGCAGCTTACTTGTGACCTGCTTCTTCGCTGCCGAGAATGTCGTTGACATATAGAATGTAGTCACTGTCCTCGTTATCGTAGCCATCATTTTTTACCCCTTTACTAGGCTTCGTTAAAACACGCCTTGGGTTGCGCGAGGACTCGTAGTTGAAGCCAGGATTGCATATGCGGTAGGTAGCCGGAAGGTGGGTTGTCAGTGCTTGAAGAGGCTGTGTTAAACTCCGTCAGCCACTTTCACAATTGAGAACGGACTGAAAATTACTAACGCTGATGAAGCCACCTTCTGGATTGGCACGTCTGTACGGAGGCTGCTGATGAATGCGGGGATGGAGCTCTTGAACCGATTTGATCTTGTGGAACTTGGGCACCGGTCCTTGACCTGGTTTGTTGCTCGCACCAGACAGCGATGCCGACCGGAGCGATCTCCCATCTGCTCCGTAGGGAAGGTTGGCCTGAGGTCCTGCTGGCGGAGGGTAGAATTGATCGGCGTTCATCTCGGTCGATTGCAACGGGGGAAGCCGAGGAGCACGCGAGGCAGCTATTAGGGAACCGAACCGTCAGACGTTATGGATCGGTGCGCGCATCACGGAGAAAGTTGGCACTTACACGGAGGCGATTGATACGCTTGCGGAGGTGAAGTATAATTGGAAGCTCTTGTGGGCGACCGGCGGGAATTGTTTGGTCCGGGAGGGAAAGCATACGAGTTCTGCGACTTTCCAGGACTAGTACTGTAAGACATGGCTGGTGACAGAGCGTTCATCGGGGAGTACCTTCGGGCGGCCGAGGACTCCTCAGGGGAGAAGAACTGGGACGAAGGACGACTGTGATGATTTGGCCTCGTCGAGTATTTGGCGCGGTTGTACGGATCCGCATCCTCCATCGTCGTGTCCGCATCGGTGACATAATCCCGACTACGTGGCGTTGCGGCTGGAGACGACGCCATAGACACCGATTTGGAGTTTGCACCGGCCGAAGGAGGTTTTGCTGCTATTCCGGGCGTCTGGAAGGCCTCGTAGGTGTATCCCACCGGTGGCTGTGATTGTTGTGGCTGACCACCATATTTGGGTGCGAGCTGTTGGGGCGTCGACGCCAATCCATTATTGAACTGCGCAGGCTGCCCCATCAAGGGATCCTGATATGGCTGCCACTGAGACCCCATCCTTCCTCAGATCCTCCCGTCACAATACCTCTCGAAACTTGAGGGGGGGAGTTGACGATCGAGAATCAACGATCGTCTGCCGGTATTGACAGCGCACATGCACAGCGATCGGGGGGTTTTCTGTAGATAGCAGCAGCGCGGGGTGGGGGAACGGCAGATTGCAGCACGGAGCGCGCGATGAAGCGAGGAAAGGCGCGACAGAGCAGGCAACTAAGAATCGATTCGGAAGAATTGACGTTATCAGTGAACTGTCCCGTAGTTCATCATCCGAATGATCGAGTTCTTCTGGTGGTCAAAGTCGAGGTGCACGGGCGTCTGTCCACTGGGAGGCGGTCGCAGCCCACAATAATGACGGGGGCGGGTATGACAACCAATATCGGCGTAGCAGCAGCTGACTGACACGCGGAAGGGGGTTTTGTGAGGACGCAACGAGGAATGCTAAGAACAACTGCACAGGCGCAGGAAAGAGGTTCTTTTATCTTTTTCTTTCTGGAAATGCAATCTAAATAAGAGAAGCAAAATGCAGAGAGAGAGAGAGAGGGAGAGGGAGAGGGAGAGGTAGAGAGAACAGAATATTCCCTCGAAATGGCCCAAGCAGACGTGCAGTTTGCGGAGGGGTGGTTTTTGGGAAGAGACTAAAAGTAACGAGAGAAGAGAAATGGATGATGGACGATAGATCGATGGATGATGCCTCAGGCTGCAATTGGGCTGTGGTCGTCGCCGGGAAAGGCAAAACATATATATATATATATATATAATAAGAAAGACGCTGATCTCACGACTTTTGGACAGCAAGGGCCGGAGATGAAAACATCCTGGGACTCTGGGAGATTGAATCTTGCTGGCAAGGCTTGCTTATATAAAAAGAAATTGAAGGAAGGGGCCGCTACGTAGTAGATATCTGAATATGTTAGTTGATATCCGGATAGATTTGTTTCCTTTTTTTTTTTTGTTTTTTTTTTGTTTTCGTCATGATACCTACCCATTTCCAAGGCGAAGAAGATCTAATTACTAGTAATAATATTTAACAATGTTGTCTGCCTTCTTTTTCTCGATCCCCTTGTCCCCAACCAACTGTATGGATGATCTGTGGAGGCGACAAGCACAAGCACAAGCAGCACTTAAAGGCCCAACTCACCATACTTGAAAAAGCGACCTTTGGTATGCACGATATACAGGACATTTTATCCTATCAATCGAGATACCCAGCAATGTCTGCAAGTCCCTAATTACCGTAGTATACCGTTGAAGATATACATATATATTGGTATGTGATTACGTAGGGGCCCAGTACTCTCGCCGCTTGCAAGGCACCCACTGCTTGATGTATGGGGTATTGTGTTAACACAGCCCGAGTCAACAGGACATGATAGCTACTATATTCATATTCATATTCATATTCATATTCATGCCTATAAATGATGATTGTATTTTCCTAGAGCATGTGAGGATCAATCTACTCTGGTGCCTAGCAACTATTAGTAACTACTAACTAGATATCTAGTACAGAAATGAACCTCACTCTTCATACATAGATCAGGTTGTGCCCAATGCTTTCCATAATAATAGGCCCAGAAGGCAGAAGGACCACAGCCAAGGCTAAGAGGGATGACGCAAGTGGAAAAAGTGTTTAAGTAATCGGAAAATACAGCCAAGTAGTGAAGGCGGTCAGTTTAGGCGGCAGAGCTGTGAAATCTTTCTGCCAGCGTTATTCCTGTAAGATTGTAGAGAGGCTCCTCGTGTTGGTCTCTACATTGATCTTGGGAGCAGGTCCCTTCTTTATTGTGTGAACTTTCCCCTAAGGTTTTTATCTGCTACTGTGCTGTGACAAGGTGGCTCTGAATTTGTCGCTGTTGTCCTGGTGGGATCAGCATTGTCCAGGGGCACCGCCGCCCGACTCATAGATCCTTGATAGTGAATACGCTGTGACGCAGCGGTGTTGCCCGGTGGTTGCTGCACTGTATCTTCCCATGATGTCCATGTAGACTTGATTGGTCGAGAGATACTGCAGCTGATCGTTTTGAAGAGCCATCTTTGAGATCCTCGTTCTCTCACCGCCATGGATCTCGAAACGAGGAGCCAGGACGATCCCTCGGCCGAATCCGAAGTCCTTGAGGCTCAGCGAAATACTGCAGATACTAGTGCCTCCAATACTCCCGACGCGGTGATAACGTCCTGTCCAGTAAAGGCGGAACCAGATGGGTCTGTTCCAGGTACAGACGAGGCCAGTCGTCTCCGCGAACTCCAGGCCGACATTCGCGATCAAGATGATCTCGAACGGGATATATCGCGTCAGGTGCATACTCTCCACAAACTACATTCTAAATCACTCTTTCTCTGACTGTATCAAGGCCGACAAATTGCTCATGGAGCAAGCGGATGAGCGAGACCAAAAGAGACTGGAGAAAACGACACTAGAAAAAAAGTATGCGTTCTCCCCTATCTATATCTGTGAACGGAGACTCATGCGTGCATGCTTAGCAAGCTCGAGGTTCAGATTCTAAAACTTCATCAGCGACTGTCGCAGCCAGTTGGCACGTCTGCTAGAGTTCGTCTAGAGAACGAGCTGAGCAAACTAGAATCTCGCAACTCCTCCTTGGAAAATGACTTGAAGGAAATTCAACAGCGTATGGATGAGAGACATGAGGGTTTGGAAGCTGGTATACAGCCAACGAGGACCGGCCGTATGCCGAATGAGTCCCGCCGAGACTACCTCATCCGGACTGGAAAAATTACTCCGTTCTCGAGGATGGGTGTTGGCCCCAATGAAGGTCCTCTTGCCAGTCTGCACGACGCTCTCATCGATGCGGAAGATGAACGCGACGAGAAAGAGGCACTGGAACAGCTGAAGGATCGTTTAACTGTCTCGCACCGAAACCTCGTGCGCCCTGGATTTGACTTTGACGAAAGCGCTGAATCGGAAGTCGCTCCTGTAGCTGATCGACCGAAGAAACGACGGAAGCTGGAACAAGCTGCTCGCCGGAAGGAAAAGAAGCCTCGGACACGCGAGGAGTCTGATTCTATGGGAGCTGACGAAGAAAGTCAGGATGAAGATGAGTCTGCAGACTATGTAGCATCTGAGGATCAGGAATCTTTATCAGAGGACGAGGAAGACTTCTTTCCAGAAGGAAAGCCAACACAAAGGGCCAGGCAGAAAGCAACAAAGACAAGCGATGAGATGGAAGATTTCGCTGGGCTGGATGATGGGGACGAAAAGGTCTATCAATCTAGAATTCAGAGTTGGGTCAGCCGGAGGAGTGCGGCTCGGAAGCGTGCGTCTAAAGAACTCAAAGCCGAGCCAGACGCTGAAGCTATCGTTGACGAAGATATCCCCACCGAAGAAGAGGAGTGGTTCATGCCACATCCCACTGTACCGGATGTTTCCTACGACAATGGATATCGGTTGCCAGGAGATATCAACCCGTACCTCTTCGATTACCAGAAAACCGGGGTGCAATGGCTGTGGGAACTATACCAGCAGAAAGTGGGCGGGATTATTGGTGACGAGATGGGTCTGGGGAAGACCATCCAAACCATTGCTTTCCTGGCTGGACTTCACTACAGCAAGAAACTTGACGGTCCGATTATTGTTGTCTGTCCTGCGACGGTTATGAAGCAATGGGTCAATGAGTTCCATCGCTGGTGGCCGCCGTTCCGCGTGTCTATCCTGCACACCTCTGGAAGTGGTATGATTAATATCCGAAATGAGAGTAGCAGAGAGGATGCACTATTATCTCAGTCCTATTCCTACGGCAGTCGCGCGCTGACCAGCAATCAGAAAGCCGCAAGGAAGGTTGTCAAGCGTGTGGTAGAAGAAGGCCACGTCCTGGTTACCACTTATTCTGGCATACAAACATATGCTCCCTTTTTGATTCCAGTGGAGTGGGGATGTGCAATTCTTGATGAAGGCCACAAGATTCGAAACCCAAACACATCCATTACGATTCATTGCAAGGAACTTCGCACTCCACACCGGGTCATTCTTTCAGGCACTCCTATGCAAAACAATTTGACGGAGCTTTGGTCGCTCTTCGACTTTGTCTTTCCCATGCGTCTCGGAACCTTGGTGAACTTCCGGAACCAGTTTGAATTCCCCATTCGGCAAGGCGGATACGCAAATGCATCCAATCTACAAGTGCAGACGGCTGCCAAGTGCGCAGAGACGCTGAAGGATGCGATCAGCCCGTACCTTCTGCAGCGGTTCAAGATCGACGTGGCGGCAGACCTACCCAAGAAAACCGAACAAGTCCTCTTTTGTAAGCTGACAAAATCGCAACGAGAGGCTTACGAGACATTCCTGAGGTCTGAGGACATGCAATCGATCCTCAAAGGACGCAGACAGGTTTTGTATGGCGTTGATATTCTCCGCAAGATCTGCAACCATCCAGATCTGCAGAATCACAAGCTGGAATCGCATCAGGTGGGCTATGGAAATGGTAACAGGTCCGGCAAGATGCAGGTTGTCAAATCTCTTCTTGAACTATGGAGAGATACCGGCCACAAGACGTTGCTATTTGCCCAGCATCGGATCATGCTGGATATCCTGGAGAAGTTTGTCAATTCGCTGTCTGGATTCAACCACCGCCGCATGGATGGCACCACGCCGATTCAGCATCGGCAGGCAATGGTGGACGAATTCAACAACGACCCAAATCTGCACGTTTTCCTCCTCACGACCAAAGTGGGAGGGCTGGGTGTGAACCTTACTGGTGCGGACAGAGTGATCATTTACGATCCGGATTGGAACCCGTCGACAGATGTACAGGCTCGCGAGCGTGCATGGAGACTTGGCCAGAAGAGAGAAGTCAGCGTGTATCGATTGATGACTGCGGGAACCATTGAGGAGAAGATATACCACCGACAGATCTTCAAACAGTTTCTGACCAATAAGATTTTGAAAGATCCCAAACAGCGGCAGACTTCCTTTCAACTGAGTGACCTGTACGATCTCTTTTCGCTAGGGGATGAAAAGCCGGGCTCTACGGAGACCAGTAAGCTCTTCAAAGATGCAGAGGTCACGTTCCAGGGAGACACCGACACCAGTGGCCAGCAGTCTGCTGGCTCGCAGAACGCCTCAACGACGGCGCACGAGGAGAAGAAAGATATCCGCAAGGTGGTCGGTGTCTCGTCCTTGGAAGACTACCAGGGCGAGTCAGAACAGCCTCGTGATCCAGACAAAGGAGCTGGAGCGGCCAATTCCGAGTCACGTATCATGGAGGGTATCTTCGCTCGCTCTGGCGTACACTCCGCATTGGAGCATGATCAAATTGTGAACGGCAAGCGAGTTGTCCGGGCGGATCCCAAGATCATCGAGGCCGAGGCGAAGAGGGTAGCTTCGGAGGCCGCGGAGGAGTTGCGCCGCGCAGGCGAAGCAGCTCGTGCCGTCCCCATCGGCACCCCGACGTGGACGGGACAGTTTGGTGTTGCCGGCAAGCCCGAGGAAAGACCTCTCCCGTCTGCATTTGGAGGTAGAAGCAGCACCACGCGACGGACGGCGGCCGGCCCGTCGTCCGCCAGCATCCTCGCCAACCTCTCTGCGCGGGCGACGCCGCCTTCCCGCAGCCGCAGCGCCACGGGCAGCCCTGCACCTGGTAGGACCCCGACCGGGGTGGATTTCATGACGATGATCCGCGATTACATCCTGGCGCAGGGCGGAAGCGTCTTCACGCAGATGCTGATTGACCACTTCAACCGGTACTGCACCACACCACAGCGGTCGGCGGAGTTCAAGGAGATGCTCAAGACGATTGCGGTGCTGGAGAAAGGGGGACGGAACGGACGGGGCCAGTGGTCTCTGAAACCCGAGTTCGCTAAGAAGAACGTCGCACGGCCCTGATCCTTGATGGTCTATTCAAGATATCCGGCCTCAGATTCAGGTTCAGGCTCAGGCTCAGCTGAGCTGAGCTGTATACAGATCACGCGATATGAGCAATGACGACGGCCAGGAGTTTATTGGATTGCAACCCTGGATATCTCGACAAGGGACCTTTTTGGGCGCTGGGAGTAACGGAAACAGGAATCGATTGTCAGTGTAAATCACCTAATGTTTAAGTAAATATCAGTCAGCATGAGCGACATATCAGAAACCAGAGATACTTGAGACCTGCAGCCGTCATTCTTGGTCTGAGTATAGTGCTTTGAAACATGGCCTTTCGGGCATCCCGACACACTATACCAGCTTGCATAAGTTGACTTACCTGTGCTGTCATACCGCTATACAGAGTAGGATCTACAGGCGCAGGATGGAGTAGTTTTACTAGACGAGTGACAGGGATGCGAGGATGATCATGATATCAAGCAGGAGATCAAGCGATTTGTAACTATCACTGCGACGGAGTTGAAAGTTCCATCGAACAAGGTGAGCGGACTGGGGGGGTGGCGAATATCCGATTTGTATGGGGCAGGACGACAGGTTCTATGCATTAGTACTATTATCTATTATCTGGATTGTCTAAACGATCAGGTATGGGACGTTCCTGACTTCGTCTTTCCAATAGCTACCGCAATCATAATGACAATAATGGTCCTCCTCGCTCAAGCCTGGGGTATCGGAATGTGACAAACCGACCACTTACTGTGTACTCCAAAAGGTACAGTCGAGGTCAAAAAATAGAAGCGAAGCATTCACTACCCGCAACAGTGTCTCAGACAAAGTTCCAACAATATCTCGACACAAGTCACACTTGTGCCACTGCATCGTCTTGTCTCCCAGCTAAATCCAGGCTTCATGCAATCCTTCAAGCAGAATCAGACAATCTGAATGTAACCGTCAGAGACAAAAAAAGATGCGCGAGTCGTTGCCAATCCAATAGTAACCCCAACCAACCCCCCTCCCCCCGGTACTCCATATTTGTTTCAGAGGAGTTCACTATTAGGCTTGTCTCAGCCTTTGAAGCCCATCCCCCGCTTGTGCATTTACAGAGTACTGCATTCCCCAGCACCGGCCAACCACAGAACCAACTGCAGGAGGATCTTCCGAATATCTTCACTCTTTGCCTAGTTCGTCCGTGACATCCGCAGTTCCGTAGTTCCTACTCCGTAATCCTACGGGGCGTGTGATCGTCGGGGCAAAATTGGATCAGGAGTTCCTTAGCTTGAAGCGCGACCGTGGAGTCTCGTACCTTTTTTTTTTCCCTTGAATTTTGGTGGATATTGACTTGACTCGGTTGATAGATGGATACCCGAAAGAAGTATGGGGGGATTTTTTTTTTTTTTTTTGGTTGAATGTTATGACTTTAGAGGTACTATGGGGGAGGGATTATCCATAGTGTCATGTCAATTGCCTGAAATCTGGTAGTCCGAATACCCGATAGTTGATGACGATGGAGCCAAGTCTGTTTTGTGGAGAGCAGGTGAAGTTGTGACTTCGGACAAAGAAACACAAGTATATAAGAGGGAAGGGATATCTCGCCAGAGCTCTCTCTTTTTTTTTTGGTTCAGACAGAAACATTCTCTTGCACAGCCATCCGTCTTTCCTACAATTCACGCTCATCGCATTCCTACCAGGCAATCCTGTCCTTCGTTTTCAACGTGCTCGTCAAAATGAAGCTGTTTTCTACGCTCGCTCTGCTGGTCTCCGCCGTCGCAGCAACCCCCGTCACCACCCATACTTCCCGGGACGCAGAACCTTCCAAGCCCTTCTACCTCAAGACCTCGGGCGCCGCCAACGCCAAGCATAATGATCTCTATGTCTACGCCTACCATACCGGCGCCGGCTTCAACGACGCCGTCCTCACCCCCGATGTCAAATCCGCCAGCAAGGCGTCCCTGAACGGCACCTATGTCCAGTTCGACCTGAACACGCCTTTCCCTTGGGGGATGTACACGCCCGGCGTCACCAACTATGCTCGTGAGTCGCCCCAGCTCTCTTTCCTTTTTTTTCCCTTGGATAAAAGATTCCGTGATGGTCGGAAACCAATGCGTGGCGATACTAACCTCCTGCAGAATGGGCACAGGTCGGAATCAACACCGGATACGGCGATGAGGACTTCTCCATTAACCAAGATGGTCTGCAATGGTCAGAAGAGAAAGGCTTCGGCGGCTGGCTGGGTAAGCCACCTTCTCTATCTCTGCAAGAAAGTTGTTCCGGACGTTCCAACTAACCTCCCCCCGTGTAGTGTGTGATTGGTACCATGGCGCACCCCAGCTCTTCTATATCTACCGCTATTACGAGCCCGTTATCCCCTCTTCTTGCGACGCCGTCAAGCTCCAGGTCGAATATCTGTAAATAGATCCGAGAGAGAGAGAGAGCGGATACTGTCCGGTCGGCCGCCTGCTGTTACCCGGATTCGACGATGCGCATGGCGTGAGCGACGGTCTTTTCGAACCTCGACCCCCTTTGGGAAGGATATGAACCGCTCTTTTCCTTTTGAATGAATGGATTGGTATAGTGCACAGAATGATGGGGAGGGTGTATGCCTGGTTCAGCGATATTGTAATTCGTTTTGATGAGTCCATAATCATTGGTAGTCATTCGCTTTGTGAAGCTGTTGTTTTATATCAACGAATCGACGATCTTTGTTCATCATGCTCGTGTTGACATGGTCTTGTTTTGAGCAGAGGATTCATCTTGTTGGCATGGAGAAAGGCCAAATCCAATCTGCTTGAATCGTAGTCCTGGAAAGATCGAACCTGTAGGATACCACCAAGCAATTAATGACCACGATGCAGTCTTAGTAGCACATGCTGTGATGGCGTAAGAAGAGTTGATGATAAAACTGAGGACAAGAGTGGCCCGAGGTTGTCTACGAGAAAGACTAAGCTAAGACTGATGAATTATGATACGATGGTCGACGCCAAAAATAGCCCATCTCACTTGGGCCCGAAATGGTTAGCTCCCCTCCAGATCCTCTTCGCTAGTTGCTTCGATCTTCTCCCCCCGACTGGCCTCTTTTTTTTACCAGAACCCTTTTCCCCGTGCAGATAATTTGACTCGTTCGTTGTGTTGCTGCTGCTGCTGCTTCTTCATCATCGTCTTTCGCTGCACCACTAACTGTAGTTCTCGACCGTGGGATGCAGACTACTGTTTTGTGTTGATCTTTTCTGACCCGTCACTCGCTTTGTTTACCCAGCATCTTCCCCCCCTCTTTAGGACTGACTGTGTTGACCCGCAGGCGAGATCACCCGATCTGCATGTTTCACTGCTCCGCTGGCTTCAACAAGAATTGATTTCCATCCATCATTCATCTCTGAACACTCTTCTTGAATATCAATCCTCGATTGTGTTATCGTCGACACTCGTTTACGAAGCTACTAGCCCGTCGGACAAGAAGGCCTCCATCGACTACAAGGGACGCATCGTTCCCCTTTGCGTGACACAGACACAGCCGCAGAAACATCTACAGCAACCTCGTTCATCATGCGATCCTTCAGCTTCCTTTCTCTGTTGAGTCTTCTGCTCCTGCTGGGAACCATCTCGTCAGCCTGGTCAGGACAACAGGATGGTGTGGCAGTGCCTCATGGAGGAGTTGTAGCGAGAGCGGGTGCGTTCATCAAGGATTCCTTTCGTCTTCGTTCACCGCTGACTGGCTAGAACCGACCGCCACCGACGAGAAGAAAGCCGATGCGACCCCCACCGCGACCGAAAGTGCCCCGGAAGAAACAGCCAGCGACTCTTCCGAGACAGATTCTGCAACTGATTCGAGCAAGGGGACCAAGACGGCTACCGAGACCGGCACCAAAACCGGAACAGGAAGCACCACGGAGACAGCTACTGGCAAGTCCGACAAAACTGACAAGACCAGCAAGACCAAGACCAAGACGACCTCTATCGACCCACGTCTCCCTGCTGGCGGCATCTCGATGATCACCCCTACCGCGGGTGCTTCGTCCTACTACAAGATCGGTGAATTTGTGACATTTGCGTGGAACTACACCTCCCTGCTCGTGACGCCGTCCGCGGTCAACGTCCTCGCAACTTGCGCCAAGAACAGTGCAACCTACACCCTCTCGAGCAACATGACGGTCGAGCAGACCGGAAAAGTGGTCTGGGACACGGGCAAGTACCAGTCGAATGCTACCACGCCGCTGTTGACCGCGACCTATACTCTGTACGTGGTTGATATCGACAAGGATATCGGTGACGTTGCCGGTGCCGGCCACCTTGGCTCGCAGATTGGATACAGCTTCGGAATGTATTCTCCGCAGCCATATGTCCCTCTAAATGGTATAATTTTCAATCACTCCGCTGATTCTGATCTTCGCTAACACCTCTTGCAGAGTACAACTGCGCCACCTGCAACGGCGCCCTCTCCGAGACCGAACGACAGGCCCTCAAGTTCGTCTTTGGCATGGTCTTTATCACCATCGCCTCCTTCACCTGGTTTGCTGGTGACTTTGGTGTCTTTTCCACTTGAGCGCTCGCTTCCCACCCCCCGTACTACCACTGCATTTCCCTCCCCAGCGACTCTCTTCCTTCATATTCATGATAATAGCGATGTATCAGCAAGATTTGGGCCTGGCGTTTTTTTTTTTTTTCTCTTTCCTTTTCATTTCCCCCGCCTTTCTCTTGCATGATAAGGGTTTTCTTCCTTATTTCATTTCTCACTGTGTATTTTGCCTATCAGTAATCTTACCTTGGTATATGGCGGGGCTGCGTATATTGGACCACATATTGGTTGAGTTGATAATGACTGTGAATAGAATAGATTGATTGCTATGCATGCATATATCCGACGGTCTCATCATCATCGCCATAATCTCCATGATCAATCTGCAGAGTTAGATGTAGCTCAGATGTAGCTCAACAAGGAAAAGAGCCTCGTCCTTTGTCTACACCTCGTTTGTTCCTCCAACCGCACATATATCTTCCTGCATCTGCATACAACAGCGTCAAACAATGAACCCACACCATAACCAACAGGGACATGTAGCATGATGACCTCAAAACAACCCCCTTTGTCCATCCATCTACGCCATACCCATACCCATACCCATGCCCATACCTATACGCCCAAGATGGAATACAAATACCCCGTCACTTCGTCTATTCCTCCATCTCTCCATCCATCCATCCATCCATCCAAACCCCACCTCGCTCTCAAGCCCCCTCCCTATAATCCATCCTGACGATGCCCCTTTCACTCGCCTGCCCGTGGAGACCTTCACGCGCGGAACCGGAACCCGCAGAACCCGAAGAACCCGCAGAAACCATGGCTCCGACCTCGTGCCCGCCCCGCCGGCCGCGTCGTCGGCGCCTCCTCGATCTCGTCATGGGTAGAAGGGCGGGGACCGAGACGGAATCGAAGACGAGATTGCGCGATGGGTGCTGGGGGGAGGGTTCACCGTGCGCGGAGTGGGACTGTGTGTGTTGTTGTGGGTGTGGGTGTGGGTATGCAGTTTCGTGCGGATGTGAGGACGGATGTGGATGTGGATGTGGATATGGGTGTGAGGCGTCATCATTCCACTGGGCGAGAGGCGCGGCGGCGGAGCGGGATGGGTTCCTGACTGGGGATGGGAGTTGGGGGCTTGATTGTGGGTTGTGGTGTTGGGGGGAGGAATGTGATAGTGTGCGAGGGAGAGAGAGGGATGGGGATGGGAAGGGAGGGAGGAGGAGGAGAAGGAGAAGAAGGAGAAGGAGAAGGAGGAGGACGAAGGTGGTTTGGCGGAGGTATATGGACTGCGACGGGGAATGTTGTTCATACGGTGCATAGACGTGGAAATCTCTCTTTTTTTAGTCGAGGGGGGAAGGCTCAGCCTCAGATGCAGTCTGTGTGGTAGGCGTCCCACTGCAGCGACGATTCCTGTCCGTCGGAGGTGGGTTTGGGTTGGCGGATGGTGGGGAGCTGTGCGGCGCTGTTGGTCATTTTGCCGCATTTTGCGCAGGGGGTCTGCTTGACGGCTGAGTAGGCGGAGATCATGTCCTGGGGCGAATAGTTAGTACCCTCCCACCCAAGGGGGATCATCTTGTTTGAGATCGCGGTTGCATATGCTTCGATGTGTCGATTCAATGTGAGAAGATCAAATTTCGACTTACGAGAAGATGAGCGAGATCCCACTGCCGCGGCCGGGCGTTCAAGCACGCCATGATCCCCAACTCCAGCTTCGTCTTCGGTTTCCCGGGAACAGCCTTGTCCATGACCCGCCAGTCCGACACCCCGTGGCCCTCCCCATCCAACTCCTGGACATGCACCGTGATGCCAGCCTTGACAAGAACAACGGTAAGGACCGGCTGGTCCTTGCTCGGCAGCACGCGTACCCCAGGCACATTCCTCCGCACAAACGCCTCCACAATCGCCCTCCACCCGCCCTCCATAGCCTGGATCTTCGCCTGCTCCGCCTCCTCCTCAACCCTCTCCTCCTGCTCCTTCCTGCCGCGCTCCTCCCTCTCCATCTCCGCCAGCAGAACATCGTAATCCCGCTCCCACATCCCCGTCGGCTGCAGCAGCTGCCCCGCATTGGCCCGGATCCGCCCATCAACATACCCCCAGATCTCCTTCATCTCCGCGCTCTGCCACATCTCCTGGAACTCGCGCACCTCCGCGACGCCCGCCCGCGCCGTCTGCGCAAGCTGCTCGTACAGCACGCGCGGCGACTTCGGCGGCGGCCGCCGCGACGCTGCCCGCGGGTTCACGATCGGAACCACCGGCTCCAAGAGACGCTCGGGGAGGAGTGTCCGGAGTTGATGGATCTGGTCACAAGTCAGCTCCAGTGCACATCCACCTTGCAGCTGAAGAGGGGGGAGGGGGGGCCCGCGGCGGGGGGAACAACTTACCATCGCCTCCATTTTCTGCAGCTTCGTCAGCGACGCCACGTACTGCATCTCTGATGACCAGACCTCGCTCGATTCGGTGTTGACATGCGCCTCGGCTAGGTTTGGCACTGCGCTTGGGCCAGGTTCCAGTTTGGGAACCACCAGGCCCGCCGTCGGGGGCTTGGAGGTGTTTGATGCGCTGGCCATTTGATTAGGCGTAGAAGGTTGAAGAAGTGGAAGGCAAGCTGAACAGTGCTAATTTCTCAGGCAAGTATCCAACTTGGATGAAGCCAAATACGTCAAAGGTCAAAGTAGGTGCGAGACTTGTGAGTAATCAAATCAAAATGATCGATTGTTTTGTGTTCAAGCTCTGTGACAAAGGCGTTGCGGATCCGTTTGAATCAATCCCCCAGAACGCTGGTTTTCTCTCAATTCACAGGACCTAGGTTTATTTTGACGAGCTCCGGAAAGCAAGGTGTGTTGCTCCCTGATTTTGACGCGAATACTCAGCGTGAGTCTTCTACTAAGCTGGAGTTGGAGTTATTGCACGGTTGGACCTGATGAAGTCCAGCCGAGAATGCAGCGAATCATGGAGATGACCTGCGCCACATGACCAGCCACGCGTGGCGTTTACTCTGCTTTCCCAATACGGACCACTCTATAGGTACATCTACACTACTTCTCTCTTAGTCTGGTTGACGGTCGAGAGACTACTCAATTCCGATTCAGTTCGTTATTCATTGTGTCTGGTATAATCATAGTCACATGGTCAAATAAGTAAAGAGATCATAAGTCTCCGACCCATGACCCTGCTGCTCATTACGCCCACTACTTCAGTTATATCCCTTTGACGAATACAGTCGGATATTCACGCCCGTGTCATGCGACATGGTGAGATTCGACAACTGAATTGGCACCAGTAGCCCAGGATCGGCGTTCTCAATCGTATCGAACCGCTGCAGCAATTTCACAACGGTATAGCTGGCCTCAGTGAGCGCATATTGTTCTGTTCATGTTCATGTTAGCGGTGGCGCGTAGGTCATCAGACAGCGAAGAATCACTCACGACCAAGGCAGATGCGCGGCCCGCCGTTGAAGGGGAGATACTCCCAGCCGCGCCGACCGTTCTCTTCCCAGCGCTCCGGCCGGAATTGATCCGCGTCTTGGCCGTATAAATCCGTTCTGCGGTGCATGGCGTACACGCTGTATGTGACGACTGTGCCCTTGGGGACGTAGACGGGGGACTTCTTGTCCGGGCCACCGCCCACGGGCAGGCTTGTGTCTTTGTTGGCGACGCGGAAATTGGCCGGGACGGGCGGATTGAGACGGAGGACTTTATCCGATCCAGGTTAGTTCGTGTAGAGAGACTGTTGATGAACAAAGATAAAAAAAAAAAAAAGAAGGGACTTACCCTCGTTTAGCACATAGCGCAAGTACGGGATATCCTTGAGCTTCGTCTGTGTGATTTCGTTCCTGGGGTTCTCGCTATCCCCAAACTCCTCCACGATGGCGTGCCGAAGCTTGGTCCATACATTCGGATGGCGGGCGAGGTAGAAGAACGTGGAGCTGAGCAGACTGGCAGTGGTATCACGCCCCGCTAGGAGGATATTGAGCATATTGTCCCGCAGCACCTTGGGATTGTCGTTCTCGGCCGCCAGCGCCTCTGCGAAGATATACCGACCGCCAGACTGTTTCTTCTTCTCCGGGTTGCGCCGTGACTCGAGCGCCAGCTGGACGTAGTGGTCGACGACCTCGTGGACGCGCTTGTTAGCGTCGCGGAATTCCTTGGGATTGACCATCCAGTAGAAGTCGAGGGCGCGGGACCGCGTCAAGAGGTATTCCTGGGCCGTGTTGAACGCCTCAGCGAAGCCCTGCGCGTTCCCGACGGCGGATTTGCCCAGGAGGCCAGTGTCGGTGCCGCCGTGCAGCGAGCCCACGGATTCCCCGAACAGGAAATGCGTCGCCGAGTCGATCGTCAGGAGGAAGAACAGCCGCTGGATGTCGAACGTGGAGCCGTCTTTCGGGACCAGCTCAATGAGTCTGGATATATGGCCATCCATAAGATCCAGATCCGCAACCTAGACCCCATTAACCAAATCGCTTCTATCCGCATGAGAGAGAAATCTAATCACCTGATCGCGCGTAAACTGCGGCCGCAAGAGTCCACGCGCATGCGACCAACCCGGCCCATCCAGCGTGAAAATCCCATCCCCAAGTAACGGATAGAACTCGCGATGTCTCGTGCCGAGCCCGAAATCGTGGAACTGCGTCGCCAGCATCGCCTTGAGGTTCTCCGGCTCAATCGTCGACAGCAGCCGCCTGCCGAGAAGCACCTGTGTAAACGTGTTGCCGTACGTCCCATACTGCTCGGTGATGTGCTCAATCCATCGCTTCTCCTTCACGGCCTGGCCGAGCCGCAGGAAGGCCGGGATGCCAAAGAAGCCGGGGTTTCCCGAGGCGACGGGCTGGCAGCGCAGGGCGCGGGCCTGTTTGCGGTGGTGGTAGAGTTGCTGGAAGTAGCGCAGGATCAGGAAGGCGGCGTATACTGCGACCAGCAGTGTGACTGCGGGAGCCAGCATGATTTGTGTGTGTCACTGAGTTTGTTGTATCACTATGTCGTGCTAAGCGAAGACACCAGTCAGGAGGAGATCGAGATGGTGTTACATGGAAAAGATCCCATTGTTTTTTCGGGAGTCTGAGATGGAGACTTATATATATACTAATGACTATACCATACCATATTATTGACGTGACTCTTGATTAGTGACAGCCTAGAAAGCCCTTCGGTCAAGGCAGTTTGCCAATTGTTTTGTGATCAAAAAAAAGAGTCATCCTCGGGCCAGTGGGGCACGTGAGAAAGTCAAACCCATGAAGTTCCTGAGTTTCTACAGAGTACGGAAGTAAATAAAACAAACATGAATGGTCCAGCGATGCTCTGATCAACGCCAAGTCCCTGTCGCATCGCAAGCAGATACAAAAGTGGCTAGAAGGACTCAAGGAGTTGAAGAAGTCCGCAACAAGGATGAATTGTCCGCAAGAAATCGCAAGCATGTATGAATCAGGGCTAGTTCCAAATGTCAATTTCCCCCCAATTCCCCCCCTCCAACAACCCCACCATGAATGACTTTGTCACACTCACATCGTTCACTAATTCATCCGATCCCGAACCTGGAAACAGGGGAGCCATTGCTTCAGCGCCTGGATGAAGTATCCGCGCGACACGGCGGCCTCGGCGGTGAGTTTCAGGTCTGGACAGTGCACCGCGTTTTTCAGGATGTATCCGAACACCGTGTCTTCGCTGGTCGAGACTCCACATGCAGGGATCTCGGTGGTGTAATTGACCCCCGGTGGCGCCCATGCCTCGTCCGACAGAACCGACAACGGCCGCCACGGGTCAAATTCTCCCCCGCTGAAATAGACATTCGACGGCCGGATCGTCCACCCGCCAAACTCGTTGTTGAGACTCTCCGTCTGGGGCCACGCCGGGAGGAGTCCGGTCTGGGCTGCGCTCGGCAACTGCCGATGACAGAGTTCCTGCTGATACTCCAGGGTCTGGTAGCGAGAAAGAAGCGCGTGGGGACCGAAGTTGTTGGTCTGGAAAAATCCCCATTCGCTGCAGTACTGCCAGGTCCAGCTGATCAGGTCGGGCTCCGTGTTGGGCAGGTTGAATTCGCATGTAGGGGGCCTGGAGGTGTCGAGGCCGCCGCAGTTTGTCCCGAACACCCGGTTCACGAGGGGGATGAAGGACGGGAAGGAGGCCCAGCGCTCGGCGGCATACTTGTCGCCGTAGACGGGAGCCAGACCGCCCGGACCAGCGGAGCGATTTGTTCGAGGATCCAGCTCGAGATAGTTGCAGAAGCTGTCCAGGCTTTGATTACCGCCGCCGAGTCCATGGCTCTGAAAGGGACCGTACAGCGCGCTCAGTGCGGAGGTGAAATCCTCGTTGTTGCTTTTCTCGCCCTCAGGGCCGAGGAAGAGCCGTTTGATCGAGGCGGCCGTTTCCTCCCCGGCCAGTTGGTTATCGATGTATCTCAGCGCGGCGTGGATATCCTTGGTGCAGTTGCTGTATCCGTTGGCTACCATTGCGCGGTAGACCTGCTCAAAGTACACGCCCATGTCGACCTGCGCCTGCACAGGCGCGGATGACGCAAAGGCCGCAAAGATGGTGTCCGGGTACTGGTCGCGAGTGAAGGCGGCTCGGATGCCTGGATAGGACCCGCCTATCATAATCCAAGGGGATCCCTCCGGGGTGAGGTCGACGGTGGGATGACTTGCACGGCTGAAATTTGCCGCAAAGTATGGGATATCGGCGAGGGCTTGCTTCGTGGTGAGGTATTGGAAGTGCTCCAGGGGCATGTCCTGGCCGACGGGGAATGGGAGCGAGTCTCCGTAGTATCTGCATGGAATCAGTACCGTAGTCCATCTCACTTGAGCAGGGGATCGAACCGGTGTTCCCATAGGATCCCTATGGCATTGAACTCCCGCAGGAGTAGGCTAAGCCATGATGAGGAGTTCGTCAACAGAGAGACAGAGTACTGTGCCGTGTTCTCGCCGATGTCGTAAACCATCACCGGGCTGCCGGGGGTGTAGTATTTCTCAGTGACCCAGAACCGATTTCGATAAGTGCCCACCGACGGGTCCTCATGGTCGATGGGAATCTGCACAAAGCTCAGGACACGCCCTCCCGGCCAAGTGATGGCTGACACTTACCTCTGTATATTCCGCAGCACTGGAGGAATCAGCAGCACTGGCCACCAAGGAACGAAACGCTTCCGGATCGTTCCACGCAATATGTGAATCTAATCCCAGCTCCGCAGCGAGCCGTAGATCCCTCGCCAGGGGAGACATTGGCAGCCCTATCCCGACGACACAACCAAAAAATAATACTAGCCCTTTTGCCGCGAGGCATGGCCGATAGAGATGATGCATCTTGATTGGCAAGAGGATGTTCGAAGCCTAGCCTTGGATCCAAGATCGGGCCAGCAGCGGCCAATGCCAATGAACGTCGTAAAGGGGGGGGGGAGTTGAAGCTTTTCATCGACTTGGCTTCGAGTCGGAGACTGCACACCCGGCAAACTCAGTATATAAGTGAGAGGGAAACATGGCTACTGATGTCTACGAGCAGGGTATGGTACATCCACCGCACTAATGCAGTTAATTCTGCGATTCAATCGAAGGACATGTGGGAGAAAGCACCAAGGGCCATTGTATGTACCCGAGACACGGTGGCATCGCGTGCAGTGCAAGGATGAAAGTGGTGCACAGCATGATAACCCAATGCAGCAGGTAGATAAGATTGAATGGATCCAAACCTCGATTCAATTGTCTGCTTTCGATAGTAGGTCAGATGTCGACTGTTAGGGGATAATCACTATGACCAGCCACCACGCGGAATGGAAGACCACTGGACTCTGAGCGATTCATGTCGGCGAAAATGAAGCCAAGGAGATCTGGATGCACATGTATACCTGCATGAATCAGTGTAAACTTCCTAAAAATTTGCTATGGAACCTTGAGATACGTCCCCGTGGTGTAGAACATGGATGGAGTGTATATACATGCTGATCAAGCACAATATCATGTCGCGCATCGCCGAACAATACCTTCGGCTACAACAATGTAAGCGAGAGAGTAAGGGACAATGGATGTCATTCGGCTCAGGGCTTGTTTTGCCATGATATTGTTCTTGAATGGGGCGAAGTCGACTGAGCAGGTTGTGTGGAAGACACGCAATGATTCCAAACCTGGCTGATTCAGTACTCCTGCCACAGTGAGCATTGTTTGATTGATGATAATCAAGGCGCAGTAAGTACTGTATCCAGACTGAATGCACGGAGGTAATAATTTGGACTGTCTGCACAAGACTCGATATAACTTCCAAGTACAGCATCAGACATGGAAAAAGGCTGCAGCAATCCATGAACAGGGTGAGGCTGGGTGATATTTAGCAAAGCAAACAGGTTGAGGCTGGTAGAATAATAAAACCTCCTTGGCTCGGGAATATCGCCAACTGAGCATCCCTTATGATTATTGTATCCTTGATAGAGGCTACTCTTTAGAATAAACATCTGATTGAGAGTTAAGACATCTGACATCCGAAACCCCTTAGAGCGTTTCATCCTCTTCGCACCATCGCATCCAACTATCCACTCCCCTCGCCTTCGTAGTTTTGGCCCACATCTGGAATTCAGGAGTATATCCAGGAGTCTCTGAAACGAAGGCTTCTGTTTCAAGAGCAGAGTCCACCTGCCTCCTGATCGAATGGGTTCTTCACCAAATCGTGCAGAATATCTCCATTCATCGCAAACAGCGGGCGTTCAGCAATAACCCGCGTCTCGCGAGAAAATCATCCGACACGCCCAGCAATGAACGAATGTCAAGGCTCAAAGCAAAAAACCTCGCCTGAAGATCGTCTATTTAAGTCACGGCGGTGGTCGACAGGCAAGTCTGTAACGTTCATGTTTTCGTGGATGCACCATCGGTGGTCTCCAACTTGGCCAATATCCGGTTAATGTCATTTTCCCCTAGTCTCAGCTAAACAGTTTCTGAAGAACTTGAGACCAGAAGCTCTGAAGAAAAACCATCACATAGCGTTTCGTACGAGCCGTCCCACATGCACTCTGCAGTTGGCACTGAAGGTGGATCCAGCTCAATATGATACCTACGGGCCCCCTGAGAGTTGACTATTGACGCTTCGGGTACGGAGCAAAGACTAGACACAAAACCCCCCGTCCTGTGTCAAAAATTACCGGCGCCGTTGGAGGAGTTGACCAGGGGCAGAATCAATTGAGTGGATGGAAAATGTCTTAAGCTTTGAGCATTTTCATCACTGTGAACCTTGGGCACGATGTCCCTGAAATAGCTGCCCAGGCGCTACTTAAGTATTCGAAACCCGCAAAACTAAGCTCATGTGTGAGCAAAAACCGTCGTCGCAATGTTCTTTCAAACGGGATTGTTGCTGTCCCTCTCACTCTGGACCAAGGTTGCTTACGCTGCCTTTGGCATCACCACGAGTAGCAGCTCGTATGTCATTGACGCGGGATCTGCCAATCCGTTGAAGTTTACGGTGAGCCGGTCCAGCTGCGACATCACCTCGATCAACTACTCCGGCACCGAGCTGCAGTATGCGAGCAAGGGAAGTCACATCAGCTCGGGACTTGGCCGTGCGACTGTTTCTGCGACTCAGGATGGTGCGTCAGCCGCGACAAGCGGGCTCATTCTGTGCTAATACTAGGCAGGGGATTACATCAAGGTCACTTGCGCGACGAGTACACTGACTCACTATATGGTCGTCCACCATGGAGATTCTACTATTCATATGGCAACGCATATCACTGCGGGTTAGTACAACGACGCAGTCAAGGATCCCCAGTTGACCTTTTCCAGAGCCATCTATCGGTGAGCTGCGGTTTATTGCCCGTCTAAAATCGGACGTCCTTCCCAATGAGGAGCCGTTCGGCGATGTTTCGACCACTGCTGGAGGCACGGCCATTGAAGGCTCAGACGTGGTAGGTAGTCTCATCAGATGGGGGTAGACTGCCTCTAACTGATGCAATATAGTTCCTGGTCAATGGAAAGACTCGCAGCAAGTTCTACTCCAGCCAGCGTTTCATCGATGACCAGCGACACTGTAAGTACTCATCTTGGTCACGGAGATGACGCTCACAACTGCCAGGCATATCTGGAAGCGCCCACCGTGTCTGCATGATTCTGAATCAGTACGAGTCTTCTTCAGGTGGTCCTTTCCATCGGTAGGTGACCCTCATCCAGAAAAGAGACTCTTCTAACGTCAGCAGCGACATCGACGCGAACAACGGAGGAGGTTTCAACGCTCTTTACTGGTATATGGTATGCTAGTCTCTGTGCAGCCGTGGAAAGCGCCCAGCTAACAGTCTAGAACTCCGGCCATGTCCAGACCGAGCCGTACCGTATGGGCCTGCATGGCCCATACTCCATGGTTTTTAGCCGCAGTGGTATGCCGGGCACCAACATCGATACGTCGTTCTTCGCAAACCTCAACATCAAGGGCTACGTCCCCGCCAGTGGCCGGGGTACTGTCACAGGAAAGGCCTCAGGCGCGGATTCCCGCATGAAATGGGTAGTCCACTGGTACGTCCCCCCTCGTTAAGCACACCGGGTACTACCAGACTGACACTGTTAGGCACAACACTGCCGCGCAGTACTGGACGTACACAGCGTCAGACGGCAGCTTCACCTCGCCAGCCATGAAACCCGGCACCTACACCATGGTCTACTACCAGGGCGAGTACAAAGTCGCCGAGACCTCCGTGACCGTCAGGGCCGGTTCAAAGATTACGAAGAACATCTCAGGATCCGTGAAGACGGGCAAAACCATCTTCAAGATTGGTGAATGGGACGGCCAGTAAGTTATGCCTCTCCACACACACACACACACACACACACACACACACAAAACATAAACCCCAGAACCACTTACCACCACCACATGCCATAAGAAGAAAAAAAAAAACTGACAGTTCAGACCCACCGGCTTCCGCAACGCCGACAAGCAGCTGCGCATGCACCCGTCCGACTCCCGCATGGCCGCCTGGGGTCCCCTGACCTACACCGTCGGCAGGTCCGCGCCCTCAGACTTCCCCATGGCCGTCTTCAAATCCGTCAACAACCCCGTCACGATCAAATTCACGGCATCGGCCGCGCAGACCGCGGCCGCCACGCTGCGCATCGGAACCACGCTGTCCTTCGCCGGCGGCCGGCCCCAGGCTAAGGTTCGTACTTTTTTTCGTGCTTGCTTCCTCCCTTCACCCGTCCATACTTCCCAGAAACCCACTGGTTTATGGCTAACGACGACACCGTTATCTGCAGATCAACTCCTACACCGCGGCGGCGCCACCCGCGCCGAAGAACCTCGACTCGCGCGGCGTCACCCGCGGCGCGTACCGCGGTCTCGGCGAGGTCTACGACGTGGCGATCCCGGCGGGGACGATTGTCGCGGGTGTGAACACGGTATGTGAGAAAACGAGGCAAATGTGTTTTTTTTGTTTTTTTTTCTTGCTGACCGGGGGTGTGGGTGGGTTAGATTACCATCAGCGTGGTTTCTGGGAACTCGGGGGAGAAGTTCCTCAGTCCGAATTTTGTGAGTGTCTCTCTTTGCCACTTGATGGGGGTGATGTTTTAATGCTGATGTGTGTGTGTGTGTGTGTTTTTTTGCATCTAGGTGTTTGATTGTGTGGAGCTGTTCCAGTAGGAACCGGAGGAGGGATGGTAGGAGGGGGGAAAGAGGAGCTGGAGATCGAGGGGAGAAGTAGCTAGAGTTGCAGGCGCGAGATATGCTGCTTCTATGATGTGGTTTATTATCAGATGGGGGGTTGTAAATACAGAGAGTCAGATGCGCGCGCGGATCGTCACCGCATGACTCTATCAAACGCAAACCATGCTCCCACCAGCCCAGCCCCGCAGAGCCATGTCCATTTCCACGTCCACCCAGATGCACCTGTAGCCGTAGCCGTAGACGCAGCAGAGGCAAGCGAATGCACCAGCCGGCCGCGCACCCACACCGCGCGCACGTTGCGGTCGTCCCCGCTCCATACCCACTTATGGACCTTCTCCACCCACGACTCCCACCCGAAGACATCCACCGTACCGTTGGCGGCGCGACAGCAATTGCTACTCGCGTCCCCGTCCCGCACCGCCCCGCCCAGCCGCACCATCTGCGCATCCCAGACCATGCCGAGCTCGAAGCCGCCCAGCTCGGCCGCCATATCGACGACGGCGGCGCCGCCGCGCGTCGCAAGATACAATCCTTCCTCGACACTCAGCACCGCACTGGCCGTTTCCCGTCCGGGCCCCGGCTCCCGCCCGGCCTCCACAAGCCGCGAGACGAGACACGCCTGCCGCACCGCCTCGAGAATGCTCGGGCTATAGCCGCCGGAGACGTCTGTGCCGAGGCCGACAGTGAGGCCAGCGTCGAGCAGGTCGCGCACGGGACACATGCCGGACCCCAGCGCGGAGTTGGAGGCGGGGCAGTGGGATATCTTGGCGCCGCGGGCGGCGATGAGGGATCGTTCGGGGGCGGAGAGGTACACGCCGTGTGCGAGAATGGTGCGTGGTGTGAGGAGGCCGTGGACGTCGTAGACGGCGGCGTAGGAGGGTTGTGCTGGGAAGAGGGAGCGGACGAGGTCGAGCTCGGATTTGTTTTCGGCGATGTGGGTTTGGATGTGGAGGGGTGGGGAGACGGATGCGGCGAGGGCGGCGAGGCCGCGCATGGCGGCTGGGGAGCAGGTTGGGGCGAAGCGCGGGGTGAGAATGGGGTGGATGAGGGGGGTGGTCGGGGTGGGTTTGGTGTCGGAGTTGGAGGTTGCTGGGGTTGGGGCAGCGGTCGCGGCGAGGGCGTGGATGTGCGACACGACCTGTTTCGTTTTCTCAAGCGAGGCCTCGGCGGATTCGTCGCGGTAGTAGTCCGGGCAGAACGCCGGGTTATCCATGCAGACGCGGCCGATGAGGGCGCGCTGGCCGCGGGCGTGGCAGAGGTCGGCAAGGAGGGTTGTGGCGGGGACGTGGATTGTAGCGAAGTAGGACGCGCAGGTGGTGCCGTTGGCGAGGGTGCGGGAGATGACGGTGTCGTAGACCGTGCGGGCCTTGGCGAGGTTGCTGAAGGACGATTCGAGGGGGAAGGTGTAGGTTTCGAGCCAGTCGAGGAGCGTCGAGGAGCCGAAGATGCCTGTGTTGGGGTACTGCGGGGCGTGGATGTGCGTGTCTATCCGGTCAGCCTCTGAATCGCCCTGCTATTGACAGGTAGAAGATGCGTACCGATAAAACCCGGGAAGAAGAACTCGTTCTCCTCCTCACGGGCCTTGGTGATCTTCACCGTCTCTTGCGTCCAACCATTCTTCTTCAACAGCGTGTGGATGTCCGCGTCGCTGCGTACGCTCCAATCACACCCTTCAATCCGACCCGACGAGGTAGAAACCCAGAGCGCGCCATGATTGATGTCAAGGGCGTGTTTCCCATCCGCGCTGGGGGTGCGGGGGAGGTGGATGAATGTTCCCACGAAGAGATTATATGCGGCCATGGGTATGTACACTGGGCCGTGACATGAGTCTATAGTCCTGGATAGGGTCAGTGTCGTCCTCTACACGTGAGGGATACCTACTATATATATATTATCTATTCTATGCAATGTTTGGGTGAGAGTGAAGGAGAGAGTTGGAGTTGGGAGACGTTCAAGGAGTTGCGGATCGATGTAAATATACAAGGCTCCAAGGCCCCGAGGCCCCAAGGCCACCAGGGAAAACGGGGCTGGATATGTGATCCACCAATCACAGCAAGGTATTTCACTCCCGTGCGGAGAACGGCCAGCTCCGATGATTAGTCATGCAACTAGGGAGAGATAAGATAAGATAGATAGTGATGGTAATAATAGTGATAGTTGTGAGACTCGCTCAGAGCTGTAGTAGTATATAGTATCAAAAGTACATTTTTTTGGGAACAAAACGCCGCCCATTGCCCATCTATCATGACCTTGTTGAATCATGCAATCATGCCCTTCATGGCAGAAAAAAAAAAAAAAACAGTGTGTGTTGAATAAACAAAAACATGGGTATCATTAATCCGTCTCCTCCACAGGTCCGCAGGTGCAGAACAGGTTCTGGTCACCATATGCTGTACACATGAATTAGTAAGATTCTAGGTAGATTGCAGAGATGTAGAACTTACCATCATCAACTCTCGTTACCGAAGGCCAGAACTTCTTCTCCAGAAGCCACGGCAGGGGATACGCTGCAGTCTCCCGGGTGTAGGGGCGCTCCCATTCGCTGGAGAGCAGATCCCGCTGCGTGTGCGGCGCGTTCTTGAGCACGTTGTTCTCGCGCGGCTGCTCGCCGCTCTCGACGGCCGCGATCTCCTGGCGGATGGAGATCAGGGCGTCGCAGAACCGGTCCAGCTCCGCCTTGTTCTCCGACTCGGTGGGCTCAATCATCAGCGTGTTGGCTACGGGCCACGACATGGTTGGCGCGTGGAATCCGTAGTCCTGCAGACGCTTGGCGATGTCGATCGCCTCGACGCCGCAGGTGTCCTTGAACTTGCGCACGTCGAGAATGAACTCGTGCGCGCAGCGATCGTTGTCGTTGGTGTATAGGATGGGGTAGTGCGGCTTGAGGCGGGAAAGGATGTAATTGGCGTTCAGCAGGGTGATCTTGGTGGCATGCGTCAGGCCCTTGGCGCCCATCATGTTAATATAGTTGAACGTGATGGGGAGGATGCTGGCGCTGCCCCAGGGGGCGGCGCTGATGGGCGGCGACGAGGTCTCCCCGCGCTTAGCCTGGAGGTGCTCGCTGGCAGGGTGAGATGGGAGGAAAGGACGCAGGTGCTCTGCGACACCGATGGGGCCCACACCGGGACCACCACCACCGTGGGGAATGCAGAAGGTCTTGTGCAGGTTCAGATGGCACACGTCCGCGCCGATCTCGCCGGGGGAGCAGAGGCCGATCTGGGCGTTCATGTTGGCACCGTCCATGTAGACCTGGCCGCCGTGCTGGTGCACAATCTCGCAGGCCTCCTTGACGCCAGGCTCGTACACACCGAAGGTGCTGGGGTAGGTGATCATGATGGCGGCGAGTTCGTCCTGGTGCTTCTCACACTTGGCCTTGAGATCAGCCAGATCCAGGTTGCCCGTCTTGGTGTCGCACTTGATCGTGACCACGCGCATACCAGCCATGGCGGCACTGGCGGGGTTGGTGCCGTGCGCCGAAACGGGGATCAGACAGATGTTGCGCTTCTCACCACCGCTGGCCTCCAGGTACTTCTTGATGACGCGGAGACCGGCGAACTCACCCTGCGCGCCAGAGTTGGGCTGCACGGTGATCTCGGCCATGCCGGTGATGTCGGCGAGCTGCTGCTCCAGGTCGTCAATCATCTGGATGTAGCCCTTGGCGACATCGGCGGGGAGGAATGGGTGGATCTGGGAAAACTCGGGCCACGAGATGGGGATCATCTCGGTGGTCGCGTTCAGCTTCATCGTGCAGGAACCGAGAGGGATCATCGAGTGAGCCAGGGAGAGATCCTTAGACTCGAGGTGATGGATGTACCGCAGCATTTCGGTCTCCGAGTGGTGGGTGTTGAACACCGGGTGGGTGAGGTAGGCGCTGGTGCGCTCCAAGTTAGCGGGAATAGACTTGACGCCAATCTCGCTCAGTTCGACCTCGGCCTTGCCGGCCTGCTGGGCGAACACCTGGAGAAGAGACTTGATTTCCTCGCGGCCAACGGTCTCATCGAGCGACACGCCGACCTTGGTAGGTGACACGCGGCGCAAGAAAATGTTCTGCTTGCGAGATGCGGCGACCAAGGCATCCGCCTCTTCACTGCTGCCCAGTTCCACAGTAATTGTATCAAAGACGACACCGCCCTTGACGGGAACGTTGTAGCCCAGGGTGGTCAGCTTCTCTTGCAGAGCCGAGGTCATGGACATGACTCGTTGAGCGATGGCCTTGAGACCAGCGGGACCGTGGTACACCGCATACATGGCGCTCATGTTGGCGAGCAAAGCCTGCGCTGTGCAGATGTTGCTGGTGGCCTTCTCACGACGAATGTGCTGCTCACGGGTCTGTAGAGCCAGTCGGAGGGCCCGGTTACCCAGTCGGTCCTTGGACACACCGACGACACGGCCGGGGACCTTGCGCTTGTACTTGTCGGCACAGGCGAAGAAAGCGGCATGCGGGCCACCGAAGCCCATGGGGACACCGAATCTCTGGGCGCTACCGAAAGCGATATCCGCACCAAATTCTCCAGGGGCCTTGAGAAGGGTCAATGCAAGCAGGTCGGTAGCGACGCTGAAAGTACCGCCAGCGGTATGGATGGTGTCGCTCAACGACTGGAAATCGTAGACGCCGCCCTCGGTGTCCGGGTATTGCGCCAGGACACCGATGAGACTATCACCCTGCTTCTTCACCAATTCAAAGTCATTGGCCATGATGTCGCCGACCACCAGGTTGATCCCGAAGCCCTCAGCGCGAGAGCGCATCACGGCAATGGTCTGAGGATGGCAAAGGTCGGAAACCACGTACGACTTGCCGGCCTTCTTTTGCTTGGCCATGGGCATCGTCGCCAGAGACATGGTCATGGCCTCGGCAGCAGCGGTGGCCTCATCCAGGACGGAGGCATTGGCGAACGGCAAGCCAGTCAGATCAGCTGTAAGGGTCTGGAAGTTCAAGAGCGACTCCAAACGACCCTGGCTGATCTCCGGCTGGTAGGGAGTGTAGCTGGTATACCAAGCGGGGTTCTCCAGAATGTTGCGGAGGATGACCGGAGGGACAATGGTGGGGTAGTAGCCCGTTCCCAAGTATGTCTTTCCCGACACATCGATCTGTTTGCGGTAGGTCTCGAGCAGCTTCAGCATGTCCGTTTCTCCTAAGCCTCCGTGTACACTGGAGACCGGCAGATTGATGTTGGCGCGGGGAGGAGTCACCGACAAGTCCTTCTTGGACAGAATATCGGCGGGAAGCACCTGTTTCACGAACTCGTCCAGCGATTGCACGGGGGGATCCAGAGCGGCCAGCATCTCCTGAGCCGCCTCGGGGGAGGGGCCAATGTGACGGCGGGGGAAGGTATCGAGGGGCTGGAAGAGATCCTGAGGATGAGGCACGCCATGGTCGGCCACGGAGCTGGTGTAAACCGCTCGCCGCGCGGCAGGTGTTGTTTGTGTGGTGGTGTTCAGATACCGGCGAGTGGCCAGGACTGGGGCGGATGGAGAGGCCTTGCGAAGGGCAATCGACGCCGGGGTACGCAATCGCGTCCGCAGCGCAAGCTGGCGGGTACCCCGAAGGGCACACCAGGATGCAGCCATCTGTGAAAGAGTCTAATGGACGGAGATGTCCACAGAGGTCAGGATGTCGTCAGAGGCAGGGTGTCCCGCAAGAACTACCAGACTCAACACCTGAACGAGGGATGTGGGAAAGAAGATGAAATTGACCGAGACGAAGAAATTAGAAAAGATTTAAGAGACACATCATCGGAAGAAAGAAATAATCCCCCAGCACCAAGTCGGCCATCGTCTTTGATCGTTCCCACCTGCTGGGTGCAAAGTGCTCCGAGTGGGAGGAAAACCGCGGGCGATAACAACAGCAGCGGCCGGGAAACGCGCTTCTCCCGCCGATAACGCTGTTCCGAGCCAATCAGCAGCCGGCGCCGGAGCTCCTCGGTCTCCCCACTGCTGCTGATAAGACTTTTCCGCGGGAAACTTTTCCTGAGTTAAGCTGGGAGGAGCGAATGCATGAGGACAGGACAACAGGAATAAGAGCTCTATTTCTGACATTTTCTGGGGAAATGTACACTACACGCTGTATTTACTGTCTAGCCTCACTGTCTTAGTCATTAGAGAGATCAATTAGGAAGTTTCGTAGCCTGGAAGCTGCTCAATGCTGTCTTGGAGGCTAGCTTTGCGACTTCCCGATGAGCTCATCGGAGAATCGACCTTTCCTTTCCGACAGTTACCTTATTTTCCCCTGCGGAATTGATCCCATAGGACGAGGATTTACCGGAGCTCTGAGTGGCCGATTCTATTGTCGACTGACTCTACTCCGACGCGGTAGAACTTGGAGTTGACCAGGAGTGATGGCTGGTTTGACTCGAGTGCACTTGGCAAGTAGCTTTGAAATCACAAATAGATAGATCATACGAATTGTTTGGTTGTGTATGCTGCCTCCATCTGTAAGTTGACAATGTATACCCGTCACTATCACCTGCGTAAATACTTAGGTCTTAGCCACCTTTCATAGTTCACAGCTCACACCAGAGGAGCTGTTAGCTGCTAAGAGATTCCGGGAAAGAGGATGATCCTGTCAGCGGCAGCCAACACCAGCTCCGTCCCATAATTGTGGAGTTTCGGATGGCTTCATGTTCCACCCAAATAGGAAACTACATACCGCCTCTTGCTCTGCCGCTTGAACGAGAAAGCTACTATTCCTCCTGGATGTTATTTTTATCTTTCGTTTCATTTATTTGCTTAATTGCAATAGCAAGCACATCCTTTTGTCAAAAAATTGGATTAAATTGGCTCGGAGCTGCCATTATTCGACCACCGAGACTATGTACTATCTGCTAGTCGACTAAGGCGAATCCCAGCGCGAGCATTAACTAACATTTACACATGCCATCAAACATCATCTGATCGTAATTTCATCGCTTAGATCGTATACCGGAAATCCGCCGCTCCCTCGATGATGCGCTTGCCTTGATCCGCCTGTTTGTTGCAAATGCGGAACCACAAGCTCAGTACAGCCACAATAAACAAGACCAGAACATTCAAACTTCCCTCTTCGTTAGTGACCAGTTCGGAAACCACGAAAAGATAATAATGACTTACAAAATGGTCGTCCAGATACCCGGGCGGTACAGCGGCGCGTCCTGCGATCGGAACACCAAGCTGCTCGCGATACCACCGACACCACCCATGCCGACCAGGGTCGCGCTGGAAAGGGCTCTCGTCCACTGACCACGGATGTTGTTGGCCTGATATGCCATGGAGGCAGGAATGTTGCCATTTGCGCCCGCGGTGGCAAGGAAGACGCCGAAGTACCGGACCCCGTTGTTGCTGTGGAAGCCCAGGATGGCCAGGCCAATGACGCAGAGGAGGGCATTGAAGGCGACAATGATGCCACGCATGCGATACTTGTCACCGATCCAGGCGGCACCGACCATCACGATACCAGCGAAGGCGAACGGCGGTGCAACGAGACACTGGGCGGCGCCGACACTATAGCCCATTCCTTGTTGGAGGATGATCGGAAGGAAATAGGCAATGGCGTAGGTGACACAGGTGGTGCAGCTGGTTTTCCGAATCAGTAACTATGGCGGAATCGAGTCTGAGGGGAGTCTTACAAGAAGATCAGAGCGAAACCCCAGATCTTCAGATCCAGAGCAGGCGTGAGAAACCGCTTCATGGTGAAAGGCTCATTATCGGCATCGGAGCGGTCCCGGTTGATGCGACGGACGATGAAAGCACATTCCTTCTCGCTTAGGAATCTCCACGACTTGTGCGCCCGGTCAGGGAAATCGACCAGCAGGAGCAGAGTCAGGATTCCAATGACTCCAGTGATCTAGAGTTGTGTAAGAGATGTTTTTGGGCCAATTGCAGGTTCTACGCTTACCACTCCCTCCATGATGAAGATCCATCTCCAGCCTCCTAGACCCTGAATTCCGCTCATGTGTGACAGGCCAAAGGCGAGGATACCAGCCGCGGCCGAAGCAACGCATCCGATAAGTAGAAGACCGAGAATCGCTTTTGGACGTCATCTACTACAGTCAGCGGCGCGTCATTGAGGCTTTGGCTCAGACTGATACTCACATCTGACATACCAACTTGACAGCAGGTACACGCAACCGGGGAAGTAGCCTATTGATCATTAGACCAGTGTCTCAATCAAGCAACAGTTATGATCTTACCAGCCTCCAAGAGACCAAGCAGGACACGACAGGCGGCCAATTGCTTCCAGTCCTTGGTGAAACCCATACCCTGTCCAACGGTTAGACAGACTCTCGTGCCGTCGAGTGATACCTACCACCAAGATCACACCCCAGGAGATCACAATCGATCCCAGGAACAAAGTGGGGCCCAACTTTCTTGTGATAACGGTCATGGCGGGCTGGAAGATGACATAGGGGACGAAGAAGACGAGCGCAATGACAGACTATTTTCGTCAGCATAGCCTGGAGCCTATGGACGGGCCGCCGCAGCATACGTATCTGGTTCCGACATGCAGGTCCAGCTCTTGAATCATACTATTCGGCGTCAGTCTTCCAGAAGTTCGAATTTGCAATCCAACATTGCTCACCCCGCCACGGCAGCCATGCTCAGGTTTGTTCTATCCATCAGCGAGATACAGTAGGCGAGACCCGTCATCGTCACCAGCCGGCGATCGACACGGTGAATGATCTTGCGCTGCTCCTCGTACGAATACTCCTCGTCGTAGTCGACATCGTTGAGCGCACGCTGGCCAACATCTTCGATGTTCTGCACGCTGCTAGGCTTTTCGCTGGCGGCGGGCGAAATTTCTTCCTTCGTAGTCATTTGAGCAGAGTCTGGGGGGGGCGGGAAGAGAGAAATTTTCACAATAGACACAAGGCTAAGGTGAACGATCAGATCGATACCCCGGATTTTCAGCACAGCGGCAGCGGGTCAGTTATTATATGTCTTCTTGCCTTTGTGGAGCATCCCAGATTCCACAGCCAAGTCATTACCATGATCCAGACAACACTTCTGCCCCTCCACTGTCTAGAGCAACAGAGACCCGTTCCTGATTCTGACTGTAGTCGAGGTCAGCACACTCACGACAACTACCGATATTGGCAGAGAGTGTCCACTAACCAATCTTGCAATAACCGGAAAATTGCCTCGGTCGCTGGCTGCGCGAGCTCCACTGATTGACCCCAGATTTTGCACTGGAAGCACGAATTGTGGAGGATACGATCCGGAGAGGGCATGGATGCGGGGGAAATAGACAAAGACTGTGTCGTTGACATCAAGATTGGCCCTTGGCAGCTTGGCGTTGAGATGACCGAGTCAGCTTTAGGGACACTTTTGAGTTTTAGACAAGGAAAGTCGGGTGATTTAGAGTTGAAGAAGGAGGGAGTCTGGGAGTAAAGTCTACTGCATTTATTCAAGGAAGCGATGAAGCGAGTCATTGTTCTCTTGGCTGCAGCTCGGCAACTCTCTTCAATGGGCTATCTTGCTCTACTCTTCGGGACCATCTCGCTACGGATGAACCTTCTCCAGTCTATCTCGACACGCGTGAGCTGAGCTGGAGATGAGATAAACCGTCTCTCGAGCCATGATTTAAAAGCCAGAGAAAAATAGACCACCCCGTGTTCACCCGCAACAACCTTTGGCCACCGTGGCTGACTGGATACAGCACTCTATCTCTATCTCTGAACAATCTACTCCGTAGGTAGGTAAAATCGAGCGATATTACGCGCTAGCTTTTGAAGGCTTAGCCCGTAACACCAGCATCTCGCGCGGACCAGCTCCCATCCTATCAGGTGATGCTCTCCGCGGTAGATAGTGAGCCTCCAGTCTCTATGTGCCAAAGGCCACTCCGTATAATGTTTCATATGGTCCTAGGTAGGAACCGCTGAATAGGAGACGCCCAGCCGGAGGTTACAGCATCAATAAATAAGCCAGATTCTTGAAAAAAAAAATGGTACATACGCATCTTAGTATCCTAAGTGGAACATGCTAGCTGCGAATTAGCCATACTTTTCCCTTAGGGTTTCGGTCCTTGGCTTCATACACACACACGCGAAGATTCCCGGGATTCACAACCACGCCATATAATTAATATAGGCATTGGGCACTGGGCACCCTGAATAATCACCAATCCGCGAGAGACCTCCAGTGCCACCCTCTCCACAGGTCAAGTAAATGGATCTCCGAGTCTCCCACCTCCCCATGTTACATACCCTGGTCCCCTATCGGGGGCTGGACTTCGACCGTAGAGTTTTCCTGCCACGTGGAGTATCTATACTCTATAGGTAGTTAGAGGACCTTTTGGGAGCGTGAACCCGGCTTGTCGCCACAGATCCCCAGTCTGGAAAACAAATGCCCCCCATATCCCCCACGGCAGAACAGACAGCACGCATTTAGTGATCAGCATGGAGACTCGATGGCGCAGCATTTTATGGACGAGGAAGTAGAAAGACCATGCTCAGTGGCATCGAAGCACAATGGAAAAGAGGTCTGACTTACTTTAAACGACAGACCATTGAGTCACCTGTTGCTTCAGCCATTGAGTACGGTAGCTACATGCGAATCCCCACAACTTTGAGAAACCTTCCGCCTGGATGGAAAAGTGACATTTAAAAACCACACCAATACCCCGATGGACCGGACAGTAAACCATCGCGGATATGATGAGCTCTCTGATATTGCTTGGGACAAATCTGGTAGTACGCAGTCTAGAACCCTGGGTCATAGTAGATGACGACCAGTGGATGAAATAAGTGGAGGAGGACATTCCCCTCTTCTGATCTTTAAACCCGTCTATGCAGAGACGGATTGAATATTGTTGTTGCATCCCTAGTGACGACCAGGCCAGAAACTGCTGACACACTTAGTAGATGATGGCCTGGAGATGCGTGCCAGTACTATTTGGCAGCCTGCGACTTCACTGCCCCATTCTCTTATGCTAGTATCACTGACATGATCCACTTAATATATATGAGTTATGTCAAAAGGGCCCTTGCCAGCCGGCATGATCTCGATCGCCTTCAACTAATTCAACAAGGTAAGGAACCCTCAAGCGATTCAGGATCTACACCGTACTTCAGGGTGATCCAAAACCTGGGGCTGGGAATATGGTCGGGTGATGTTCATTGATTTTGAGCGGGCAGTAGTATTTTCACCTACTCAAAAACAAAAAACCATAAAGCAGGAGAAGAGTCCCAAACACGCCTCTTGGCAGTTCCAAGCGCGAGACGCGACGCATGAGACCATGAATTGGTGACCCCCTTATCTCCCTGAGGTCAGACACATTCCAAATGTAGAGTTGGGGAGATATCTAGCAGTAGGTGTCCATCTATCTGGCTTTAACTTCTGCTTGATGGTGAGACAAGGATTTGAAAAGTCCAGAGGGCAGAGACTGAATCAGAACGATATCTACTGCAGCTGCCAAGTCTTCCGATCCTGAGGTACAGCTTAAGCCATAAGTACGGAGCACAACTACCAGATTCGGTGCTTACCCGGATTCAACAGAGTGTATTTACTACACAGTACGTACATATCTATCTCCCATCCTCCACTGCTACTAGCCTACTAGGTTACTAGGTTACCGAGTACTTAGGACTTATCTATGGTTTGAAATCAGTGCAGTTCCTCCAGAGTAGTGATTGGATAAGACACTGTAGCCGACCGTTTGACTTTTTTTTTTTGACTACTCTGCATGTTTGGGTCTTCTTGGAAACGTGGGAATTGACTTTGCTTTGTTAGTTGGAAATACGATCCGTCCATAGAAGCTAGAGTAATCGTGACTCAGTACTTTGGTGTTGGTGCTTGGGCTGTGGGGGGGATGGAATATGCTTTCCTGTCTCATAGACAGAGACTACTGTGTAGATAGATTGCGAGGATACTCCAGGGAGTGGGACTTTGCGTTGGAGGCTGCTAGGCTCGCTTAAAGACTGGGGAGTGGGGAGGTAGTTAGAGTGTTAGACTTCTGACTTACTCCTTAGGGCTTGGTTACCCTGCGAACTACGATATTATACTACGTATGTATCCACTGGTGGCGTTGTTCTCCAACCCTGGAATTCTGGGGAGCTCCCAAGGGAGTAGTCAACTAACTTAATCCAATAGACAGACTTAGGTTGAGGTTGGCTTTAGCAAATTAGAGTGCGCTCATATCATATCATATCATATCATATCATATTGATTGTATGTTCGCAGGTATGCTTAGTCATATATAGATAAACAGACAAAGAAGAAGATGAACCCTAACAGCGAGCGCCTGGAAGTTTAAATTTCCTTATTACCCTCGTCAGTTTGTCCAAAGCATCACGCCATCAGGCCCCAGCCTCAGGCCTCAGCTTCAGGATGCAGTTATACATCCTCCTCCTCAATCGGAATCAATCGCTCGCGCTCCTCCTCCTCCCCCTCAGCCAGCATCTCTCGCTTCTCCCGCAACCGCCCACTCGCCACATACACGTACAGTACCAGGCCCATTCCGACCACGAACCCGGCCGCGGCCAGGAAGATGTTGATGGGGATGGGGTTCCCCGCGAACGGCCCATGCGTCAGCGCGTCGAGCGCGTATTGGCTGAAATTGACCAGCCCGGAGATGCAGATGATGGACCCGTACACGCGACCGAAGGTCGCGAAGCCGAAGACTTTGGTCGCGTAGTCGCTTTTCCCGAGGTTCAGTGTGTTAGCTGGACTGGCGTATTTCGGCAGTTGGGATACGGGGTGGGCTGGGGCTGGGGCACGGACCTTACGACATGGGGGAGTAGTAGAGTGGCCGGAGCAGCACGAATAGGGAGACGGTGGTGTAGGCTGCCCACGTGGCGGGGACGGAGTTCAGGCCGCCGATGAGGGTGGTCAGGAGGACGATGAGGGTGAGCATGGTGGGGACGCTGAGGTGGTCGAGGAGGAGGCCGATGAAGGGGGTGGCGAGGACGCCGCCCAGAGGCAGGGCGACATCGAAGAAATCGTTGATGCGCTCCGCGGCATCCTCGGAACCGAGCATGAACTCGTACTGCGCGCGGATGGTCGCAATGAAGTAGTTCATGCGCAGCATCTGCAGCACCGTCAGCAGCGTGATGAGGATGAACCAGGGAGTGGCCATCTGCGCGTGCGCGGGGAGGCCGTGCAGCACGCCCCAGACAGCGCTGGCAGCATGGCGCTCTTCTTCGTGCTCATCGCGCTGACGGCGCTCTGCCTCGTCGCCGAGGACCTCGTCGATCTGGCGCATTTTGTCGCGGCGCTGCTTTGCGCGCCGGTTGCGCACGCGCCGCAGCTCCGCGTCGCTTTCGATCTCCGCGTCCGACTCGTGGATGTCGCGCGTCGCGTCCTTGGCTTTCTCGATCTTGACCTCCAGCTGCTGCGTGGATTGGTAGTCCGTACGCGGCATAACGGTTAGCAGCGCGACGAGGATGAATGCAGGGACGGCGAGGTATCCCAGGAAGAACTCCTGCGGCGTGAACGCCTCGTGTGTCTGCTCGTAGACCAGTCGGTAGAACAGGTACACGGCGGCGGACGCATCAAACGCGCCGGTGACCAACGCGACAATGATCCCCGCGTGCTTGGGGAAGGCGTTTGCGATCTGGAACGAGGGCACGAAGATGAACGTGCCCCCGAGCGCCAGGAAGAAGTTGGCGACGATGTACCCGTCGAAGCCCGGGCGCGAGAACGAGAGGGCCATTAGGGCGCTTCCCGTCGCCAGGAGTGCACATCCCGCGAACCCGCAGACGCGCGACCCGTAGCGATCGAGAATCGTCCCGACCGGGAGCGCGGAGACGTTGGCTGTGATGGAGCTGATGGTGAAGAAAAAATTCAGCCTGGCGATGGTTAGAAAGACCCCAAGCACAATTCTCATCGGAGGGGGGACGAAGTTACTGTAGATCTTGCTGATGGCATAGCTCCACCCCATCTGCCAGCTCCTCGTCTGTACACAGATCGCGATAAACGCCCTCCTCGACCAAGACGGGTTTCAGAGCAGCGAACCCAAACACGATTCCCGATGCAAACCAGCACGCCAGGATGGTGATGAGCACCTGAGCTATATCGATCAGGTCAGTCTACGATCGGTCTAGCGCAGAGTACACACATACCCAATCTCACCGTAGTCGAGACCTTGTACGCCGGCGTCCCCGATGTATCATCCGTCACGGGTGGCTGCCGATCGGGGAATACATCGTAGCTGATTTTGTGCCGGATTGGCACGAACGAGTCGTCGTGGAAGGTGGTGATGGTTTCATCGTCGGGGAGGTCTGGTTCGCGGTCTACGCCCTCGATTGCCGAGACGTGCTGCACCAGAGACATGGTTCGCCTGGCTGGGTTAGCGGGAGGATCCGATAAAAGGGGAAAAAAAGGATATTGACGATGACGACGATGGAAGGATAGGATATACCTCGTGCGATGACTTGCGTTGATGGAATGAAAAGACGGTATGGAATGATGTGGTTGCAAAGGGAGAAATGAAGGTCGGCATGGATTCCACTGGGTCGAAGCTTCTGGATCTTCAACCCGTTCCTCTTCCAAGCTACAAATCCGCCACAGAAGCGGAAGATCGGGCATGACGTTTGATATCGCATGGCTACTGTGGAGTCGATGCGAAGAAGTTCTATGGTCAATCCAATTGATCTTCATCCGGAAACATGGTTCATTTGTTGTAGACTGTTGAACTTCACCAGTTGTCGGACACCATACAAATCAATATTCACGATCCTATCCAAATCACTCCAGAACGCCAACATTCCTGCAAATCCAAAGTCGAAGCATCAATAATTAATTACCACAAAAACTCACCAAAACCCAACACCAACAATCAAGAATAAAACCTTACATCCACAATATTCACCCCTTCAGAACCGCCAACTCTGCAGTGCAAGGTAAAACCACACCCCAACCGCCATCACCCCCAGCACAAACCCCAGCACGCAGCAACAGCACCCGCGCTTTAGCATCTGCACACACACTCGCCTCGTCGTCGTCGGCGAAGACGGGTAGATCGTATCCCGAGGGTCCATCTCGAGCCGGTGGAACGTCGGCGGGATCCTGGCCGTTTCCACGTCGCTGTATGAATCATACGGGGTGGGGGTGGTGGTGGTGGTGGACTTGGGATAAGGTGGAGGAGGGAGGTCCTGGAGGTAAGGTGTTAGCAGTCAGGAGTCAGGAGTTAGCCTTGTTGGCGCAGGAGGGGGATTGTCTAGCGCGTCGTCTACGGACCTTGTCCGTATTCATGATGGTGATCGTGGGAAGGTAGTTGTGCCGGGTATTCTTGCTTTTCTCCAGGGATATCGAGACGATCAAGAATGTCTTGCTTGTGCTCTGCCAGGCTTTGAAGGAATCTTGGGGGAAAGGAAATTGTTCATCAAAGCTGCTGAGTGCTGAGACTGCTGTCGTCGGAGCGCCATATTACGCCAAGGAGCGATGGGCTGGACAGGCCTGCAAGGGCAACAAGCTAACTATCCAATCATCCAATGGTGAGATTTAATGGTTGGTTACTCCAGATAACTATTTTTAGTGTGATAAATAAGAGCATTAGCTTTTGTGGCACAGGCTACAGCAGCATTGATTTGAGTTGACCCCTAAGTAGATATTGAAGAAGTGTTACCTGCAATATAGCTCCAAGATAGTATGCGCAGTATCGATATTTAGCTGTGATAGCAAGATAAAGAGCAGAATCTCTTTGTCACACAGTCGAGGTTCTTTTTTCTTCCAGATAAATCGATCATTTAAGATGATAAGCCAGTCAAAATGAACAAGAAAAGATGTTAAGAATGTCGCGGCTAGTCATCAGCCTCTTCAACCTCATCGACCTGCAACGGAAAACTTATCCAAAAGCCATGAAGATGTCTACTTTTGACTCCCCGTGTGTGAGGCCAGAGCTCATTCAGAACTTCCGTGATTCGCATTGATATCCGGAACGTTCCCTCTTCCACAATGTCATATTCCCTCCACACATCCCAGGCCCCCTTTCCCATTTCCTGCACCTCTAGAAATTCCCAAGGATTGTAGTCAGAGCGCGTGATAAGGAAGGATCGCCTTGGTTGATAGAGCATATGTTTTTCTTCCGGTTCAGTACTGCCACAATAGCCCTACCCCCAAGTCCAGCTGGGATTTGGGCTGTCTTATGCCATATTTCTGGTGACTGCGATGGTCGGGAAGGACCCGTTGACGCCTCTGTTGGGCCCGTCGTTGGATCTCTCAGCCCGCGTGTCCAAGGTTGTCGAAGCCCCACTGGCCCAGTCAGCGGCATGTCTATACGTCGCTGGGCTTATCTGGACTGTTATGTTGACACCATTTACGCTCATCAGGATTACCACGATGATCTGAAAGCTGGCGTCAAAGGACTCGCCGTACGCATTGATTTAGCGGCTGAGGACGCGGGGGAAGGGGGGGAAGGGGTTGGGCCGGGAGCCCGGGGGGAAACGAATATGTAGCGAAAGGCCCTTTTCCACAGGGTGCAAAGGCAGACAGGCACGCACCCTCCTGGCTAGCTGAGATTTAGCTTATGTTTCTTTGAGATCATATAGTGGGAATTGGCATGGTGCTGCGCCACGAAGAGTTTGAGTCCGAGATCCCCCGCTGTTTGGTGGGCATGTTCATGATCGTTGTTACTTGTTATCAGCCCAAGGGTCTACTATGAATGGATCCATTGCTTACTCTGATTATCCTAGTTTAGAGGTGCAGGTCCTGCCTAGTCGGAAATCTACTCTACTGTATATGTAACATACGCTGCATGTCTTTAAGGGAGATTAGAGGCAAGTCCATAGGTAAGCATGTATGCACAAGCCTGCATGGCGAGATGAAAACGCTGAGCTTAATAAACAAAGACTTCCATCCCATTCGATTATTATTAAGCGAGCAGTATTACCAAGCACCTGTCATATGATAGATATGGTTGTTGTTTGTGAATCTCTCTTCTATCAAACTGATTGAACTATAACAATCGAGACTACCTCCTTGATGCATCCTACACACATATGCATATAATTCATCCAACTTAGAATCAGTACTCATCCACTCGATATGTCTGTTTATGTCATTACTGGAGTGTCCAAGGGAATCGGGGTGAGTCTGCCTTCTACCGTGTGATGCACTGTCTTTACCTAATCCAGCGTAGTTTGAGTTCCTCAGGCAGATCTCAGAAGACCAGAAGAACCTGGTTGTCGGTCTAGTCCGCGACAAAGCTACGACTAAGAAGAAGATAGCGGCAGAGCTGGGCGACCGTCCTAATGTCCACATCCTCCATGCAGATCTCACCAAGTACGCCAGCCTGAAGCAAGCCGCTGCCGACACGGCCGAGATCGTTGGCGAGCGTGGCATCGACTACCTGGTGGCCAACGGAGCTTTGGTGCCCTACTTGGACACATATGGGCCCATCGGCGCATTGTAGGTCTACCTCTCTCTGGCTACTGTCCGGGCTGGTCTGTGGTTAATGCCATGTGTCCAACAGGAGCGACAAGGTCGAGGAGGTCGAGGCTGTCTCATCGCAGCTATGGCAGACCAACGTTGTCGGCAACATCCACCTCTTCCACCTCTTCCTCCCTCTTGTCCTGAAGGGCGAGGTCAAGAAGGTCATTACCATTTCCACTGGTCTGGCTGACCTCGACTTGACCAACGATTGCGAGGTTGATATTGGTGCTTTATACGCTGCCTCCAAGGCGGCCATGAACATCATTGTGGCCAAGTTCAACGCCCAGTACAAGAAAGACGGTGTGCTCTTCATGAGTATCAGCCCGGGTTTGGTGGAGGTGGGCCGCTACGCGGATTGTACGTATCCCTTCCTGCCTTCAAGATTGCAACATCTGGACATTTTTATTGATGCAATTCCTACAGCCACTCCGGAAGAGATCCAGGGCTTGACAGGATTCATGGGCAAGCTCGTAACCTATGCCCCTCACTTCAAGGGCCCAATCACGCCGGAAGAATCCGTCCGACATGTCAGGTCGACCTGGGAGAAGGCCAGCATTGAGGGTGGGTTTGGTGGTGCGTTTGTCTCGCATCTTGGAAACAAGCAGTGGGTGTAAACCTGGGGGTCCCGCTCCATCAATTACACCAGATACACTTATTGATGTACATGTAACACGTGCATTTACATACACTCCACGAGGTAAAGGTGTCAACCACGCGTAGTACCGCGTACCTTGTAGCCAAACTTGAGAAACTGGTCTGCGATGTTAGATAGAATAAAGCCATTAACGCCCGTAATAAGCACCGCCGAGTCTTTGGGAACGACAAATTGTTCGATTGGGAGAGACATGGTGTTTACCAGCTGCAGGGTAGAAAGTGCGTCAAGCAAGTGTCAGATATAAGAGGTAGGTCAGTACATAGGGACTTAGGTATAGAAGGTTCTACCTTTAGTAGAGGTGGGGGAAACCCACTAATAATAATGACTACACATCACATCTCAGTCCTGCATATAACTGGAAATATCTGAAAAATGCCCCCAAGGTCGCAATTCAAGCTGCCTGGCCGTCTGACTGGCATTGCCGCTGAAACTGTCTCCGTATTAATTCCACTGGCGACAGACTGTAGAATGGGCCGTACCAGATGGGAGTCTTGCCCATGCCTCGAGTATCCTAGTGGCGAACGACTTTCCCAAAATACCTCCCGGAAAGATCCTTCAGAAGATAGAGGGAGAATGGGAATCGACCGGCTCAATCCACGGCGTCGAAGGCCGCATCGACTTTATCTCCTTTCCTTTATGGGCCTGGGTCTCGAGGATACAGTTCAACTGACAGCCACATTTGACTTGAGATCAAGCATTCTCAGTCCCAAGCCTCAGAGCTACATGTTGTCTCTGATTCGCTATCTATAGGTTCAAGTATTATTCCAGAAGAAGCCTACTTAGTGATGGCTATAGTACATAACTATAGCATTGACAACCCCATCTTGCATAATCTATCCGACGATGCAGAAGCCTAGCAGTAGACACCACTCTTTATATGTATAATTAATATCACAAATACCAAACCGATGAAGCTATACCCAGATGGATCGTTGTTGTCGGATGTCAGGTGATCTGGCGATGACGTCGTGGCTGGGACACCCACGTGGATGACGTAGGAAAGCTGGGCGAGCAGACCATGGATCCTCAAATGCCATCTCCCCCGTGGTTCGAGGTTGGAACTCTTTCTGCCTGCTTGATTTCTTCCTTCATTTCTCTCTAGATATCTATCTACAATCTCACATTGTTGGATCTTGCTACCTCCACGTGGGCTTGTTCCTGAGTATCCTCGACTACCATTCCAAACAAGACTTCCGCATCAGAGTATACTACAAATGGCCCTCCTCTCTATCAACGCTGGTGGTGCGAGCGGTGGATTTCTTTACAGCTCGAGTTTAGCGAAGACGCGGATCTGCATCACAGCCGAAACACCGGATTTTGATAATGAGACGATTCGCCAATGGCAAGATGAAGGGTTCGAGGTGATGTACCTGCCGTATAACAATGGAGGGAAAGAGTATATCAGCCAGCTGCGCTCTGTCAAGGAGGGATTAGGAGTAGGAGTCAACTACGCGGTCATTGGTAAGTGTCCTGGCCAATTCTCTTAAATGGTAGTCACTAAACCCTGCCTTGTAGCATTCGGCGATGCCGCCTCGTTCTGTCTGGATTTCTACCTCAAGCCCACCAATGCCAGCCGTCTTAGTGCGTTGATCTCGTACTATCCGACTAACATCCCCGACACGCGATCTCACTTTCCGCCATCGGTGCGCTTCCTGACACACTTGGCTGGCGAGACGGTAGACGTGACGACCGTGCCGACGGCGCTCGGCATTCAAGGGAAGAAGCGTCGCGCAACCCGGCGAATCACCCCTGGTATTGGCACGGGCGAACGTCTCAGCATCGGACACCCGGCTTATACGTATGATAACGTACAGCCAGGCTTCGCCGAGCATGACCTGGAAGAGTATGATCGGCTCGCAGCGGAGCTGGCGTTTACGCGCACACTACAGGTGATCCGGTCGACGACCGAGAACAAAGAGGATCCAGAGAAGACATGGGAGGACCACCTGGAAGGTATGCATATTCTCATCTCCGCGGGAGGAAGTAAAAAGCTGACCGCACAGCGAAATTCTTCTCCATGAACCTCAAGAACACAATGGAGCCATACGTAGATCACCTCACCCCCAACGTCACCTATACCCCGACCATGAGCGGTGGCATCGGCGCACGCGACCTCCGTCGGTTCTACCAACACCATTTCCTAAACAAGCTCCCGCCCTCCATGCGCCTGCGTCTTCTGTCCCGTACTATTGGCGTCGACCGCGTCGTCGACGAGCTCTACGCCTCCTTCGAACACACGCACGAGATCCCCTGGATGCTCCCTGGGGTGCCACCGACCAACAAGAAAGTCGAGGTCGTCCTCGTCAGCATCGTCAGTCTGCGCTCGGGTAAGCTCTACTCGGAGCACGTCTACTGGGACCAGGCCAGCGTGCTTGTGCAGATCGGACTGCTAGATCCTAAGCTCGTGCCGCAGGGCGTGCAGGGCATCGACCGACTCCCGGTGGTCGGCAAGGAGGCCGCGCGGAGGATCCTGACGGAGAACCCGGAGTCGGAACAGCGCCACTACCATAACCGGCTGATCCGGGCCGCGCATGCGAAGCACCGGCACAAGAATGCCCAGGCGAAGAGTGATCTGGTGGACGAGTCGGGGGCGGAGCTACGGAGCGAGGCCGAGCAGTCCGTCAGCACTGTGAATACGAAAGGGAAGGGGAAAGTTGTGCAGCGGGAGTCGCGGCCGGAGGCGGAGCGGGAGGAGAGTGATGGAGCGGAAACTGAGACGGAGCAGAACGGGAACGGCCATGTCAATGGGAGTGCCAATGGCCACCCTGAGAAAAGGGGCGCTTCCGTGGAAGATGATGACGAGGAGGAGGAGCTATAAGTATGCGCACGACCATGATTACATCCAGATTGCTTTGCCGTCGCGGTGCTATCGCTTGCTGTATGATTTCTCCGGGTTCATGTTTCTCTCGCTGGCTTTTCTGGTTTGTGTTCTATATCCCTAATGACTTGCTCGCTTTCGATTCCAGTATAGTATAGTATATTTTCACGTCAGATGGCAAATGAAATTGTAATTGAACCCACAACGATATACCTCCCTCTCACCAGCCCTTCCACGGCACCCACGTGTCAACCACCACATCGTTCTCATCAACCACATAGTACACATGGTGCTGCGCCGCAGTTATACACGCATGCTGGATGTACAGCGGCACCTTCTGCCCCACACGAAAACACTCCTCCACCCGCTGACCCTTCGCCTCTGGGCGCGCCAGCCCCAGAATCCCATGCTCCTGCGACGTCCGCACCACCGCCCACCCAGGCCGGTCCACCACGCGCCCAAACCCGGCAACCTCGCTCGTCTCCTTCGAAAGCGCCACCGTCCCCGCGTTGACCAGCGCCTCGTTGCGCTCCGGATACACGCTGCACACCTCGGCCAGCACGCGCACCGCCTGCTGCGCCTCGCTCACCAGCCCCGTGCAGACCTGCTGGAGGTCGTTGGCGGGGAAATTTCCTGTCCAGTCTCAGCAACCCCACACCCCACTTCACAAAAAAAAAAAAAAAAAACTCCAATCAGAGCAGGGGCACGGGAAACGAACCAGCATGCAACTCCACCTCCAACTCCACATCCCGCGGCACCTTCTCCCTCAGCGCACCCACCACATGCGCCGTCGGCGTCGACCCAAAACTCACCACCACGCGCCGGCCGCTCTCGCGCCCCAGCGCCGCCGACGCCGCAACAACCCCCTCGAGCTCCTCGCCCAGCACCCCCGCCGCCGCCTCGGCGCCGCGGCACCCGTACGAGTGCCCCGCGTGGCAGTAGAAGCCGTAGACCGCGGCGGCGGGCGAGGCCTCGACGCGGCGGACGAGGGCGGCGAAGGCGGGCGCGGAGCGCTCCAGCCCCGCGCGGCGGGTGCCGACGTCGACCTTGAGGAAGACGGGCCAGGGGGCGTGGCCGGAGGAGGCGTTGAAGGCCTCTAGGGCGGCGATCTGCTGCTCGCTGTCGACCATGAGGACGATGCGGACGGAGGGGGTGAGTTGGGCGAGACGTGGGAGGGCGCTTGGGTAGATGGGGAGGCCGTAGAGGCACTGCCGTCACATTTATTAACTTTTCTCACTCATTGTAGATTTGAACTGGGGGGAAGTGAATGTTTGCTATGGGTGGGGGAGGGGGAGGGCAGGACTCGCCTCATCCAGAATCCCCTCCTCCACCAGCGGCATCGCGCCGCGGATCTCGCTGAGCGTCGACGCAACGATGCGTCGGTGGGTGCCGTTGCCGAGCATCATGCGCGTGACTTCGAGGGACTTGAGGGTCTTGACGTGCGGGCGGAATGAGATCTGCAGGTCCTTGACGTCGTCGAGGAGTCTTTGGATGTTCTGTTGGAGGATGGGTTTGCTGAGGAGGAGGGATGGGGTGGGGAGGTCGGAGGCCGGGCGGCCGATGAAGGATTTGTGGGATTGGAGGGAGAAGTCCATGTTTGCGGTGTATTGCTTTTTCCTTCGATCTGTACGTGATTGTTGTTCTTTCAATGCTGGAGAGAGTCGGGTAGTGGTGTCAGTCAGGGAGAAAATAGAAGGAGGATGGAGACAACTGGACGTTTTTATGTACTGCTCGTGCGGGGTTGTCGTGTTGGGGTTCCCCGCAAGGGATGCGATTTCGGGGGTCGGAGGCGCCAACTGGCAAAGCCGACTTTTACATTCCATTAGGGTTACATGGTTGATCCTCTCTATTTTGATATGAGACGACAGGACATTATGCGAGTATGTCTACAGGAACACTGATACTCCATTTTATCATGTCTCTTATGAAACGTTAATAGTTGATAGCGATGCGATACCACCCTGATCAATGCCATGTGGATCCCTGCCGGACTAGACTCCAACTCTGCAGCTTTAGCCTCTAGCCCTAACATACAGTGTGTGTACTTGCATACCTGCATAAACCTCATGACTATGAGTCATGATCTAGGGAATTCAGTTTGAATTCTAGAATACTTGTGAAATACTGCGAAATGGGTATGCTTCACACCCTTTATCTACTGACCCTCTCATTTTAATAAAATACCAGCAGATGCAGTGCAACCCTCACACTTCCTGCCTCTACCATACCATATACCTTGCACCAAGGGCTCAACAATGGGTAGAAACATCTACCATTAAGACTAGGAGAAGGAAAAAGTTGTTCGTGTACAAGATATTGTCCTGGTATCGCCCCACTCAAACACTACTCAATTGAAGTTAAAATAAGCTTATCGAGTGGAGCTATATGTCAACAGTATATAGTTTAAATTGTAGATATGTCATATTACACTCTCGTCCGTGAATGCCATACCTATTTTCATTGCTGATTCAATATCTCAGCTAGCTGTCTCAGTATGCATCTTGACGGAGGAATAGCTAAATTACTGTACTATCTAGTGCTTAATATGCTGTACAGGTCTGGCGATACATACTATCCTTTCGTCCATGTAACTGACACAATCCTCACTAGCTGCCCTGTCCTACTGCGTGATCCGAGTCTCGTTCTTACCATTCTTCTGTCGAGGGTTGTACTTAGCACTCCACGTTTACACAGGAAGTGGTAACAAAAAAAAAACTTACCAGCTTGCGGCTGTACTGGGCACCCACACTATTACCGCTAACAGCATCATATGAGACAGGACTGGAGTAGTTGTAGGTAGCAGGAAGATGCTTATAGGTGTCTTTGACAGCCTTAAGAGTGTCGGGTCGCTTGGTCCTTGAATGGACAACAGGAGAGGACGCTAAGAATGGTGGTCGAGTGGGACTGTGGGAGAGAAGCCAAGCCTGTTGTTGTAGGGGTTCTACCGCTGCCCTAAAAAAGTGTCCAGACCCTAGTTAGTCAGTAACAGTAGTTCTTATGACACCTGTCGACTAACACGTGCGACATCCGGCATTCATCAACGGCGCTTCTATCGGCGATTTTGTCAGTATCAAAAGCCACCGGCAGATAAGTGACGCCTGCTATTCTTGCTGATATCAAGTGGCTTCGGTTCTTATGGGGATCAAGACCCCAAGAACCCCCCAAGCTTTTTCCACAATCTTGCCACGGCACGAGCTGTGGGCGTCACTGTGCATGATCCGTAACCACCACCAGTCATGCAAAATGCAATGATTCAATAGTCTACCAGCCATCTTGATTTCGGCGTCGCTGATCCCATCCAGGAGTAATTGGGGTGTTCCTTGTAACGCCATTTGATCTGTTGAGATTCCCGTCAGCGGCGGTCCGAGCCTTATTCTGTTAGAAGTCAACATATCAATTCAGTCCACGCACTATCAGATGGAGTTAGCCCCGGAGAGGGACTTACACCTCTCAGGCCCATGTCATGAGCAAGAGAACATAGGAACAGAGATGAGAAAACCCGCCGTCAGTGAACCGAACACAGGCCGCGTCATAGCTGATACGAAGGAAGAAGGGGGAAAACACCATCCCCAAGCCCATTAGCAGCCCGAGACAGCATGCCTACGGGGAGAAAAAGTAAAATGCGACGGGTGAAATTTAAGAAAAGGGCGTGGGGGTGGTTTAATAGTTGAGGAATTCGTGCGGCTGAGATACGAGCGATAATTACAATCAGTGCAGCGATGTCCATCTCGGCCAGTATCATTGACCCCGTGTGGGGCCGTTCGGTTGACTCCCTCGCCATTCATTATCCGACGTGGATAGACTGATCAGAGGCATTAATCTTGCATCGAAGGAGCTCCCAGTATGCCCCCGGACTCGAACGCCACGTTCAACTTTTTGATGTGTGCAGGATTCACGTCTCGATTGGGAACAGCTAAGATAAGAGGCACCCAAAATCTGCCGAAACGCCGGAGGGCGCAGACGGTAATGCAGGAACAGGCACAGGCAATCAGAGACGTGGTCACATTGAGATACTCAATCGGTCCTTTTGACCACCCAAAGGAAATCGATTTCCGGATGCTTTCTCTTGAGGTCATGGGCGATGGGGCTATGGTCAAGGGAGAGAACGAAGGTGGACAAGAGAGCTCTCTTGGATTCGGTGAGAACAATAAGCAAGCCCTTTGCTCTTGCAATTGCCATCAAATAATGGATCTCTGGGTAGGATAATTTACTGAGAAGTGAATGGGCGACTGGGGTCGGAAATCAATGCACAGAGAATAATAGATTCTATAACATCACGTCATTGCAAAGTTTGCGACAGATCTATCTATCTACACCATCATGTCAAAAGTAAATCATAGTCATCCGCTGAAGGCACTCAAAACAAAGGTAAGATCTCAAGGACGAGCCCTCTAAGCGAAAGCCTTAACCTCGCCATCCTTGAGCTTACCAGCACCGACCAGTCTCTGGGCCTCCTCGGCCCACACACCCTTGACGGCGGCGCCGTCCTTGCCAGCAGCATTGAGGCGCTCAGCCAGAGAAGCAAGCTCCTCGGCGTCAATCTTGCCCATGATGAGCTCGACATCGCCCAGGACAGAGTCAACCTGGGCGGCAGAAGGCTCACCAGACTCAGCAAAGTAGTTGACATCCTTGACAGAGCCCTTGAGCACACGCTTGTTCTTCTTGGCAGCGTTTTTGGCAGCCTCCTTGGCCTTCTTGTTCTTCTCACGCTCGGCCTTGGCGTTCTCCTCGGCATCCTTCTTGCGCTGCTCCTCCTCCAGACGAGCCTTCTCCTTCTCCTCAGCCAGACGCTTGGCCTCGGCCTCCTTCTCCAGACGCTTCTTGTCCTTGCCGGCACGGGCCTGCTGGCGGAACTTCTTGATTCTCTCGTCCTGAGCAAGGCAGTCATCGACCAGGTGACGGAGGCGGGCAGTATCCTCGGTCTTGCGCTTGCGGCGGGCGTTGGCGTTCTTCTTCTCGACATGACGCTTCTGGTCACGGTTCTCGTTGTCATCGGGAACATCCTCGTCGAGATACTCAAATGTACGCCAGCTGTCGAAGTTGTAGAAGAAGTTGTAGAAGGCCTCGACCTCCTCCTGGGTGCTGTTCTCGTCGCCGAGCTTGGGAACGGGCTGGGTCTTGGAGAAACGGCCCTCGGCCACGAAGACGGGGCCCCAGCTCTTGTAGAAACCGCGCTTGGTGAGGTCCTTCTTGGATGGGGGGTCAACGTCGGCGGCCTCATCGACGGAGTCGAACTGGCGACGCTTGACGGGGTCGGTCAGCAGCTCGTTGGCCTTCTGGATGCACTTGAAGAAGTTGTCGTTCTCGTCGCGGTCACCAAGAGCGGCCTTCTTGTCGGGGTGGTGACGGAGGACCTTCTTGCGGTGGGCACGCTTGATCTGCTCGGGGGTAGCACGCCAGCGGTACTTGCTCAGACCGAGAACGGCGTAGTGATCTTGGGCCTAGGGGGAATGTCAGTATCGAATAGCAGTCTTCACTGGAAACTATCGACCGACCTTCCAGTCCTTGGCATCTCTGGACAGCATCATGGGATCCTCAGCCTCGGAGATCTCATCATCCTCATCATCCTCAGTCTTCTTGACATTCTGCTGGGCCTGGATTCTCTCATCCTCGGAGAAAGTGCGCTGGTGACGCTTCTAAGAGGTTGTTAGTACACAGTTAACTGACATCAATCCTGAATTTATGCAATAACTCGTAAGGTACTGAAGAGGAAAGTACTGACTCTGCGGGCGTGGGCCAAAAAGTGAGGGCCAACAGGCTCCAGGTTTCTCTGGATGGCGGCAGAGAGGGTGCCAACAGCCTTGAAGTCCTTGTCGGAGCTCCAGTCCTGAGACAGGATGGGCAGGGTGACGTTAATGACCTGGTGGGAAGCCATTACATATGATTGTCCGAAGCAGACGATGATATCTGGGACTTCGAGGGATGGAAGAGGGGGAGGAATGGAGGATCAGATCCAGGTTGTGTGCCGCTGACAAGCAACAGCAAAAAATCGAAGGGCAATTTTTATTTTTTTTCTGCCCCGACTTGCCGCCCCGCCCGTGGCCAATGGAACAGCGGCAGTTTCGGAGTTCATCGAAGGCGACAATCAGCGATAACCGATGTTCATGGCTATTTGTCTGATTCGAAACAACAGTCCTTTACATTCCGTCCAGTCTATTCATTATTCTTTGACAACATGGCTTCCCAGACCGCTGTTGCTGCCCGTGGTGCTTATAGGCAAATCCTCCGTGCTACCCGCGTCGCTTTCCAAAGTCAGACTCCATACTCCCCATATCAGCCTGCGATACTGACGGTCCATAGATGACTTCCGTGTTTTGATCGCTGCTCGTCAAGAAGCCCGTCAACAGTTCGACAAGCATCGTCGGGAAGGCATCGATACTCCTATGCAGATCAACCATGCGAAAGAGGTAGCCGATATTCTAAGACACAACATTGTACAGGGTGTCAGGGACGGCAGCGATGAGGCCTCCAAATGGGGTATGTACAATCGATCATGGTTAACGCAGGCCTTCGACGTTGAAGTGCTTCAATGCTAACACACTCCCTTTCCAGAACTCCGCATCCACGACGATATCGAGCGAGGAGACAACGATTCGATCAAGATTGGGGGGAAGAATGTCAAGATTGAGAAAGCCTGCTCTGCATGATTGGAGCTACGGGCCAGATTTAACTGGAGTCTCTGTCCTATTGTTTGGTTGAAAGAAAGATGGCAAGACTTGCATTTGCAATTGTATTATAGTATACCCATTTTCCTCCCCTCCTGGCGTCTCTTGGGGTATTTTTCTGGAGAAAAAAAAAATGCATAGACAAACAACGCCCGCTCTGAACATATGTAACATGCCTTTTGTGCAAATCACAGAAATGAAGACCGCAAGAATCTGATAGAGACAAATCAATCCCCCGACAAGCTGGAATACTGAACCTCCCCGCTTCCAGGAGGCGGCGCCACTAGCCGACTCTGGGACTTCTCTGTGGTGGACTCGTCAGCAGCTGCGATGGCCCTCTTGCCTGAGTTGCCACCCTTTGGTGTCTGCACGGTCTGCCGCCCTTCGCGAGCATTTTTCATCCGTTCCTCCCGATCCAAGTTGTCCAAAGGCTTGGGCTTGCCCCACCGGACTCGTAGGGGACATCCTTGAATGACAGCTTTGCCCTGACAATGCTGCGCGGCAGCTTCGGCGCCCTCTCGCGTCGCGTAGTTGACAAAAGCGCAGTGGGACCGGTGGGAGCAAATCAAAGACCGTAGCTGGCCGAATTGCGTAAAGAAGGTTCGCAAGGTGTGTTCTGGAAGATCATCCTCCACGCCCGTCACGAAAAGCGATGTGACGTTCGGATCGGCCGGGGGAAGATAGTCCTCTGGTGAGGGGGGCAGCTGAGCGGTGCCGGGGAAAGGACGGCCGCCACGGCCCCCGCGCATGTTTCCACGTCCTCGCCCCGGTAGTGGTGTACCTCTTCGGCTCTCACTCGTGCGAACGGGTCCCGGTCCGTTGCCATAACGACTATGTACAACGGGGGCGTCTGTAGGCGGCGCCTCACTCGATTCCTCCGACGGTCCCTCAAGTCGCTGTCGCGGTTTCCTGTAGTAAGGTTCACTGTTCGCAAGTCTTCTCAAAAGCTCACGGGCCTTCTCGTCTGTCTTCTCGTATGCTTCCACCGCCCCACGACCCTCTTCGATTTCTTTCTCGTGTTCCTGCGCATAGTATTCGCGGTTGATTGAGCTCTCCGGTCCGGGAGCAACCATCTTCAGGGCAGCATCTCGAACAACAATTGGAAGACCGAATGACAGATCCAGCATACAGCACTGGCAGCAGTTTTTCAGGCGTGCGCAAGTCAGGCAGATCGTGGTTCGCTTGGTGCGTGCCGTTCGATCGGCTTTCCAACGAAAGATGGTAAAGGGACGTGTACACTAATATGCATCAGTAACGAGCCTTGCGCATGATCGAGAATCAATAGAACTTACAATTTTGCACTCGGCGCCATGGTCCTCCTTGAGCATCTGCACGTACGGATTATCGGGGAGGCAATTCTCGCATACGGAAGGAAAATCGGTGGACTCCCATCCCGATCGGTTGAGATCTTGTTTGATCTGAGGGGGAGGCATGTTTGATTTATGGGGTGAATCGCAAAAATCAACGATAGTAAGCAGTCGTCGATGCGCTCAGTAGTTGAGCCGGACACGCCTTGACGTGGTGAGCAAAACCAAGCAACGTTTATCGATAGTCTTTGCCCTCATGCCGTGGCTGCCTGTGGCTGGTGAGCTTATGTAAGTATAGCCATCACGTGAACCCTCTTTGGCACATGCCAATTGTTCTTGTGTTGCTCCGTAGATAAGGTAGACTCGGAAGTTGGAACCTCATACGCAATACGCAGTAACAAATTGCTTAGAAATCCGATATGGCGTCTCTCTCGTATCTCTGCGTATATTCCCATCGACCTCAAATCATAATAATCACAACTTCAGATGCAAGGACATGTCAACATGCAGAATGCAGACCGACCATATGCCAGCCGACGGGGATACGCGATACGCGATACGCAAATACGCAAATACGATGGGCTCTCAGGCCAGGCTTGGCGACTTTTCCTCTTCCCTCCTCACAGCCACCCTCGGAGCAGCACTTTCTCCGGCAACGTTAACCTGATGGGACCACCCCCAGACCGCTTTTTTGGGTCTAGCGGTTCTAGTGCTGCCACTTGTGGTTGGCTGGCCGGGTTAATTACTGTGATTGGCCTCAGGCTCCCAGTCAAGGACTCGCAATTCTGCCTCCTTTATTTGGTCGATCTGGGATTTTTTGTCTTGCTGGCAATCACATTCATATCACACAACCACCCCCCCCCCCCCTTCTTTTTTCTTGATTTTTTCCTTTCTGCCTGCTTGGTTCCGTTGCTCTGGCATTGTGATCTTTGCGCATATATCTAGCCTCCAAGTCTCCTGACCAGGCCATTGTTCTCTCTTCTCTTTACGCCTTCTTTTCTTCTCAGTGATCAGTGATCCACCCCTTTTACCCCTTATCACATTTTAAATCCCCCCCAGTTGATATCAACAATGGCCCCCACTGCTTTGGAACAGGAGAACCACACTCGCGACGCCGAGTTCAATCGCGCGCTCCATGGAAAGTCTGCTCAGTCTCAGGGTGGCTTTGCTGCCATGCGTGGCAAGGATGCTGCTGCGCAGAAGGCCGCTGTCGACGAGTACTTCAAGCATTGGGACAACAAGCCCGCTGAGGAGGAGACTGAGGAGATTCGCGCAGTTAGTACCTGCTGAAACCTCGGATCCCAGACAACCATCACTAATTGATTGCTTCCTGGTTTAATTAGGCCCGCCGTGCTGAGTATGCGACATTGACCCGACAGTACGTTTTTTTCAACCTCCACTTGGCGATTCATTGAGACCATCTGACATGTTGCAGCTACTACAATCTGGCGACCGATCTGTATGAGTATGGATGGGGCAGCTCTTTCCATTTCTGCCGCTTCAACCAAGGCGAACCCTTCCTCCAGGCCATTGCCCGCCATGAGCACTACCTCGCTCACCAGATGGGCATCAAGAGCGGCATGAAGGTTTTGGACGTCGGCTGCGGTGTTGGCGGTCCTGCCCGCGAGATCGTCAAATTCACCGATGCCAACGTGACCGGCCTGAACAACAATGACTACCAGATTGAGCGCGCGACTCGTTACGCCGGGCGTGAGGGATTGAGCCACAAGCTCAACTTCGTCAAGGGCGATTTCATGCAGATGAAATTCCCCGACAACAGTTTCGATGCCGTTTACGCCATTGAGGCTACCGTCCACGCTCCCGAACTTGAGGGTGTGTACAAGGAGATTTTCCGTGTGCTGAAGCCCGGTGGTGTCTTTGGTGTCTACGAGTGGCTCATGACCGACGAGTACGATAATGACGACCCTGAGCACCGCAAGATCCGTCTGGGTATCGAGCTTGGTGATGGTATCTCGAACATGGTCAAGGTCTCCGAGGGTCTGACCGCCTTCAAGAATGCCGGTTTTGAGCTCCTTCACAACGAGGATCTGGCTGATCGCCCCGATGCCATTCCCTGGTACTACCCCCTGGCTGGCTCGTGGAAGCACATGACATCGCCCTGGGATTTCTTCACCATTGCCCGCATGACATGGTGGGGTCGTGGTATCGCTCATCGTTTCTGTGGCGCCATGGAGAAGATCGGTCTCTTCCCCCAGGGCACCCAGAAGACCGCCGACAGTCTCGCTATTGCCGGTGACTGCCTGGTCGCTGGTGGTCAGAAGAAGCTGTTCACGCCCATGTACCTGATGGTCGGAAAGAAGCCCGAGTAACGAATTACTGCATCACGCGAAATGCCTGTACAAACAGCCGCTTTGCCTGCATCTTTCTGAGTTATAGACGCGGCGGTCTAATTATTTCTTAATTGTCTTTTTTTTTTCGCTTCTCGTTTCTCTTTGTTCGATTATTTCTTTCTTGATTTCTATTTGATCTGTGTTATTATTGCAGACCACTGTGGGATGCTATGTTTGTCTTTTTTTTTTTTTTTTGATGCCCAACCCATCCTGCGGACGGTGTACGTTTCACTGCTGAATATGCGCTGATGGTGATGACTTTGTTGTTCCTTTTGTTCTTTTCTTTTGTTTTTTTTTCCAGTCAATATAAATATGTAATTGACCATTGAGTGAAAAAAAAGGGTTTTCTGCGTTTGCCAGTCATGCTTGATACCATTCAGTTTCCAGTACATAGACATAGTGCGGCTGCTAGTTGCGTTTGACTGGCACCAACCCAAGCAGAGATCATATTCAAGTGTTTGTTGCCTGCAGTTGATGAAATGACTATCCTCATCATGATTACATATATATGTGTGTATCACATCAGAAATTCTTGAGAATGCATACACTCTGGTTATTGAATGACAGCAACTTATTTCAGACACTAGATATTCTGATTACTATCAAGTGAAATCGAAGCAAATAGCGAGATGTAAACCATTGATAATGATATATAAATATATATTTTCAGGCTACAGAAGATGAACATGGAGTGCATCTCTCCGTACATATCACGAACATCAAATCTGACATAACAATCTCCTAGAAAATATATAGAGATACCCAAGGTTGGATATACTGTATATATACCCTTGCAGAAGTAGCTAGGCTAGAGCTAGTATGATGTTCTGCATCCCGAGTCATGAAGAACGCTGATTCAGTCCTGATGTTATATTTCCGTCATTATAGCAGGGTCCTAAACTCCTAATGCTAGTCTTGCATGGGAGATCGCACTAGAAACCTTTGCCAGTTAAAGTTAAGCGCCGATCAAGCTACGCTAAATAGTCTCAATGGACTATAAAGTATGATTACTGATTTCCTCTGACCAGAATACCAGAATGATTGATGCTTTGAAGAAACTTTATGTAGTCCGTTGGAATGCTACAGAGCCTACAGTCCTAAAGCACGGAGACCGAATGACCGACACCCCGACCAGACAGCTCAGTAATTTCGTGAAGAGTTCTGGGGTTCTCAATTGACATTTGATGGCTTCTAGAATTATCAGAAGGTTTGAAGTGCGTATCCAACCCAATCATGACGAAGAATGTGCTTGGAGATCCGGACTAGGCAAATTCCCCATGAAACCGCTTACTACTAGTAGCTTACGCTGTTCTCGTCATCATTATCGACTTTTTTGCTTACGGCTGTTGGCACTTGCACGTCGTCATGTTTGCAGGGTTGATTAAATACCCCCCCCTTCGTATCCTCAATACTTCTCGCTCCCTCGATTTTGATTTTATTTGATTATTTCTTTCTTTCTTTCTTTCCCATGGGCATTGAATTCGCGACAATCAGCCTCTCACCATGACGGTTGACGAAGCGCCGCAATCAACCGACAGCCTCGAGGCCGCAGCGCCCGAGAAAGCACCCACTCCGGTGGGTTTCTGGGATCCAGCCTTAGAAGCGACCCGCAAGCGAGTGGTTCTACTATGGGCGCGCATAGGTAAGAGCGCGAACCTGCGCAAAACAAACGCCATTTTAACTAAAGAAATTGAGTAGTGTTGATGCTCTGCGTCTTCATCCTCTGTATACTTTCGCTGTACTGGGCCGTTCAGTTTCGAGCGGAGGACCGACTACCTGCTTTGACCGTCTGGGTGGTCGACTTCGATAACCAGGTTGAGCCATATAAAAATGATACTCTGACCGCGATTGTGGGACCGGTCGTGACGGACGTGGCGCGGCAGGCTGTTCAGTCGAATCGCAAAGGCGTCGGATACACGATCAAATCGCCCGCCGACTTCGACTTTGATCCCTGGGCTGTGCGGCAGGGGGTCTACGACGAGCATGCGTATGCCGCGGTGATTGTGAACCCGAACGCGACGGCGCTGCTTTACGACGCGGTGCGCAACGGCAACTCGTCGTATGATCCGTCCGGCGCTGCGCAGTTCATCACCATCAGCGCTCGCGACCAGACCACGTATTCCAGCTACATCGACCCGGCGCTATCGTCGTTCCAGCTGGCCGCGCTGGCCGAGTTTGGTCCCAAATGGGTGCAGACGCTCGCCGCGCAGTCGGTGAACATCTCGAGAGTGCCGCAGGCTGTGAACCCCGCGATTGGCTTCCAGCAGGTGGACCTTCGACCGTTCGGCCCGGCTGCGGCAACGCCGTCCGTGACCATTGGCCTGATTTACCTGATCATCATTGCGTTTTTCAACTTCCCGTTCCTGATGCCCGTCCACGTGCAGCTGATCAAGGGCGACCATCCGCCGCTGAAGGGTCCACAGTGGCTGCTCTGGCGGCTGTGCTCCAACATCACGGCGTACTTCTTCCTCTCGTTGTTCTACTCGTTCGTGTCGCTGGCATTCCAGGTCCCGTTCAGCAATCATCCGGCATCGGAAACGCTCCTGGTGAGCAATCCCAACGCCTATGGACACGGATCGTTCGTGGTGTTCTGGATGCTGAACTGGGTCGGCATGGCGGCGCTTGGTCTGCCGTGCGAGAACATGGGCATGATCCTCGGCTTCCCCTGGAGCGCGCTCTTCCTCATCTTCTGGGTTATTTCCAACGTTGCCACGGGCTTCTATGCGCTGGACCTGGCGCCGGCATTCTTCCGCTGGGGATACGCCTGGCCGCTACACCGGAGTAAGTATCCGTCCTCCTACAGATCCATCACGTTGTTCTAAACTCGCGTTAGTTGTCGAGGCACTCCGGACCATCCTCTTCGACACGCATTCCCGCATCGGCCTCGATTTTGGTGTTCTTTTTGCATGGGTCGGCGTGTCTATTCTCTTCTTTCCCGTTGCGGCGTTTATCATGCGATGGAAGATGAAGCGGGGGCTGTGATGAACTTTCCATACGGACACTGCACCAAAAAAAAAAGCATATAGACAAGATTGTACATATAATAGCAACCCCATAGACATACACATACACATCTGACCTCACAAGAACCCTCATGTACAATCCGCGTCCATACCTTTTCATAACCATAACCATAACCTTACCCTAATCACTCGGCTGATCGGGCTCCTGACCCATCGCCTGCAACTTCTCGCGCGCCTGCTTCTTGCCCATATCCGTGACGTTGGGGTTATGCGTTGCCCTTTTGTCCCCACCACCACCATCATTAGCCCAGGTTCACCTATAGCCAAAACTCTCAAAAAAAAAAAAAAAAAAAAAAAAAACAGAGGATACATACGCCTTCAACCCCCTCTTTACATTCGACGCGTGGCGCTCATCCCCGCTCGGGCCCTGGTCGGATTCATACTTGTCGAGCTCCTGCTGCGCATGCTGCTTGGCTTGTTTTGAGACGCGCTGGTTCTTGAGTGTGCTGTTGGTCGTTTGGTCGGTTTTGAGCATCTGGTCAGTGCTGTGTTTTGTAGGCAGGGGGGACGGAGACGGGTATGGGCTTACGCTTTGTAGCCTCTGATGACGTTTTCGGGGGGGGCGCCTTCTCGGCCCATTTTGGCGATTTGTTGATGATGTTGTTGTTGTTGTTGTTGTTGATGATGTTGTTGTTTGAATTCAATCAGTTATGAATGTGGATATGGATATGGATATGGTTGCTGGGGTGGTAGGTGCTGGTTTAAGTAGGGATGAAGATGGCTGGTGGCGCTGGGATGTCATGATGTGTGTGGTATATGTTGAATGATGCTGGATGACATGATGTTGTATTTCCGTGGTAGGAATTGTGTGTTGAAGGGCATAGCATATTTTACAACTTTACTTACTCCGTAGATATACAGATAGTCACTACGGAGTCAGTTGCACATGTTGGATGCAGGGATAGGCAAGGTCCCTGACGATCATATCCACTTCTATGTATGCATGTATGTATGGAGTAGTTTAGATACTCCACGGGCAGGGGCAGTTCCAGTGGAGACGGCGAGTGCATCAGATTGACTCCCGAAATTCCGATAAAGTAGTTGAGATCAGAGATTCCTTCTATAACGGCTCCGTGTTATAGCCTATACCCCGTTGCTTCGAGATGAGATGTACACCCGGACAAAATCTCCGTCCTCGCCATCCAGCGCCAACAAACTGTTCCTAGCCAAAGCCTCGGCCGGGATACACTTCCGCTGGCTAGGACGCTGGTTCGAACCCTGCTCTTCGAAGAAAGTGGCAAGATCTGGGTGATGCTTCGTTTGACTCAAGATGTGCTGGCATAGATCTCTGCTTCAAAGGGTCCGATGTTGATGCTGATGCGTACATGCAGAGAGTCGAAGGACCCAGCTCAGAGTCGCCGGAGAAAAAGGAAGGCCAACACATGCCTGTCTATGATGTTACCTTCGCCACAAAGGCGTGAACTGCAACCTCACCGAACGCCCGTCTTCGCGCTAAAGATAGCAAAAAAAAATTTTGCGGCCTTCTAGAATAACAGGGTATGTCCACGTGGGCAAGTCCTCACCCAGGTGCGGCCCTGCGGGTCTTGACTCTTGCACCTGCAGGACAGCAGGGTATCATGGTATGTGTCCCACAAGGCCTCTTCCTCGCATGTCCAAGTCGCCATCCCATATCTTGTGTTCTATTTCGGCGTCCACGCCCGAGATGAGTGTCATCAGACACACTCAGAAACCCGAGTGATGCCCTGCGAAGAAGCAGCACGTGTGCCATCAACCATACTTGATTCCTCGAGCTGCGAGGTCATAGTAACTGGATGACTTTGGGACCCTGAGGCGTTGGTCTTGGCAGGCGCAAAGAGTGGTTGTACCCGACGCTTTGACTCAGCCACCAAACGCCCTCCTCCGCCCGCTTTGTCCACTCAGCGCCGCGGGATCGGGCATGTTTATGTACCGCGCTTGCTGATTGGCTTGGCGGATATCGTGTGGTTGACGCCCCGGAAAGCCCGGGCCAATCAGGCGCGAGGGGCCATTACAAACAAGACATCTAACCCGTCTAGGCAAAGGTCTTGATTAAAGCTTGGGGAGCTTGAGTGTGGACACTGGATAGTGGGACAGCGTGCAGGTGGTATACTGTGTACTTTTAATATGGAGAGCTAGATGGCCAGCTAGAAGCTGAGATCGTGCTTGAACTGCTCGTCTCGATTCGTCGCCCAGGGCTTCAGCTTAAACTTTGGGGCCATGGACACTAGGACGCCGTCTATCAGGGGGTCCGTCTACATAAAGACCCTGACCTCCGCACCGACACCGTTTCGTGAACTGAAAGAGGTTGAATCCCTGACTCTGCAGTGACAAGTGCCGGTCCCATCTACACTTGCAATCACCATGGCCGCAGTCAGTGAGGGTGGCAACCCCGCCTTCCACAACTACAATGACCTCCAGATCGAGGATCCGCGCGAGCGCCGCCGCCGTGCCCTCGCCGAGATCGACAATGCCAAGTTCGGCTGGCACCACGTCCGCGCCGTCATCGTCGCCGGCGTGGGTTTCTTCACCGATTCGTACGACATCTTCGCCATCAACCTGGCCTCCAGCATGCTGGGTGTCGTGTTCTGGCAGGACGCCAAGTCCGGCGCCGGCAAGATCCCCTCCTCTGCGGACACTGCCATCAAGGTGTCCACGTCGGGTGGCACGGTCATCGGCCAGCTGCTCTTCGGCTGGTTGGCGGACCGGATTGGTCGGAAACGGATGTATGGTATCGAGCTGATGATCATTATCGGCGCTACCCTGGCGCAGTCTCTGTCCTCGGATTCGACCGCGTTATCTATCGTGGGTGTGCTGATCTTCTGGCGTGTTATCATGGGTATTGGTATTGGTGGGGATTATCCGCTGTCGTCCATTATTACTTCCGAGTACGTTTTCCTTTTGCTGCTGTGTATCTGCTCTTGCTGGCTGACTGACATGCAAAAGATTCGCCACCACCAAATGGAGAGGTGCCATGATGGGCGCCGTCTTCGCCATGCAGGGCTTCGGCCAGTTCGCCGCCGCCATCATCGCGCTGATCGTCACCGCCGGCTTCAAGGAGTCGCTCCAGACCGCCAGCTCCGTCGGCAAGTGCTCCGGGGTCTGCCAGCTCGCCGTCGACAAGATGTGGCGTGTGGTTATTGGGTTCGGCGCCGTTCCCGCGTGCATTGCCCTGTACTACCGACTCACCATCCCGGAGACGCCGCGGTACACCTTCGACGTCGCCCGCGATACCATCAAGGCCAACGAGGATGTTCGTGCGTACATGTCCGGCAAGCGCGAGGGCCACCCGGACGAGATGCAGCGCGCGTCTGTCCTGCAGGAGACCTCGGCCGAGGCTGTTGCGCCCAAGGCCAGCTGGGCGGATTTCTGGCGCCACAACCTGCAGTGGAAGAACGGGCGCATTCTGCTGGGTACGGCGGGATCGTGGTTCTTCCTTGATGTTGGTACGTTATCCACCCTGGTCCTCAATTGAACACTGAAACCGTCCGCTAACGGGTCTCCTCTATAGCCTTCTACGGTCTCGGCCTCAACAACTCCGTCATCCTCGGCGCCATCGGCTGGACCGGCGGCGGCAACGTCTACGAGGTCTTCTACCGCACCGCCGTCGGCAACCTGATTCTGATCTGCGCGGGCGCCATCCCCGGCTACTGGATGACGGTAGCGACGGTCGACACGATCGGCCGCAAGCCCATCCAGCTGGGCGGCTTCATCATCCTCACCATCGTCTTCATCGTGATCGGGTTCGCCTACGACCCGCTGAAAAACTCCAACAACGGCCTGCTGGCGCTGTACGTCATCGCGCAGTTCTTCTTCAACTTCGGCCCCAACGCCACCACCTTCATCGTCCCCGGCGAGTGCTTCCCCACGCGCTACCGCTCGACCTCGCACGGTCTCAGCGCGGCGTCGGGCAAGGTCGGCGCCATCATCGCGCAGTGTGTGTTTGGGCCGCTGGTGCACAAGGGCTCCAGCGACCCGTCGAAGTCGCCCTGGCTCAACCATGTCATGCAGATCTTTGCGCTGTTCATGCTGTGCGGATGCTTCACCACGCTGCTGATTCCGGAGACGAAGCGCAAGACGCTGGAGGAGTTGTCTGGGGAGGATGATGTGGATACGCTGGTTGGTGGGTCGCCCATGATTCATGGGAAGGTCGAGGAGAACGCGAAGTAGAATGAGGTTTGGTTTTGTCATCTTGTAAACGTTGTAATAATTAGTTGGAGCTGTGCTTAGATTTGGGATTCTGAATAGCGCGCAACCTTAATTCTTGAATGCTAGATAATCAGACTGCCACAAACACAGACCGATGCGATTAATTATCTAGATCATTTTCTTTCCAGCAGAGTAAGTGTCACGTAAATTGCAGGCATTAGAGCAGCGACGACCAATATCCAAAATCCAGACCATTCGAACCAGAATATCAGAATATCACACAAAAGACAAGTTAGTTCTTAGGGCAGAGAAGCGCAATAACCCAACCCGTCCAACATACATAAATACCCCCCCCTCTCCCCTCTCCCCCGTCTTCTCCTTTCTCTCCCTCCAATCTTCCCTCCCACCTCTCCAAACCCTCACCCAAAATGTCCCAAACACTCACCACAACCATAACCACAACCCACCAAAACCCTTCTCACCAAGAGGACGGAAAAGAAGAAAAAGAAAAAGAAAACGACCCCCCAACCCTCCACACAACCCTCACCACAGACCAAAATGACCTCATCGCCGCCCTCCGCCTCCTCTCCGACAGCGTCGCCCAGCAGCGCCAACTCGCCGCGCGCGCCCTCCTCGCCAACCCGCTCGCCCTGGCTCCGCTCCTCGCCCTCCTCGCCGCAGCTTACAAACTCACCTACCACGCGCCCGCGGACCTTCCGCTCTTCCTCACCACCGCGGCTGGCTGCGTCGCCGTCTTCTTGACCGCCGTGAGATGGGTGTGCGCCGGGTATATCGAGGAGGCGGAGAGGGTGGGGACGTGGAGATGGTTGCGGCAGCAGCACCAGCAGCAACAACAACACCCCGCTCAGGACAAGAACAGGAGCACGAGCAAAAGCAAAAGCAAGAACACAAGCCATCGCAAAGTCAGGCTGCAAAGTGAAGATGCAGATACAGATGGGGATGAGGATGCGCAGGTCGTGCTGATCACCCGCTTCGGCGAGCGGATCATCGGCGCCCTTGTCCTTTGCGGGCAGACCCAGCACGCATCTGGTGGTGGGGAAGTCCGGGGCGTGATCCGTGGGTGGACTGTTGAGCGCCGGTATCGGGGATTTGGGGTTGGGCGGGAGCTGCTGGAGGCTGCGGTGGGGGTTTGTCGGGAGAGGGAATGGACGGGGCCGGAGTTTGATGCGGCGCATGCGAATGCGAAGAGGGTGGTGCCGGGGTGGTTGGATCGGGGGTTTGAGGAGAGGGAGCGGAGGGCGAGGCGGGTGTTGGAGGGGGTTAAGAGCGCGGGAGGGTCATAGCTGGTTTCGTTTTTTTTTTTTTTTTTTACTATTACTTTTCTTCAAGACCAGCAGGTATCAACGACTTAATCACTTCCTCAATTTCCTCCCTGGTTTGCTGCCCACAGGATGGAGCGCTCTCGGCCATCCTTGAACAAGATGTTAGCATCCTTGTCGAGCAGGTATGCCACAGGCTCGCTCTGGCCCTTGTAAGCTGCGCGATACAATGCAGGTCACCACCCACTCGCTTCCTCCAGGTCCGCGCCACGCTCCACCAGTAGCTTGAGATGTTGCCCAGTCCCGCAGCCGCAGTATGCGCGGCGCTTCTTTCCAGGTTCCATTCCTGCCGAAGCATCCATCAGGCGGAGGATCTCCAAAGACGGCGTCGCGTCGGCTTCTCCTTCTCACCCACCCACTAGCGCCGCCACGCCTGCTTCAAGACCATCAAGAAAAGCGTACCGTCTCAATAATGCCCGTTAGTAAGCTTCTATCCGCAAAAAGCAAACTCACTGTGATGCCTGTTGAGATTGAACCCGGTGTCTTCCACACCGCAAGGGACTCCTGGTAGAACCCATCGTTCAATGAGTCCGGGGAGGGGAGGGGATGGGGGGGAAGACACCTGGAAGCCCTCGTTGAAGACCCAGTCGAGTATGCCATCAACCATGTGCTTTTGCTGCAGTGTGTGCGGCGATGTCTGCACGATTTTAGAAATGCGAATTGTCAAATAGCCACTGGACTGTGTGAAGAAATGAGGGTTCTGTATGATTTCCACTCCTCATTGATGACATACTAAGAGCAAAGCCAGGAGTTCCAGGAGGGGTTGAGCGTTGACATCGCCTTCTTTGCTGTCAGGATATCCTAGGATGCACGTCAATTGCAGAGACTCGCTGAGCCGACCCCTCCTTGATGAAACCGTGAGGGAGCTACAAGTTTGGCTTTGCGACGACTACAGAGTAGTAGTTATGAGGCGACTCCTAGCGCTCGTGCTTCTTATTCCTCTTGGTTTGGCCACCTGGAGCCAACTTGTCACACTGCATGAGCGGGTCCTGGTCGATCAGGCATAGTAAATATAAGGTTTGCCTAGATATGAAGTCCAGTTTAGCTGACACCAGTCTGATTCCCTTGTCGCAATTTCTGAGTGGTCAAAAGCAAGGCGCCATGGTCAACACAGCCTGCATGGAGCTGACGAAGCTTGGAGGAGATAAGGAAGATGAGGATGACAGCAGTTTTGTTAATACGATTGGACTTCAAAAGGATGAAAAATGCTGTGATAGATGCACGTAGGGGGAATGATGGCAGCAGGGAAGGATATAGTTGTTTTAGGGATTCTCAATTAGATGCCTGCTTTGATAATTACTGAAGATGACAGAAAGGGTAGATAGAATCCAGCTGCCAGAATAATTCTCTGGATATTGGATATTGGATATGCGCTGAGGTTCAAAGTTAATATGGCTATATCCTAGCATAACTGGATGTTAATTCCCTCTCTCTATCCTATCCCCATGGTAGCTATATTGGTAAATCTGTCCAGAATAAACCGGAGATATAAACAGACATCTTTAGGGCAAAGCTGATTGGCATGCCGTGCTATCAACATCAACCTAGAGGCCTCCCATGTTCCACTACCTCCCTGGGCCACGTAAACACCAGGGCTCAGTGATTCCTTAGAAGTTAGAACACTGCCAGCATCTCTGACAGCAAGCAGTTCTCCAAAAATTTATAGTTCCGTCAGCCACCACTTGGTGGGTCTTGCTGTCAGCACGCACTCCACACAGTGAATAAGGTTCCTGCTTGATAGGCAGCCCAGACTCCATCTGACAAAATACTCCTCGTTCGGATCTCGCATCTATTTTTGAAAATCAAATAGGAGACGCCCGACGCAGCCAATGGGGAGGAGAGTGATGGTCATCGATGGCTGGACCACTGCTGCCTACCCTCGTCTTACATGTACTTCACGCTTCAGTTGGGCAGGAGAGGTTTTAAAATAAATAGTATGGGATCCTCACTATTGACCTTGGTATAGTTTGACTGCTTTCCACCTGTTCATTTTGACCATGCGCTTTTCCCAGGGCGGACTCTTCCTGTCTGGTATGTTTTCCTTGGCTCCGTGCTAAATCCCGACGATCCTGAGCTTATCCATGCTTGGCTATGCTGGCCGTTGCTGACTGATTTCTTGGACCCTAAAGTCTGTCTTTTCCAGCGATTTGCCGTTGCAAGCACTGCCCTAAGCACATTTATTTTCCCCTTGGGAAGCAATTCAGGAAATTATACCTTTGCCCTCAATCTCCCCGAGAATTCTAGCGATGTGTACTTCCATCTGTCCGGGCCGACCTCGTATTCATGGGTAGCCGTGGGGACGGGCGATGAGATGAAGAACTCTTTAATGGTCGTGTTATATTCAGATGCCAGCGGGAAGAGTTAGTATTCGAAAGAGAAAAAAAAGGGAAAAAAAAAAAAGATGCTTCCCAGCATCGATTCGGCAGGGCTGAGCTAACCTAAATGGACATGCAGACGTCACTGTCAGTCCTCGACTCTGTACAGGTGAAAGAGAGCCGGTCTATGCCCCCTCCCTCGCTGTCGATCTTCTTTCCGGAACAGGTATTGCGAATGGCCTCATGACCGTCAATGGACGCTGCTCAAATTGCACAAAATGGGGTACCGGCTCTTTGGATCTGAAATCGACCTCGCAGCCTTGGATCTTTGCCCTGGGCCCTCACTCCGGCGCCAACGCGGTTCTTCGCAGTGACTCCAAGACTGCCAGCATCGAACGGCACTCGAAGTACGGTATGTAGTAATTTGCCGGTCCTTGCCGTGTTTTCTAGCAGTATAAGTGTTCCTTCTCACTCTGCTAGGCCGCTTCTCAATTGATATGACCCACGCGACTGGCGGATCGGGTGGCTTGCCGGACCTGTACGAAAGTTCGATAGGATCCAGGCTGGACGGAGGCGTGTCAAATGACAGCAACTGGCCTGCGATCATCCACGGCGTGGCCCTCTGTGGCGCATTTATCTTATTGATGCCCGCCGGTGTCATCCTGCTGCGCGTGGCTCCAGGGAGTGTCCGCTGGCATTGGATCAACCAGACCGTGGCCAGCGTCATCGCCATCATCGGCTTGGGGATCGGCTTCTGGCTGAGCACCATGTACACGAAATCGCAATCATTTAACTCATCGCACCAGATCATCGGGATTCTCGTTGCCATTGCCATGATCGCCCAGTGGGGGATCGGATTCTGGCACCACCGTCTGTACAAGCTCCGGCAAGCTCCCACCTATTTCGGGGTGTTCCACCGGTATTTCGGTCATATCGTGATGTTCATTGCTATTGTCAATGGGGGTATTGGGCTGCGGTGGTCCTCTGCGTCCACAGGTACGATGGTTGGGTACTCCATCGCCGTGGCTGTTGTTTGCGTTCCGGTGATCTGCGCGGTCGCCTGGAAGAAATGGACGGCCTATCGGGGCGGCCAAGGCTATGTTCATCGGACGGTGCATATTGATGGGGCGCAGGAGCTCCATGCCGTAAGACAACTTGGTTAAAGTCTGGGTTTAGGGGATGTTCTAATCAAGTTTAATGTTCAATTTGGGAGTTATACGATACGTAGTACTTTTAAATGACATAATGCTCTTCGAGATACACTACCTATCTCTGTTTAGAACAAGCGATTAAAGTCCAGGGATCGACATTTTGTTATTGCCTGTCCCTTGCAAATTATGTGGCTGACCCTACAAAGTGACCCTTGTTCGGGACAGTTGTCATAGAAGAACTACTATTACTGACTAACTACTCAGGGTCTGGACACCTTTTTGTGCAGCAGTAGATTCCTACAACAACAACAGTCTCGCCCACTAAGCGGAGTTAAAGTCCAACATCATTGGACTGTTGAATCATAACCACTACTGTAGTACAACTGCTTAACATGGCGTGCTGCTCCAAAATAGGTCCTCATGTCATCTCTTTTTTTCCACCACAGAACATCCGCAAAATATTAACCTCGTTGTCGCGCCCCTCACCTACCTGTCGCTCTTGGAAGCTCGAGTCTGCGTCATTCACGCGGCTTAGCTTCGCCTCTTATTCATCGACAGCAATGTCGCGGGTCGAAGACGATGCAAGGAACCGTCATATCGAATATAACTGGATCGATGGCACGGAATCGCTTGAAAAGTACAGACCCGGAGGCTATCATCCTATCATGATTGGGGATATGCTTCACGGGCGATATCGCGTCGTGGATAAACTAGGTTTTGGAGGTTATTCAACTGTTTGGCTTGCTCGAGATACTTGTCTGGAACACTATGTGGCTGTTAAAGTTGGTATAGCAGACTCAGCTCTGCAGGAGACCAATATCCTCCGCGCTCTTTCTACGCCATTACCATCGTCGTTGCCCGTGCATCCAGGGCATAGTGCTATTCCCCTACCCTTGGATGAATTTAAGGTGAATGGCCCTAACGGAAGACATATATGCTACACAACGACTCCTGCCCGATGCAATCTCAGAGAAGTATCATTTAGTCACCTGTTTCCTCTTGATGTTGCGCGGGCGCTATCAGGTGGCCTTACACTAGCTATTGCGTATATGCACTCACAAGGCTATGCTCATGGAGGTTTGTCAAACTGATCATTGAAATCTTGAGTCTATACAGCTGATATCAGAGCTGCCTTTGCTTAGATATCCACCTCCGTAATGTCTTGGTTAAACTCCCATCCAGTTTTGATCACCTCTCAGTTGAGCAGCTATATGACCAATACGGAGAACCTGAGACAGTCCCCATTACACGCTGTGATGGAAAACCACTTCCACCAAATGTCCCAGCAAAGGCAGTGTTACCACTTTACCTTGGAAAAGATGCCGAGGAATTCTCACTATCAGATGCGCACGTGCTTCTGGGCGACTTTGGCGAGGCATTTGCCCCAGACTTAAAAGTCCGCAACGGAGAAGACTGCCACACACCGCTAGCAATGCGACCACCAGAGGCCCGGTTCGAACCACAGGCCCCTCTTTCATATTCCGCAGATATCTGGAGCTTGGCCATAGCAATCTGGGAGATTCTTGGCATGAAGGCTATTTTCAGCAGTGAATTTGCTACTGCTGATGAAATAGCTTCCCAGCAAATTGATGTGTTGGGGCCGATGCCCCTCAAGTGGTGGGAGCTCTGGGGAGAGCGGGGCCAATTCTTTGATGACAATGGACATCCAAAAGAGGGTCGGTATGTGTGGCCACCGATTGATAAGGCATTTAAGGAAAGTGTACAGACGTATCGGCGGAAGCTGGGGGTAGGCGAGTTTGAGAGGGAGGAAGCAGCTGCCATCTTAGATTTGATGCGTCAGATGCTGGCATTCCGACCAGAAGAACGACCGACAGCCGAAGAGGTCCTACAGTCGGAGTGGATGGTAAAGTGGGTATTACCTGAGCTTGAGCGACGGTCGCTGATGAAGTAGATAAGTGCCTGTATTTTGTTCTATTGTTGGGGGCTTCTTCGGGTCAAATCGACCTTGTGTGTATTAGCATCCGTTGGTAAATCAGCGTAAACACCAGCAACCTTTGATGTCCTGGCTTTTCAAGATTGAATCAGTAACATTATATATCGGTCTGCCAAGCTCTATCCAGGCTTTGGCCATCACCTCCCTGAGTGCACGCCAAGGAAAGACTATTACAAGGTGGCCTGGAAGAATTGTAGGGGTACTGCAGAGACATAGAAGGCTTCGGTATCAGGAGTTGTTTACATTAAGAAGGAAAGAAGATGAGCACATCACTTGTTGTAGCTTGTACCCCTCACAATTTACTTTAAAAATAGGGTTTACCTATGTAGGTCAATACTATACAGTCTATACTAAAAGCTGGGTGTCAGCCATGTTCAGCCACTTCATCCACTACTGTCTGCCATTCGTCCAGTGCGTCAATCACCATCACCATGGTTGTAGTCAGGCTCTCTTTGATCTCAAGTATTGATTGAAGAAGGAGTCTCTGGAACTGCTCTCTAAGCACCTTTTCCGACAGTGGAATCGTCCGCCAACATCTTCTGACTACTAAGGATTGTTTGAGGTATGCTGCTCACTAGTTACTTTATAAGTATTGGGGAAAGGCCTCTTGCACTTCCCTGCTCCTTTTCACCCTGATTGAAGAAGATACCAGACGATTTACGCTACATAAATAAACATTATCCCTGCTGCGGCTCGGTCCACCTTAATTAAGTCTAATGCTAATCACTTCTGGAGTGGAGCTGCTGACCTGTCACACCAATTATATGTGAGATACCAATTTCCAATTTCTTTAATCGGTTCATTACGGAGTACATCCAACCGTCAGGCCAGACTGAATCCTGGACTAGCCACATGCCCAGGCACTGTGTGCGGCATAAAAGATCCTGGAGTGTTGACATCTGATTAAGCAGTTGAGCAGCAACATATTATCGTCCAGCAGGTCCAAACACCAATTCAAGTTTCGGTCTTTGTCCTACTTGTAGATATACATATCTATTCATGCCCAAATAGGTCCTGGGAAATCCCCACATCATCATAAGCCATACTCGGTTGTCAAGAACCCTTGTATAAAGAACTGTTACAAAACTGCTCATCATGTTGCAGGTCTCAATCCTGATGCGCCGAGGGCAGGAACATGAAACACCACATTTACCTCCATGGTGTAGAGGGTCTGTTGATGTTGAGTAGTGGTGAACACTACGTACAGTATATACAGTATAGCGCGAAACTCAGATATACGTTAATTAGAGGAGAGCGCCCCAGGTGTCTCAGCTGAGCAGCTATTTGGGATCCTTCAAACCACAATTGTTCAGGGAGGATTAAGGGGAAGGGACAATCCCATCACATATATTTTCAAGACTCCCACCAATCCATGAAGTAGATCCTAACCCTCAAATCTAGCATACTTACCTCTTTTGCTCAATTTCGACCATGTCCTCGTGTATGTTCCCCCACCCACAACCAAAAAAAAAAAAAAGTATGCATGAAACTAATTCTCCGTTCGGAAATTCTCAAGTCTTCTTTAAAGATATCAGCCAACGCCGGGAACGCGACATTCCCAACGGGCTGTCCCGAGCTACGATCCTCGAAGCCCTCCATAACCACGACCTAATGATCAACACCATCTACCCCGGACAGATCAACACTGTTCGGCGGGACCTCTACTCAACCACATTTACCTCAGTGGACCTCAAGACGAACGTACCGACATCATGCACGCTCACTAGCATGGAACATGGTATTCGTGCATTCACTGATCCCGGACTGGGAATGCACCTTACCTCCCACTGGACCATTCAGAATCGGCATGAGGGCTTAAAATCCGGTTCCGGGGATGCACATACTGGATCTGCGGATCTATACCTCCTCGAAGAGATGACCTTCCGTCTCTTCAGGCCTATTGCTAAATGGGCGAAATTCGATCCGGACAGGAGTCACACCACGGATCGAATTGTCAAGATGCTGGAGCAACTGGCGGAGGGAAAACTGACCCTGAATGATTGCCTTGGTACAGGCTCTAGGGAGTCAGGGTGGTCAGACCACATAGGACACGGAGGCAGAAACATGACATGTCAAAGGTAGTGTTTAATATAAAGGATTTTGGAGACGTAAGTGACGGCTCATTCTTGTCATGCTTCTCGCCGGCCCTTGCCGACTCCTTTTTCAGCTCAAGAGGACAGACCAGCCTTGCGACTTAAGAAATTCAAATTACCACAAGATATGTAAATAGGAGAAGCTAAGAGAATTCGGGCAGAGTGGGAGATATACATGAATAGCCATGGCAAGAGCCCATATGGGGTCTGCTGGTATGAACCTATCTTGGTATCAGCCATGAATTCTAGGGAAATGAATCTAAAGGCAAACCATTAGATCACGAAGCCCTGAAACTGACACCAGGCGCCAGGCCCTATCTATATGCTGGGCTCAGCGATTAGCGTGGCCATATTTGCTAAAGCGGTTACCCCATGAGGCCCGGCAATTCAGGCGGTTGATTAGTTTGCGAAACTCCTTTGAGCTGAGAAAGGTGGCTATGTACTTTTTGATTTATTCTACATTTCAACTTTCATTCGTTTTATGATTGTATCTCTGTAACAGGGGAAGGTATCATGCAATGTGAAGGTCAGACTGTCTTCGTTGAACACTCGGATCGGTGTTGAAATAGATTGCATACTCGACTTTTGAAGGGATCAATCTACGTCCAAATTAGCTCACATGAGGCAAAGCTCCATGCCTTACTGAGCGACAGCAGAACCAGCAGTGATATATTACCCCTTCTATTCTTGAAAAGATGGAATCCCTTGAGCCTAAATACGCAGCACTTTAAGGGAACTAAAGGTGTTAGAACCAGCACAATCTTTGGCTTATATACCCGCATCTCATGCTTACCTAGTTAGCATGATTACAGCAAGCAGATCGAACTCTGGGGTTTTTACTTTTGTAGCTAGGTACTCAGTAGGTACACCGAGTATAGCAAGACAAAAAAAAATAAAGAAACATACAACAGCCGGGATTCGCTGGTGGTCACCCACCCAACTACTAACCGGCCGGCGTGTGGCTTAAGTACGGCTGAGCGGACGGGAAGCCCTGTTCTCCACACCCTGTGGTCGTATGTACTTGAACCTGTAAAGAGCTGGTTTATATAGTCCTTTTGAGAAAGGGGAAATGTTATACACAAGCCTATGATTTGTTATGGGTTGGAACTTCAACTGAGATATTTGCATTTGGCAAGGGTCTCTTTCTGCTTAGAAGGGATATAGTTTAGTTTAATCAGACTGAGTATAGACCCGCAAGCACTAGCTAAGAATATTGCTGATTCTGTTTGTTTGAACTTTGATATTGATTTTAACTGACTTGAGTCTCCCGAAGTATACCCGGCTGGGCGAATCCCCCAAAACAGCAACTCACCCAACTCCCGCCCACGCCGCGCCCAAAACAGCAACATCCCCAACTTAGGTTTCCCCTACCCCATCAACCACCCAGCGAGCGAGCAAGGTAGCAAGCAACTCACACACTTGACACAGTAGTGACAGCACACAACTACGCCTCATGCTCCGCCGGAAACTTGGGCAACAGCCACCACAGCCCCAGAATCCCGCCCAGCAACCCCACCACAAACGGCTGCAGCACCTGTACCCCGCGCGACTGCGCGATCGCGCCCACCGCGAACGGGAGCATGGCCGCGCCGCCGCCGCCAATTGCCGCGGCGAAGCCGATGGCGCTGACGTGCAGGCTGCGTGGGAGCAGCTTGGTCGCGACGACGACGACGGCGGGGAAGAGCGGGCCGAGGAAGAAGCCCTGGATGGAGACGGCGACGGTCGAGACGTAGAAGTTGGGGACGAGCCAGAGGATGAGGCCGAAGGCGATGGCCGCGATGAGGTAGATCTACTCCGTGTCCGAGTCAGCTTAGCACAACAAAAAAGTAAACTTAAAAAAAAGGGGGGGTTGGGGGGAAGGGAGGAATACCGAAATCGCCAACTTCTCACCCACCCTCGGCGTCACAAACCCCAGCACCACCCGCCCAACCGTAATCCCCAGCCAGAACCCCGTGGCCGCCATGCCGCTCGCGAACGGGGCCCCATGTCGCACGCGCATCATGAACGTGACGATCCACCCGCCCAGGGCAACTTCCACGCCCACGTAGAGCAGCAGGAAAAACGCACAGAGCCAGGTGATGCGTCCTGCGCGCTTGCTGAAGAGCGCCCGGCGCAGACCCCCGCCGCCGCCGCCGCCGGTCGCACTCGCACCGTGCATTGCGCGGAACGCCGCCCCGTCGCTGTCCCAGAAGCTGTAGACGGAGGTGACGAGCTCGATGGCCGCGCAGCCGATCTACCACCGTCGCGCGTCGGCTGTCAGGCACTGACACTCTTTCCAACCGGGGCTAGGGAGGAGGGGGACTCACCATGATATAGTAGAAATAGTACCAGCCCACGCCAGCCTTGGTCACCAACGTCGTCGCCAGAAGCGGACTCAGTACTGCGCCCGCGCCATACAGCCCGTGCAGCAGGCCCAGCACCTGGTTCGCATTCGCCATGTTTCCGATCCAGGCGTTCCATGCGGAGTCGGCGAGCCCGTTGCCGAACCCCGCGAAGACGAAACTCACCACCAGCACGGGGTACGGCGGGTGCACGCAGTTGATGATGTAGGAGAGCAGGTGGCAGCCGGCGGCGAGGACTGCAACGCCGCGCCGGCCGAGGCGTAGATGGATGTGGTTGTTTAGCAGGGCGGCGAGGGTGTATCCGCCCAGCGGGGAGAGGAAGACGAGGGAGACGACGGTGTAGGTGAGGTTGTAGTAGGTTTCGAGCTGGGAAAGTTTAGGGTTGGTGGGTTCAGTTGAATCGTGCAGGGGAGGTTCTTACGTAGGGGATTAGTGGCTGCAGGTGTTAATCTTTTTTTTGTTATATTCTTATTTTACGATGAGGGTGGAAGGAGTCAAAACGTACACCGAATGCGGCATCATTCGCGCCCATCACCAGGAAACACCAAAAGGTGGCCAGCGTCTTGGAGATGTTGGATCTGGGATGATTCCATTGTTCGACGGCGGGGAAGACAGTTGGCGGCTGTTGTTGCTCGTGTGGTGGTGGTGATTTGGGGATGTCGGGCAGTTCGTACTGGGTCTGTGTGCATGTTGTTGTCGCCATTTCGGGTGAGATGAGTGACAGAGGACGGTCGAGCGAGGACAATCATTCTATTTATCCTGTTGAACGCCATCTGCGCGCTGGATGATTGTCCGAGTCAGGACTAAAGCATCTCCACCGCTGCGTCATTCAGCCGTGTCTTGGCTTTAATGGACTTGGAGAGTCAACTACTACCGCTGCTCAGATTATTAGTAGTGTTTTGGCCTTGTGGAATACGAGTATGCAGCTAGCATTCTGACACGTCGTATTGATCGTCCTGATTAGTTGTTGGCATTGACAAAAATGATTGGGAATGAGTCGACGACACCCGTATCAATATTATACAACGGAATGTCCTAACCTATTCTATGTTCATAAAGGTTACAGGCATCGGCAGTTCTGTCAGAAAACGGGTGAATCTTCTGTTGTGAACATTGGATTTTCCGCAGATCTATCCTCAAACACTGCTTTCCAGTGGGCTTGGACTCCACTACATACCCCGGATTTGGACTCCCACGTACCAAATGAGTGCTCCAGTGTGCAGCCCACGGTTTTGGCCTCTTCCCAATACGCTTTCTCGACATCGTACCCGAAGCGTTGGATGGCTTTTTTGGGAGCAGTCCATACTCTCCCAGGGCTGCCATCACGATTCCGCGACTTAGGACCGAGGAGGTCCTCTCCAGGATTGAACTCAGGACTGTATGCATGAACGAAGAATCCCCGCGGCGGTTGATCCGCTACTCGACTCTTCCGGTACCACTTCGTCGGCTGCGATGAATAGTAGTCTTGGATCGGGTCAGCGTGGAGCATTGCCGCACCTATCACACCGCCATCAGAAGCAGGATGCCCCAGGTCCGATACAGGTTCTTGGACGACATAATACTTCTCACCCAGGACCGCTGCAGCCTGAATGAAGGTGTCCTTATCGCCTTCTCCCGGCGCACCCTGGTCGAGCAAAGGGTAGTAATGAGACGGCCCATAGTAGTTGTAGTAGGCGGCGAGGAGGAGAGTTAAGAAGTGGTCCCTTTTAGAGACTAGGAGCATTCCAGCCTCTGTCGCTGGTCGGGCGGTCATGGCCAACTCCGGCTGACGAGAGATGTTGAAATACAACGGAGACGCGGTATTAGCCCAGAAATCAGGCCAGCTAACGAGGCCCGCGGATGTAAAAGGTTCAGACCCCAATAGTGTGGAGGGGTCGTGGAGGGGAACACAGTCGGCATCCAACCAGAGAACTTTCTCAAAGGATGAAAAGAGAATCGCGAAGGATTTGATCTGAAAATGCTCGATATTGCGGCTGGATCCTGTGCTACCTTGGCTCGCCAGAACGTCCGAGAGCACGAGGCAGTTCGCACCCAGCGCCGGCAGAACCTCCTCACATATGTATGGCTCGTACTCCGCAGAGTCCTTGACAAAAATCTCCACCGGCAACTTTGACCCGGTCCGCCGGAGCATGCGCAAAGACACGACAAACGTCGGCAGGTATGTCCCGCCCGCAGCTGAAACGATGCCCTTCGTCCTAGGGATATAGGCACGGTCAAGCGGCAAGTCCCGGATAGCTCGAATAACGCTATCATGCGTCGTTTGCAAGGGCCCCTGGAGCTCGTCGGAATTGGAGATATAGTTTGGGCGTGGTGTATCGTTGACCGGGTCGAATCTCGGGGTACCTGCACTGCCATGCAAAACGGGAGAAGGACAATTCGGCCGATTTGCCTCAAGAAGGGGATGGAGACGATCCCAGAGACTAGCCCGACGTTCGAGAAATGACCTGCGAGATGTGGCGCTAATATACAAGTTCACCTCCCGAAGAAGAATAATGATCAAGAAGAGGGCCAGCAAGGTCGCAAAAAGCTTTCTGCTCAAGCCACGTTGCCTCAATTTCCACATCTTGAGGGTGCGTCAATCTGTCAGAAAGTAGCAGATGTAACGAGAAATGATGCCTCGGGAAAGAAGAGGACGATGAAGGAGGGCCCAACAGTCATACCCGCCTTAGTCGTGACTGAAACAGCCGTCGATCAGTCTTTAGGGAAATATTTACGGGGTAGTCATCGGAAAATTCAATACTGGGAGTCTGGGACAAATAAATCTTTATTATATTAATAAATCTTTGCTTTAGTGCTTATGCATTTGTGACCTTAAATTGCGGCACAGTCAATGGGCGAGAGCTAAGGGGACTATTTGAATCTAATGCTGCTAGACTGTAAACTTATTGGGAACTTGGGACATTCTGCTCCGTATTTATCTCAGGATTACATCCATGTCTATAGTCACAGTGGTATACCTTACTCTGTAATCTCTTAGACCTAGGTTAGTAGGAATGCTTCTTTGTCTAAGTGGAGATAGCATCACCACAGCCAACCAGCTTTTTGGCTTGCCCTCGGCCCATCGAATTTGTGTCCTGAACTTAGCGCTTTAATAATGTCATAGTACATAATACGGAGTACATTATGATAAAGACTTCCCCACTGTCTTCTTATCAGTGTAATATTATTGTGTCTTTCTCTCTCTCTCTCTCTCTCTCTCTCTCTCTCTCTCTCTCAAGCACCAGCCATAGCCCCGCCACACTACTTTTTGGCAGTGAGAGGCAGGTGGTAGTACCCTGATTGTGCTCTTTGCCGCCCCGTTGGATAGGTTGGCCACCCTTTCGTCATTCGTTCATGTGGCATGTGGGCTCAAGGAATCCTCCTTAGCTTTACAATTACCTCAGTAGACTCGCATGTCGTCAAACCTACTGCTAATGGTGATGCAGCCTTCGACCGAAGTTTGATCGCTGGCCACCACCTGGGAGGCACCAAGGAAGGTTCTGCTATGGTAATCACGTGGCTAACCATGGATCGGGAGCCTCGGTTCGGGCCGTTCCACGACAGGTCTTGAATGCGGTTGCTGAGAGCGAGAGCATGATGATGGATCAAGAATGTGTATCAATGTGGTTTGGTCATATGCGAGAAGCTTAGGAGAAATTGCAGCCTGATAAGGGCAAAGTTTTGTACAGTTGTTGACTGAATGAATCGGCCAACAGATAATTATGCAGTTTCCAAGAATTGAGAGCTTCTCAGAAAAGGAGAAAAGAAAAAAGAAAAGAAAAAAAAAAGGCAATACAATGACCTAAGATCACGCAAATCCACAGAGGAAGCTCAACCCTGAAGTTCAGGCAAATACTTTCGAGGGTAAGGTTCGGCGTGGTCCAATTCTGACGGAGGTCCTTGCGGCGCATACGAACCAACCGGTTGGACGAGTCCCCCCAGCGCCTCGGTGTTGTGGTAGTACTGTTCCTTGCCTACCGCTTGCATACCGGTTGACTTGCTTCTTGCCCTGGATAGATGCCGAATCCCAAAGAATAGAAATCCAAAGATAGCCAAGGCGCCGATGCCGGCACCAACACCAATTCCAGTTTTTGCACCCACTGATAAGCCAGTTGAAGCAGACTGGTACAGCTCGGTGGGTTGGGCAATAGAAGGGGTCTGAGACGTATTGGCTATCTGTGAAGCTGTTGAGGCTGTTGAGGCTGTTGATGCTGTTGATGCTGTTGCTGTTGAGGCTGTTGAGGCTGTTGTGGTTTGTGCAGGAACAGCGTTCGAGTTGGAGATTGTGGACATAGCAGTCGCGGGGACAAATAACGACAGATCGGAAGATTGAAATTGAACTGTGATTGGTTGAGCCCACATAATGATAGGCCCATGAACCTGAGTTGCTTGGTCGCTTTCTGCAGCACGAGCTGCGACGATCGTGGAGCCGATTGACGGGAATGGGCTCGTACATCCCGCGTATATTGCTGGAGGAAGATCGCTATAAATCATCGTCGAAGTGGTGTAGACAAAATCCCTGAAGGTACAGATCAATAAACCAGCAATGGTTTCCGGGGATCCAGGATCGCTTACGAGTAACAACATATGGCGGTGGTAACTGGCCCATCAATCGCTATGTCTGCAGAGGTGTATCCCATCGGACAGTACCCTGGGCTATAGACGTGGGTCGCAGTCATTCTCCCTGAGTCTGCAAAGCCGGAGGGAAAACAAGAACTGACTACCTTCTCGCAATTCTGCATCAACAGGCCACTGGGGAAAAAATTGTTGTAACTGAGAGGCTCATACGTCCAATGGGTTGAGCAAGGAGCCGGCGGTGTGAATACAGAAGTCATGGGCAAGGTTGTTAATGTGTTTGACGGAGACATTCCCGTCGGTGTTGTTGAAGCCATTTCGTCGGAAAGTAGACTTGAGACTTCGATATTCGCTGGTCAACGGGACAGGAAAGTTGACCCTGGGCCGAAGGGACTCGCCTCGCCTTAAAGGGAATGTATATAAACATAACTATAGGAGTAATAATAGGAAAGCGCCCTTCTGCTGCCAACTAGGTACCGCACCGGCACATGTCCTTCGGTTCCATATCGAGTACTTTAGGTACTTAATGAACCGTCGGCGGCACGCGAGAAAAGTTGCATTAGACATCAGGGGTTTGGCGCCCATCAATAGCAGGTCCTGCCTGCCCCTAAAAATGGGCCCATCCAGTTATCAAGGAAATCGTGAGTTGGTTACCTTGATCGATCTCTAGAACTTAAACTTTGGCGGCTGCCAACAAAATTCCCACACACGCATGCTTGTCTAGTGGGCCAGTGATGGTAAAGTATATCAAGTACGGTCCAATCAGAACTAAAATGGTATAACCGCCCTGGAACAGCCCAGTTTTAGCTCAGTCAGCTAGAGTAAAAGACAGGGACAGACAAATTAGGTAGTGGATAACCGGATACGCCGATGAAACACCAAAGGGTGCCCTGGCATACGGAATACAGAGAAGAGCCAGAACCCTGCCGGTGTCGAAGACAGATGTCATTGTTGTAGATTTTACTCCACTGTTGCTAATTGTGTCGATCGCCAGAACTGGGGCTGCGAGGGTACCTTGAGACATTCGCTTTTCCAGGAGGGCAAGTAGGTAGGGTAGGGCTGGCTGGACGTCTGAGCACTTGACTGGTGACAGTACTAAATAAAGTGAGGGTGAAATTTGAACGATATGGAGAGCGTAGTCTTTGTCATGACTCATGAAATACTTACATCCTCCTTTGTCACAATGATCAGTGACCAATCGGAGGGGATTATTAGCCGCTGGAAGACTTCTCTGCCTACGGAGTAATGGCCAATCCATAAAATTGCGGCACAGTCGTCCCCAGATACTGTTACAACCTAACAGCTGGAGAAGCCTCAATCAAGCATCTTTGTGGGATGTGGAACTGAGAGGAAGCCATTTTTCCTTCCCATTTCGCGTGGAATAAGGGGCTAGAATCAGTTATCAGAGTCATTACACCGAACGTTCTTTCGCGTCATTCTCCCAGCTTAATGTCTTAAATTATTTATATGAAGTATAAATACAAGCGACCGGGCAAGGTTCCCTGCACCTAATCGTAAAAAGGCTCATACAGATCGGGATGGTTTCCCCTGCAGATAGGGTACTACAATTTGTCCTGATAGACTTACTGGAGCGAGTACACTCGGCTCGTCCGTAGGAGCAAATAGCGTTTCGGGCCCGTCTGTCTGCCAAGTATGACTCTCCGATATTCGGTTTACCATAGCAATTTGTGCGAGGTGCTATGAAGCAGCCTCTGGATCTGCCAACGACAAGAGGGCCTACTTACTCATCGACAGGCGACGCTTGCTTCCCCAGAATCTCTTCGTCTCCTCTATGTACCCCGTCCTTTCCGGGGGTATATCCCACTCCCCCCGATGCCCTTCTGCTAGGGCAAGATATGGTTCCAATGTCTGGGTCAACGTGTCACGCGGTGTCCCCGGGAAGTGAACGAGAAGGTCTCCTGGGTGAACCTGAAGATGCGCTGGTGAATCGGGATTCAAATCTACCCCATTTGGCCGTCTCATATATGCATTGAACCAACGTAACGGGCAGTATACGACTGATCGAGCAAAGTACTCATTTTCTTCCAAGAGATTGGCTAGCGCTGACTGGTCAGGCCAGAAAAGCTCGACGTTTGGCTTCACAACGGGGTAAGCAATGGCAGCAGAGAGCAATTCTACGGCCCAGGGATGGACACGAATGGGAAACACCCCGTTGTTCATCCCGTTCCAGTCCTTGGTCAACAGCATGTGGACATCAGAGAACTCCGGCGGAGGCAAGAAAGTCTCCAATGGCATGTCAGGATTCATCAACACGGTGTCGGCATCAGACCAGCTGCACATATTCGACGCCGTCAGCCTCCGAGTTCATTGATTTCCTATGGTACTCCTCATCAAGGGGCAGCTTTGGGAACTCACAAAAGCCATTGCAATCGCCGGTCGAGCGGTTTTTCCAGCTCCTGTAGCAAGACTGACAGAAGAATGGCGTACTTGTTCCAGACGCCATCAAGTATCGGTATCCGCAGAACAAATAGCGGATAACCCTGTCGCCGACTGTGTTCTCTATGCGTTTCCAACGCCCTTTCATATATCGAATTGTTCCCGTAAACCATGGTCACCTTGCCTATCGTTGGGTTAGGTTGATGTACCTCGGGCGTCCTGGCCCGATCTGGAGATCTCGTCAGTATATTACAAAAATAGATCGTTGACGAATTGCGTAGCAACAAAACATACGGTAGTCAAAAAATTGGCCCGTGAACAAAGAAACAATACAAAAAGCCAAAACCACGCACAAAATTAGCCTAAGCCTCGGGCGCTGGCTTCGAACATGGTAGAACTTCGTCATGGTCGTATTCCGGTGTCTGCCAACACTCCCTTTGTCGTGGCAGATCCGGACACATATCCAAAGTGAGAAGATCCAATGATCCAAGTAAGCGATGGCGGAAATATAACGACGAAGTGGGCATCCTCCTTGCGAGGTGAGCTGGAACCCGTTCAGATGCTAAGGATGGTTTGGGCAGATAGTGGCGTATGCTACTTGCTTGTTGCGATGCGCCTGTCCCACACCTAGTGATCGTAAAGACCAATTGCATCCAAGCAGCAAGCCAGTCAATTTCCAGACAATTCTCCATTGGTGGCAGTGAGCTGCATTGTACTATAAAAGCGCTTCGCCTCGGGCATTACCGTGAGGGTTAGTCAAAAGGTCTGGTTGGTCTTCCGCGTCCGGGCAATCATCTAGTCTGAAAAAGGAAGACGCGGAAGATCCAGTCATAGCAACTATCCAACGCCAGTACCAACTTCGTCCTAGCGTGTCAATGTAAATCTCTGGGTCTTTCCGCAGGTCCCCGAAGAGATCAGCCGCGCGCTCGTGAGCTTTGAATCGCGGAAGTAAGACTGGCGGCCCACCAAGTTCCAACTGATTGACACCGTGCGTTTTGGCGTGCCCGCGGGGTGCTTTTAGAACGCGAGGGCTAGATTTCCATCAGAACGGGACCCTCTCTCATTGCTCTGTCAGTGATGGAAGGCACATTTGTCCCCATCGAGCGCTATTCGCGATCTAGGGGATCCTTGAAGGAAATCGATGACCTCGCGGCAGGGTTACAAGGAATATCTAAAACAGATAACTAGCGTCCTTATCAGGGGAGTGCTAAAGTCAAACAATGCAGTCACCCGGATTGAATGTTTAGAGTGAAGCCTTTAGTGAGGGCCGCAGAGATAGAAGCGAGTTTGATATACCGTCACGTTTGATTCCCCGATCACTCAGGTATGTTTTCAGACCTGAGGACGGGCAGCTTCTCTCATCAGATGTCGAGGACCTTGCAGTAACAATTTCGTGCCAACATCGTTGAAAACCTTCAAATTTCCCAGGCCAACTTCTGACCCTAAGTCACCGCACGGAGTACGCACCAACTGCAGACCAAAAAACCTCTCACAGTAGGAAAATACTGTGTATGTGTCTGACACAAGGTTGTAAATTAATGACGGCTCATAGGTTGACAACCGGAGGAGAGGCTGTAAGCTGATCAAGGATTTGCGACCAAAATCGCGCGTATAATCACTGTCACATATTGCATAAATTTAATGATAGGTTACTAGTACTCTGTACTCATACACACATCCCGAAGCTCTATGGAGCAGATGACAGAGCAGAAACAGGGACATTTGATTGATTGGGGTAGTACCCCATGACCCTTTTTTCAAGTGGAGAATATCCAGAGGGCGAGATCTGCACTTACGCTGAAACCTGTCGTTGAAATTGGCCAAGTTTTAAAAAGGGTTTTGATAATTATACATGGCACAATCTTATTCACACTCATTTCCAAACCTGATTGGATAGTATAGTCGCACATTGCTAAATAATATACGCATATAGTACTCCGTAGCATTGGTGACCTCTATAATTTCTCTAACTGCCTGAATTCCCAGGGATATGGAGCCCATTTCCATACTGATTATACTGTTCACTTCTAACAGTATAATGATAGTGTAAGGATCATAAAAGGTGCTTCTATTGTATATGGATAGAGAAGGCACATTCACAAGGGAAGAGGCTCCCTCACAAGATCACAAACATGGGTATATGACCCATAGAGATTACTATCTCTGCCTATGATCACTTATAAGGATCCTTGGTCCAGAAAGACTAGTGAACTGGTGTGAAAGGAGAATGCTTATAAAGAGATTAAAATAATAGATATCCCTATTTAATGAGATTATAATCTCTATATATTATATGATTATTTATTTAATCTCTTAAGCCTTCTATCAGATAAGGCTCCTCTATGAAGGTGACTTTACTACAAATATGCATGACACAGTGAGTGAGAGGCCAGAAACAGCTGCTTTTGACGCTGTTTTAGGCTGCTCACTCACTGTGAGTGGTCTTAGTGTTATATAGGCCAAAGCCCACACACAACCCTGTTTACTACCACCCATGCTTTATGTTAGTCGTGCCTGGTGCCTGGACCTATTAATTAACTAATATCTATTTATGCAGTAGCCACCACAGCACCTAATCCTTACTCACCCTCTGCTACCCTAGTAGAGGGGAGCTATTTTTAGCTCCTCTATTGACTATTCTAATTCCCTAAGTTTCTATAAATATTAACTACTATAGCTCCTAACTAATAGTCCTCCCTTACTCTTCAGCATCTTCTCCTACCCCAGGCCTGGGTTTCCAACAGGTGACTTACTCTAAGTAAAATAATATTAATCTTAACTATTCCCTTATGCTTTAACTTATCTTTACTCCTCCTGCCCCCTCTTTAATCATATACTATATTCACCTGCCATGCCTGCTTCTCTGCCTGCTGTTCTATCTGATGCTGAGAGTAATACTAGCTTAGGCCTACCTAAGATCTTCTTAAATAATGTATCTAACTCTGATTCCTCTACCGCACCTAGCATCTTCAATGATAGCAGTGAATCTAAGTCTGAGTCTAATAATAAATCCAAAGATGAGTCTGAAGATGAACTAGCACTGGAAGATGAAGAGGAGTAACTTTCACTAGAATACTACCTCCAGGAGGCTAAGTCTCTTGATATCTCCTAGCTCTAATAGAAATACTATAGCCTAAAAACTTAAGAGAGGTTAGATAAGGTATAAGATTTCTAGGACAGGTAGGATATTACTATAGCATCTCTATATACTAGGCTTAGGCTGCTGATTATTCTAGGTTCTGTAAAGGTATAAAATATAATCTAGTAGAATATCTATCCTAGATCTTAGATATAGAGGAGACTATCTACTTCCTTAAGGCTCTGTTTTCCTGATAGTATAACTAGAGATAGGGAAAGGATAGGTGTTAGACTCTAGGGCTAAAAAGTAAAAGCTTACTTAATATATTCTAGAAGTAGTAGTATCTAATCTATAAGGCTGAGGTTAGATATGGCCTTAGTAAAGATATTTAAGTTAAGGTCTATGATATAAGATCCTAATAAGTCTAAATATTAGTAATTATATATAACTAACATTCTATAGGTGCTTGTGATAGTTATAATAGATAAGAAACTTTCCCTTAAAAAATACCTGAAAGTAACTATATTTATAGAGGATATAGCTAAATTTATCTAATTAATCCTGTCTATAACAGAGATAACTTTTCCTTATGGCTAGTATTAGATATAACTCCTCCTTTTCTATCAGCTAGCTACTATCACTAGTAACCACCTAGGGGTGCTACTAAAACTCTGCTTTTAGGATCTTAAATTAATATTAATTTAGGATCTAAATAGAGGACATCCTTAACTATTTATCTACCTAAGACTAGAATTCATAAAAGCATTTCTTGGTGCAAAAGAATCATAAGTAATATCTACTTACTAAACTATTTCTTATACTTATCTTAGCCTATTTAGTTATATATATCTCTACTTTCTTTTACTTATCATTTCTTAACTAGAGAGGTATTTCTAATTCTAGAAATTATCTTTAATCCTATATTAGTCCTTAGTCCTTATGTCTTTCTGCTAGGCATTCTCTTTAGAATTAGTATATTTAAAAGTCTGTCTAATAATAGCCCTGTAATAGACTGCCCTAAGAAATTATACTATCTTTAGGTCTTATATAGACTTAGTAAATAAGAATTAAAGCTAAGAGATAACATCCTTAATTAGTATGTATTTTACTAAGCTTTATAAGAGATGGATAGGATTTAAATCATACTAGAAAAGCTACTTATCTAGGGATGGCTAGGCTATAAAATAAAAAGAGGTAGTGAGATTACTAGCTTTATAGAAGTTATAAAGTTATATTATCTCTAATATAGTGCTGTAAAAGCATTTAATAATAGTTATAAGTAATACTTTATGAATTAAGAGGATTTAGGCTAATATAACCCTCCTAATTAATAGATATATTAAATAAACTATAGAATATTATACTATAGCATATAAGTATTAATACTTTTATTTAGCACTATAGTATAGGTATTTATATAGACACCTAGGTAATTATATAAGGCCTGCCTACTTAGAAGCAGCTTATGTAGTTTACCTGCTTAATAAGTTAGTCTATTAATCCTTAGAGACCCTACTAGCTAGAGGGTATAAGCTATATTAATAATATTCCCTATGTGTGCACTTTAGAAGAGAGGAAGCAGATATAAAAGCAGACTTGAGATGTGAAGAAGCACACCTATGAAAACACTCAGGGTGCATTGCAACAGGATTTTAGTGATGACCCACTAAAGAAGGGTTCAAAAGGTGTAGAGAAGTTATGCAAGAAATACCAGCATGCAGAAGATTTATATGATTATATAGTGAAATAGTTAAGAAATAAGAAGAGATGGCAAAAGCACTACTTAATCTGTGAAAATTTAGAGTAGTATAAAAATAAGCAGCTAGTAATTAATAGTAAGTAGTAGCTTACTAGGAAAGTTATTAATAAAGAAGTTATAGGTATATTATAGTGTACTAGCTATATAATACTATAGTATATAATACTTATTAATAGTATGCTGACCATACTGGGTATATTAATTAAGAAAGAATATAAATACTAAATTACTATAATTAATATAGTAATTATAGTTTATAATATAGAAGAGGATACTCCCTTATGACCTTATATACTATAAAAACACCCTACTAATACTATTAATACACTACCTGCTGCCCCTCCACCTAAGAGAGAGAAGTCTACCCCTTTAGATAAGAGTAATGATACTTTTTCTTAAGTTATTACTTCTATCTATGTTAAATATCCAGAAGAGAGACTAATAATATGCTTTATTTATCTTAGTAATACTAGACTGCTAGAGGGCAAATACCTATAAATATATAAGAACCCTAGGTCCCTTAGCTAATACTTTATTAATAGGTATATTAAGCTATTCCTAAATGATA